ATCAATCTGTATCAATACTGTGAAATTATGCGTAATTGTCAGAGTGTAGTGTGACTGACTGAACTGATTCAGGGTTGTTTCTAATGCAGAATATCCCTACAACCTTTGCAGATTAAATAAAATGTAAGAACAATATTGATGGATGAATTATTCTGAATAAAGTATAGTAATATGAAGTGGCTTATAATATATTCATAGAAAGCTCATTAATTGTATTTGTATTGTTGATAATTTGAAATAAAGTTCTTATGATGAAGAAATGAATAAAATAAAATATAATCCATGATATTTTTGATAAGCCAACACCCACCTAATGATTTTTTTTCCAAATGAATCATAAATGATTATAAACTATTCTGATATTCATTGCATCTTTCTGTTAGTTTTCAAACTAGCGATAATTAGAAGTTAAACTGATAAAAGGCTGTGATATCTCACAATGCTCATAAAATGAATAATCAAATATATTTTGCCAAATAAGATGATCAATTTGCAAAGGAAAGACCAGATGAAAATTGTGAACTTCATACTTTTATCACACCCAAGTACAACTGTGATTAACCACATTTTAATGTTTTGTTAGTTATAAAGTTAATATAATGTTATGAGGTGCAAATTGTTCTCTCAACACATTTTTATATTGGCATGCTTGGAGAGTACTGTACTAGTGGTATCCCACGTTTGACCTGTTTCAATGTGCATGATATCTAGTGAATCAACTAATGTATGAGTTCCGTTTTCAGAGTTTGTTGCTTGTCAATACTTATGGTTTATGAAGATTTGGTCAGCTTTGCAACATCCTTTGAGATCTGGCTAATCACTGCTATACAGTAGCTATGGAATGAAGTGAAATACCATTTGACCATGGATGGTTTTGTACATCTTGTCTGCCATTTTGAAAAAACTAAAATATTTGTGCACTTTGCTATTAATTTCATTGGGAAAATATTTCTCGAATATATTAAGTTTTTGCTCAGTTATGCCAGCCCTTTTGATTATGTTTCAAATTCACAGATGTCTCTTGTCGCTTTTAACTAATATCTGAATCTTTCTTATTACCCTGCCTACTTGTCTCATTTACTTGTTTGAAATTACTATTCACAGGCACGATAATGTATTTCACTTTGTGCCTTGTTGCTGTCATCCTTACAGCCCATGGGCTTTAATTAAGGTATATAGGTCTCATTGTACTTATGATTTAAAGTACTTGTACACACCAGATGTTAGTGGAGTTTAATTACATCACCAGTCTTTATTTGTTGAAACTATTTTATCAAATCCAGGCACCATATAAAGCTGCAAAAAACCGTGGAACTATTATCCTATGCAGACAGACAATACAATATACATGTGTTGAAAATGAGACATTTGCCCAAGACAAATTTATTTAATATGGAAGTTTATTTAAGAGATCATAGGATGTTGTGACAGTAACAGTGTATTTACCTCTAAATGCTTTTAAATGTAAACTCTAGTATTATTGAAAACAAACAGATAATGATAACCTTCATTAATGTAATGTTGTATTTAGTGGTTTGTTTTTGTATTTGTGAAATCTGTGTTGTCCAATTACCAGTTTTCTTCGTTTTAGTCTATTTGTATGCTTTGTAGCAAGCTTTTCAATGGAGAAGGGATATAGACAAGCCTGCAAATCATTTACTTTAACACCAAATGGCTAATCGTATCCTAATGAAAGAAATTTATGAAGGTATTTTCGTGACTCTGGACAAAGTGAATAAATAAAGTAAATCTTTAATGGTAATTGATAAACAGATGGTTTTGGACAAGTTTCAGGATAATCCCCTCCTATGTCTGTTTGACTGAGGGGAGAAGGGAGGCTAACACACGCTTACTGAAGAACTTTAAAATAATGATGTCTCAGTTTGAATCTGAAGACTCTTTTGCAAATACAATTTCAAGACCGAATTGGAAATGATCGACACATGTTTTACTATGATGGAAATGTCTGAATTCTCCAGTTTCATTAGCTCTCATTGACATCATCCTATTTCAGCCAGACTAATTTGTTAACACCATAAAGTCTAAAAATAAGGTTTTTATTGCATAGTTTTTTATCATCCAAACATATCTGGACTTAAAATTGAGTTATAAGGTCACATGATGGTAGATGATTTGGAATAAGTTTTTTCTGATTTCCATAATGCAGTACAACATGAGTTAAAGTCAGGTCATTGTACACAATTTGAAATGATATTGAAAATTGAAACTTTTTTTATGGTTTTCATAGTACAGTTAGTACTGCATTACTAATTACAGACTTATCAGTTATGATATTATAAGTTATTGAATGATTTGAAGTACAATACAGGATATATTCTGCTCGAGAAATTCCGTATTGGAACGAGACGTAGTCGAGTGCCAATACAGAATATCGAGACAGAATATATCCTGTATTGAACTTCAAATCATTCAATAACGTTTTTATCGTGTGATCCTCTGTATTGCTACTGAGATTGTCCTCTCCGTACCAATATTTTCTGTATTGCGACGGAGTTGATCAACGGGGACAATCTCAGTAGCAATACAGATTGGTACAGCACAAGAACTGACCAATCAGAAGGCTTCATTTTACAGATCATACGATAATAAAAGTTACTATCATTCTTCATGCTCTGATTACAATATGTATGGCACTCTTGAGTTCCCTCCTGTTGTTTCATATAATGCTTTCGGATGATGACCTGAACCATTGAAATCAAAATGCCAGGCCCCATACTCAATATCACAAAATTTAACATGGAAGAAGTATTATCTGAGTTCCTATATACTATCAGCGATTTCTACTTCTAAAGATTATGATAAATTAGGTGTTTTATATATCAGAAAATGGTATTGATCACAATTTCCTTTCAAGATATCATGCCAATAGCCAAAGACCTTTTTTCTTTCTAAAAAGAACTAAAACAACAAAAGATAACACATGATTAAAAGTCATTTTTTCGAGAATGAAAAAAATCTACAGACCCTGGATTATGCCATTCTATAGTATATTCATAAATCTCTGAATGTTTGTGTTAAATATAATCAACTAGTTAAGTATTATTAAGAAAAATGGGCCATATCTTAGCAAAGCCACCCTTATTTATCTTGTATTTAATTGTTAAACATACCATTTTTCTTGGTTGATTACCTTTTGTTATTTTTAGCGCTATTTTTAGCTAGTTTTCAACTCTTCAAACAAACACATACACGATTTTGGACTAAAATTTCTTGGCCTGAGAGTGATTGGGGATTGATATGAAGTGGCCTTATCACTCTGCTCGACTCAAATGCTACAAGTTCTAGGAATAGCTTAACAAACTGTTAATTATGATAAAGACTAAAATAAAACAATGTTTCTCAATATCAAGTTGATTTTGACATGTTGAACTTGCTTTGGCTCTCTCATGCATTTAATTTATCAATTGATTCGTGTGTGGTGAGATGTGATAGGTTATACCTCAAGGTTTGATTTAGATGCTTAAAATGGTCAATTTGAGGATAATGTACTAATAAACTAGGGAAATCTAATTCACATGGAGTTTTATTGTAATGTACTTATAAACTAGGGAAATCTAATTCATATTTCACATGGAGTTTTATTTCGAATTCTCAAACATTCTCATTATAAAAAATGATATATGGTATGGTATGATATGATATGGTGTGTATGGTAATGTATGCAATACTATAATACAATATGATATGGTATGGTATGGTATGGTATGGCATGACAGGCCCGTAGCCAGGATTTGCCAAGGGGGGTTCACTTTTTGAAAATTTCAAGGGGGGGTGACTTTTGACAATTTTGGTCCAAAAATAGCCAAAAATCGAACCCATTGAACTACCCCCTGGCTATGGGCCTGATATGATATGATATGATGTGTATGGTAATGTATGCAATAATATGATATGATATGATATGATATGATATGGTATGGTATGGTATGGTATGGTATGGTATGGCAAAATCACAGAAAAAAGACTGATTAAATGATTTTAAAGGACAGAAAATTTCCCATAATCAGAACTTGGTTAAATTCTGAAATTGATATATTCTACAACAGTTACCCTATCCTTCTTAATACTTGTGCAGTTCATTTGGGGATAGAACTTCCATTACTTATCATGAAACTTAATTGTACTTTGGATATGTGGCACCTTGCTTATGTCATCAATTAATTACGACACTCCTCTGAGAAAATCTCCCCATCAATACACATCACATTACTGTTAAAATGGCATCTATCAAGACCATTATCTGTTAATAACAAGATTGTGTAATTAAGATTCATAATATCCAATCAGTGCTTTAAATTAAGCTGACATAAAAGGATTCACTTGAAATTAGATTGATGCCATGTAATGTACTACAACTTTGAGTGATATTTCTTGCCAACTTGGTGACCATGAACTGAAATTTAACAGAGTAAGAAAATAATAGAAGAATTAGTGAGAAAAGCATTGAAAGCACTTGTTGTCAAAAGCTCTAATATAGTGCAAGATATTTGGATTTTTTTTTAAATTGAAGAGAGATATTTTGTGAAATATAAATCATCCTCATAGTGAAATAGAAGGCTAAATAGTACCCTACCCCTAAAAAGTCTTGATCAACTTAACCTATCATCTAATGATGTCATCGGGTATGTGCTTCATGTATAAATGAGATCATGATTGTGAGGGAAATTTGCAATCAACAAATCAAAAGTGCTGAATAACAATCTCCAACTGTAAAACCATCAAATTTGTGGGAGCAATTTTCACAGATTTGTACGTTTGTTTCGTTTCGGGTATCCAGTTTTCGCGTTTTTTACAAGCGCCTCAATTCATGCCAGAATAAAAAATTTTATTTGTGGAGTCCTGAAATTGCAATTTTATACTGGACGTAAATTGAAGATTTCTGTGCATTTAATGTTTTTCACAGTATACATAATATAATGCTATAAAAATCTTGAGATTTTTCCTTTAAGTATGATTGATTAAAATCAAAATTCACTTACAGGTAAGTTGTTGAATTGTCAACATTGTCACCATTTATTGTATACAGGTTCATTGAAGAGCAGTCAGTTGTGGCATTAGTGCTGTTCCAGGAGCATATACACTCACTTGGGCAAGCCATTCTTATTCTTCAGTCCTCTGGTATCCTATATACTCCACTTGAAGAGTTCTCAGTTTTTTGCTTGAGTTGTGCAAGCCATTTGAAAGATAAAGTCACAACTGAGAATATTCCTGTATCCTATACTCTATCAAAACTTTATACTTTCTTAATCTGCAATAGTAGCCAGTTTCGAATCTTCTCTTACTGCCCAAATTCTAAGTTATATGGAAAATAATATTACCAGTTTCCTTTAAAACATAACAACCAACTCCAGTCTTCTTTTGTACACTACCAAAATAGATATTCTCAAAATATATCTGTATAAATTAGCCACCACTAGTGATCAATCATAAAACATCATTTCTCCAATACATATAATCCACAATCCCATTGTATTATACTGTGTTTAGTGGATGTGGGAGTCTAATACTTCCTCGTCTTCTAACCTGGTGTTGACAGTCTGTGTGCCAAACTTAGCACTGAGTTGCCCGTTGCATATAAATGCTCCCAGTACTTTTCAATAGCTTGCAGATTTCAGATTTTAGAATTCAAATGTTTTTTATTCAGTATTTATTTTATTTTATCCAGTGTCCAGAGTATATTACCTCAATAGTAAGAAGTTTTATATGACTTGTTTTGACAACCTGTTCGAATACTAATTTAATTTTCCGCATCCAACTGGTTTGTAATGAAATATGACCATTGGCCAGTTTTGAAACTTACGCAATGTACACGTAAGTCTTTTTCAAGTACAACTGATATTCTATTGCATATTTTTTCCGATCGAGTCATAAATTAATCAGTTTCCTAACATTATGCAATATGTTCATACCTTTTAGTTCAGAAGTCAATATCCGGGATTTGACAAGTACTAATTATTATGATAAAAATCACCTTTCCCACTGGATCTAAACTTGAATCATTTCTTTTCTGTCCTAAATTGTTTTGAACTCCAATATTTGCACTGAATCCAAAAACTTCTTGTTGTCAGAAGTTACATCTGATTTGCCAACAAGTAGCTGTAGTAATAAATTCCCTTCTAATTGAATCACTGAGATTTTCTGCGTCTAATCATTGAGTCTAATCTCCGTTCCAGCCAGTCGGCATGACAAGTGAAGTCATGGTTTACAAATACAGTACAAGAATCCACTCTTGATTGTGTCTCTAGCTTACTGTTTCACAAAAGTACTTAGCAGGTCATTAGGTAGGGATTCAGAATCCTTAGCAGAGATTAGGACTAGAGGGGTGATGAAGTAGTGAATATAAATACTCATTTTACAATAGCAGCTACCCTCTTTTACATATCACTCCAAAATTTCTGAAGAAAATGAAGGTATATTATCGGGATAATGAATACCATCAAGAACTTCAGTTTGTGTCAGAACTTATAATCACTGGTTGCTTTCTACCAATATTTCCCATTTGTGAGAAACACATTTATGTTAATAATTGCATTGCATTACAGGGAACAAGGCAAGATACTCCACATGACAATAGTGGTGCAGTGCTACTAAAGTACTATAGACTTTTTCATGGGTCATGTATGAGAATACTGCAAGTGCCATCCATTATACTACTACATATGCCATGCACTAGAATACTACATGAGAACACTTGCATGAGAATATATGTACTTGCATGAGAATATTACAAATGCCATGCAAAAGACTAATTCAAATGTCATGCACTAGAAAACTACACATGTCATGCATGAGAATACCACAAATGCCATGCATGAGGATATTACAAATGTCATGCATATGACTTATGTACATGTCATCCATGCACTAGAATACTACACTTTCCATACACCAAATGTATACACATGTCATGCACTAGACTTTCACATATACTTTTGCACTAAACTACCACACTTGCTGAATACTAATAGAACATACACTAGACTGCTACACATACCATGCATAGAAGCTACATTTGTCATGCACAAAACTACTATACTAGACTTCTTCATGCATCAGACTTTTGCACTTATCATGCACTAGACTACTACATACATTATGCACTAATCTACCACACTTGCTGTATACTAATATAGCATACACTAGACTACTACACATACCATGCATAGAAGCTACATTTCTCATGCACTGAACTACTATACTGAACTACTTCATGTATTAGACTTTTGCACTTGTCATGCACTACATTACACTTGCCATTTACTACTAATGCTGTGCACTATACTACAAATTGGATTGCAAGTACTTGTATTGCAAACATAGTGTTACACTTGGTATATAAAATTAAATGTTAGCACCACTATTTTCCCATTAACATCAATTGTTTGTACATGTATGTCATTTGTGTCATTGTTGAATATATGGCATGGGAATTAGGAACCAATACATTGAAGTCTTGTAACCACAAAGTGACATTTCTTGAAATAAGACATTCCTCTTGATCTCATATACATGTAGTTTATTTTTTGCTGGTTTGTGTTTTTTGCCTTGCACCCTTATAAGTCTTGGTTTATCAGATTCTATATTTGATTCAGTCTGTTTTTTAAATGGTCCATTGTAGTTTCTTCAATTTTACTCATTTTTCCATTTTCTTCATAGAAATATTTTTGGCAACCCTTTTTGTAAAATACGTTAACATTTCAGATGACTAATGTCATGTTCACAGTAGCAGTATAACTCGATCCTTGATCCACCCCACTTGCCATCACCTGTTTTTTCTATTGAAAAAAAGTTGTGAAAAATGAGTTTTGAATGAGCCACTTTCTGCAGATCTTAGTATGTGTTTAACTTAATTGGCCATTGTTCATCATAACATGTGTGCTATATCACAGGGCTGAAGCTGATCTGCAGGGTGGAAGTATAACTGTTTGCCATTTTCTCTAGTGATGATTTTACTTTTTTTGCCTTTGACAAGAATTTAAAGCCGTCTCTTTATTTTTTGTGTTAATCTCAAAATTGATCAACAAATGGGTTATGATAAATAATAGCATTCTATCAGTTCCATTCTAAGAGTTCCATTCTGTGGAAGATGAATGATCCGAGATGATTAGAATGAACTGTTATGTTCTTTATGATCCATTTCTAAAAAAATCCATGAAAAATTATCACAAAACTTGGTGCAGAAAACCTCTAAAACACCAAATGAGCCCCATGTAAAAATTACTCCATGTTAACTTAACATGGAGTAACAATGCCTTAATATTATATTGTTAAGGCATTTACATCAGGAATTTTGGCAGGCAGAGTTTTAATTTCTCAGTCCCTCTTCTAGTAGCCTCTAGTATTCCTGACTTTTATCTCTGAAGATACATATAGTTAAATCTGTCCAATACAAATGTAAACATCTCTTGGATTGACCAAAGGAGTTCACATTGAAAAGGGCTCACATTTTGAGGTTTTTTAAACACGATTAGTTGTGGCAGATTAAAAAGAAATGGCTCCGAAATATTCAGGTTTTACTGTTATACTGTTAATATGATTTTTTCACTTGGCAGTTGAAACATTTTCATAGATGAAAAATGAAGTACATTTCAAGTTCAAAACATTTTTGTTATTTTTGACTGATCATCCTTTTGGGAATTTATATATCATATTTATTTTCTTTATGTAAGATTCTTTCATATCGCATATATTGTCTACATCTGAATTTTAGAGCTTAAATGTGTTATGTCACATGATGCTCAAGCTGTACAGTAAAAATGTCAAGTAGAACATGTCAGAAGTCTAACACATTTTTTAAAGTCTGATGATCCTATATGTTGTTGAACACCTTCAAAACTGAGCTTTTTTATGTAAAGAATGTATTCCACCTGCATAGGTTTTTACTTGAGGTGATAAACGCTAACTATAAATTATTCTTGATTGATCAGTATAAACAAATTGCTTTATGTCTTGTTGGCACATTCAGATTTGTTACAAAAACAGTTCTAAAAAAGAATATGGGTCTTACATTTGCAATATGTAAATATCGGAGTTAAGGATTTCTGAGTACTCAACTCCTCTAATAAAGACACATCTACATGGTCCTGTAAGTATTAGGACCTATGACACAGAGGTAGGGACCCACCAATACAATTCCATTGCCAGGGACTTGTGATATATCAGGCAGGTGTACAGGGTAACAGGGTAAAATGATCAGGCCATAGTTAGTTAAAGTGCTCCTGTATTACCCAGCTGGTGCAACTTGATGTTTACACATTGTTTTTTGCAATAAAATAAAATGTAATCTGTGGTTTACAGCAATAAACTAGATAAATTCTGGAAGTTTTCAGGTTAATTAGTTTATATTGAATTGGTTTTGCTGCTGGTTTTAGTTCAGGCTATTTACGGCTGCTCAAATATATTTTATGTCCTTTTGTATTGGGGAAATTTACAAGGAATGTACACAGTAAGAGGCTTGGTAAAATAGTAAGATACAAAGACATCTAATGTCAACATTTTCTGAAAATAATGGTTTTTGATTTTGCACTTTGGCACTTTTGTATAACAGTTTTTCTATAATAGTTTTGGTAATATCTTTCAATGTTATTAATTAAGAATTTTCCCCACTTGTTCAAGAGTGTGCTGTTTCAACACTGCTTTGTTCATGATTTATCCCAATTCTAAACCGTACTCCCATCAGGCTTGTTCTTTGCAATTTATCTCCAGAATTCGATAGAAATGTTTGATTCTTTAGGATTTCTGCACAATTCAAAGTATTAGCTACATGCTTGTTTATTTTATTCCTTGGTATTGTTCAGCATTTTCACAGTTTTTGCTTTTTCAAAATGATCAGTTTGATATTTTTCTCACAAGTCATCCACTTTTTACAAGTAAATGTTTACTGAAGTCAAGTGTCGTTGCTGAGTCAGACATAAACCATTTTTTAGATTAAACAGAAAAAATTGAAAAATTCTAGATTTCGTGGTGAATGTATCCTTGTAGAATGCTAGACATCATATCAATTTTAACCCAATTAAAAATAAATAATTTAAAAATAAATGCTGGCATTCATTAATGACCACATGTAGAAAATTTTTTAAGATTGAGTAACCCTAATTTACACCAGTAGACATATCTAACTAGGCCACAACATAAATATTTATAATGATGTGACTAAAATTAATATCAAAATAAACCAAAAATGATCTGAGAATTTGTGGTCAGTAATCACCCCTCAATGTGTGGGCGGGCTACTTAGGATCATACTTTGGTTGCTTAGCGAATATGATACATCAAATGTCAATGATTTATTTTGACATTGTATCAACCAAAGATTCCCAAAACTTACACAGCCAATTAAGATACCCCATTATCATTGACCACCCATAGTCAGATGAAGCGGGTTTGTTTCAAAAGAGCAGGAAAAAACACTTGCTATTGAATCACACACTATCAAATTCCTAAAACTGATTTATGTAATATGCCTATTATCTATAATTTTTTGTCTGAAGTCTGAATGATATTGTCTCGTTTAATTAAAATAACAGGTTAACTGTGAGCAAAATTAAGATGACTACAGATGAAAAATCTTCAAGGTAATAAAGTAACATCATACTTATGTCCGATCATAAGTTCTTTACATAAGTTTTATCTTTACATCAAAATTTCAATCACCGCCATTAGTTTTCAAATGAGTTACCTTGAAATATTAAGATGTCAAGCTATTTTCATACTTATGAAACTCAATGTGACTGTCATTCACTATTCATTAAGCAGTAAAAAAATTACATTGGTAACAAAACGTTTCTAGTTTCCTGTTGAATGTCAACTCTCGCATCATTCGAACGTTATTTTAGGCAATGACGTGAGTTTTCTTTTAGACTGCTATTGTACAGTTTTTGCGATCCAGTATCATAATCAATTCTCAAAATCGTTGTTCCCTCTTCAAAAGAGGAGACGCGTAAATCTTTCCTTATAAGGTCAAATTATTTCCCATGATGTTTGTTTTCCCTCATAGGTTTAACATGGGGATTTTCACTGAGCAATAGACGTTCTGATTCAAAGAGCAAACCGTGAAAGGGAGAATTATTGTAATGTAATTTATCTTTCAGATCGAATTATTCATCCCACTTAATCATGTAGTGTTTGTAATTTTGAAAGTGCATGTACTATTTTTAAATGAAATTAAGTGCTTGCACTGGAAAATACATGTACATTAATCTCAGAAAAGAACATCTAAATCTTACTTGATAAAATCTGACTCAGCATCAGTAATCTAACTTTCAAAGAGTGAATAAATCACTTCATCTAATTTCCAAATCATTTTTGGCAAATAACTTGGCTATTATCTTGACACTACATGGTCCCTGGTAACTTAATTGAGATTTTTCACCTAATTTAGATTTATCAAAATCTTCCAGCCATGTAGAACGGATTTATCAATGATAGAAAATTAAATCCAGGGTAAATATGGAACTGAGTCAGGTCCGGGTGTTTTCGATAACCAATGAAATCAACCCTCATGTTTTTTGTCATTCCCTTAGATTTTTTGAATTGGACAATTTTTATGCTTGTTACTTGTTGTAATACATGCTATACAATGCTATTTACAAAAAACGAGACCTTTCAAGCAGTTTTTATATGCAAGACAATGGGAGATTTGTGACTTTTATTATGTCCCCACCACATAGTGTGGGGCCATATTGTCGTCCTAGGCGCGTCCGTCCGTCCGTCCGTCCGTCCGTCCGTCTGTCTGTCTGGTTGTCTGTCTGTCCGTCCGTACGTCCGGCAGTTTTCTCCAAAACCGCTACAGGTATCACCTTCAAATTTTCAGGAATAATTTGTGAGTGCATACAGATGTGGATGAAAAAAAATTAACTCGATAGCTACTTCCAGTCGGCCATTTTGAGGTCAAATGCTAAAATCCTTGTCTGCAAACTTTAAGAAAAACGGCTTTACAGTTGCTTTTAAAACTTTAACATCTTGTTCAGCTCACTTCATTCTACATCTGATTAGGTTTTGGACCTGTTAGCCCAGACATGTCAGCCATTTTGAATGTCTGAAGAAAAGTTAGCGCGCGATAATACTTTGTATCATATTGAATGGTGTTTTTGAGTTTTCATACTTTAACTATTTAGTAGCTTTATAAATAATTCCAGGTGTACTTTGTTGAAAAAGCCTATGTTATTGTTAACAGTAGTTATATGTGATAATTTTGTAAAAGGAAATCAGCAAAAACTCGTAATCACTTTTTTATTGTCGGCCATTTTGGTTTTTTCCGTCCTAAAATCTTGTCTGTAAAGTCTTGTCTACACGTTTTCAGGTGAACCGTTTGGTAGATCAATTTCAAATTTTCAGGGATGAATCTTAGTATGAAAATCTAGATCTGATTAGTTTTTTGGCGTTCTGTGTAATTGTCAAGGCAGCCATTTTGGATTTTCCGTCCTAAAATCTTGTCTGTAAAGTCTTGTCTACGCATTTCCAGGTGAACCGTTTGGTAGATCAATTTCAAATTTTCAGGGATGATTCTTAGTATGAAAATCTAGATCTGATTAGTTTTTTTGGCGTTCTGGGTAAATGTCAAGGCAGCCATTTTGGATTTTCCGTCCTAAAATCTTGTCTGTAAAGTTTTGTCTACGAATTTCCAGGTGAACCGTTTGTTAGATCAATTTCAAATTTTCAGGGATGATTCTTAGTATGAAAACCTAGATCTGATTAGTTTTTTGGCATTCTGGGTAAATGTCAAGGCAGCCATTTTGGATTTTCTGTCCTAAAATCTTGTCTGTAAAGTCTTGTTTAACTGTTTGACGGATCAATTTCAAATTTTCAGGGGTGGTTCTTAGTATGAAAATCTAGAACTAGCTATTTTTTTCGGGATTCTGGGTTAATTTTAAGGCGGCCATTTTGGACTTTCCGTCCTCAAATTGTGTCAGTCAAGTCTTGTCTACTCATTTTCAGGATAACCATTTCATGGGATCACCCATTGGTGGGGACATATTGTACACATTTGTGTTCTTGTAATATATTGTGTTAAAGATACAATAAGTATCATAAGTTATTGAATGATTTAAAGTGCAATACAGGATATATTCTGCTCGAGAAATTTTGTATTGGAACAAGACAAAGTCGAGTGCCAAAACAGAATATCGAGAGCAGAATATATCCTGTATTGCACTTCAAATCATTCTATAACGTTTTTATCGTGTGATCCTCTGTATTGCAACTGAGAATGTCCTCTCCGTACCAATATTTTCTGTATTGCGACAGAGATGATCAATGGGGACAATCTCAGTAGCAATACAGATTGATACAGCACTAGAACTGACCAATCAGAAGGCTTCATTTTACAGATCATACAATAATAGCTTATACATACATGCATACACATTCATTTTATGTTCAAACATAATACCAGCTGATTGTTATTGCAGTTTCTTTAGGCTTACTGTTTTTGAGAAAGTAGTGATTTTGATATTAAAAAGTTATATTTTGGTATATCGGGTGTCCCAAAAAATGAGACACTTTTTGACAAGTATTTTCTCAGCAGCTGATGAGCCAAATTCACGGAAAATTCTGACAAAGTAGCCCAAGGGTATCATTAGCAAGGTGCGAAAAAATGAAAAAGATCAGGTAAATGTTATGTGAGTACTAACCATGTCCCATACCGGATCAACGCAATGGGAACTTCAATGCGTTTGTACCAAAAAATGGGAAGCAATTTGACAAGTAATTTCTCAGCAATAGATGAGCCAAATACTTAGTAAAAATTAGTTGAGGTACTTTGGAGCATCTTCTGCTAGTGCTATGAAGATTGGTCTCATATTATGTGTGTATTTTTGAATTAAAGACAGTACAGTATGTCAAAATAACCAATAAATAATAATCAATGTAAAAGTCACTAATTAATCCAATTCCAAGCAAAAATACTTTTCTGTATTTATTCTAACAATATCACCTCCAATGAATTTTGAGAATGAATAGATTGTAGATATTTGGGAAGAATGAAACTACTTTGTACAAATTTTCAGTGAATTTGGTTCATGAATTGACGAGAGAATACTTGTCAAAAAGTGTCTCATTTTTTTGGGACACCCAGTATATCAAAAATATACCATATGGAAATATCACACAAGAGTAATCAGTTGCTAAGGACTTATGAATAACAGCTTTTGACATTAATTACTCATGGAATTTGGAAAAGGGGACATTTTCCCAAGTTAATGTAGTAACAGTACACTCTGTAGGCTTTGGGCACTTTTAATGCAATGTTTTTACATGATCTGAATTATTCCAACTAAGATCTCAAAGTGCCAGTTTAAAAAGTCTGAAATAATTATTATAAAATCTAGACATTTCGGGAAAGGGCATGATTCAAGGCATTATTTTTTACTGCAAACTAATATTTCATTCAACAATATTATGTCACTGTTATCTATTGCTTATGGGAAACTGTCAGTGTAATTATTTCTAATCTTTCCGACACTTAATGGAAAAGTTCGCTAGTGTTATGTTCCAAAGATCAAAGAAAATGTAGTTGTACTATTGCCAGTTAATTCAATGTTAATCTGGAATCAGTTGTTAAAATCCTGTCTCGGATCATATCTGAAGGGCATTTTGGGCCAAATGAATCAGAAAATCCCACTGTGTCAGTTATTACAATTGACCACAAAGTGGTTGAAGTATTAGTACTTAAAAATATCAAAAAATAGATTCTAGGCTTCCTACTCGTTAGCCTCTAATTAAAGAACAACAGTAAATAAATCCACACTTCAATTAATATTTCAGGTTTCAAATTAAAAATAGGTACTATAATAATGTGGATTGTTAAAAGATAACTTCCATATAGACATTCTGTAATGTCAAACATTTAACATGATGTAATATTGACGTCTGCTCTCTGATAACTTTATAAGTTCAGTTTTTCGTTGAGTCATCTATTTTTGATAAAAATAAATATGGTTTGTGTCGGACTAATATCACTTTCTCCTTAACATGTTTAACATTTCAAAGCATTTGATCTGAACAATTTCCTAGAAATTTTATCTCCCTTAAAGCCACATTGTGTAAGCACTCAAAAAGTTTTTACAGTTAAATAAATAGTTAAAGTAAATGTTTAGTGCAACATTCTGTTTTTTTCTGCATGATGATGTCCAGAATGTTTTTGAACTCAAATATTTAGATTGAACTTTTTTTAAAAAATGACCTTGATTGTAAGTTTAGCCGGTAACCAGCGTGAAAACATATTGGATGTCGGATCATCCAGGACTTTTCCAGGTTAGTCCGTCCAATCTGCCATTGGCTATTTATCCAGGCAATGTTTTAAATATTTAATTGTTGACCGATTTTGTTTTTTTGGTGGAAATGATTGTGTAATTAGTAAGTGATTCAATCTAAAAATATTTGTTTGAAATGGCCACTTGTTTTCTTAACCAAAATATTATTTTCGTGAAGGATCTCGCTGGCTTCAGCGCTACCAATTGCTGCAGCTTGTTGCAAATCTGGTAATATCATGATATCCTGTTATGAATGTGTAAATACATGTAGTTTGGTATTTTGACCAATACGGGTAAAATCAGAATTTAGCACTTGGCTTTAGTGAACCACTTTTGGAGATCATTGTATGTACATGGACTGTGATTCAAAATATGTTATTGTAGGAATTCCTCCAAGCATCTTTCCATGCAGTTTCATTTAGAAATATTGATCTCTTAATCCTTGCTCAAAAATCTCATGGAAATAAAACTGAACTTCAGCCTGTCATGTATGACATTTGCAAATCCATATTTAGATACCAATAATTGCTTTGATATAACTTGGATAAAATGCAACATTAAAGTAATGAATTATAATATGTTTAATTATGTCTCAGGCATCACACATCAGTTCACTATATTAGCTATACTGGATATCTATCTACAGTAAAACCTTTATATCTGAACACCTCTGTAATCTGACCACCACCCAATGTGAACACCGTCTCCCAATCCTAACTTCAGAATCTTCCATTGACTCCCTTATTAAATAAACCTTGTTATGGGAACACCTGCTGGCTTGTCCCAGTGAGCCCCATTGGTCTCTGGATAAGACAAGTACATGTATATTTATTTGCCCATACTCCATATCATTCCAGAGACAAGGAGTATTATGGAATCGACTCAAATCCAGAGTGAGGCTGAATTTCCGCGTGGCAGCCCAAGATGGCGTCTTCAGGATGAGTCTGTCACCAAATGGGAAAATTCTTGCCGTGATTCATACATTTGGGAGATTCTCACTCTGGGATGTCCCGTCTTTGAGGTTGCGGAAAACTTGGGAGCAGGCAGACCAACCAGATGCCCTGGATGTAAATCCTTGTCTTGCAGAAAACCCATCCAAGCAAAAATTTCTCAAAGGTGTGTCTAGATTTTATATTTGTAAATGTATGGATTTTGTTTCGAAAATGCCATTTATGGTAGGATGTATGTATTGAATTTATTTGAGTGAAAAAAGTAAAATAATAAGTGTTTTAATCTTTCCCATTTGTAGAGTCACACACAAGCTAGCCTCTATATGAATAATATATGCGTGTCCTATAATAATATTTTGTAATATACACATAGAAATACATTTTCAGACTTAGCTCAATGCTTTAACCTTGTTGATGTGGGATGGTGGTCTGATAATTCTCTCATCTTTGCTCGTTGTTCTGGAGCCATCAGTGTGGCCTCTATAGAGACATTGAACAACATCCTGGGCACATCGCCAGAATGGTTTGAACCAGGTCCACAAATATCTATGGCCCATGATAACAACTTTCTCAGCCTAGAGGTGGGTATTATCACAGTTATTTGATACAGAATTATGTCGTTTTATTTTACTTGTAATTTTAGATACTGTTCTACTTGGGCTTAAAACTTTGAGCATAATATACATGTATTAGCCTATATTATGTATCAGTAATACATAACTCTATCTTATATTATGTTCCTGGAACTAAATTTTCTCTCATTGAAAGTGGATGCTTTCGATGCAGCTAAAATACTTTTAGGGAGAATTTTTTCAAAAATGGTGAAAATAAGTGTTTCTACATTTACAGTGTCTAGTTTTACTTTTTCCAGTGTGAATCAAAACTGGCAGTAAAACGTACCTTATCAGAAGCTCATGATGACGACTATCAAGATAGTGATGATGAGGATGCCACCTATTGGTCAAAAACCTCACACTATGTGAAATCTGCACTCTACTATGTGACTGACAGTGACAGGTTTCAGCCCCCAAGGAAACGTCCCAAGTAAGTACATGAATGTGCAAATGAATAAAAGCTCATGTGCCTCAAACTCGCTACCTCATGGTTAAAGCGACAGCACCTATCTTAGCGTGTTCAGTGTTTTAGACTGCTTGGCCAACTTGATAACCTCAAAAAGGTTGTTTCACATAAATATTATATATCTGACCAGCTGGTCAAAATTGAATTGTGTAGTAATGAGATATGACTACATATTCAGTACATATTTTAATTCATTAACATTTCAGGATCATTACCAAGACATATCGTTTGTTGAGTCTCAAGTCCACCACACCAGAGGAACTTTACAGCAGGAAGGTACATTGAATTCCTCAATCATTATTGTAGCATCCTTTAAAAACAATTGTAGATAAAAAAAATATTCAATTTCACTCTGCCAGTACTATCCTGAAAAATGTTGATTGAGAGTAGGGCTATTATGCAGGGATCTTGTCAGTATTAAACCAAGTGGATACTGGTCCTTATTAAAAAATCTATTATCACCCACTTGAAAATAAGAAAATATGTGAAAAATAGTAAAAATAATTTTTCTTAGAATCGTAAAAATGAAAATTATGCATCCACTTGAGAAAATAATGTTGTATGTGTTTAATTTGTTTAATTTAGATCAAGAATGAGGAGTATGGAGAAGCTTTAATGTTGGCAAAGGCCTACAAACTGGACAGTGATCTGGTGTACCAACAACAATGGCGCAAAGCTCCAGTCAGCGTAGCGTCTATACATGACTATCTAGTGAGACTTCTTTCTTTTCAATCAAACTGGTAGTCCAAGAGAACTTTTTTCATTCATATGACTTTTAAATTTAAAATATTGCCTATCAATAATGTGAAGTTTTGTTTGTTTTGAGGGAAATGATGCTTGTTCCCAGTGAAGTGAAGTGGTTACCATTTTCTTACAATACCTGTATAGAATAATTGTCAGTTTTCAAAAAATCGTATTACTGAAGCAACTTCCCCTGATTTTAATTTCTAGTCATGTGCTGTTTTATTTTTAATCAATTTATTAAAAAAATTCAGATTTATTTTTAGCGCAAGATTAGTAAAAGGTCATGGGTATTACACGAGTGTCTGGAACGAGTGCCCAATGACATTGACGCCATGAGAGAGATGTTGAAGTATGGTCTTCTCGGGACAGATCTGGAAACACTTATTGCTGTAGGCAAAGGGAAAGATGGTGGAAAGTAAGTCATTTTAAAGAAAAATTGGTTTTATTCAAAAACACCATATACTGATTGATTGAAATTTAGTTCTTATGGCTTTAATTGTTTTCAAATAGTCATTGACAATCAAATATTTTATATTCTTGTGATTTATAGTCAACTACTACCCTGAGCATGGGTTAAACAATATTCATAAACGTAAGGATTTATTTGTTGTGACCTCCATTTTTAAAGCTCCTTATCTATCTAACCTCTGACCACCAATCACTGAATAAAAGCGCAATACATGTACTTTTTTTCTTTTTTTTATTAAAATCAATGTAACATATTTACAGGTTGTAGTGGTATTTACATTCACAGAGATCTAAACCTATATTTTACACTCACAAAATCGTACCCCTTCCCTTCGTACCTTTACCCCTTCCATTTCTTAAAATTATCTTCATTGTTCCACAGGTGTTGCATTGGGAACCTAGTCAATATATTATTTAAATGACCATTGTGTTTTCCTTTTCATATTGAGTCTTTACAATAGTGCATTCATTGAATTCCTTTATATCTTTAATTCTAGGTTTCTAGTAAGCAACAAACATGACCCTGGTCTTGAGGAAGACTTGGAACACTTGGATAACTCCATTGATGAACAGCATGCCAGACTTAAGAGAGAGAAAGAGAGAGAAACCAAACTACTTGAGTCCATAGACTCTAACAAGTAAATGAATACCTTGCACTTATCTACCTGTACATTGTATGCTTTTTGATTTATCTACTATTTCAACAACATATTCTTTATACCGTATACACCCACAAGGGTGTCATGTAAAACCTTGTAAATAATACTATATGTAAGAAAATAAAGCTGAATTGAATTGAATTGTATTGAATTATAGTAAAAACTTTAAATAAGGGAGCTCACTTGTAAAAATTATATTTATTTTCTGAGACATGTACAGTATGTTATATATATTCATAAACTATAGTACTGGACTATACTCTACCTTGATAATGGAATATTAAACTCAAATCTGAGTTAGTGGAACACCTTTTGTACCTTAAGAGTGGTTCACTTTGGAGATGTTCCACTTAAAGAGGTTCATTAAACATTCAATTGGTCATGGGACTCAGAAAATGTTCATATAACAGAGATGTTCCACTTTACAGATTTTACTCTATTCTTATGATTCACTTTGGTTTACATCATTTTTGTCATATCTACATTGAAATCCTTTGTCTAAAAGACCAAAGAGTGTCTAATTCTCAATGTTACATGCTTCAATTCAATTCAATTCAATTTATTGGTAAGAACAAATATGATTTACATAATAAAACATAGTAGGTGACGTCATTTTCAGACGTTTATACCCACACATACGAGAACAAAATAAGTGGTACAAAAATCTAATCTAAGAATTAAAATTTAAGTCGAACAGTGATAAAAAATGTTCGTATCAAATGACACTACTTTAATTTTTAAAGGTGAATGGAAGAATCAACTGATATCTCAAATGCGAATCGATCATGTTAATTATAAGACAAACAGTCATATTCTAAGTCTGATACTCAATGTTAAAGAACTAATCAATCGTAAAAAAGCAAGGTCAGTAAATATATACAGAATATAAAATATAAGAATGAATGAACCCAACTGAAATCAAGTAATGTATTAGGATACATGTGTATAATATCCAAGAGTGGTTATAAAAGCGGTAATATTTCAGAAACGTTACTAGGCTATTCCATTGCCTTAGTTTGTTTAGGTTACATTTTCATCATGGATAGTAACAATTCAATTGTAAAGTCATATCTACATAGATCTGCTATTCACAAGTTGTTGATATATTGCGTGAGGATTTGAATTTATGTCCAATCCTGTACGATGACAACGACTATCAAACCCTTCAAACGAACAGAAGATTTTCCCATTGAACATCCAACAGTCTTTCACAAAATCCATATTTCTAACAGTTTTCATCAACTTGACATTCTTTACAGTGGCGTCCTCATGAATAGCAATACCAGATTTGGCAAGTTTCTTCCTGTTTTTGATCATAGATTGTCTGGAGTCATTGGTGTTGAATTTTACAATCAGTGCCCTCTTTCGACCAGGTACTTTTAGTCCAATTCTATGTGCAACATCAATATCATTATTGGAAATATTTGCTTCTATCCGCTGGGCAACTTCGAGAACTAATGCCTTGCAATCTTCATGTTCTGTTTCCTCTACTCCAGTTATCTTAATGTTACTTTTGCGTGAATATTGTTCATTCTTGTTTGCTTCTGCTTCAAGTTCTGTCAGACGTTTATTTAAACCAATAATTTCATCATTGGCTTGTATCAGATCAGATTCAAAGGAATCATTGATGTCTTTTAGTTGTCGTATAGATTCTTCATTCTCAGACAGTCTTTGATTGTACACTGCCATGGAGCTATTGATTGATTCTGGAATTAATTTATTTAGTGAGGTGCTGATTTGGGACTCTATACCTCTTATAATGTCACATATATTTGTACTGGAGATTTCAGATGTACATTCATTGTCTGTATTAATCTGTTGTTCTCTATTTACATGGTATTGTTGCTGTGGTAGTAACAGATCTGCTTTATATGATGTTGAGATCGGAAATGAACTCATGGGTTGAGATATGGTATTGTCCAAACAAGGTTGATGTGGCGATTCTGAGACAATTGAATGGAAACTTGCAGACATATTTTCCATGGATGGTACTGTGAATGTCATATTGGCTGATGAGGCTGTTGATGATATCACACTAGTTGTAATGACTGATAAAAAGGTGGAAGAAATTACAGGTAGACAGGGTTGAGACAGTCCTTGATCTGCTTGTGTTGTTATTGTTGTTGCATACTGGGTAATTGGTGTTTGTATAAGCTGTGACATGATGTAAGGTTCAGTTGATCGCACTCAAAACAATAATCCTATTTCAGTGAGGTCAGTCAGGTAAGTCACACTGGCATATAAATAATGTAGTAAACTGGTAAATCCGATAAGTAGCTGATTAGTGTTACTAGAGTTGATACATGTGCTCTGTTTTGACCTATGACCTATGTCATTTTGAAGTCCAACACATAAAATGTGTTTTTTCTTCTCCAAATACCTTCTAATTCACAAGAAATATTCTGATGATTCACATCTATCTGTGATCCTTATCTATTCATGAATTCTGTAGTATCCATATATTTGTTCAAATAATCCTAAATATCCTTTAATTTCACATAATAACAGGAGCATGCTTGTCTTATTCCACTGTTTCAAACAATGTTCAAACACAAAACAACTGGGAGAAGTGAATTATATTTTGAATAGTAATTACTCATTGGAGTTATGTAATATACTAAATGACAATTAGTAATATGTGTTTTATTGCAGACTTACTCTTGAGCAGATCCAGTTAGTCCAATCCAGACATAAACTTCTTCAATACTTAGACAGACTAGCCACATATGAGGTACTGTTATGCATGTTGTTTATTCATAGATTCAATTTTAATTATGTCCCCACCACAAGTGGTAAGATATTGTTATAGTCTCCGAATTTCTGGTGGATTGTGTTTGGTGTACAGAGTTTGGTGGTTGGCATCTGTAACAAATGGCATGTTGTGACATTTTTTATGTTAATACCTTGTTAACAGCCTTTTATGGCACTTGCACCATTCAGAGAGAAATGTCACGGTGGGTACTCCTCTTGCCCTTACCCTCTTTACATTTTGTTTGGATTTAATGTGCATGTGCACTTGCCTTAGTAAATATTAACCAAGCCTCACTTAGGATTTCCACCTTAGTTATATCCCCCACAAGTCACTCATATATCCAACAGAACTATTTTGTCAAAGACGCATCAAACATTGTTTCAAACATCAATATGTTGTTTTTTGCAGGAGATTCTTGGAGGCATTCATGCTGCAGAGGAACATTTTGATCCTAAATTCTTCGAGAAATTCAGGGCTGCAAACATCATTGAGTCAGCTGTGGATTATGCAAGGGTAAGTGAAGCAAGGTTACCAGAGAGGACTTGAACTCACAAACATCCATAAAACAAGAAAAGTCTGCCCTAAGAAGTATTCTTTTCATGTATCAATTTAATACCAATAATCAAATAATGCTTTGAATAATAACAAACTGACAAGGCTATGAACTAGATATCACTTGCCAGTTGTCGTAAAGTTCTTGAATCAAGAGATTTAATTCGTGAATTCAATTGTACAATGAATATACTGTACAGGGACTGGGCAAATTGACTTCCAGCATTTTACATCCCCATATAAAAATAGACAATAAAATCACAATAAAGAATGTGCCATGGAGTAATATTTCAATACGATGAAAATATAAATGCTATTTTGACTATTACAGGCTAGTGATTGGCAGTCATTGGATTGTCTATTTACCTATCATTCTGAAGACCTACTGGAACATTGGCTGGCTATACTCTCCAACTTCCCTGAGACAATGTCCCCCTTAGAGTACAGGGCATTGCTGCCGGAAATAAGGTGTGTACGCTCAACTTAATGCTTTATATTCACATTTTTGCCTACATGTTCATCAGAACCAGGATTTGAGTGATGAATTTAAATTCATTCATGTAAATGAATCCATTAAAGTTCAAATTGTCAAATCCATGTTAACTATGTACTTATCATGTCAAAGTTTACTTATGAGGAATTCCTGTACCATATTTCGATTGAGAAAAGGTGATTGTGGAACAAGGTGTGCCCAATCACATGTGATCTTTTTTCAGTTCTCATGTTTTTGCTTGTATGTTATAGTATAGAGACAGGTGAAGTGATCCCCTGGTCATGTGAGAGTTGGAGAGAGATGGACTGGTGTGAAACACAATCATTTAGGTAAATATTAAATTAAGTATTTAAGTCAGGGTGATGTACCCAGTTGACAATTTGAAAGCTAAATTACAACCAGCTGAAAATCCTTTCTCACCAAGTTGACAATTTGGAAATTGAATATTCCGTCCAGTTTGAGAGATTTATTTGTAAGAACAGAGCAGATGATATTTCAAACCCAGTTCCCTAAATAAATTCAAAAGCTTTGATTTTGAACTATGTATCCTTACCATGGTGTTCAAATATCAACCATATACTTAATTATTGGTAACTAAAAATCATGTAAATTACACACAAATTTTCATTGTGCAGAGCAGCCTTAACTCTTTTCTTAATACTGTATAGTCATTTATGTTACATAAAGGAAAGCAGTTGATCCAAACCCAACAGACAAAGGTATATTTCTCTATGAGAAGGACACAGACCATATTGCATTCCGTACAGAGAAGCTCCCAGAGAGCCTTATAGCCGACTGGTACAGACTCAGAGCATGTGAAATGGAGAAATATGGAGGACAGTTACATCATGCCCTGGAGTTGGTGGAGCTTGCCAGGGAGAGAAATGTACAGGTATGTATTTTGAATTTGCTGATGTTGGACTCAGGCAGCATTCCAAACATAATTTGTGACGATTTGATTCTTTAAGAAATTTCAAGTTAGAACCCAGGTTAGTGAAAAATTCTGTGATAGATCCATCATTGTCATTTCCAAGACATTTTGAATTGAGACAAAAATGTCCATCTATCTGGATATTCAAGATGTTATTACAGATGAGTGGGCAGTTAACATTTGAAACAACTCCTTCATTATTTGTTGTATATTTCAATTTTTTCTAGGGTCTTGAGCTCCTGACAGATGACCTAACCTCAATGGAAGTGCTGGTGTATGACTGTGGAGAAGAAGAGGCTGTTACGTTTGAGAGTTTCTCAGCTATGACCAACTTGGAGAAGTTACAGCTCATCATGTCTAGTGTAAGTTTAATAGTCAGAAGACACTTTGTAAAGAAGAATTATTAAATAAGAAATAAAAATCTTGTAACTGGTTTATTGAATATTGTCTGAAACATTTTCATTATTTTATATGAGTTACAATAGTCTCACACGAGACACCATATATGTGCTTTTCAGAAAATAGAATATCTAAATTCATATCACTGACATAAACAGTTTTTTTGCTTTTAAACAGTTCAAAAATATTAAGTGGTTTTGATTATTTTTTATAAATATACATATCCTCAATTGTATTTTAGTCATCTGATGAAATGTACCTAAAGAACATCCAGAGATGGATGGTTCCCTTCTTGAAGAGATGTGACAAGCAAACACCTGGTGACTACAACACCATTCTCAAACAATTCCTATTGGATATGGCTATAGAAGACCTAGAACACTGCTCAAAGGTGTTTGAATGTTCAAAACCAGATGTAAGTCAACAGGAATTATCTAATTTTGATTACACATTATATTAACTCATTCGCTACGAATGACGTGATATGACGTCATAAAGCACATACGTTGACTACGAAGGACGTGATATCATGTTCAAGAACAAACCCAATGCATTTTTTGGAATCTTGTAACCATGACAACTTATAAAATGCGACTTAAAAAACTATTGATTCTGAAAAAGTATATTGTATGCTTTAAAATGATATATAACACTATGTATGCCCATGTATATGCTTTATTTATTATTTCAGAGGTAACATATATGGCAATTTTCAAAGATTCTTCAGTAATTTAGTGCTTTTTGCCCCAGTATTGAATGAGTTAAGGGTACATTATCACGTCAACTTGATCACCATAAGTAACTGTTGTCTTTTTGTGATGTTCCTTATTTTGATATTAATTATGATGTACATTTACCCAGTGACATATGTAACTGTCATGTCTTTTTGCGATGTTCCTTATTTTGATGTACATTAATAGTGATGTACTTTTATGATGATGTACACTTTTTTTATGTACATTTATTGTGATGTACACTTATTATTCTGTACATTTATTGTGATGTACTCTTATTTGCAGTACCCCAACCCAGTGATCAATGAAGAGGAATCTCTCATGCAGCTTGCTTTGGATTGTATATACTCCTGTGAGAGGTGAGCCAAAAGCCGCCCCGTAGCCAAGGGGGTTTGAGCAATTGGCCATTGTACTTATCATAATCACAATGAATATTTTAACTGATCAAAGGCCTGCTTGTCCAAGATTGGAATTTCCATATCTGTTGAAGTAACAATTTAAGATTTATTGTAAAAAGTGGTTTTTGATTCTGAACTAAAAACAAACACAATCATATATATTACCTTCCATTAAGTAAATATCATACAAAACGCCTTTCTTCTTTTCTAGTGAGGACCAGTTGACTCATGCATTTGCTATCATAGAATGCCTGCCACATAGGAGTTACGGGTGAGAGTAATATATATGATAAATATATACAAGTACATGAAAATGATAATATTTGTATTAGAATTATTGAACAGACCTTTTAGATGAAAATGCACATTACTTTAAAATGCTATTCTTCTGTATATCAATATGCCATAAAAAGAAACGATTTTAGCTTATTTTTCAATATTTCAGAGTCGTTACAGAAAAGTCCACTGCCCTGCATAATCAGGTTGATGACTTGGAGAGACACTTAAGGTATATTGCTCTGTATGTTCTTCACGCTTCTCCCCATTTCATTATTTTGGAAAGCAAGCAACTTTCAAATTGAAAAAATCAAAAAAAAGTCCAATTGCATTTTTTGGAGACAGGGGATCAGTCAATCTGAAATAACAGTTTAATTACTAACAATAATTTGAAGCACAACATGGTAATATTGACCCAGTTCCTTATTTTGATTGTTACATTTGTGTCATCTTAGTGTTGCTGAGATACTGGAAACACATGGACTTCCTAAGACTGTCAGTTATGTAAGAGATACGTGTCAAGATAAAGAGGAAACTGTAAGACTCATGAGGAAGCTTACTGCGGCTGCAGGACGCAAGTATGTAGTTCTTTTATTTTGTTCAATTTTTTTTTGGTTCTACAGTATGCCATCCTTCATTACGTGTACATGTACATCTTATACCCTAAATTATTAATAATTTAATTTAAAAAAATAGATACGAATAGAAAAGGATACTCCAGAATCATTGTTCAAATAAAAATGGCCACGAAAGATCTAACTAATTCTACCAAAAAGAAGGTTTAGTATGTTCCATTTAAGTCTCGATGGATAACAGCTACATAAATGTAGTTATAGAGTACAACTTTATTTTTAACAGGGTACCAACATTATCACATGAACAGTGGCGCCAGCTATTGATTGACATGTATGACATCCAGACAAAAGTTTACAACAAGACCAAACCAAAGCAGTGCCAGATGGTAAGTTATAATTACATGTATTTCTTGAATGATTTTCTGGTAAAGACATACAGTTGCATGCATTAGTAAAATTATAATGGCAATCCATAGCCTTATGAACTGAGCATTCATACATGTTTTAATTTAAGTGGTATTTGTACATGTACTTGTATTTGTACTTATTTTAGATCCTTACTGAGACATTATTGTGTTCTGGTCGCCATGACAACATAAAACTAGCAGGAGAAATGATGAATTGTTCCCCTGACGACACCAGAGATGACAAAGTACCATATAAGGAAGCAATGGACCTTGTTATCATGGCAGCCCAGCAATACTTCAATTCCTCAGCCAACATCATGGATCCGGGGATGGATTTAGCTAGGTAAGAACATCTTGTTTTTTACCCACCCATTATATGAAAAGCTTTGTTTTTTCTGATATTTAGTAAAATTGATGTCATCACGCACATAGACACTTCAGCATAGTCACTTATTACACATAGATTTGAAAGAGAAATGAATTTATATTTGAAAACACACAAAACACTGATATTGATAATATTGATTCTTCTAGAGCAAGTCTGCAACTAATAAAGGGCACATCAGCAACAATCCAAGCAGAATATGATTTAATAGCATCCTTGTCTCTTCTTGATGACTTTGGAGTCACAATTCTACCCCTGCAAGGTGAGTTATGCAAAATTATGTTTAGAAGTTTGATTTGGGCAGGTAGGGGGGTGGATTCTGAGGCCACAGATTGAAGTTTTTTTATGACACCACCAGAAGCGATGACATTTTGTTTTGGTTTTCAACTTTTTTGTGGATGGTGTTTGACATTAGGTCTTAGGCATTTTACATCCATAACAAATGGCAGGTTGTGACAGGTAGTTAAATCTATGTTATTAATTAAAATTTTTCAAAATCTAATGATATGCATTCTTCAAATGAAAATGATATGCTCATACATTTGTTACAGTACGTTTGAATAAGAAGAGAATAGAGCTGGTTCAGCAGTCTATTGACAAGAGGCCTAGGGCATATAAAAAATCCCACAAGGTAATATATACTGTACAATGCATATGTTCTGTCAATGTAAGGAACATACCTGTACTTAGTCACTGTTAGATACCGTATACATATACTCAGGTGCATGGCTGTAAACAGGCTTGTGTATTTGGTTGATTTGCATTCACTTGAATTTCACTTAAAAATCAACATTCTTGACTAGCAAAATCTACTCCCTCCAACGAGCGAAATTAACTTTATTCTTTCACAACTGATAAGACAGATCCTTTATTGTAAAACATGAACTTGAATCAGGCTGTATTTTTCCCAGTCTCCCACTGCAAGTGTTTAATTTGTTTATCATCAGTTGGTACATTTTTGTGCTCTAGCTCCTGAAGTTGTCTCATCTGCTGCGAGTTGGTGGGGAGAAAAAGAAATCTGAGGGTAGCGTGTTGAAGCTGATTGCTAGAGCTGCATTAGACGTAAGTACATGTACATTAACTTATATCATTTTCATGCTTTAATTTTGGCTAGTAGATTTTAATCAGGATGATTGGTGCAATAATGTATCATTTGATTTTTGCACTGTAAACGTTATCCAAGCATGGGCTTTCAATAGATATTGAATGCCTATGATCCAAGGTAATACATTTAGGCCACCAATTGCCATTGCCATATTGACATTATATGTTGTCAGAATGGGTAAGGTACTAAGGAATATGCCATAAATGGTTGTTATGTCACCAATACAAATGGTGACATGTTATACTCTCCAGTTTTTTTGTGGATGGTTTTCAACAATTGGCGTATGGTGTTTGTAACAAATGGCAGGTGGTAACATTTTGCATGTTAATCCCTTGTTTCAAAAATTGAAGTTAGCATGTATCTAGTTTTTTCAGTTTAAATCCTGGATACTACCTTTTGGTGGCTGTTAAAGTGGTAAATGCATATTTAACACCAGGTGTAAAATGTACATGATTACCATTGTAACACTGATATCCACTTTTTATTATTGTCTGTAATTACAATGGTATTTTGGTGCTTTAATAAACAATCAACTAAAACAATCTAATCTCTAAGTTGTAGGACAAGGACTATAAAACTGCATATGATACATGTGTAATGCTAAACTGTATGTTGTAGGACACGGATTATAAAACTGCATATGATACATGTGCAATGCTAAACTGTATGTTGTAGGACACGGACTATAAAACTGCATATGATACATGTGTAATGCTAAACTGTATGTTGTAGGACAAGGACTATAAAACTGCATATGATACATGTGTAATGCTAATGCAAGATGGATTTGCTCCAATATGGGAGGAGTGCAAGGCCCTAGCTGAGACTGATGACTTCAAAGACATTCGAGCCAAGTAATTGTTCACTATTTTTCGAATCAATCCTGCAGCTGCATATAAATAGTAAAACTTGAATAATATTACTAAATTGCTTTTTCAAAATTTCTGTTTGTGCTTGGGTGGAATAGGAATTATTTTGCAGACTTGTAAAATCACACATGCCACAGAGTTTTCAAAACAAAAATTTTGCTCATTTCTGACACTAATTAGAACAATTGCCTGTTTCTAGCAACATATTTTTAAAAGTACAACTTAAACTTATTTCCACTAAATTTTATGGACTTTTTTCCCATGATATGCACTCTCAGTTTCATTGAGCAAAGTATTCAGAGTAACTACGCCCTGTGTACACAGTGGGCCAACTTCTAATAACCATCATGGTAAAGCGTGGGCCAATTTCTAATAACCATCATGGTACAGAGTGAGCCAACTTCTAATAACCATCATGGTACAGAGTGAGCCAATTTCTAATAATCATCATGTTACAGAGTGAGCCAACTTCTAATAACCATCATGGTAAAGTGTGGGCCAATTTCTAATAACCATCATTGTACAGAGTGGGCCAACTTCTAATAAGCATCATGGTACAGAGTGGGCCAACATCTAATAACCATTTTGGTACCGAATGAGCCAACTTCTAATAACCATCATGGTACAGATTAGAGTAGTAATAGAGTAATGTGGATCATCACTCTGTGTAGCCCTTGGGTCACATTTATCAGTTGGTCAGTTGGTCTTGGGACTATAAAAAGTGTTCCACTCACAGAGGTGTTCCACTTCATGAGGTGTTCTACTTCACATTTTCATTGTACATGTACATAATTTGCTAAAAATACTTATTTTGCAGGGCTGATATGTTGTTCTTTGCTGTAACTCACTGTAGCTCTGACATGATAGAACCAATCTTACATGCAAAACATCTGCTTGATTGCCAGGTATTTTATCATTATCTTTTATCATTTCTATGTTACAAAATGTATGGAATTGGAAAGAATATATAGGGTCCTAATTTTTATATTTTTATTGATTTTTCATGAAATAATTTTTAAGTTTTGTTTTGCATATAGGCCTGACTAAAAGGATAATAAATATGATGTCATATCAGCTATTTCCAAAATTCTTTCTCTTCAGATATTATGGGAAACTGTTCAAAAATCCAGTTCGCCAATTGGCCCCAAGCCAAACACCCCAAGAAACACTAAAGGGGATTCCCCTTCAGATCACACATCAATAGAGGGACTTTCCAGAGATGGAACTCCCAATGAAGGTTCCTCCAAAGAAAGCTCACCTAAAGATGGAGACATTGAAGACAAGAAAGGGTTTCCTCTAAAATGGGTGCTACAACAAACCAAGGACATACTAACATCTACATCAGGGACAAAAGCGGCATTAACATCTAGTAAGTCGTCACAGATTCATTGGGTTCAAAAATCAATCCTGGGAGCTAAAGCTTTATGTGAAAATCGGGAGTGATTTTCTTCAGTACTTTCCTTATACTGAATAAGGAAAGTATTTAAATTGTGAATAACTTGGCCATGAATTTCAGTGGTCAAATGTTAAACATTTTTAATAGTAAAAGATTGGTATATTACCATTGCCAGTATCTATTGATGTATTTTTGATTTCTATTCCAGTAAAAGACAGTAAAGTATGGAAAGATACGTTGAATATTTTCCACCCTGAAAAGTGGAAATCTTCCAAACCTGGCAACAAGAACGCCAAAAATAACCCAATGGTAAAGCAGGGGTGTCACCCATTCTATAGCAGCATTATAGATGATAATTTTATAAATGAGGTTAGTTGAAACTTTAACTCATGTTTAACTCCTTCATGACTGACAATTTTGGGGAAAATGGAAAGAAATGAAGAACTGAAATGTAAATGAATCTAGAAGCAAGAAAAGGAAGCAACACCCAATAAGTTTTATGTCATTTTGAAGGGCTATACCCATACTTTATGTTTTTTGAAAAAAATGTGAATATGCAAATGAGATAGTGTCATTGTGACGTCATAATTCAAGATGGCGCAGTTGGATTTTTTTCAAAATATAATTATTTTAGCATTTAATTTTTTATTGAGACTTCAATTTTAAAATCTGGAAATGCAGAATTATAGATCTTCTTATGCTGATTTCAGTGGTATTTATACCATGACATAACTCCTACAAATAAATTTTTTAGAGCTTCGAGACTGCAAATTCTCGGAAAATCCCTATGGCGATTTAACATGGGATTTTATCGTTTTCGCAATTTTTCGCGCGCTCACCAGCTTCGGATCACTGTAACTTTGTAAATACTTAACGAAAAGTCATGAACTTTTTTTTAAAATGTTTGTACAGACTTTAGGATTAAATAAATTGATAAATCATGCATTTTTATCATCAGGGGTCCCTTGGAGACCCCTTAGAACAAAATCGATCATATATGATCGATTTTGTTTCTTGCTATTCTAAGGGGTCTCCAGGGGCCTTATTTCAATAAAACTGCAAGAATAATGCATTTTCTAAAAGAATGGACCAGTAGGAACATTTTAAAAAAAAGATTGTTTGAATCTGATGACTCTGTGCAAAGTTAGAGGCACTTGAATCTGACATGTCGCGAAAAAGTATCGAAAACGATAAAATCCCATGTTAAATCGCCATAGGGATTTTCCGAGAATTTGCAGTCTCAAAGCTCTAAAAAATTTATTTGTAGGAGTTATGTCATAGTACAAATACCACTGAAATCAGCATAACAAGATTTATAATTCTGTGTTTTAAGATTTTTAAATTGAAGTCTCAATAAAAAATTAAATGCTAAAATAATTCCATTTTAAAAAAAATCCAACTGCGCCATCTTGAATTATGACATCACAATGACACTATCTCATTTGCATATTCATATTTTTTTCAAAAAACATAAAGTATGGGTATAGCCCTTCAAAATGACATATAACTTATTGGGTGTTGCTTCCTTTTCTTGCTTCTAGATTCATTTACATTTCAGTTTTTCATTTCTTTCCATTTTCCCCAAAATTTTCAGTCATGAAGGAGTTAATATACTGTACTATTTCACGAGATGAGTTTTTTTTTTATCAAATACATGTCCATGTGATATATTGTATTGATTATGATTTCTCTCACAATTACTTACAATTTCACAAATAAACAAGCAAAAAGCCTGTTTTGTGGTAATATTTGTAAAAATTTCATTTGAGCAGTATTTGCATTTTTATAATGAAAAGAAATATTTAGAAACACAAATAAATATGAACCCTCGAAGTCACAAACACTCACTTATTGTGGTCAACTGAGAAAGCCAAAATATATCAAATGAGACTGATACTTAAAAACAGAAAAAATTAACATGGTCAATTTTACTATTTCTTTTACATTCCAGGATGCCCTCTCTTACTGTAACTACACTATGTCAGATGTTGACCGAGGGCAGAAGTTGAATGAGTCATTAGTTTGTCTTGCCAAGCTTGAAGAAACTCTCACAGAAGGTGGATCCTTCGAACAGACAGACAATGGTATTACATTGTTGTTCTCTATAGTTTAGCAGACAAAAGAAAACTTTACAAAGATTAGTCATGCTATAGGTTCTCTGGTTGGCCCATAAATACATCATTAGGACTTTAATAGGCCCATAAGTACATAATCGGTTCTCTTGTAGGCTCATAAATACATCATAGTTTCTCTAGGCCCTTTAATACACTGACCACCCTTAAGTGTTGATACCTTAAATCCTAAATCCTGATGCATTCTAATCCATTATGTTTGATTGCAGTGTTCCTCCAGCTAGGGGAGAGTACCTTGTGTGAAGATACAGCCCTTGGACTATCTTATCTACTAGCCCTTGCTCAGGTACATGTAATATTTTTCTAGTTTTTTGAGTTGTTGAGGTTTTTAGGACCTGTTGAAAGTAAGTCAAAAATATATTGCTTTTAACTAACATTTGTGATATTATTGTATCGAAGATTCAAAATGAGGGATGGATGGAGAAAAAATTGCCAATATGAGAAAACATATTTTCTTTTTTTACAAGCCTTAAGGAGTTTCACTATCCATCTTCTAAAAGTATTGTCATAAAAACATCCATCCTATTCAAAGTATTACATTCACAATCGTAGTATTTATGAAATATTCATGACATTAGATTGTATTTTGACAGAAGAAAGGATATAAGCTCAGACCCCAACAGAACACAGCAAAAAAAGAAAAAGTCTTAAGAGTACACCTGTCATAAAGCAATTAAACCCCAATTATCCCAAAATCACAATCCAATGTGAAAAGAAACAGTGTCCAATTCCCCCTCCCCTCCAGCACCATTCAACACCATGGGACATTTCATTCATACTGAAGTCATTACAATAGTACGTTATTATCCCACCGAACGAAGTTCGAGGGGGAAATAGAGAAGCCGTCCATCCGTCTGTTGTACCGTCCGTCTGTCCATCCGTCCGTGTGTCCAGGCGATAACTCCAATACCGGTTGACAGATTTGGTTCAAATTTTATAGGCTTATGCCTTATGAGTGTAGGACCTCTGCTCGAGAAGAAATTTTCAATATGGCCGCTAAATTCAAAATTGCCGCCATTTTTCTTAAAAAATGTAATCGTTGATAACTCAAATACAAGTTGACGGATTTGGCTCAAATTTTGTATGCTGATGCCTAGGGACAAAGGAGTTTAGCACAAAAAGAGATTTTCAAGATGGCCGCTTAATTTTAAAATGGCGGCCATTTTTCGTAAAAATATGTAATCTTTGATAACTCAAATACCAGTGAACGGATTTGGTTCAAATTTTATATGATGATGCTTAGGGACACAGTAGCTATGTTCGACAAAAATTTTCAAGATGGCCGCTTATTTTCAAAATGGCGGCAATTTTTCGTAAAAACGTAATCTTTGATAACTCAAATACCAGTGAACAGATTTGTTTGAAATTTTATATGATTATGCCTAGGAACACAGTAGCTCTGTTCAAGAAATAATTTTTCATATGGCAGCTGAATTTCAAGATGGTGGCCGATTTTCGTAAAAAACGTAATCTTTGATAACTCATATACCAGTGAAAGGATTTGGTTCAAATTTTATATGATGATGCCTAGTTCACAATGGTATAAACTAACTTTGTGCCAAATTTTATGCTTCTATCACAAAGTGCACAAACATTCCAACATTTACACTAGCTATAATAAGCATAATATGTTTTATGAAGCTGTAGTGTTCTGGGTACTTGGCCTCTTTGATAGGCAAAAGTTAAGAGAAACACAACTAAGTAGGTTTGTTGTTGGCTATATAATATGATGACGTAATTTTATTATAAATTACATAATGTTACATAACAATACTTTTGCCGATAGGGCTAACAACCAAGGGTGGTGGAGGGGAATGGGTGGCTTGAAATTTAAATGTGTAATAAAAAGTTTAATAAATATTGTATAGAGAATACAAATATAATGTAATGTCCTGCAAGAAGAATATCTTCGATGCTGTTTGTATTCACAAATAAATGTAACGAATGAAGATGGTATCAGATAACTGACGTTTAAAACCTAGAAGTCACACGATTGGTCAGAATTAATGACTGGTGTCCGACGACTCACCCCCCTCACACTCACTTCACAAAACTTTTAATTGCATTAAATTTAATTTATGAAGCTGTAGTGTTCTGGGTACTTGGGCTCTTTGATAGGCAAAAGTTAAGAGAAACACAACTAAGTAGGTTTGTTGTTGGCTATATAATATGATGATGTAATTTTATTATAAATTACATAATGTTACATAACAATACTTTTGCCGATAGGGCTATATGTTTTGTTCTGTGGGCATGGGATTTGCTACTCCGTGGAGTTGCTGTTTTTCTAGTTAGTAGTATTATTACCACTGTTTATGTCCAGGGCTGAAATAGCAAGAACGAAAATTACATGCACTGAACGATATCTCATTTCCTGAGGAACATTGCCGGGCTGAAATATCCATTTTGACCCGCCACTATGACTTCACATATTGCTCAAGTCAATATAGCAAAATAATAGCACTAATACTCCTAGAACAGTCCCAGCAGTCCCGATGGTAATAATACATGTTGAGGAATAAATTTAAAATTGTTAACCAATACTAGTAACATCAAAAATAGTTGTTGATTCTAGAATTCATACAAGATAAAGTCTCAAATGATGTGGACAAAATCCAATATTTACGTCGATAACCAAAATAAAGTGTCAATATCAAAGATATTTAGAGCATAACTCAGTTTACATTATGTCTATGACAAAGTGTCCATCCTTTATCAAACAATGTGTTTCACACAAAAGTATAATATAGTACACATAGTAATTGATTATCAGTACTTATATACATTAACTCTTAAGAATGTCAGTCTCTCCAACATATGAGATGGCATATGAGTTTTTATATGTACAGTGTTCAAGTTTGTATGTAGTTTACATGTATGAGTTACCTTTTAATAATTACATCAAGCATATATTTACATTCAGTTCCTTTTAAACCATTCCTTGAGGCTGTTTGTTCATTTTAATTCATGGATTTTGTCCAAATAGCAGATCGGCTGGCTCATCCATCATACACAACTTTAGCTTTTTCCAGAACAATTTCTGGGCACGTGCATTCTCTTTGTCCCATTCTATATATGTCATGTGTTTCATTAGAAGCCGGATTTTACGTGGTAGTTTCTTTTTTGGAATGGCTTCGAGGAATATGAGCACGACAAGGTTTCTTTTTTCATCAAATTGTCTCAAGTTGGCCATTTCTAATTCAAAACCACACCACTGGCTCTTGATGAATTTTTCCGTTATGACGAAAATCAGCTTGCGACTTTGGTGTATGGAATCTACAATATTATCTGCAATGTATTTTCCAGGAATGAAGTCGCGTCCATCAAAACATATTTTGAAATTCACTTCATCTGGAGATCGTTCCATATTTGGTAACATGTGGTCGACAACCCAATCCTGACTTTCGCTGTTATATGATACAAATCCATCGAATGGGTACCTTCCTCCCATATCCCCATTTATCGCTGTGTATCCATTACGACGACGTCGTCTGGATCTACCCAACATCCACCAGTATTTGATATCCCAGCGGAAATATGCCAGTAAAATCCCAAGAATCACACAAATTGTAACAATTATGACTATGAGGATAATCCACATGTCATCACATTTTATCCATGGCATTTCAAATGAGGTTATCTTATATATTTTCATTGCTGAAGGTCTCACACATGTTTGATCACGACCACTTACTAATCCCTTTTTGCTGAGCTTCAACCAATCCCTGAACCCCCTTAGATCACAATCACAAAGGAATGTGTTATATGTAATGTTCAAAAATCTCAGATTTTGTAAGTACACAAAAGCTGATCCATCGATCCACCTTATGGAATTACTTTGAAGGTATAGTCTCTCCATCTTCAGGTTTTTTTTAAGATATTTCTTCGAAAAATATGTCAGTCGATTTCTTTCCAAATGTAGGTCAGTCAAATTTGTCATGGATTCGAATAATAATTCAAATTGCATGTCAGGTAGGCTATTTCCTGATAAGTTCAAAATTTTAACAGATTTAAAAAATTTGAATAGTATCATCATTGCACTATAGCAGTCCTGTAATGTATTGTAGGACAAATCAACCTTTGTGAGACTTGTTAAACCAGAATAACTTGATCGAATATATTCTTCCCGTAGAACTGCTGAATTATGGCTTAAATCAAGGTTCTGTAGATATGTCATGTTTGTCAAGGCGACAACTCCTAAATCAAAGTCCCCCTCGTCCTCCTGGTATTTGGAATAGACATTACGCATATTGAAAGTTCTAAGATTTGGCATTGACTCAAAGTAATAAACTCGCTCTTTGATTAATGGGTAATGATTGTTTGACATATCAAACACTTTCAAAGATTTCAATGTACTGATTCGTTTCACTCTATCCTGAAAATGATTGTCACTTATGTTCAAATATTCCAGCTTTTGTGATTTGTTAAAAATCGTACCAATTGTTTCTGATTGCAGAAGTGCATTTGAATGAAGAGATAAATATTTCACGTTTCTTATTTCATTGCTTGCTTTGAAAAAAGCAAAACTTGGACAGTTGTTAATCTTTAATGAGCTCAGGTTTTTCAGATATGAAAGGGAATGTACTGGCCATGTCTCCCAGAGGTTGTGACTGAGATCAAGTTGTTCTACATGACATACTTTTTTAAAACTTTCTCTCTTCAATGACTTCATTGAACAGTTTACTGCCTGAAGAGATTTTACCATTTTTCCCTGAACACTGTTTGCGATATTATGAAAACCATTTCGTCCCAGAAAATTGTCACTGATATTCAATGTATGCAGTACATTTATTCCATCAAATGTGTTATTATCCAACTGTGTTATGCCTATGTCCCTCAGATATAAAGACACAGTCTTGATACCTTTGAATCCACTGAATAGTTTGAAGGGTATGTTCTTAATGGGGTTATGAGAAAGGCGAATTTCGATTTTGTCTTTATCTGATTTTGTCAAAGTAAATTTGATTTTACTGATGTTATTATCCATCAGGCTTAGTTCACTAAGATGCTCTAAGTTAAATCCAGCATTTAATACAGTAGGAATGTTGTTACGCTCGATGTGTAAAACTCTGATGTTTGGCATTCTATCAAAAGCGTCATTGTTCACATATGTTACATTTGAAGCAATGATGTAGATTTTGTCTAATGCATCCAAGGTTCCATAACGGTAGCTCTTGATAGTTGGCATTAGAGAATCACGAATCTTCAGGACTTTAACAAGTGGGTTTATCTTTGGCAGTCCATCAGTTAGATTCATCCGAACACATTGTAACGTGCAGTCCTTATGGCTCCTTGGTTCACAACTGCTTTCTTGGCATTGCTTAGCTCTTTCAGTGTGTCCATTTATACACACAGTGACATTTGCCGAAATAATGATCATGAGTATCAAAGGTATTTTTTCCAACTTCATTTTGCCTTTGAGAATGTACATGAACATGACTGGTGAGTGTCGACTTAACAAATGCATTCTCACTTAAAATATACCTTTTATATTTATATCAAATAAGGAACAAACATTGACTGTATAAACTTTCAATTTTTAATTTTGCACATTGGGTGCTATATTGTTAACATCCTTGTCAAACCTGGGAAACCATTTGTTAGAATTGTCGCATATCTTATCATAATAATTCCTGAGATCAGGGGGTCATTAACAGAAATTTTGTAGTTATGAATTTGTAAATCAATTGTTGGATACATTGACGTCACAGTAAGAGAACATTGGATTTTACGAATTCTTAACTTTACAAAGTTTCTGTTAATGGCCCCCAGAATAGTTAAAAAAGATTGATGGGTTGTGGATTCAAAGATTTGTGTATCATTTAAGGTCAAATGTGTAGAACCTATTTCATTGAACAGTTCTAAAAAATAATACTTAAAGAGATCGAGTCGTCCAGATTTCTATTTTGGACAATCAGTAATGTTCCAATATGATTGCTCATAAAACATCATATACCTTAGATATATCTTGGGACCAAATCATGAGCACGATATCACCAATATATTGAGGATATCAACAGGACAACCAAAAGAAGTAATAAATATGGCTTCTTTGAGCCAAAATAATCTGAAGGAAAAGGCCAATCAGACTGGAACAAATTAGAGCGGTCTTTTTAAATTTTAATTTCTATTGATGTAAGTGGAAATTCATGGCTAGAAACAATCATCATCAGCCTCAGAATTGATAAGTTGATGAACAAACTTGTTTTACATCAAATAACACGAAAAAATCAGGGGGTTACTCTAATTGAGTTTTTAGGAGACCCGATCTCTTTCATATTCATGAAATCAAGGAGGATTGGCTCCCAGGGACGCAACTTAATATTTTCCAACAATGAAACTGTCAGAATGTTGTTATTTTCTGACATTATAACTAACTATAAATTCATAATCAACAGTTCAAAAGATTCGAACCAATACCTCTATCACTTCTTGTGTGTTTTGAAATAAGACCAAAACTTCCGATTCAAATTCTGAAGTGAACAAAATGACGGCCGTTAGAATTCAAATTTGGTAATTATGACATCTCCATATATGGCAGGATATTGAGTTGAAACTCTAGGAGCCAATCCTCTTTGCCTGAGATATAGTATCACTGAGGTCTGCTAATACCCTATTATTGATGTGTTCAAAGCCACCCTGGTATTGCATTTTAAATCCAACCTGGTATTTCATGTATGTTAAAATCCTATATATGTTAGGTACAGTTTTCATTTTCTGAGGAAACATTGAATGTCACAATTAGGTCAGTTCTATAAAATTCTGTTTGTCTCATGATATTCTTACTTATCATATTTCTTATGCATGATTCCAGTTGGAGTTAGCTAATAATATGTTCAGGATTTGCACAAGGCGGATTGGCTCCCAGGATCGAAACTTGATATTTTCCAACAATGAAAACGTCACAATGTCGTTATTTTCCGAAATCATAACTGACTGTAAAATTCAAAATAAACAGTTCAAAAGATTCAAACCAATATCTCGTTCATTTCTTGTGAGTTTTGGAATTTTTGCGGCTGTTTGAATTCAAATTTTGTATCACGACATGTCTATATATGGGACAGAATATCTTGTTGCACTCTGGGAGCCAATCCTCCTTGGGATTTGCAAAAAAATGTGTGTGCCAAAAAAGGTCACTTATCTTTTGTCTTGTGTAACATGAGAATTGCCCTATGAGTTCTATTATAAATATGATCACCTGCAAATGTGCTGCAATATTTTACACTCTGTGTTGAGTTTGAATTTGTTTTAATTCATACTTTAGTTGCTGAGATTGTGTAAGCCAATCAGGAAGTAAAATTAAATTATTATCAGGTCAGGTTATTATGTCCAATAAATGCATGCAAAATTACCATTCAGTCTTCCTTATACTATTTAATAATTATACTTCCTTATATCCGAATACCTCTTGAGATGAATAAACATGAATATTTTATTCACACATGGACTGAAAGGTGTTTTGAAGGTTGTGTTGCTTGTTACATTTTCACTCTATCAGTTCGTATGAAAAAAATCACTTATTTTATATTTATACAGTTAAATCCTGTATTCGATGAACACTTTTTGCTACCTCTAGAAAGTGCTTCACTTTTGAGATTTTCCACTCACAAATGTTCATTTATCATTACATCAATTAGTCATTGGTCATTGTAAACATGTTCCACTTGTGGAAATGTCCCACTCACAGAGGTGTTCCACTTTGTCTACAGAATCCATGCAATATTACAACAAAGTATGGATGTGCAAGTGCCAAGAGAAATGTACCAAAAATGGTTATAAAACACCGCGAGAAAAGCAAACATCTGAGACCACACCAGTCATTGGGAAAACAAACCCCAACTATCCCAAATCACAATCCAAAGTGAAAAGAAGCAGTGTCTAATGCCCCCCCCCCCCCTACCAATGAAGTACCAATATCACAATCAAAGACCATAACACCAAAGGAAATTTCTTCATACCATATAAAAATATCCAATGCAAATAATTTTTCCTTTGAAAAATCCAAATAACTCTTGTGCTTAGTGAAGAGGATGTAAATATAGTTCAATATATCAGGCTAGGTTGAAACCCATTTATTGATTTTATTGTCTCACGTGGATCACGATTCATGACCAGGAAGTTGTTTAAAAATTGAAATAGATATAAACCAGGATTGGTCAATCTTTATGTTTTGTGTTTAAACAGTCATTTGTGAATTTCCTTGTTATTCATTAGTTTTTAAATCTATCAGATTTAGTCCTAGCTCTTGTTTATCGAAAACGATAGAATTTTTGGCCACCATCTTGATGACACTATTCTACTTATTCAAACATTCTTAAGAATTATCAACCCTCAATTAATAGTCTAGGTACACTAATGCATCTTTTGTGCAAGAATGAAAAATGTAGATGATGTGTAAAATGAGTTATGTTTATCTGAAAATAGCACATGGTCATGAAATTGCATCAAAGTGCACCCTGATCTAAATGATATTGAAATTGGGATGCATGAATCAGGGAGCAAAGAGGTCAACGATTGTGAGATATAAGATAACATACATTTTTAATGATATTAATGCAGAAATCCACTGAGATAAAACAGAATCTAGGAGACGATTCAACTCAATGAGTTTGATGGACAGTTTTGGTGACTCCAATTTCTCAATTTAAAAATCTCATTTAAATGTGACTATAAGTGAACCAAATGAACCAGTAATTTTCCATTTTTATACATTACATGTATATGCACTCTACTTTTTACCTCATACTGTGGCAAGAATATCAAGTCAAAAATTTACAGCAAACCAATGAGCTTATTGTTTATTGTACAAATCATATAGCTTATATATCTCATGTTGTTTTCTAGCCCGAATCTAGTCAAAGTCTTCTCACAGGCTACAAAACCACTGGGAAGGCACTTCACTCTGCACTGTACTACCACCAGCTCCTTGTTGTATATACATTACTCTACCAAAATGACAATACATTTGGAAATTATAACACATTAGGCAATTGCAATACATTATCAGGAAAGGATAAAGACATTGACAGCTTAAATGCTATGGATATCAGTGAATACATCGATGCCAACCACGGGAGTCTCCCTGAGGAGGATGCTGAACTGATGGCTCATTTGAAGGAGTTTGAGAGGTTACTAGGAGACTACAGTCAAGCTATAATATTGCATAAGCTTGGGAAAGGTGTGGATGTCTCAAGATTTACTCATGACATGGAATATAAGCGGCAGACAATAATTGGATTAACCATGTAAGTTTTCATCTTACTGAATAGTAACTATTAACATGGGCTTTCAAGAGTGTTATATGAAAGCCCATGTTATTCATCATGTGAAACAACAGATCACATCAAGTGATAAGGACAGACAATTTTATCACCATGAGCATTGATCAATGGATGAAAAATTGAATGCAATTTCAAACATAGAAAATTCTTTTTAGTTTTAGAGAAAATTTTGTTTTAGTACCATCACCAAGATCTGCAGAAAGATGGCAGTTAAGGTTAGAGAAAATAAGTTAAACTGCTGCTGACATCTTTCTGTAGCTGTAGAGCTAAGACTTCAAGTATATAATATATCTATTGAAAATATACTCGATAACTTTTGAAAATAGATTAGTTCCTTTACTTTGCAGGAGCCTTGAACAGGAGGTATATAATGTTGCGCTTACCTTGGCTGCAAGATACCAAGTCCCCATGTGGGACTTCTATATGGGGCATGTAGAGTTCTTATTCACGGATAGCGGGTGAGTATTTATTATTTTATAGCCATTATACCAAGGTAAACAGTCATTATGTCTAGCAGAAAATTTGCCACTTTTACATTCAGGCAATTTTTGAGCCTCTGGATTATTAAGTGGCCTTCATCAAAATAGAATGTTTTTTTGTAAGATTTTTTTTTATTTTGAAATAAAATTCCTATATTTAAAGTATAATGGAAGGAGTTTCTTGTCTTTCTATATAAACTTAAACAAGTTTCTGTTATCTAAGAATGACATCTTGGAATTAATACATCCAAATCCACTGAAATTTCTTAGAATATTCTGCGAAAAATGCAAAACTAGATTTGAATCATTTTTATTTCAGATGTACAACTGAAGAAATAGATGAACGGATACAATCATTGAACATTATGGATACATTAAAATCAAAACCAGCTGAATTTGCTCAATTCATGCAGACAAATGTATTCCCATTCTTAGAGGGGACAGATTACAAGCGCTTGCTGTGTTACTACACTCTACTAGAGGGCTGTACATTGGAGGGTCTCGCTCCTGAACTACACATTAGGATACTTAAGAAAATAAGAGCAGCCATTGCAGGTATTGATATTCGCTTGTATGAACTCACTTATTTTTGATATACATGTAGATCAACTCAAATACCTGCAATTAACATTTTTGTAACCTTCGTTCATTGGCATTCAGCAGTTAGCATATGTAACAAGATGTTACACTTTTTTATCGTTTGCAGTAATTGTTTCTCTACCAAAAGTGGTGATTCATGTTATAGTCTCCAACTTTTTTTTTGTTGATGGTGTTCAGCTGTCGGTGGTCGATGTCAGACAAATTCTTACAATTTCCAATCACTTATCAAGTACTGTTTAGATTGACTTCAACATTTTACTGTCAACATGATATAGACATGTTATTGTTGAGTTCCAACACATTTCTGCCAATATGTTACCATGGCAACAAATAAGTGATCATTTTAATGCCTTGTATAATTTTATGATACCTTACAATAGTGGTTATGTGAAATATAGGATGGGCAATAGAATGAGCATTACTTCACAACTTAAAACCTATAAATAGAATAAACAGTTTCTAGACTTTGTTACACGTGTGCCTTTACCCAGTTGCCTTGACAAATTCATGTATGGATTCAGTATTCTCATATGCATCCTATTTTACTGTTATCATCACTTTCAATTATTCTAACTTAAAAATCCATTTCTTTATCTTGTTTTTAGTGGATATCACATTGTTTTCTAGACATCATGTTTATCTACCCCCCCCCCCCTCATGCCTATATCTGTGAAGGGTTATGTCATTCTTTGGGTTTAAAGATACGAGATAGAGTAGCGAGGATATGGACTGTAAAAGGGCTAGATGCAAAAAGACAAATTACTTTACTGTACATGGTTTCTTTTTTATTTGATAGATTATGTACTCTGTAATTTTATATACTATATCAGTAATGTTTCTTCCCTATTCTTTCAATCTCATATGATTTATTTATTTTGTTCCCTGTAGCTGATGTAGTCCTTTATAATAGAAAAACAGGTACTTGTATACAACTCTTTAAATATATGTCAATAGGCTGCATGATTTTTATGCTCTTTTCAAGGTTTAAGCATATATATAGTCACTCCAGGCTTTGGATTTTGGTGTATGTCAAATTTAAGAATATGGGACTGATGGAGGTCTAGCTTACAATGCATTTCAGAAATTTTAAAATATCTGAAAAAGTAGCATCGAAAATCATCAAAAAGTTTTTTATTTCGAGAGAAGAAAATGAAAAAGTCAATAACCTTTCTGTATTGAACCATTACATTCCTCATTGAATTTGATTGAATTATGCATTCTAATATTCTTCCATCCTATTAAATCTTTATAGAGGTTAAGGGATTTACTTATTATGATATTAGGAAACTGGGCTATACTGCTGTGGTAAACTTTTATGTTGTTGGGTTTATTTTTATTACTTTTTCCTTGTGGTGTGGTGAACATTTTCCACACTAGATTTGCCTGGCTTAATCCAAGTATCACATTTTATTACAGAATTGCTGTTTTTAATTTCATATTTCTATACTTTTACATGACCTTCTTGATGATTTAAAAAAGTTCTTTTTATAAAATACCAGATACCAGCATTGTCATATTTTGTTAAAAATCCCTCACTTAGATTTTTATATTTTCCAAATATTTGCATTTCATTGTTTTGCGCTACCTGAATTCCTTATAATTATTTGACTTGGAAATATTCAGGAAAGATAATTTGTTGTCAAATTTCACACTTCTCTATGAGGTTGATCCCTACTTTTAAATCCTAAAATTTATAGCAAACATTTTTTTCTTCAGGATTAAATTACAAAAAGTTAATAGATGGCAGTGCTGATCCTCTAGATGTGATATCTCCGCTGCTTACTGGAAGTAACGTTCACGTCATGGCAAAGTTAGCAAAGAATATTCCAAATCAGGTAATTCAACATTTTTTCTCATCTCAAGAAATTAAGAATGAAATAAAATGATTAAAAAAATTAAGAATTTGTTCAATTTGCTCAAGAGAACTGAGATACATGTACATTTATATTTATTATTATTGAGTGAAATGAGTATAATTGAGTTTTGATAAATATTAGGGAGTTTAAGCTTGCGTAAAAATGTGAATGCCAACCTCTACGTATGACCAATCGCCCTTACAAATACATCGCTTAAATATTTTCCCTTCACGTTTAGGTTGTGATAAACATTGCAAGCTTAAACTCCCTCAAAGTCTAAGACTCATTTTATTGAAAAATACTGCAATGGTGGTGATGAAATTTTACAAATGTAATGCCTCAAATTCATGTGATTGCCCATTCATTCACATAATGTGCTACTATCTTCATTTGCTTTTCTGCTAGGATCTATACATCTTGAAACAATGTCAAAAACTTGCCAGTAATTGAGAAATATTAACTATGTGTATTTTTCTTAGCATGGTGGCTACCTAGAGGGGAGTTCAGTGTTTGCTACTTGGGCCATAAAGTTGTTCTGGAGTGGAGATCAAGGCAGTAAGGAACAACCCAACACTCAGGTGAATATTTTTCTCAATAATCATAATTAACAAATCATGTTTTGTTTCTTTTCATCATAACAACAGCGAGAGAATTTATCGCCTTAAAAAATTATTATAGTTTTCCAAGTAAATATACACCCTTGATTGATTAAGTATGTGATTTATATGATAAAAGAAAAAACATTTGTCTATAAATCAAATGAATATGAATTCAAATGGTTATGAGTTTATATTCTAAAATGAAATGAGACCATAGTCAATTTTGAATGTGTTTTATTTTAGGCTGAATGGACAGCAAGGTTTGAAGGCTGCAAAGAATTCTTAAAGAAGCTGCAACCTGGAGACCTCCTGCATTTTGTCAACTCTACTGTCTTTCAAGAAAAATCTTTGCAAGTGAGTGATTAATTTAATATACCATTGAAGTAATCCCTTTATCCATCGTGCTTAAATATCCATTATATATATTTATGTATTGTGTTCAAACTCTGTCATCTTGCACTCCAGGTCCCCCTAGAATGCAGACAGCAGGTAATGAAGAGATGTCTCATGCATTGCCAGACTGAGAAATCAGACAAGAAGAAAAAGGACAAGTAAGAGCAAGTCTTGATTATTACGACTCATGAAAGCTTATAGAATGATGAACAAATGGGGCAAATCTTGTGTAGAAATACTTACGATAAATGTGTCATTTCAAAGATTATTCATTGAATTGCTTCGAGTCGGCGCCGACGATATGTTTTTGGAAAAGTTTGTAAATGAAGAACGTGACGTCACTTCCGAATCATAGCATTCAAAATAAGTAGCGTTTAATTACTTCCAACATTCATTAGAAGACGGTGGTCTAGGGGTACAATTCTCGCTTAGCACGCGGGAGGCCGGGGTTCGAATCCCGCATTCGCCTTTTTATTTTTTTAACTAAATGATTGTTCTTTGATATAACGCAGAAAAAAACAATTTTTTTTTACATAAACTTAATATTAGAGCTTAAAAATGTAAAAACAATATATGTCAACATATTGCGTTTTGGAGCGATGTCCAGCTTTAATGAGTATGTCTACATTCCTCTCAAATCTTAACTTTTTCATATAGGGAGAGGCCAACTGTACCATGGGAAGATGTCATCGAACAGTTAGGTATTTATGAGCGCCATCTATTGAGTTATGAGGAGAGGGAGATACAAGATATAACAAACAATGCAGACTGGAGACAATATGCAGCCATGTACTATACATCCAGGGCACAAGTGGAAAATGTAAGATATTATTTTATTTATTATAAGGTGCTTGTAAATATTTTAGATGAGCCAGGCTTTCGAATTGAGTTTCTGCTCTTTCTCGGAACGTTCATAAAATACATATACACTGTACATATAAATTCCATATTACATAATGTCTCTGGAGGAATTTTCATCATTGGGTTGAATATCCTTTTGACCCACTTTAACAGGTTCCTGTTAAGATCCTCCCCTCTTTCTCTGAGTAGAAGGCACACATATATTTCATTTTGATCACTTCTACAGTTTCTTTTCTTTATTTTTTAGATCCAAGAACTTTGCCAAAAAATTATCTTAGAAGGAAGTCCCCTTGACCTAGTAGACACAATTCTGAATGTCTCTGGTTCTGAGTGGACTCTTCATTCAGCTCTAGAAAGTGCCATAGATGTTATCATAAGGGGTCTTCATGACTTGGCAGTTGCTGGAGATGGTCTCACCTCATCAGTTCAGCAACTCACTGATGTTATGAAAAATATTAAATCATGGACAGAGAAAAGGTACGCAGCATATTTTGAGCTACATGTATGTATACATGTATATGACTTCATTAAGTAATAGGGAACAATTCTAAAGGTACTTCTTGAGATTCCAAATTGTTATGTTTGCACATTTGTCTTGTTTTGCTTGTTTGTTAATGTTTGTTGTTTAATAAGTTGATTTTGTTGCCATGATAACATAATCACATTGATAACAGTCACATCTTCAAAGCAACAAGCTTCTTGTTTTCTTCAGCTATCATTAGTCTCACTAATAATTGTTGTCACTAATGCCTCAGTCTCATTTGATCTATGGCAACCATTTGGCATCCATAGAGAAGTGTACAGCATAAAATGTAGGGATTAGCAATACAATGTAGATTTTCTGTATAGATTTTATGAAGCTACAGTCACCGTAGAGCAAATGTGACTGAGGCTTAACTTGACCAATTCAACATACAAATTCTACTAACTAGATTAAAATAATAAATTTCAGGAGCAATCATTTTGTTTCAAACTGTGTATGTTACTGTTTTAGTGATGTGGTATGTGCAGATGACATAGTGCAACAGCTAACCAGGGTCTATGAGGATGAAGATATCCCCCTAGAAACAAGATTACATGTGCTCCAGCTGCTGCAACAGGTACATTGTACAGGGTAACCTGGCTTTTTGGGTTACTCTGCATCTCATGTCTGAGAGCTTAAAACAACAGAATACAAGGCTTCTTCTCACATAAGAATTATTTTCACTTTAATTCTCATTGGGTTGTAGTTGCTAAACTGTACTGTGATTTGTTGAGTTAGCTTTTGGAACATCTCTGATAATTTTGTGACCTACATGTACATCACAATATCAATATATTCCTTCAGCATCAGTATCACTTTTATCATTTGCAATAGTGTAACAAGGTGACAACATTGTGTCCTGTTTCTACCTAATGTGTTTTTACATGTCATCCTTGGCCCAAGAGTAATTCATTGCATTACATTACATGATCTGCTATGAAAGCAGTGAAGGACCAATCTGGAAGGATGTTCTTATATGTACTCATAAAATATTGATAATCTTTAGAACTTCCACCTTGCGAGTGATGAGCTGTTACTTTTGGTCCAACACCAATCTGATGTCATTGTTGCTTCCACATGGCCAAATATTAAGGTATGAACAATTACTTAATGTACAATATTTTATCTAGATATTATATTTTTTACCCTTGTGCTTTATCAAGTGAATTTGAATCTGTAGATTTTAGACAAGAATTTCATTTAGTGAAACTGAAACAATTTCTGCCACTAACATGTATTACCCAATAACAAAACATTTACATTTTTGTTCAGGTGTCTAAAGAAAGCATCAGTAGTGTTGAATCCAGGAAAGATCTACTGAGTAGTTTACTACAGAAAAGTGATAACCTTGAACACTTCCATGCTCTTGCCAATATACTGAAGACCTGGGGAATGCTCGAGAAACATCTCAACAAGTAATGTGCACATCATATTTCTATTTCCATTTTTTCCATTTTGTATTATTTCATATTTCCTGAATATTTATACATGTATATACACTTATGCATTTATACCACTTATGCCATTTACAAACCAGTAATACCAGGGGCAATATAAAAAGATTAAATGTCTTTTTCCCTTACACTGATACTTGGTCTGATTTAGTTATTTATAAGGTTTTAGGGCGATAACAGTGGGATAAAGAATTGTATATATTTATAATCCTACCATTGCTGCCCAGCTGACCTTTTGAACCTATATGAAGACCAATGAAATTATACCGCATCGTGTTATATTAATTAGTTTTATATTAATGAAATCAATATGTTTAGAAAGATAATAAGATAAATAAAACAAGCACCAATATCCCAGAGTAAATAAGAATAAGAATTGTTTCATCCTGCTCTGGGTAAATAACATGGAGGAATATATAATATCTTAGGTGAGTGGGAGATATTTATCTCCTAGTGTATCTCCACTCAGCAATCCCCTGGAATTTCGTTCAGTGTATTCACACAGTATAATTGATCCTCAACTACCAAGTACAGTATAAATCTATTGTATAGATATTGATTTCATATACTGATTAATTTTAATTTTGAAAAAACAATGTTAATAATTTTGAATTGAGATAAATATTCATGTTTTGATTGTAATTGTTACACTAGGTTTCCACAATTAATCCTCATATTTAATCTAAATAAATCAGTTATTTATATGTAATGCTCGGTTTTGGACACAGGGTAAACCCTTGGGAAATATGATATATTGTACTTCCCTCAGGACATACCCTGTTTCCAAAACCTCCTGTTGAATAACCCTCATAATCTGCAATCAGAGGGTGCATTTACAGTGTCACCCCTTGCAAAAAATGAATTAAAAAACAATCATGAAAATTATATTAAAGGTTTTATACAATCGAAAAGAGAGGTATTGGACATGTGATAAATCATAATAGAAACACAATAACATTTCTGTAATAAGACATACTGATGTTTATAAAATAAGTATTACATAAAAATCTTAGGGTTGTATAAACATCTAAATCGTGCAGTAAGAATGATATCATTTAAAAGTATAGGATATCCATAAATAGTGAGCAGTGACTAGACTACTAAAATCTAAAGAAAACATTCAACGTCTTGAATCACCAATGTCAAACAAAATTAAATGTGTCCTTAGTCCGGGATGTAATAATCGTGAAACAAAAGACACATGCAGTTGAAAAACAACATTTTATTGGATTATTTCTTGAATTGATTTGCGCCATTCAAACACAAATGGATTACAGCTAATCCCTTTGAACATTTCACATTAATCCTTGTGATAATCAAAATAGTCCCATGTTGAATTTAGTTTTTGTGAGGCAGTGTTTATTGTATGTGGTAATTCATCAGCAACAAAAGATTCGCCCTCTGATTTATTTAGCAGTTTTATTTATAGGAATGTACTGGGATTTATCCTGTTGCAATAGTATTTTATGGTAGATACGTTGACTTTGACAGTAATACTATAATGTAATAATAAACAAACTTTGATAATAATATGAATTCTATGGCTATGTCCAGGGTTTACAACTAAGGTTAAAAATATGATTGCCACAATTTAGCATTCAGTTCATTGCCCAATGGCAACTCGTTTTTACAAGTCCATTTGCCAAGAGTGAAAAGTGATTGCTATTGGCATCTGTGAGTTTTGAATCATAATGAAGTCTTCATACACGTAAGCCTTCATACATGTTTGTCATGGAGTAAATCACATTATCAATCATGTAGACTTACACCTCATAGTGTACATATCCTGTACTTTGCGTCAAATCACCAATCGATGTACTTTTGTCTTTTAGAAGCTCACATTCGTGCCCTTGTGCTGATTTAATGTATTTATAATTGAAGCCTTTACAGTTGATTGTACTTAGACAGTGTGCTGAACACTCTATCTTGGACTTTGTATGAAGTATGTCTCCGATTGTGGTACCGTTAAACCTCTGGTCCATGTTCTGGTATACCCTCACATAGAAATTATCAGACACTGGACCATCTGAACAAACAAGCACTCATAATGTAAAGAATATCATAGTATATCATAGGACAGTGATATTATTATATATATATTACAACATGTTTTTTTACCCAGTATCTAGCGCCATATCTGGTATTGACCTTAGTCTTCTATACTGTCAAGACATCAATGAGATAGCTGAATTGCCTCTGGATGTCAATTGAAATTTTGTCTGATGAGGGAGCTAGCTATTTTCATGACTTGATAATAATTGCTTATGTTTCCTCTTTACTCAAAAATATTTCTTTTACCTTGAACAGAATATTTACTGCGCATTTCACTTGAATCTTTGAGTAACTTACAGATTTTGTATACATATTTATTTGGAATATTTGGATAAATGCAATATCAGATTATTTCTCGTTTTATTTAATAAAGTCTTCGATATCAAATATTATCTTGTGAATGTAAATGATATCTTTCAAATTGGACTTCATGATTGGACTCTTAACTATTTGGCTTGATTGATCCTCATATTCTTTACCATAATACAGTAAACCCTGTGGAGGGAAAACCATGCACGTGAAACACCTGGCTAAGTGGTGCATACCCTATTTTGTCCCACTTACACATGTTTTACTGTATAGTCAAACTAACCTGTTGGGCATATAACTGTATCCTTGGCTGTACAGGCTGAGGATGCACTGTTGAAACGTTCCCCAACAACACAAGTTTGAACTGATACCTCCTGGTTCACATCACCCACATCACAGAAGTAAAACCTCCTACAGCTCCTGTCTTTGTTGTCCGGGATGTAGCCCATACCATCACAGACAAACACTGCGTATACTACTGGAATGTGTTTAAGAATATATTGAAACATACTTGGGCAGACACACTGCGTATACTACTGGAATGTCTTTAAGAATATATTGAAATAACCTGGACAGACCCACTGCTTATACTACTGGAATGTCTTTAAGAATATATTGAAACATACTTGAACAGACACACTGCGTATACTACTGGAATGTGTTTAAGAATATATTGAAACATACTTGGACAGACACACTGCGTATACTACTTGAATGTGTTTAAGAATATATTGAAACATACTTGGACAGACACACTGCGTATACTACTGGAATGTGTTTAAGAATATATTGAAACATACTTGGACAGACACACTGCGTATACTACTGGAATGTGTTTAAGAATATATTGAAACATACTTGGACAGACACACTGCGTATACTACTGGAATGTGTTTAAGAATATATTGAAACATACTTGGACAGACACACTGCGTATACTACTGGAATGTGTTTAAGAATATTTTGGAACATACTAGGACAGACAAACACTACATATACATCTACACTGTACTACTGGAACATGTTTAGAGTATACTGAAACATACTTGGACAGACACACTGAGTATACTACTGGACAAACACTACATCTACACTGTACTACTGGAACATGTTTAAAGAGTATATTAAATCATAATAGGACAGAAAAAGTCTGAATACATTCAATGTTGAGCTAGAGGTTCTATGAGTTAAGAATTGAAATAGCCTCGTCAATCAAAGATTGTCAAAAATTGGGTTTACAATTTATGAATTATCTGCCACATACCTTTATTAATTGCTGCTATACACACAACAAATGCAATTATTTGTCTCTTCTTTGTACCCCAATAATCCATATTATTATATTCACTTAATCTTATATCCTTTTATCCTTCATATAGCCACTGCTAACATACTGTAATATGCCATTGACAAAATTATGTTCAGATTTTTGAAATTTTACTTTATTCCATTTAATGTCCATTTAATGTCTAAAAGTTGAAATCTGTTATATAAATAGACGGAAGTGTCAATCATCTGTTTCCAGTTTTATACGAGATAATAAGTCCTTTAGGACGACTAGACATTTTTCTTCTTTATTAATTCAATTCATCATCATTTTTGTCGCAAATTGGCGACATCCAATAGTTTGTTCACATGTCCTATATATCTCCCGTTTTATGATTACCTGCTATTCTAGATTTTTTATCCAATCAAATTCCACTCATTATATCAATTTTTACCTTTATTATTTTGAATTATCAAATTATCTTTGCTTTGCAAATAAGTTTATATGTGAAATAAAGTAAATCCAAATGTAAAGTAGCCCATTTTATTCAGATTATAAAAACAAAGTTGTCTCACTGGAGGTCTTGTCCTGTGTAATTTTCTGGAATAAACACACATTCTCCGAGATCTAAGTCCTTTATGACGAAATAATGATACCTTTAGCTGCCAATAGAAAGCTCATGAAAACATAATTATATATTATCAGTGTATAACATTATTTGTTCATTTCAAATGCAGTCGTTTGATTGAAATAGATTGCTACTCGGATGTAACAAATAAATCATTAGAATGTTTTATTGGGGGAAATGGAAATAATAGACAAGCAGTATGTATTGTACTGCGTGACCAAATGTATTGTCTCGTAACTACAGGTTACTAGCATCATCATAGTCATTAAATTTTGTAAAAACACAAAAGTGTATTTGAATACACATAAACCATTTGGTTGAGGAAGTAACAATATACATAGAGATTATTTCTATATGAGGTTCAGGATATTGGGATTATCTCAAGGCTCATGTAATTTATTATCCAGATATATCCAATAACTTAAATATGTGCCTAATATGTGTATATTTGGTTGACACTTATAGACCAAAGTTAATTCGGTCAGCGTGTCCTCTAAACAAATCTTTCCAAACAATTTTCATTATTTTAATGTAATTTCTGTTCCTCAAAGTATATCATTACAGTGACAGTTTTTCATTATAAAGATGGACATGCAAGTATTAGTGTCACATTTTGAAGACACAAAGAAAGAATTATATTGGATCTATATCTGGTATATACAATAGAGGGGCATTTGGAAAATAGAGAAGACCAACACAAATCTGGATATAGAGTTTATGCCAGTAACAAACATCTGGACCTCTGTTTAATGAATAAAAAGCATTTTTGTATACTGAAGTTGGATAATGTGGGAAAAATACTCTGGGTCCAATAAGAGATTCTGATTGACCGTAAAAAGTTCCCACTCTCTGCTTGACTGTCCCAAGAGATCTTCCAATTCAACCAACCAAATGCTCAAAATAACTGTGTGTTTTACATCGTCTGATTTTTCTTTCCAGATGTGATCAGAGTGAGAAGCATCCATTGTGTCAGCTCATACAACACTTTCTGGCTTTAGAACAACAACTAAAGGGTCTTGGGGCAGCTATTGTTCAAGTTATAATAGACATCAATAAATCTGATGTGCCCTTGGACACTGAGGTTAGTTCATGAATTTAGTTGATCCAGTTAAAGTATACTCGTAGGAATTCTTTGAGTGCCTTGGCAGACATGTGGGAATTGATTGTACAATGTCTAACATGGTTCCTTTATTGTGTTCAGCCTAGGATTTTTAAATTGATTTTGATTTGACTTGCTTTTGTTTACAGTTTGCAGAGACAGGTGGCACTAATTGTGGATATTCCCATATAATATTCAAACAAACATTTTGGGGATCTCTTTGTATTTCCTACACTTTCATCTCAGTTTGCTCAATTTGATTTATTTCAGGTCATGGCTCATGTATGTGGTGTTCTACAAAAGCAAGGATATGCTGTGGAGGTAGTCCAGGCCATTGTGATGTCACAATTCTCTGCCTTATATGACACTGCTGTTGACACTATCAATCAACTAGACCAGGTAAATCTCACTTTTAACTAATATGTATGTCATTTGTGCTTTTTATATTCTACTTCATGCATGTATGGTCCATACTGAGGCCAAAGTTACCTCACAAAATTAAGCCAATAAATGGCAGGTCTGGAGTATGGTAACTCATGCCTTTCAAAGGCAGTGCATTAGATACATTACATGTATTAAAATTATTAAATTCTGGTAGTATCTGTAAGAAGAGAGTGATTAATATACAGGTGTAACTTGATTTGAACTCTAAACGTCATAATTGAAGTGCTTAAGGCTAAAGAGTTGATGATCATTTAATGTACACATACTGTCTCGGTTATGAAAAAGTAAGGAATAACATGAAGATACCTGTAAAGATGTTGAGAAAGTGCATCTTTTTAATGAAAAGGAAATGTATTTGTATTTATAGATGGCAGCAGAGGATGACTTAACAGAACTGCTATTGACAGAGAACCTAGCAACAAAATGTACAAGTTCTGTTTACTACTCTCATATCACAGAATATTTGATGAACAATTTACCAGAAACAAAACCCAGATTGGACACATTTATATCCCAGCTGTATCATAGTGGGAACACTATCCTTGCAGGGTCATTAAAATTACAACAAGTCACCTTCCATACTGGGTTACTGACTTTCACTAGTGCAATCAAAATGAAACAATTAGATAAATAACAGCAGGATATGTAATAGCCTCAAGATAATGTGTCTAAAATTGTAATTGTAATTTTAAGCATAATGAAATGAATGGTTATTTCACATATGCTAAGACGGAAATTTGACACTGCTGTGAAGCCCTTCTATTGAAAATTATAGACTAGATAGTAAAATGGTGAATATGGTTATAACTTTGAATCTTTTTGAGAACTTGTTATAAGAAGTACTGGATTTCAAATTGTTTATTTGTGAAAAATGTGAGTTCATACTTCTGTAGTGTTACACTAAGTACAGGTGAAACTATACTACATGTAAGTGTACATGTATGGATAATACATAGGATCAAATATTACCACCAGTTCCCACTGTTTCAGAAGAAATTAATTTCAATTTGTTTTAGACTTTATGAATTTAAAAACATAATATATTTTGTCTTTTCAATAATTTATTTATTATTACAATAATATGTTATAATATTTATCAATAAAATAATGACATACAAAAATACAATAGATATCACAATATTGTTTTTTTCAATAGATCAATTGATATAGCAGATATTTTCAATATCATTAAATAACAGCACATCTCTGATACAGGGTGGTCCAAAAGAGTGACCTGCAAAAAGGGTCACATTTCCCTTATTACCTGCAGGAAATAGCATGTTGCAGCAGTTCACATTTTGGAACACCCTGTATATCTCTATAGACCTACTCATCACAGATACAGGTACAAATAAATTGACAATATCACAAAATATAAATACATGACTTACATCATATTGTACATGTCATAGATGATTTATCAACAAAATCAAGTCACCAATTAAAAATGTTTTAAGTTTTGAATTGTATTGGCATCCAAATGCTAACAGAAACTAGCTTTGTAAGAAGGGAATGGGTAAATATTGATTTTATGGGTGAAGAATGTTGAATTTTTGAGAAATTCTAGAAAAATTACATTTTCAAATTTTTGTACTTTTGGAGTTGGGGTTAAACTCTAATGAAATTAACTTAATTTTTCAAGAAGATTTGAACTGTATGAGGAATTATTTGATGCCAGATTAAAATCAATCAAAGGATGATAACCAAAAAGAATCAGAACTGCTGAACAATTTAGAAAATAGGCATGACATGGAATGGAATTGTGAACAAAAATAATTGTAAAATTGTGACAATGTTTTGGAAAGTGCTCTAACAGCTCATCTCTAGTTTCTGTGGCACCTTTAATCTATTGTTAAAGATTTGAGAATTGTATCAGGTGAAAAACTAAATATCCCTCACCATTGAGAAATCTTTCGCCTTTTCAAAAGAAGTGGCCAATGGTTAAGAGGGTGTCTCATGTATCAAAATGATTCTATGGCTAGTAAGAAAACAACTTTGCCATTCTTAGTCTTTTAATATCCACAAAAGGTAACCATGTCTGTTGTTTTACAATACACCCCTGGAAAAAAGTCTGACTACACTGTTGATTCTTTATTCTCCTCATCAGGTGATAAAATTATATGCCTTCTCTTTTGACCCGGACTGTATTCAAATGTACTAAGCTCAGTCTCTGGCATTTGAAATGTGAAATATTTGCATTTAGGTTCAAAATATCCACAATGGTGTTTCCTTGTGCTGTCAGCATCGTGAATTGAGCTCCAACGTTTATTGGGAAATGGGGCTGGATCTGCAAAGAAGATTATTACACGTATGGCTAATTATATTGTTTCAGCTCAATGAATTGGGGAAAGTAAAAATAATTGTAGAAATGACAACTTCCAAAGTCAACATTGTGTAGGGATACTATGTAATTACTGTTAATAGCATCAGACGGTAACAATGCTTGGAGTAGTCTTATTTTATTTGATAATCATTAGGCCTATTACACTACAAGTTGTTATTATCAATGTATACATCTATTTTAGATTTTGTAACATGTTTTTGAATGCCAATTCATGAGTTCTCTTACTCTGTGACCAATTAGCCATATTGGAAGACATCATTTTCAGTCAAAGTCATACATTTTATAAAGGATAGGGGTATCAAGAAATGGGCTCTTGATAATCCATGTTATGCTTAAACCCGGCACTATGCTGCCATCTATTAATACACACCCCTCTCTATATACTTAGAATGTAAAAATTACCTGTATATTCCCAGTGACAGTACTTGGATGGTGTATGCTGGATGGTGCCAATAGTTATTGGAATAGATACATTCTGTTTAACCCTATCAACTTCTACTAATAACTGCAATACAAAAGAAAATTGTAGAATTTATCAAATGAGCTCAAAAGTTTGAGCAACAAGTGACAACTTTTAAATGACCTATTGTAGGTAATATTATTCTATTATCATTACTTATCATTATTCTGTTATGACCTTTTTTTGGAGTTGTTTTTAATGTACATGCATCCTTTACTCAAATATCATTTGATTTTCCATGTGCTTAATAAGTATGGACTCAAACACAAACAACGCAGGGTTATTAACTTACTACTATTTCATATGTGAGCTTCATAAGTGAACACCCATCTAACCCTGTGGGGACAGTAGATGGAATAATCACCAGGTTCTGCCAGACTCCTTGTTTCCCAGGCCCCAGTCCTGGTTGATGTAGGTGCACCATGTCCCATGTAACACGCCTTGTCTCTGAATTAGTCCCATAGCTCACGACCTAACATGAAATATACAGTGAATGCATGACCTGTTTTGAATTGTATCATTTCATGTCATATTGTAATGCTGTCATATATGTCAATTGAAGGTATATACATGTAGCTACAGCTGTAGCTTCATATTATTTAATATTGTCATAAGGTAATTATCTAAATTATAATATCCTCCGCAACCTTCAGTCTTAGTTTACATTGTCTAGAAATAATTTTTTATAACAGCAACCACATCCCATAATCATAATACATTACCTGTCTAAATGCAATCGTCGACCCCTTCAGCTTCCTGCCCGTCATATTGTGTATTTCAGTATTGACAGTCATCTTCTCTCCTGGGACAAAGGCAGACTTTGGGGTAGAGATCCCTAGGACCACATGCCCTGCCCTCCAACATGTTGACCTGAGGCAAATCTCCCTCTCCTTCTTCATCTTCTCCTTTAAAGAAAACAAGAATGATGTAATATGAAGTATAAATTGTGCCCTAGACTTATCATGAGCTTTAATTGTGCCCTAGACTTATCATTAGTGTAAATTGTGCCCTAGAATTACCATGAGCTTAAATTGTGCCCTAGACTTACCATTTCCATAAATTGTGCCTAGACTTACCGTGAGTGTGAATTGTACTCTAAACTTACCATGAGCATAAATTGTGCCCTAGACTTACAATGAGTTTAATTTGTGCCTGAGACTTACCATGAGCGTAAATTGTGCCCTAGACTTACAATGAGTTTAAATTGTGCCTGAGACTTACCATTAGCGTAAATTGTGCCCTAGACTTACCATTTGCATAGATTGTGTCCTAGACTTACCATTGACATAAATTGTGCCCTAGACTTAGTAATGAGTGTAAATTGTGCCCTAAACTTACCATGGGTGTAAATTGTGCCCTAGACTTACCATGGGTGTAAATTGTGCCCTAGACTTACCATGAGTGTAAATTGTGCCCTAAACTTACCATGAGTGTAAATTGTGCCCTAGACTTAGTTATGAGTGTAAATTGTGCCCTAAACTTACCATGGGTGTAAATTGTGCCCTAGACTTACCATGAGTGTAAATTGTGCCCTAAACTTACCATGAGTGTAAATTGTTCCCTAGACTTACCATGAGCGTGAATTGTGGTCTGAGGTCAACATCTCTGAATACTGTAAAGGGACACTGCGTAACAAGGCTGTCATCGTGTTTATCATAGACAAGGCTGCTTTGGACGTAATACCTGTGAATGTACATGGGAAAGCAAGATTAACATAAGTAAGAACTTTCTATGTATCTAGAATGTATTTTTACAATTAAAATTGTATTATTACCAACGCCTCCCCTGGCTCTCAGTATAACATATTACCCCAAGGCTGAGGAAGAGAATATAGAGTGGGTGAAAAAACACAATGGATCAAAAATTAGTGCTTAATTGCATATTTTCAACTTGAAAATTGACAGTTTTTATTTATATTTCTCTTGCAAATGCCATGATCAAACATAAGCGTGAAAGGGAATTCAGTATGTTATAAAACGTGCTGCTTTTACATCGTAGCGAACTGATAACATCGAAATATAAGTTCCTCTCACCTGCTTCTCCCATGTAAACCTTCGAAAGAACCAGGGATTTCCATTGGAAGGGGGAACTTAAATGGGAATAAATGGCTGCCACGTGGTATCGTTTCTAAATCACAGTCTGTAGATGCTGAAAATGAAAATTCCAAAGGAATTATTTTTCATATTTTCTGTTTATTCATCATGTATGTATTTTTTTTATTTGATATACCTATGTTTATGTAAAATATATTGCAGAACACAGACGTTGTCCTGTATATTTTTTATATCCATATTTTTATATTTATGATGTTACTAATTTAGGTATTCAAATTGATTGTTCATATAAATATTCCACCAACAAAATTGGCAAAGAATGAAATATGCCTAAATTAAATCCCCTACCTTATCTTCATTGTGCATTGTAAATTCTCATTAGTGTAATTCTCAGCTTTTTAGAGGCATAGTGTTATATAATCAGTTCTCTAAGCATGCCCCCATAGTGTTGTATAAATTTCTTACTATGTCACCCCAGATCATGTATATCCCTGTTCAAGCCTCCCCCCTTATTATAATATATATTAACTATCATGCCCCTTAGTGTAATGGATATTCCCTTTAGTGTGATGTATCTCTTTACCTCTTAGTGCAGTGTATATTCCCTTAGTGCAATGTATATCCCCTTGGTGTAATGTGTATCTCCTTAGTCAAATTTATGCTCCCTACCATACATGTATCTCTTATGTAATGTAAACTAATACATTCACGCCCCCATGATACAGTGTAGATCCTCTGACCGTGTCCCCATAGTGTAATATCCCCCATGATACAGTGTAAATCCTCTTACCGTGTCCCCATAGTGTAATATCCCCCATGATATACAGTGTAAATCCCCTTACCGTGTCCCCATAGTGTAATATCCCCCATGATACAGTGAAAATCCTCTTACCATGTACAGTGAAAATGCTTGTCCCCATAGTGTAATATCCCCCATGATACAGTGTAAATCCTCTTACCGTGTCCCCATAGTGTAATATCCCCCACGATATAGTGTAAATTCTCTTACTGTGTCCCCATAGTGTAATATCCCCTATGATACAGTGAAAATCCTCTTACCGTGTCCCCATAGTGTAATATCCCCACGATACAGTGTAAATTCTCTTACCGTGTCCCCATAGTGTAATATCCCCCATGATACAGTGTAAATCATCTTACCGTGTCCCCATAGTGTAATATCCCCCATGATACAGTGAAAATCCTCTTACCGTGTCCCCATAGTGTAATGCTGTGGTTGAAGTAGACCTCCTCTTGCCTATGGATTTGAGAGTGCTCATTGCTCTTGCTGGGTATCCGCCAGCTAATGGTGCTGCTGCCATGGACTAGAAGCTGTACACCTGACGATATAAAAAAACATTCGTTAATGAGATAAATACTTTAAGGTCATTGTGTACTTTCTGCCATTTTGAAGCAATCCTCATGTTACTTTTCAAATATGGACCCCTCCTTCGCCACTTTGCCCACATCTTTCAGTTTTGCACCAAGAATGTATTATTGTACCCAGAAAAGAGTGTACAGAATATTTTGTTTATAAAGTGTATAAAAAATGAGAAAATTCAGTGACCTACTTTTTAAAGGTAAAAAATAAGTAGGTCGTCTTCTTTTCCAATTCTTTATCTTATAAAAAAATATTTAGTACACTCGTTTCTAGAACAATTATGATCGTCTAGGGATCTTGGTATAAATTCTCCCATTGCAGTATTTTCATTTTGGATAACCAAGGTATGAGATGAAAATCAAACTGGTAAGACAGTATGGTATTTTTGCCCAACTGAGTCTAAACCATCTTGATTCTCAAGCTTTTAGTTGCTCCGACTGTTATAAGCACTATGAAGTTGGTATAAACAGAATAGAAGGGAATTAGCTCTAAATAGCTTTTAGGAAAAAGACAATAGAGAAATGGGCAGTATTCCCCGGTGTCAGAATATTTCATGTTAAGGTAATTGCGGATGTTTAGAAGTTTTAATGGCTTCTTAATTGGGAGTTCCGTGCTATTTCAGGAACACATAACTCATTCCATATACGGTCTACAAGATCTTTTAGCTTTGGTTATGAGTATATTTTTATAAACCAAGAGCAGAAGAGAGGCGACTATAAACCTACATACTATTATATTAATACATGGGCTTTGAAAAGAAGCCCATGTATTAATGCTCTATTTGTTGCAAACTTAAAGATGCAGAGCATTGTCGAATGAGTTTTGTATATCTGAAAATAACATGAAACTCCAATTAGAGAGCCATTAAAAATTGTAAACATACGAATAACAACGTAAGTTCTCTTGAACATTCTTAACTCCCTTATTAACAGTGGTATGTACCTTAAAACTTCTACCATTTTCAAGTCAAGTGTTTATTTACAATCAGAGTACGGTATATTTTTCCTGAAGACAACGAGACAACACTCCCTGAGCAATCCACTTGACTTTCAATCTCCTTAAGGATCATTAGATTCTAACAGCAGTTAAACTGGGAAATGTGTAATAGTGAGATGGACGTTTGTATACCCTATTGGCATTCAGGGTATTCTTATCCCTTGTGCTTTGATATTTTTATATTTTGATTTTGCACCCCCTCTATATTACGACTCTGTGTTAATTAAAGACAGAATGGTTGCGGGCACAGGGGCTCGATGTAAAACTACATGTAAATCGGCGATTTATTAACCTATTTGTTTATTTCAGGATATCAAAAATTTTCGGTATAGTTGGGGATGTAAAGCCTCAGTCACATTTGCTCTACGGCGGTCGCAGCTTCACAAAGATGTGAAAAATGTACATCGTACTGCATATAATTCTATCGATTTTGGGAAGCTACGGCCGCCATATGGTTAACGCACCATCCGAACACAGGTCTTCAGAACTCGAACCAAGTGAATGACATCTGGAGCCCTGCGTTGGGAGGATGGGTCAACGTAGATTAAATGTGACTGGGGCATTAGTGCTTTGAACTGTTTTCCCTGATATTGCTCTCTATTTGAATTCTCACCTAGTTTTTCCCTTTAATGTTATCAAGAGCGAGTAGATGAATTGCAAATCATTCATTAGAAGATAGGTTGATCTAGGAGCATCCTAGTCCGTTAATCAATATACTCAGTTGAAGAAGCAGATGCCCTTCACATTGATATCACACTGATAGCTTTGCTGTTATTGTCAGTTGATCGAATTCTATTCTGGTTTATAGCCAGTGTTTACAGCTCTATGAAACAGAATCCATAGCTCCTAATGCAAAATTCAAATCGAGAGAATAATGGGTAGGCCTATTTGCTGATTTTCTATTTCATAACCGACGTATCTTTTATTTGATTATGGTATTGACTTTGAACTCTTTCTTACTTTCCACGGGTAATGAGATATCATTTAGTTCTTTAAACAACAAAAATATATGATTTGGCCTAATTTATTTAACAAAATAATGTGATAATAACCAGTAGGAAGGTCATAGAAAAAAGGAAAAACTAGTAATTTAGTTTATTATCTTATTTGTGGATTAAGACATTTTACAAACTATATCTTAATTTTTCTGACATAGTAAAGGTTTTCAGTGATATATTCTATTTGTAATAATTGTCTGTGAAAAGATTTCTTTTTGAAATATTTTTAAATGATTCTTGAAATCGCCCCTTGCTGAAATCCTCCATAATTTCAAAAAAACTTCAAGCCATTTGCTTTAAAAGCAGGAGTCAATAGAGCAATAAAACATGGTTCTTGAACAGGACATTTCGGATTTTCTGGTGTTTTGGTTACACTAACTACTAATAATTTTATAATGGAGCTTTATACTTTGTGGTAAGAACTCATGATAAATATGTATCAAACATTGCTTCATACTCAATCGGTTAAATCAAGGATATTATATGTTTCTTCCTAGAAGTTTGAGGACAGAAAGATCAGTATCAGAATGGATTACTCTCTGCATAGCTAACCTAAGAAAGGATCTGTTGGATCAGATTCAGAATTACTCTTGCTAGGCCATTGAGCCCCATCCTCCGAACACAGGCCTCCAGAACTCGTAGTTCCTTCCTTGGAAGAAGGAACTTAGTGGATGACGTCTGGAACCTTGCTTTCAGAGGATGATTGAGCCCCTCCCTCTCGAATACCCCACAGTCACAAACTGGAAAGAGGTAAAGGGGGTTCGGGGGTTCAGGGGGTTCAGGATTTCAGAGGCTTAATGCAAGACTGAATTAGATTTATTCAGAGGACATTCGCGTTCAAATTTAAGCACAGCCCAAAGGCCAACTAAGCTCTATAAAACATACTAAAAAGGCCATAAAATCAATGTACTCAATTGCAAAGAAACAGTTATTCCAGATTTAATTAAGGCAATGGTTATTGCTTGTTCCTCATGGCGCAGTTTTTGAAGATAAATCATTGCTTTTATTTTAAATGACAAATAATTTTACTGTGTAGGGATATATGGTAGAGTATAACCTGGATAGAGTATAACCTGGAGTATAACCTGGATATAGTATAACCTGGATAGAGTATAACCTGGATAGAGTATAACCTGGAGTATAACCTGGATACAGTATAACCTGGAGTATAACCTGGATACAGTATAACCTGGATAGAGTATAACCGGAGTATAACCTGGATTGAAAATAAGTGAGGCAAACATGAATACAGTCGAGGCAAAACTTAAGCCAGGAATAATGTAATATGATGGGACATCAAGTTACAGTAAGTACGAAAAATTGGCCAGAAGTGTGCCAGCAAAGGAATGGAGGCTATTTAGAGCACATCTTTTGGCGGTCATAAAGTTTATCTAGTTAACCTAGTCATCAGAATCCGCATCCGCTTATGGAGCTGCCCCATGTATTCTACTTTTGATGTGAAAAAGGAAAAGTTAGAAATCCAGCAGACAAAAATGTTATGCAACATTATTTTGTGTCACCCTGTAGTATAGCAATAATTAGTATTATACACAGTACTCATTGTAGGTCAGTATTGTACAATGATCCCCACTGAGCATACATTCATTTCTTTATTCTAGAAGGATGGACCTTGGAGATCAGTAGCCATTAAATAAATGTCCATTATGTTATTGCATTAGGGAGCAAGCGGAATGTTGTATATCCTGTTGCGCCACAAGCTGCAATCTCACGATATTCAGCTTTAATAGTTACCATGGCAACACCTCATACTTCTCTGTAGCAATTTTCAGTAATATTGACAGTAAAACTGGCTTACAATGAAATAACAGGCATCTAAAAATTGCTTTTCTAATCATCTCCCATACGACGCTCGACTGCTCTATTGTCATTTGTTAGCGTAATTACCATTTGCTGCATGATGAGTATGTAAAACACACCAGCCATTGGCAGTGGAACAATAATGTGTAGCCGTGCTAATTTCAATCATTTCTCTCTGAAATTTGAATGAGTAATAGGGTATTCTGAGATTTTTAAAACAACCTGGTGTGTTGACGTGTTGTCTGTTTGCTTTATTTTACGATCATTTCACGTTTTTTCGCTTATTTGTGCATTTCAAAGCATGTAGCATGTAGTACTTCTGGCTTTCAATATGCCCATGGTAGTACCAAAAAAAAGAAATGCAAGCCCCTGTTCAAAAACCCTTATTCTTACTATTGAAAATGGATTCTAGCAATACTATCCAACATGGATCTACTTGTTGAGACTCGATCAACTTGAGTTCTTCTGAGATTTTAGCAAGGGTGCATTGACTCAACATGGGGACATACATGTACACCATTGACCTTTGACTTAGCGTGGGGATACCATCAGGTATGCCACTATGTAAAATCAATGCAACCTTGCTGAAATCCTCATTTTTCTCAGAAGAAGATTTATGGTGGATAGTATTGCTAGAATCCATTTCCGAAAGTTAGAAGAGGGGACGTTAAAGCTTAACTAAGGCCTTTTTGAAATTTTTAGTACTAATGGGCATGCAATGACATTTCTCTTAACATCTGGCAGGTAAATCTGACAGGTTGTCTGCCTTGGATATAAACTTTATCGATCCCGTCCTAAAAGATTCGTTTTGTAAGCGTTTAATCCATAAAAAGACATAAAAGGCATGTAAAGGATCATTATCTCATAAGCTGTTTAATTAAAGGTATATCATAACCTGAATTTATCGTATATACAATCGGTAAAGGTAAATCTTATACAAGTGAGTAGTGTGCTTTCTTGTGCTCCTATTGCAATAAAATTACTGGACATACGTCACGTATGATGTCACGTACCAATGCAGGCACATCCGTTAAGATATGCAACATGTATTGTATAGAAGAGTCTTTTCCTGCGAAAGAAATATTTTTAAGGTTGCATTTTTAAGGTTCGTATTTCATCATGTTTTTGACGTATTAATTTAGATTTTTATCGTAATTCACTATCACTCACTATGTTTTTGTCTTTTGTTGTTTTCGAGAAATTTTTAGTTCTGACATTGTTCGAGACTGGATATGGTTCACCATCCCACAAAACACGTCTCTCCTAATAGAATGAAAAAATATAATTTAAGATGTGAACGAAACCGAATTGACACTGAGAATTCTGAGAGTACATAGAATCTCTTACCTCTGATTTTAATTGGTTTGTCCAATTCTAGGTGAACGAATCCAGTTACGTCATCCTCGGGTTTATAAACACCATGTGACCGATGCAAAACCACATCCATATGACCACTAGCGTGTTCTCCTAGATTTAAACTTCTTGACTTTACCTTTAATAATTCTATTTGTTCCGATATGGTAAGTACGACTGTCTCTGCAGCTGAAGTAACAAAAAGAATTGTTATTTGCTGGAATAAATATTACTGTTTACCCTAGCCAAGCTGTATTATTACTATATTGGTATTGATGACGTAAATCCGAGGACAGCTGACAGTCTCTATGAAGGGGGAACTGTAGCGAAATATTAATGACGAGTGTAATTACAGTAAATGCTTGTTTTACATAGACAAACTAGCCATGTTTAGTACCATCGATATTAAATAGTTTTGAACCCGGGTTCTGATCACTGTTATCCTGGTAAATCATTTCATGCTAGTCTTTGATCTACACAGTCAGTTGCATGACGTACTTTTTATAATTTGCATCCAATTCAATAGCATTCAATCATTTTACAGGACCATAAACTGGCAGTTTTTGTTGTTCACGTGGTTCTTATATTAAATCCTGGATACGAGTTAGTCCTTTGGTTGCGTATTCATATATTCTGCATCTAGTCTACTAACACTGATGAATTTGATTGCGAGGACAAATCTGTTGACGAAGGGGGGATTGTAACGATAGGTACTAATTTGCATATTCTATATGTTACGCTGGTACCTTGATGTGACGCATCACACGTATCTCTTATCAATGTAAGCATTGATTCATTAATCAGCATTATCTTCTCACTCCTCTTGAATACAAATATTGCACGTTAAATAAGTTTATTGGATTTTGTGTTGGTTAACCGTGGCCATGTCACTTTGATCAAGGCCCTTATGTCTATGGTGGAGGGTTGAAATGTCTAACGATCGTTGTATTGCATTGCATTAATAGTTTTCTTAAATGTACTCAAGGTGGTCTCAGTAGTAATGGCAATTCCAAAAACGTTTACTTTTGGCAACTGATGTAATTTTCTGTGATGTTCTATGGTTCTACAGTACATGTTAACAAATGAGTGATTTTGAATCCACTATATTTGCCATGACCTTCTACATAAAACTAATACATAACGTGGACAGATAATTGTTTGTCAGTTTCACAAGTTTGGCACTTTTTTAAACCTTAGTGTAGAACGCTGTTTCTGTATGTATAAATGTATAAACGGCCAGAGGCCAGTATTTCTCCTAACAATTGGTACGAATGGTTTATATATATTACTTAAAACCCAGACTGACCCTTATGAAGGGTAAAGAATCCATGATCCATTTAAGCTCAAATTGTACTCTTCAACTGTGAAGTTTTGTTTGTAGGTTTTGAGTACAATAAAATGAACCGTATTTTAATTTATTTTGGAAAACTGTCAATGTACGACCCGTATCGAAGTTATTTAAAGTACAAAGAGTTTACGTATACAGGCTATTTATTGCCACTATGTAATACTCATTTTGGATGTCAGTGATTTTCTTCATAAATCCTAAGACTGGTGACAGGTGATTTTTCATTGCATTCGTCAGTACTTCTATTGATATAGAAAGGAAATAATAAAAGCAAGAAACGTCAAGACAATACGAACAAGGATCCATGTTATATAATGGATTTAATTATGTTAGATGATGAGACAACCATCATGATCAAACATGATATCTCTAACATTTCAGTCTTTAGATGCTATAATATTCTATACTGCTGTTTTCGAGGAAAATTAAACCTTATTGTTCCAATGTTCCTCTTAAATCGTGTTCACTCAGAAAATTTGTATTTCCCCGGGAAAAAGTCGCATTGCATCGTATTTCCTCGGGAAAAAATCGTATTGGAATCGTATTCACTCAAAATCGATTTGATGAAAAAAGTATGGAAACGTATTATCACCAATCTACCCGCGACACCAGTAGCAGACATGGTACGGGTGTTAAAACACGAATATACCATGAGCACATGCTTTGAGGATCCGCGTTGTTTGAACCTACCGCCGAGCACACTTATACATTAAGACCCGTTACACAGTCATGATACCGCCGAGCAAGCTCATTACATCATCGGGTCTGCTTTACCCCCATGGTCATAGTGCATCATGTTGTCCAAGTTCTAGCACCGTTGGGAATGATCTTTTTTGGAACATTAGTGATGGAACAATTCATTTCTATACTCAAGAACTGCCCAATCCCGCTTCAAATGTCAGTCTAGGTTATTCATCTGTAAAACCATTTAAAGGGCCCATGTTTAGTATACACGCAGCTCTTCAGAAGTAAGCTCCCAGGAATAAACATTTATTGTTCTTATTTAATATGGTCAATATGACATTGAAATAAAGATTAATTCTTGTTTATTGTTAAACTATAAAGCGTGGGTTTTGTATTTATCTTGTAACAGGGCTATAGAAAAATGGAATAAAAGGCTGTTTCATGCTTGATTTCAATATGATTTTTTCAACCATTAAAACCCACTTAGGTAGCAACACAAAAGAATGAACTGTATAGTTTATTTTAAAGGATGTACAGTTATAACAAAGAAGAGTGCATTTTTCTGTTGTTTTTAAAAAATTGAGATTTGGCAAGCTATCTAATACCAGTGTGCCAAAAAATATGATTGATCATCACATGCAGTACACTGACGCTGAACTAATTCCGCCCATTCACTTCTCAACACACTAACCTCATAGCCAATACAAACGAAATCAAATCTTCCAAAAATATACCTTTCATAAGAACCAGTGTGGGGTTTAAGTTAGATAAACCATTCGTACTGGTTCTTAGCCTCGGGACAAGACCCTCGGCTATAATTTCCCATAAAACCCATTATTCATAGTTTATCCATAACTGAATAACCTGTACATTATATTCATCTGTCTGCATGGCTATGGGTATTATGTTACCTTTGTCTGTTTGTATAATATTGGGAATTTCAATTCAATGAAATTACCACTGTGTTCCCTCCCCATCTACTTCAAAATAATTAGGGGAGTTGCAAGATTTTGAAGCAGGATTATCTTGGAAAGAATATACCTCGTATATCCCTGGACGATTTATATTAACGCCTTTTCTACACGCACATTTTGCCTCGTTCATAGAATGTGTTGGATTAAGGAGGCTAGTTTAGATAATTTTGAACCCCTCCATATTTTCCATTAATTGGGAAAAGTAATTACTGGTTCCCTTAGAAAAAGGCTTTCATACAATAACTGTCACATTAAATCCACCAAAATTTATTGAGACCTCAGCTTAAATCGTTTGATAACAACCTATACTTACAATGTGTGTTCTTTTTGATATTATCCAAGGCAAAGGCGCTCCTTTAACAAACAGCTAACATACAGCTCCAGTTACTGTTAGAGTAATGAAATTACCCAATGCAACATAAAATGAGCTACATTAGGAGCCTGACAAATGGTCGTTCTTGTGATATAATGGATCGCTTATATGCTTTTCTGAAATATAATGCCACACCCATTATAGATATCCAATATAATGACAGTAGGGCGGCAATGCTTATATTATATTTGCCTCCAATACGAAGAAGAGCACCGCTTCGTGTGATACTCCAATAAACGAAATGAATATCCAATAATAGAGAATCCAGCGTGATGTTATTAATTACATGTTATAGCACAGTAATTTACAATCAAATTCTTTCCCTACTTCTTGATACTTTCATACGTCAATGGTAAAATGTTGATATAGGCTAATTATTGTAGCATGTCCTAAATCAATTGCAGTTATTCGTGTCTGTGATGGATTTTTCCTTTTAACGTGTTACGTTAACCTTTTTATAATTCAGCCTTTCTTTGATATCTTATTCATTATTTGGTTGCTTGCTTCTAGCCTTACTCAAGTCGGTCTTGATTTCTATGACGGGCTGTAATAATTCAAGATCAGGATAAGTAAAAATACCGACTTGGGCAAGGCTAGCTTGCATTGTATACATTATGTTTTTGGCATATCTATTTTGCACTGCGTGTTTTCGCTCGGGTTCTACCCTTTGCATTCGTTTGACTTAGCTTATTAAAAGGTCTGTCCTAGAATTAAACTCTAATAATAATCAGCTTCTGCATTCGACATAAAACCTCAACTTTCCACGTTCGTCTCTCTTAACCAACAGCCCAGATTGTAGCCTACTCTTTGCAGTCTCTTTGTGTCAACCAATAAATTCTAAAGGATTCTTAAGTATTATCTTCTGTTGTAGAACCACTGTTTTCAATACTTTATTAGGAAAAGTTTATAAAAGACAGAGGAGTCCTTTTATTAACAAAACTCCCTTTTTATAAATTCACCTAGGTATATTTTCTTTATAAGTAACTATTCACTTTACGACTGTGAAAAAGTAATGTGGTCATTTACTTTATTTTGGCTTAATCACGTTAATCAATTTTAGTACATAAAAGTTATTGAGGGTGTTAGCAAGGGTCTATTTTTGTTCTAATTTTGATATATAATTATTTGTTTCTTAGAAATCTGCCCAAGGTATCTACTTCTATTTTTTAGAAATACATAGCATAGTTTTTGTTCGTACTATATCCTAAAGTATTGACGTTACTAAGAACAAGACAACTCACTGTTATCCTCTGGTTGCTGTCAAAATACAGCGGGTTGGAGTTGATGTCGTAAAGGATAATTTAGCTAGGTGCAAACTGTCAATATCAGCCCTATATAGAGGTATTATATACCCTGTAAATGGAACACAGCAAAAATCTGAAATAATATTGCACTGCCTTTTTAAACAAAATTGAAGCCGAAAATAACCGAGTACAAAAGGAGTGATTGGGAGTATAGTTCGTTATGAAATCGTCAAGTTGGACGCAAGGTTCATGTTAACCTGCCCAATATGTGAGACGTTATTCTGCTGTCTCAACACATCAATGAGATTGTGTGGTAAACCAAGTAGCGAGAATTACGATTGTGTGGTAACAAGTGGAATAAGAGAAAAGAAAATTGCGATAGAACTAAATAATTTGATCTTTACAACGAATGGTCGGGAACATAAATGATAAATGTCAAAGCAATACAACTTCCGTTATATTCTAGGTTACAATGAACACAGAGGTATGTAACAAATTAAATATAAAAGTGGTCAGATTTGAGCCACCATGTTATTCGTAACATAAGTGTTACCAAAGTAATGATCCGGCGATATATTTAATATTTACGCGTTATAATTGCAGACGGTGCTAGCATATCTTTTGTATCAAATAGAAATTCAAATCTTGGATACACAATGATCAAATGACAATAATGATGTTCCTGAGAAAACCAATGGAGAAGACGATAATCTAAATTGATGCCATAATAAAAACAGTGGATTTATCTCAACTTTAACAATTAATCAGTCATTATATTCAAAGCATTTTTACTTGATATGAAGGTGGTGTATTCCATTTTGAACACTTCATTGTTGAACAATAATTTATTGCACATATTTAATTATTCCAAAACAATCAACTTCATTTTATTGCATATAAACTGCATTAATTGAAAACAAAATACCATATAGAAAACGTTCACGTTGGCTCAGATTCCTGATTCAAAAGGCATTTTTTATATAATTTTTCGACCATCGCTTGATGTATCGGAAGTATCGCCAAAAATGGCGAAAACCAGTTTTTGTGATCAGTAGAAATTTTCCAACTAATAAGAATATCTGATTGGTCGATCGATCACGTGAGTCTTCGAGACTCCATGTGATTGCTTGTTTTCATCCGGGTGAGCACTTATAGCTTGGCGAGAATTCAATAATTTCGACCAATCAAAAGCTTTATTTCGAAGGAAATTACCAAAATCCAAGACTCTCGCCATGTATTTTATGTGCATCCTGATCGTGGACACTCCGCACCATATCTCCCTTCGCTTTGGAAGCTGTCTTGGTTGAATTACAACTGATAAATAAAAAACATTAATACTGATTACAAAAGACACTGCCAAGGTTCACTCTCAACTTACATTCTAATTAATCTATAACATCACTTGAACTTTGAGTTTTTTTGGCATGAAATGATTATATTGATAATTTAGTAAAACAGATATTGGCTATAATTTATATTCATCTACTAGTATCTTGTGAACTATGTAGTAGAATTATTATGGCGTGATGTTTACATATTTGTTTTGTAACAATATAACCTTTCCTTTGAGACTACTTGGGTGACGAGGAACAGCTGCAAAATGGGTAAGTGCAGAGATTTATTTATCATCATTTATTTGATTTTATGATGTAGAAATAACAGAATGACCTTGTTAATTTTATCAACTGGATTTACATGCTCTTATTCTTTAAATTGTACTCATCTTAAAGATCTGGAAAATTGTATGTTAGTAAGTTAAATATACGCTGCCAATCTCAAACAGAACACTATACAGTGTGTCCCAAAAAAAAGGAAACCGGCAATAGATTGCTTATTTCTCAAATATGAATAATAATAGGAAAATTTCACAGCTACCATCTGATAGGTTATGATGTCCTTTTTCTTATGATACCAAAGGTGTTTATTTTTCTTCACGGATGACTGAGTTTTAAGAGATTTAAGTGACCATGTCAGAAATTGGTTTGTGCCACTTTTTCTGTCATGAATGGCTGAACAATGAGGGATTAAAATGGCTATGCAAGACATTGTCCTATTCGAAATACACATTTCTGAACAAGCATTCAACATAGCAAGTTCATGCAGCTGACCCAAGATCAAAGAGTATTTGTAATGCTCCTCCTCATCGTCGGATTATCGTTCGGGACAGATTAAGGGCGCTGTTCAACAGAAGAGTGATTGCTTTGAACCACGAGATTGAGTTCATCGAGATCCCCAGACCTGACACCCTGCGACTTCTCCCTTTTTCGGTTATCTTAAGGGTAAAGTCTTCACAACACCACCAAGAGACATTGATGATCTAAGGGCCAGGATTGTCGCAGCAGTGGAGGATTTAAGGGGACAGAGAGACATCATCGGGGATGCCGTACGTGCGATGAGATCAAGGGCAGACATTTGCATTGAAAGGAATGGGGGTCATGTTGAAGGACACTGGGGTTAAAACAACTTTGAATGGACATTGGGATTTAAATGGGGTGTTAAATATGATATGTGTAATTTTAATTGGAATAAATGAGTAAAAGAGTGATATCCTGATGTTTGTTGTTACTTATCACTTTGTTATGATGGTGAAATTGACTTGGCTGAAAGTGGTACAAACTCATTTCTGACATGGTCACTTAAATCCCTTATTACTCAGTCATCCGAGAAGGAAAATAGACAACTTTGATGTCATAAGAAAGAGGACATCATAATCTATCAGATGGTAGCTGTGAAATTTTCCTATTATTATTCATATTTGAGAAATAAGCAATCTATTGCCGGTTTCCTTTTTTTGGGACACACTGTACAGCATTGTTTATAAAAGTACTGCACCTCGCTGTTCAAAACAGCACTGTACATCGCTGTACAGCGCAGTGCTCGATGTTTACAGCGCTGTGCAGTGTTGCCAGATGATGTTGCTGATTGAGGGTGTCGTGTAGTAAATTAGAGAAATCAAATGTTTATCAATAAGTGTATTCTCATCAAAATCATATTTGAAAGCAACTTATTAAAACATCATTGCAAAGTTTTTATCGTATTAATCTGGATTCATATGATGTTTATATATAACATATAGGGTCTTGTGCACACAAATTGTGTTCTGATAGGTCAGAGAGAATGACAGACAAGCTTTGTGTGAATAAATCTGCATGTAGTTGTCTCCGCTGGGTGCTTAATGAATGTATTTTTGTTTCAGTTAGGGTACGGACGAACCATCCGTCCGACACTTTGTTGGCTGCCAGACCAACAACAACCTCTAGTCTCCTAGCAACGGGCCTAGCGTTCCTCATCATGGGCCTAATCATCAGCATCATTGCCTTGTCAACCCCATACTGGCAACAAGCGGAGGTACATGGAAATATGGTGTATAACATGGGACTATGGGAGTTCTGTATTTCTGGCAGTAGATGTGTATGGGTGTTTAATGACAATCATCTTATTCAGTCTTATTTCCAAGGTATATTGTTTATTCAGTACGAAAAGTTATTGAATGATTTGAAGTGCAATACAAGATATATTTTGCTCGAGAAATTCTGTATTGGAACGAGACGAAGTCGATGGGGACAATCTCAGTATCAATACAGATTGGTACAGCACAAGAACTGACCAATCAGAGGTCTTCATTTTACAGATCATACGATAATGACATTATATTTACTAATTATCCTTTGTCTATTTCACATTTGTCACACAATAGGTTAATCATTGTCAAACATTATTGTTTACGTTTACGGTAAGTGTGTACGTTTGAGGTCACTAGTTATTTCATATCATACATCATATACAGAATTCAGTGACCTACTTATTTTGTACTTTTAAAAAGTAGGTCACTGAATTTCCCCATTTTTAAACACTATTTAAAACATTATTTTCCTCACTCTTGTGCATTCTATGTGTAAAACTGAAAGATGTGGACCATATATGGAATGGGTTATGTTTTCCTGAAAATAACATGTGACTCCAATGGTATATTGATATAAAAATTTCCAAATGTACACACTTACATTGAGACAGTGGATTTATGCATGTACATGGTATATATTTTTTATATTGCAGTTTGGTATAGAGCTTTCCAGGGTCTATACACCTCGGCTGTCATCGTTGCCCTAGCAACTACAATCACAGCTGCCATTACTCTTTGCCCAATTTACAACACTAAGATTATAAAAATTGTAGTTGCATCTTTATCAATGTTCTCGTGTAAGTTGGCTTCATTTCCGTAATTCCAATAAAAATATAACCATTAAGAGACAATCATTCATCCGCATCAAGCAGAATGGATCTCTCTGTCTTTTAGCCGCATGCGATGCATCAAAGCTCGTTCTAGTGATTCAATGTTATGAAACGGTCAAAGGCAATAAACCAGAATAGACCTTTTTGCAAAAATATTCAGACTGATCTATTTTTAATCGATTTATCTTATTTTTCAGTTTTACTTATCGTGTCTGCAGTTACGATATTCATGACCAAGTTCTCTTATGCCTTTCATTCCGATCAGGAGTCCTCTCCAGTGAAAATGTCTTGGTCCTTCTATTTAGCATTATCCGGGTCTTTCTTCCTGTTAATACCCGGATTTATGTTCCTATGCGCCACACCAACAGATTTCTGCCAGACAAACACAAAGGACGATAAACGACTATTGGCAGATGACAAAAGTATTTAATTCATCGTATGTCGATGCAAAAGGAGTCTGGGAGAAAAGTATGTAAACGTGCAGTGAAAAATGAACAGTTGAATTTGTATTCAAACACTGTCCAGACATTAACAAAAACTGCATGTATTGCAAAAATGGAAATGTTATTTCTGACTGTAGCCATGACTCATAATAAAATTATAAATTGTACAATTCTCATACCATGAAGAAAAAAAATCATTTGTAAAACATATAAGATATAATATTGCTTCTTTATGATTGCACGGCCAGTACGATAGATCACACAAGTTGATAAAGCTAGACTGTTCCGATCCGGCTTGACTGAATTGTTCCAGATGCACTTTTTCATACCAGACGTCGTAGCATACAGTACTTTGACATACAAAATGTCATCACCTAAAATTTGATACAGACGCCGACCGAAGAACACCGAACATCAACCGGTGAACACCGTCCAAAAAAGGTTTGAAACTATAACACTTTTAGTGGTGACCTGAAAAGTGTTATCACCAAGTGTGTCCAAATTGTTTTACTAGTCATCAAAAATACACATGAATGAACTAGATGATCGAGTTTTGATACCTTCTCGTGAAGAAAAATATTATATTGAAATAGGTTGGCCAAGCTTGGATCTATCATGCGCATCTGGAATTAATCTGGTCGGGCCGTAATAATCTGGCTTTAACAAATGCCCGACAGATCTCAAAACAGTATTTTTAATTTGTTCATGGTATTTTAGTACTTCCCGAAACACGGGTGTGTAAGTTTGATATGGTGGCAGCTGTATGGTGGGACATGGATGTCTACAAGCAAATTATAATGTTTTGTATAAAACTTCAATCTATCATGGCCTATGATAAAATTATAAATTGTACAATTCTCATACCATGAAGAAAAAAAATCATTTGTAAAACATATAAGATATAATATTGCTTCTTTATGATTGCACGGCCAGTACGATAGATCACACAAATACAACCGTCCGCATAGCACATACGAGGGGTGATCAATAAGTAATGGACGCTTTTTTACACAGATGCTTTTTATAGACCAATCCCTTCGATTTTCTTACCAGTGATACAGCATTCAATTATCTATCAACTCTGAAGATTTGAAGACAATATATTTGTTACATGTTGATATATCCTTATTTCCGTGAAGGAGGTACAGGTACCCCGGGACCGACATTTACGTCACATATTCTGAAGCTATTTAAGATTGTTTAACATGCAATGCAGTTGAATGCAGGCTGAACAAAACAAGCCATTATGGTCATGAATTACCCCATTTTGTTATGCCATAGTTGATTTTGAATATTTTATCATCACTATGTGGTATTCATGCCACATTCATTCCACAGGGCCCTCTAAATAGGTTCCATCAAGTGCTACATGTACACAATTCCTCATCCTCTTAACTCAAAATTGTTAGATAAGGCTGAATCCATTCTCTGACATGGTAGCAAGATGCAGTTGCACGGGTTGTTTTATTTCATCAATGTCAATAAAACTGCGTCCTTTCTCTATAGAAATAAGTAGTATAGAAATAAACAAGTCACATGTGAGCAGATCTGGACAATATGGTGCATTGGCCAAGGACTCAATTTTGAGGTCCAGGGATATTGTTTTCTGAACATTTTGAGATCTGTGGGCAGATGCATTGTCCATATTGAGTAGGGTGTTCCCTTCTCTCACCACCCCTTTCTTCCACAATGCTTTCTCAAATTGACCTAAAGGCCCTTCCATACAACACTCTGGCATTAAAATACTTTCTGTTTATGTGTTACCAGTCAGCAAAAAAATTTAAACAACACAACACTTGTTGCATATAAAACGTTCAAATCTAACTGAAATTTACCAAACTGGCTAAAAACTGAATATGTGACGTAAATGTCGGTCCCGGGGTACCTGTACCTCCTTCACGGAAATAAGGATATATCAATATGTATTATATATTTTGTCTTCAAATCTTCAGAATTGATAGATAATTGAATGATGTATCACTGGTAGGAAAATCAAAGGGATTGGTCTATAAAAAGTATCTGTGTAAAAAAGCGTCCATTACTTATTGATCACCCCTCGTATCATTAATGTGCGGACATGTCGCGATCTGTCAGTCGACTGAGAATGGTGTGTAGGTTACTCCAAAGTTTTTCTTGCTTTGTGTTAAAACTCCCTGACAAGATTGTTGTGTACTTTTAATGATAATCGTGTAGCCATCTATACATACGTTTACAAAACAATCATATTTTTACATCTTCTGTACTTCTGATATGTGTTTACTCATGTCATTAATCAAGATTAAAACCAAACAAATGCTTCAAAACACTTTCACTGCATACAAAGTTCATTTTTAGTTTAAGACAACGTATGACTTCGACAAAAACGGATTTAATAAAGTCTGATATAGGTGCGAGTGGGGTAAGTGTACTTTGCATTTTGACTTGTGAACAATTGCTTTATTTATATATAATGTAATTCTATAGTTTGTCTTTTGTTTGGTTAGACCATAGCATATCATAACAAAGGCATTTTATTGCTGTATATCAACGGTTTATTGCTACTTTTCTTACTTTTGTTATTAATTAATTGTTTAATTGTAAGACCATTCCAATTTGGGTAACTAATTTTTTAAATCCTTGTGCCCATAATATTGATTAAAATTATCCGTATGCTTATAATGCCCCCGTCATGTTTGATCTACGGCAACCGTAGGACGGCCGTAGCTTCCCAAAATCGAGAGAAATATAGAGCATGAAATATAGGGAGCATTGCGATATAAATCTGCATCGATTTTGTGAAGCTATGCCCGCCGTACGACCGCCGTAGAGCAAATGTGACTGGGGCTTTAAGGAGTACGTTGAGTATGACGGCTCGATAAATCATTGAGTAATCCATGATATAGCGCACGTAACATTAGCATGTTGACTTGTTTGAAGAATATAATGACTAACATTTTGGAACATAAAGCTTAACTTATCTCAATATAGTAAACATCAGGATCTCATCCACACCATTGGTGCACGCAGCGTAAATAATGACCGGTTCGGTACAACGGTTATTTTTTAATTTAACTTTCCCTTAAAAAATAACCGATGCACCGCACCGGTCACGCTGCTGTACCCTACCGGTCCATTATCGGTATCTGCCTTATATCAAGGGTGATCAAGTTACTAACGACAGCTGCATTCGTTAATTGTACTTTAGATGCGCGCACAGTTTTTTCTTTAACTCCTCTGGGCTCCGATAAATAAAATTTTAAATGAAAGCTACACTCCCCTCTAAAAGTTTGGCAAGTCTGACCCCCCCCCCCCCTTATTGGATTACATGTTAAAGCCGATTTATGTTTGAGTTTTTATTTCCATAATCTGTTAAGACAAAATTTCTTAAAGGGACTGAAAATGTAAATTGACATCACTCCAATACCTTAAATTTTTCTAAATTTTATCAACAATTACAATAGGTCGGAAATTAATGAAAAATCTGGTGAAGTTTGCAAATCCCATGAGAACTAATGGAAAAAGTAGGTTTGTCGCAAGCCATGTGGCAGAGTATCCATCCATCCGAGTTCACGCAAAAAACACAAGTCGGGTAGAAAAATGAATTCGCTAACTTTATTATAACAAAAACTTGATATAGCTTCAGGTTCAACAAAGTTAGAGGTATTCGAAGTTAAAATTATTTTACAAAAAAACTCTCCTATTGAAATATCGATAGCATAGAAGGCGAAAATGTTTTTCAAAAGGGACTGAAGCTTTGGAGCTCTTAATGTTCATAAAGTAAACTAAACATTAACAGCAAATAAAAGTTAGACAATTCATTTTCACCAAATATTTTTTTGATGAATCTTTTAGTGAATCGATATCCTGAAATCTGATTTGCCCGGAGCCACCATTCCCTAATGGTTTATATAGGAATGACGATTTTCAAGTTTTTCATTAATTTTCGACATATTGTAATTGATAAAAAATTGGAAAGTTTGGACATACTGGAAATAAATTCAAGATACATCTCCACCTGTATCATAAATATTCATTGCAGGTTACGTATATATAAAAATTCAAATGTAGATAAGCTTCAACACGTACTCCGATGGAGGACCTGAGGTTATCAAACTTTTGGAAGAAAGTGTTAGTAAAGTGGTGTCAAATATCATGGATTCTACCGTAGCTCAACAATGATATTGACATATAAATGGATTGGTATATGATAACATTGACCTTATGCAATCTTATGTTATCAACAAGGTGCAAAGTTCAGTCAAGTGGAGGCCAATATTTATGAGATTGAATTGACAAATGTTGTAACAAGTGAAATTAAATGAAACAAAATGGATTTCTTTGGGAGCAACTGGGGAAGAATGGTAACGTTTAAATGAAGCATTTCTGTAGATTATAATAAATGGGAATTTTTATGATTAGAATGACTTACGATTTGATTTTGAATTTTAGGCCTCCAAAAATAGCTCGCAGCTCCACCACAGCTATACGTCTCCATCTCTAAGCAGTACACGCACCATTGAACTTCGATCTCAGAGACAAAAACAAAAGCGGACCCGGGCGATCAGTTTAGTGTCAAGCTCACCGAACCTACAATCAATAGATGAAATAGAAGAATTATCTATCCAACCTCGACGAAGAAATAGAAAAACCCGTAAAAAACGAACCAGGAACGACATAATGGCGTTCAATTGTAAGTTCCAAGTGCTCATATATTTTGGTCTCGGATCAGCCATTTTGTGTTTTCTTACGGAAGCTGTTGCCATGGGAACACCATGGTGGATAGTAGGAATCTCTAATAAAGACTTTGTTTATAATGTTGGACTTTGGCAGATCTGCTTTGACAATTACACCAACGGGACGGGAGAATGTGTAATTGTTGGAGACAACGAGGCTGAAATAGAAGGATACCTTCAAGGTACGTTAATTTTGCAAAAGACCTTCACCCCCCCCCCCAAGAGATTTACTCTATATGTCAAGAGTCTCAAGACTCCAATACCAGTGGTAAAAGGGGAGTTAAGTCACACTTTTTGGGAGAACCTGTACGCAAGCGTGTACAGCATTTCGACTTCCGGCCGGGATTACTGTCCCGCTCATTAATTCACTTTCCAGGCACATAATCACAATTATTTTCCGTATGCCTTTATACTCAATTGGTAAAATAAATAGTACAAATGAGAGAACTAATCCACAGAGAACTATAATTCTACACGTTCATGTACAAGTTTTTGTTTCATGTACAACATCCCTTTTCATTTTAGTTGTATGCGTAACAATATATTGTATATTCCAATATGATCCTCTCTCAGGGTCAATGCCAGTGACTATGAATGTGTGTCTACATGAATGGTATCTGATTGGTTACCATAAACTCAAGTACTTAATCCTAAAAACAAACAACTTTTGAGTAGCCAATGATAGCATCGCATTAATATAATTAACCAAAGTTTACGTTAACATTCTCATGTCAAATAAATACATTTGAAAGTACTTTTGGATTGTTTTTTTCGACAATTGTGATAGTTTCCCCCTTTGTTTTCCAGATTGGTTCGTGTTATTCCAGAAACTCATTCTTGGCTCTCTGTTTATCAGCGTATTCAATGTAGGCGTGTCATTGGCCTCGTTGATCAAGGTGAACGCTTACACTTGTAACTTTGCCTTCTTCATCACAAACCTGATTCAATGTAAGTCTGCTTTTCTTTATACATGTTATATGTGAATTTTATGAGTTTTGGAAATATGGGGTCGGACGCAATTCATGAGTGGAACATTGGGTTTTCCGGCCATTTAAATTAAAACATGAAAACACAGGGTAAGGGTATCGCAAATATTGGTCAACTTCACTTAATCACTTTCTAGCTCCGTAAATGATGTACCCTTTGCATTCGTTCGACTTTGTTTCTCAAAAGCGAGCTTCGTCTTTATACCTAGACTCGACGCTCAGGGTATAATATGTAATACTTACATGTATTTCTTTGTTTTAGTTTTGAGCTTTGCGATAGCGTTTCTGTACGTGGCGTTTAATGCAGCTGATGGTGTTTTCGTCATAGACTTTGGTTATTCCAGTATTCCCTCAGAGCTTTCATATTGTTTCTATATTTGTGGACTGGGTAAGTCATTTCTTAAGTCGAATTTTCAGAATCTCCGCCATCAAATATAAAATGCATATACGGCTAAAGAAAGCTCGTGTTTGTATAATGTACTTCATGTGTCTTTGTAGAGAAGTACTTAACGAAATATAATATTTGAAAATTTAATTTAGATTTCATGGTTCTTGTTGTTCCTTGAGAAGTATTAGTTAAATATATAAGTTTCAAAATCTTATTATTTAAAAGACATTATATGGGCCTATATGTCTCTGATTACAGGAACAATTTTAGCATTCATGGCTACGGTATTTTTCTTGTGTGCAGCTTGTAGGAGCCCCGGCCTACAGACATACAGAATGTTGGTCGAGCAACAAGAATATGAAAGTTTTGAGGCAAAAATTCGGCAATCCCAAGCAGATTTACTAGGTATTTCACAAATCATATGTGATACAGATAATTTCTAAGACATCGGCCTTTGTCGAATTTGACACCTGTTTCAATAAAATGCATTTTGGTAATGTCACGCCCGGTGCAGATGCGGCTATTTCTGCAAGAAAAGTCAACGAATCTTGAAAATATATTTTTCCAAGAGAGAGTTTACTATTTGGATTGCTAAATAAGTCGGATTTTAAAATACATGTATATTAGGTCTTTTGGGATTTTTTTGAACCGATGCGCTTTTAAGATATGAGATCATTTTAAAAAGTCGCAACGTCACCAAATTATTATCACAGAATTTATGCCATTGCTAGCTTTGTAAAATAAGTTTCCATACTCAAAATAATCGAAAGGTCATGTGGACCCCCGTTGCTTGGTTTATAGCAAAAACTAGTGCACGTTGGTGCCGTTGTGCCTTTTTATGAGACGGATTTAGTTCAAATTTTATTTGCTGATGCCTAGGAATGAAGGAGTTCTGCTCATGAAGAAACTTGGAAAGATGGCAGCTGATTTTTTTTAAAATGGCCGCCATTTTTCGTATAATAAAACAATCTTTGACAACTCAAATAATAGTGGACGGATTTGGTTCAAATTTCGTCTACTAGTACCTTGGGACAAAGTAGCTCTGTTCAAGATGGCTACTATCTATCAAAACATGTTTAGTTCGGTTGGATTTGCTAAATATTTGGCCGAATCAATACAAATTGGTTAGACGCCTTTGACCATACTTTATGCTTCTTTATTTTAGGCGAAAGCTCAGATACACCTATAGGTGGGAACACAAACGCATCATACCAGTTCTAAATTAAATGCTGTTTCGGTAAAATATACACTTCAATCTCAAAGTTTGGCAACCCCTGACTTACCATTGCATGGATAGCATCTTATGCCTGTTGATGTTCTCATTTCAATTTCTATAAGGTTGGAAATGACGTATGATTAACTTGTTAAAAGAACACACTTGTGAAAAAAACGCTTTAACACGTGGTTTAATGGGGATTTCCAGTTTCCAAACTTTTGGAGGGAAGTGTAATACACAATGCAAAGTGAAGAAGACGAGATGCTATAAAGACACAATAATGGACAACAGTACAATGCAATATTTTTAAGACGTAGCAGGGATTATAATTAGAGACCTTCATGCGGAAATGATAGTGACTCGGTGATAACACTCCTGATCACCGAGTCGTGAGACTAATGCCTCTAGTCAGTCACACTTGATCTACGGTAACCGTACGACGGCCGTACCTCCCCCAAATCGAGAGAAATATGCTGCACAAAATACTGTATAAGTGGTAATTTTGCCTAATCATTTAATTTTCCTATTTCCTAATTTTTTCCAGGTTCGGAAAATTAAATGTCGGAAATATTGTTTTTATAATGTTATCCAATGGGAGGTTTCTTATCATTAGGAAAATTAAAATTAGGAAAATGATGAAATTTGATCATTCGGAAAATTAACCACTCGGATTAAATACCACTTATACAGTATAAGGATAAAGCAGTACGATGTAACTTTTCTATATCGATTTTGTGGAGCTACGGCCGCAGTACGCCCGCAATATGAAAGGAAATATATCGTAAAATGTCTTTGAGATTTTTTAATGAATATGGCGTTGATGTTTATTATCTAGAGTACATTAAATCCAATGGAGTAAATTCGACACAATGCATTACTAAAGCTTAGGGAGTCTCCAACGCTCCAGTCATTGTGATCGTTCTTTGAGCGTTTCCATATTGCAGCGTTTGAGTATCCCATAGGGTTTTGCTCGGTGGCCGTGGGGCAATCTGTGTAAGGAACTGGTGTGGGCTCGGTTGGCTCATATATTCCGACAACGTCACCAACGTTAACCTAGAAGTTGAGAAATGGAAATGAGCACGATGCACAAGTTGAAATATCCATTACTTATGTAAAATTACAATCCAAACTGTTTTTGCTTTTTTAGACCTCATTTTTTACAGTTTAGCCTTTAAGACAATTAAGTCACCTATTTCTACAGGTAGTAGAGTTTGACATGACGTACAACATACATATACAAGTATCATGACCATTCTCGCTACTGTTATCTTCTTTAAATGAAATAAATGGTTTATTTGTCCGGTGCCATGCGCATTTCCAAACACTGGTTATACCTTAATTCTGGAATTTGATGCAATATCAAATCTGTTAATTCTATGTTGTTTCACATTAACATAGTTTTCCCCTATAAGAGTAAACTGTCCAGTTGAGCCAGTTGGTCTCCATACTTGGAAATAGACTTCACCCCCAGCTTCAGAATACACCGACCACTGAGTAATCACGCCGGCCTTTGTAATACGCAAGTTGGCACTGTCCTCAATTATGATCGTTTCTTTGCGATCACGCTTCTCACGGAACTCAAGACGGTTTGTGAACTCCTTTTCTAGGTCAAATAACATCAATTTACAATTTATATCCATTCTTTAAAATGTCTTAAATTCTAAGATTACAACTTCATAGTGTTCTTTCTATATCATTTCGTTGCAGTTGTAGTCTTTATTATCCCTCTGTAGCAATTGCACCTAACGTGAATCCTTCAAATTGAAATACCAGAGATAGAGTTTGTGCAACTGCCACACCTGCACACTATCATAACTTGTAAATGGGCACAATCGAACAAGTACAGTTATTAGTGAGACAATTAGTTCCCGGAGAAAATTGCCGGTCATTAATTGCATTCTTCACCGGCAATATGGACCGCCACTATGACGTCACATATTGCTCAGGTCGTAATAGTAAAACGAATGCCTTCTAAACTAGCACTGACTAAAACCCCTAGGACTGGCCCGGCAAAGTGGTAATAATAACTATTTTGACACGTCCTTGTAAATACTATCATTTATAATTACATAACGTACCCGATTTTGTGCAACCACAAGTGTTTCTGCAATAATCTTCAGCAAATTGTGGGTACATCATGCAGAAATTTGGGGTATGGTCAAATATGGCTCTACAATCTGCTATCTGGTCAATACAGGGTGGCTCAATGTTTGGAAGTGCACCTGCATAAAATGCATATTGAAATCATTAATTCCCTCTGAAGGCCACTAGTTTTTTGATACCCATCACAATTATGTCGTTAGCCGTTAGACTGCACGTTTGTAGTACATGGGTTTTCAAAAAGTAACCTTTAAAACGATTTATTCAAAAATATTTGATAGCACATCCTGATGTCATATCAATAATGCAACCCATAATGATATAGGTGTAAACAAAATGTTTGCACCATTGATTCTAGCACAGCCTGAGTGTACACAATTTTTAGATTGCATTTTTGTCAGACCTGTTTTCTGCTTTATTTCAAATATCGTGATTTTTCAGCCCATTTGTTTAACTGTCTTTGTTACTGAATATACGATGCAACATAGTCTTAAAACCCTCTTCCATGTATTCATGCAACAAAAGTCCATGCGGATGTATGATTCCTATTTTATATTTCCCAAAGACCACTCATCGTAAGAAATCATACACATGTTAGGTAATAAATTAATTTGATTATACCTTTACAGATGAATTGTTTCTCATAAACACAGTCTTTGTCCTCCCACTCCCAGGCCTCGCTTAACTGAATCACATAAGTTTCAATTCATGAATTAGACAGAGTAATACAATACAAGGCAAGGCAAGGCAAGGCAATACAATACAATACAATACAATACAATACAATACAATACAATACAATACAATACAATACAATATGATATAGTCGATGCAAAATTCAAATTAGAAATACCTTAGAATAAGCTTACATTAAACAAATCACATTCTGTTATTAATAAAGGAATTACCCAAGGTGTATATCATATCTGACCTGTCTCTAGTAATCCAACGTTACATTAGTTGAACGCCCTAAAGCACTGCCGAATACTATTTGTAATATATTTGTATTACAGTCCAAAATATGTACCCACCTGCATTCTTGTACAGTTCTGAGATGCCCCGCCATTAGGCTCGCCGTGTTCCCAGTTCTCATATGGTATGGTGCTGCCATCTTTCCACTCGAACATGCGCTCTACGTTGATATCATTAAACCCAATCCAAAATGTCCCAGTTATGGCACTACAAGAGGACATCCAAGCGTTATGGTAAATATAATTTTTAGCTAAATATGTCATTTAGGTTTGAAAAAGCTGATGCGAGAAATGGGAAATATCTGATCACATGGGCCGAGATACATCCGGGTGATCGTTCGACGCATGCTAACATGCCTATTTTATAAGAATATGTGATCGAAACACGATCAGTAGAACGTGTGAAAGATATCATTACCAGCCCATGTAAAATATACTTCTTAACAATTTTGTCGATAAGAACCTGACCTGCTAACTGCTAAATTATAGACAAAGTCATCTTCAGCTTCACTTAGAATACTAGTCAAATGTGCCCCTAGATTAGCACAGTAATCGTCTCCTGCTTGCCAGTCAAAATTAATGTCCACACCAAAGTAGCAATAACCTTCAAACTCAGACCATCCATTATCACACACTCTTCCTGGTAATGGTAATAGTCAAATGGTGGTCATTATGGTTAAATGGTTTGAAGTTGACGTCTAATGTGAGCCTGTTTTGTATAGAACCATAGATGCTGATCTTGAAAACCTAATTAATCCATGACACCAACAAATAGAGAAATCTCTTGAGAGTCCGATTTTTACTATGTGTACTCAATCGGATACAATTTCCTCATGTTATTGTTAACACGTACAATACTGTTCGAGGACATGTAAAAAATAAAGCCACAGTGCAACTAGCTAATTAAAATGCCAAAAATATGATTTAGTCATTAACTCACTCTCAACTATTGGTTTTTTACAAATGATTTCTTTGTTATCTGTGCAGTGTGAATCCTTCCAGTATCTATCATCAACATTACTTGACACACAGTCCTGTGAGTCACTCTTCATTGCACCATCACCCCATCTTTGGTATCTCGCCGGACTGCCATCCATCCAATGCCAACTGGGATACGTAATTACACTAAGATTGTCATATTGTCTGTAGCCGATCCAGACATCCTCAGCTCCACTGAAAACACAAAACTAAAACTTTATTTCGGCTTGAACCCCACTTAGGTAGCAACACAATATAATGAATGAACTGTGTTCTATTTTAAAAATTATCCACCCGTAACAAAGAGGATTTTTCCTAAAATTGGAGCGTGGACCATTTACCTTTCAAAACAGTCAGGGCTCAGGGTGTGGTTTAAAAAAACATTCGTATTGGGTCTTCGGAGAGAAAATACCCTCGGCCTATCGGCCTTGGCTATTTTTCCTCCTAAAACCCAATACTCATACTTTATTACTAACCTTGCCAAATATGCCGTCTCATCATTCACCGTACAATCACGGTACAAAACATATATTCATGGCTCATAGAAAATAATGAAATATACACACTCAGTTTCACTTAGCAGTTGTTCTATGAAATCCTGTTCACCCTGGCTAGTGATGCTTGTAAGATGTGCTGTATGTGCTCTACATTTAGCTTCAGCATCATCGAAGCTAAGGACGTCCTCTGTTAATGCCTTGTAACAATGGCCGTTGTATTTCGTCCAGCCCTGTATACATACTAAAAGATAAAAGAGTTTTTCCCAGCAATTGTTCTAAAACAATGATATGTAATCACATTAAAAACGTACACGAGTTCTGGGGTGGAGGGTAAGGGGTCGCCGGACACATCTTTTTGCTTTCTTTTAGTCTTTCTATTGTTTAGGGTGTTGTGGTTTGCTTTCTAACACAAACCACTCTTCCATCTTCTATGTCATATCATACTTATGCAAATATCAACTAGAAATAGTCTTCATCAAACAATGTCTTTGGAATCTCTTACCCTGACACACGTTGCGTCGTCCACTCCAAGTTCCGTCTGTCAACGCCATTCGTTTTTCATAGCCAATCAGTTCAACACCATCCTGACAACATGTGATCAAGATGACATCACCGTCTGTGTATGGCACAGACGCTCCTAACTTTGTCCCATATGGTTCAATATACGGTTCGGCTATGTTTGTCACTATTTAGAGTAAAAAAGACGAATAAAAAATGTATGTAGTGTCGAATAAGCGTATTCAAAGCTGAGTTCTCTTTGTCAATGGATGTACTACACAATTGACTTTAATAATAGACTATAAAGGACTTAAACGTATCCGTAACTGCATCTCGATTTAATTGAACTTATTCGCATGAATCTGGTGAATGTGCTACGGACTTAAGATACGTTGAGCTAAAAACGTTGTGCAAAATTCTACATGCCTTTATGGACATGAGGTCCAACATGGTAGCAGTACTTTCTACAACCCCGTTTAGCATCTTCTGACTGGCAGTATAAAACCTCGTTAGCAGCGAGTTCAGAACAATCGTCATTGATATCATCAACTACCTCTATAAAATACAATTATTTTGTTTTTATGTTTAAGGTGAGCATAAATCTTCTGAAATAATATTGTTGTATTTCTCTCTGTCATCAGTTCAATTGCAATCATTGAAATGGGTCGTCGGATGAGGTGATTTTTAAAATATTAGTATAGTACGCGCTGTAACTGATTTCCTATTTTGTTTGGAAATATCAATTAAATTTCTTTAGTCTATTCCCTTACGTTTCTCATTTATTGTTTTCTAATTTGACATTATCTCAGATCTGATTATCTATCCCAATCCCGCCAACTTCTCAAAGACAAAGCTGGATAGAGAAGTCTCAAGCCCATTTATCCCGACATTGTAAAAGGGTACTGGGATTAACCAGTTTCTAAAATCACTTTATCCCAGTGGTGCAGGGATAGATAATCAGTTCTCATTATCTCACCCAGCTGTGGCACGTCACAAAATCCTTGACGACAGTGTTTATTGATATAACACCATGGTCGGTAGAGACCATTGGGATTGCGGCAATGGTTATGGTCGCCCAGACCTTTTGCGGCATAACTAATTTGAAAGTAAAGATAAAAAATTTACAGGTAAAAATATGAAATTCATTTTGCATTGTGCATTAAACCAGTGTTATGACCATTTAGAAAAATGTTTTTTCAAAAACGCTAACTAGCGAGATTTACCTACTCGAGTTTAAATGGATTCACATTGCAGTGTTGTACATCCAACCAGTTCATACATGGCATGTAGTCATGTGTCATACTCATAGGACCTCTGTATGATTGCCCCAAACTTGATGCCTTGTAGTATGGGTCAATATCTGAATCTAAATACAGAGACGCGGAGAACAATCATGTGACCATGATTTTACCAGTCAGGTGTAACGTTTCATATGATATACATATATCAATAAAATACATATCAGTCTAAATATAAAGACACAAAAAAACAATCATGAATTTACCAATTGGTGTAATCTTCCATATGATATTGCAAATGTGCCATATTTATGGCCTTAGCCTTAAAATTTCAGTCTGACTTAATCCTACAAATTACCTGTGTTGTATGTAATGATTGCCCTAAAGCCTCTAGCCTCTAAACTATTATCTGATCTAAACGTGACCCACATCATGTGGTCCTCAGTCACCCATGATTTACGTATATTTGAGCCACATAATCTTAAACATCAACAAAGTGTTATATTATGTCTATTAAACAAAAAAATTACAGACTTGTCTGTAAAGTTATCTCCTAACAAGTAATTGTATGATGTAACTTAATAATTAATTGACGCATGGATAAAAGGCCCTGCTGCAGAATACGAAGCCACGATAGCAATCCTGACATAATCAAGCAACTTACTTGATACCATTCTGACCAATCATGCTCTGTCTGATTTCAACATAGTCTTTACAAGTATGCTCCTTCTCAACTAAAGTGCCATCAATCTTTAATGTTGTGAAGTGAAGGTTTACGAATGCTCCCTCTGGTGCCTAAAATGCGTTATATAGAAGATTTTAATTTCTTATTAATGGGTATTTAACAAATACCAATAAGTATCTCTCCAGTCCTTAACCCATGTCAGTGGAGACATACCTTAACGAACCTATGTCATCCCTAAATTGTATTTTCATTTCCAAGTAATTAGCATGGGTATTTAACTTATCAACAAAATATCTCTTAATATCGTTTTAGACCTTAACCATTTCAGTGAACACATACCTTAACGAACCAATTGCATTCCTGATTGGGATTATAATTACCAGGAAAATTGGGCGTTGTTATAACTTCAATTGGGTTTGAACAGTCTAGCGTTATCATCTGATTACAACCTGTAAACAGGAAAATAAGGCAAGGAAATTGGTATGTATATTTAGCTTAAAAGTCTTTTAGACATATCTGACATCTACCCCAGTATGACATTTTATTTAAAACCTGTTGTCAAATGTCTACTGCATGACAACCATACAACATTTTCTTTCGCATGGTACATCATTATTTAGAATCTTCACTTGCAATTTGTAATACAACCATTTTAATGTACACATATACGTGTCTAAATACTCTTTGCATTCGTTTGTATTGACTTCTTGAAAGATCGCCCTGTCTTCCGTTAGTTTAGAACTTAACACTGCGTTCGGGGTAGTGTCTGATTGAAATGTTGATTGAATTACTGCTGAATGAAACAAAGTTAAACAAAGTAAGAAACGCAATTACCATATCTGATAGGTATGTAATAACATAAATGGAAAGCTGATCTACCACCTTCGTAAGGGTCATACTGCGTTCGGGGTAGTGTCTGATTGAAATGTTGATTGAATTACTGCTGAATGAAACAAAGTTAAACAAAGTAAGAAGCGCAATTACCATATCTGATAGGTATGTAATAACATAAATGGAAAGCTGATCTACCACCTTCGTAAGGGTCATACGGCGCCATGCCATCTTCACCCTGATCATTTGGTTCATCCCTCTCATCAAAGGATATTTGATCTTCTTGAACGTCCATTCCTGAATAACAGTTTGAACAACCATTGGATTTGAATACTGGCATTTTCCATGCATTAAAAATGTCTACTAAACGCGAAAATGTTTATATATGAGATGAGTGAATACAATAAATAATGCATATAATCCATGATCTAATTGTTCTAAAGTTATGACAACAATTTGCATTATTTTAATACTTACCCTTGATTGCTTGGCATTTGCTCTTCATTTTAAAAAGGTAGAACGGGGACCTATTTGAAAGAACAATTGGCCAATCTGGTCGTGAATCGAAGGCATCGTCTCGACAGCAGAACTTGTATGTTGTACTCTGAAAAAAGGAATGAGTAAATGAGCCGATATATAAGTACTCTAAGGTTTATTGCTACTGATCCACTTTCACTTTCTATGGAGTAGGAGTATACGCATTTATATGTATAAAGTTGAGTTATTCTTAACCGATAATAATTTTACATTTCTGCAACTCTAAGAATCAATCATGAACGTGGCAAGAATAATTTCTGAAAACATAAAGAACAATTTCGAGTAGTTGATAAAGATGGGAGGCAAAAGTAAGGATTAGTTTCATACCAAGTTATATGATCCATCTGGTAGAATTCCGTCGAATGCATTGTTGCCTTTTGTTTCGTCATCAGCAATCGTCTTAGATCCCACTGTGAACCCTTTAATTAATTAATCATTTATGCTTATTGTAGTCACACATTCCAGAGTAGTAGAATACTCCCGTCTCCCCGAATTTTAAATAAAAATTAGAGCACATATCATTTAAAATTGTTCCAACATTGCGTGAGAAATAGGCACACAAGACGTGGTAGGAATAAGAGAAATACCTAATTACCTACACCATAATGGCACAAAAACACTATAAACTCATACCAGACGGACAGGCGGCGTTGCTTTTCTTGAATGTGCAATATGATCCAGCGGGCCAGTCATAACAGCCAGTGGAATTCGTTTTCATGCAGAACTGATCTTTAATCCAATCCAATGATGAATCATAGCTTCCTCCAGCGATGTGTTCTTTGAATCCATCAGTCATGTAATGCCATTCTTCTCCATAATGTAATCTCCAACCAGTCGAAAATGTATAACCATTTGGGCACCCGTCTTTTGATTTCAAAAGTCCAAATTGACCTTTTGGCCAACTTGAAGGAGCTGCTGAACCTTTGGTCATATAACAAAGAATTCTTTTTGGTAAAATGTTGTGTAACAAATCAAAGATTTCCTATTTTAAATGAAATAATTTTATAATACTTGACATATACTGTCTATAAAACCTTTTGAAAAACACGAATATAAGCATTCGGTGAGTACTTGTATGTGTTTCACTTGAATACAACACACGTACATACTTGGGTCATCGAAGTCTTCACAGGTAACACCTGTGAGTCCAGGTAGACATATACATTTACAAGCATCATCTATCCAACCAAGGTAACCTCCATTCGCACAACCTGTTGCTTTCTGGCTATCAGAACAGCTGTCTTGAAATTAAACAAATCCTATTTTTCCATGATATATATGCTATTCTTCTATATGGTTATTGTCACATCGACCTTTATAAAGCTGTAGATACATTTGCTAAATATTAATTATGATTTGGGTTATACAAATCCATACCATCACATTTATAGGCCTTGGTGAGATCTTCAAGGTCATAGAACCCATAGTGCTCTCTTTTAGACCACCACAAATACTGCCATTGTCTATCCAAGACTTCCATAGTAGGAAGGTCATTCTTAGAAGCAAACTAAACAAGCGTGCATGAGAGTAAATGATTTGTACCCTCTATATTTTAATAGTATATCAAGTTTAACATCAGACCCTTGTATATTCCCACCAATATACACTCCTCTCCATAATTTTGGAAACACCAAATTTGTCATACATTTCCGAACTCTTTTATAGAAGAACAAGACTAGGATTCATTAAACATTGGGGATTCTCATCCGACTGTGAATGGCATTTCAATTTTCAACCAAACTTGTTTAAAATGTTACTACTTCAAAATACCATTCCAGAAATGCAAGGGAGGTGGATGGTTATCTGTTAATTAAACGAGGAACACCTTCAGGAGATTCCCAAATGCTCAACATCAAATATGAGGGATTAACAGGCTTAAAAAGCGAAGTGTATTCTTACATATCTGTCGTAATGCATTGTTGAGCTGATGTCATGTTCATGCCAACTTCCAGCGTCCTTTCTTGTATCAAATTCAAGTTTACTTCCTGCATCTAGAATATCGAATAATTCAATGTATTTCTTGGGGCTGAGGCCCGGGTATACAGTCATTTATAAAAATCAGTCTTATTCTTATTCAATGTAAGTAATATAGTAATATAGTAAAAAAATTTTATATACATGTATACACCACGCATTACCAACTCAGTACACTAGGGGACTTTTTAAACATTTTTAACGTATTCCTGGGCCTCAGTCTTGGGGTGTATACTCAAGAAAAACAAATACATATATTTGGTCATGATTGATTCATAGATAATTAACATAGAAATGCCAAATTCAAACAGATCAGAACCTATTGTCCTAAAGGGGTTTTAGGGGAGTACTGATGGGGTGTGCAAGAAAATGAAATCATCGACTGGTCATACCATTTACATTTGATTTTAAGTATTGGATTCGATGCCAGTAGTCATGCCGCCTATGTTCATGGAACATTCCAAAGAGATGTCCCATTTCATGAAGTGGTAGATCTATCGTATGGTCCTGAAAAAGTAGATGCATCAGCATTTAAGGGTAACAGAAAGATACTACCCCTTAAATGCATCTAGGTCGCAGAATCTGCACTCTATGAAATTTGTGCATGGAATAGGTTAAGTATTGTTTAGTGTGGAACTTATGAAATGGAGCAATCCTAAAATAGTCAGTATCTATTCAATCTAGAAACGCTCTTTTGATAAAAAAAATCCTTGCTGAACAATGGTTGTCTAAATACTTACAGAATGGCGCGTAGGAAATATTATTTGGCCACCTTCTGTAAGTCGCCCAACATAAGAATAGCAACAACTGAAACAAATGTAATGCAACAATCCACCATTCTGATATCAATATTAACTTCATGCTGACACTTATCTTATCATTCAGTTTTCGTGCTGGTAAACTACCTTCTATAAAGGAAATTATAGAACCCTGTAATCTTTACGATGCCAATACAATAGACCTATACAGCTGTCCATAGAGGTTCATGCAATAGCATTGTGATTCATGGGAGAATCCTTTTGTAAAAGGCTAGTGAAAGCAACTTCTACACTTTCTTCAAGAGCCTTTTGGTATCCATTAGAATAGATTCAGATGAAGAATTCGCCATGATAATCCATTATAAAGGGTACCACAAAGGATAACATAGTACAAGTGGTCGATAAGTTTAAAGTATTGCTTCAGGTCTCTTAAATCACTGGCGGATCTGGGGGGGGGCCAGGGGCCCGCCCCCCCCCCTTGAGTGGGCCCAGAAAAAAAAATTGTGCCCCAAAAAAATGTTAAGCCAAAAAAGGCCTTGAGGCCCAAAAAAGTGGGCCTTTTAAGTCATAAATGGGCCTTCTAAGGCCTTATTTTTTAGTTTTAGGCCAAATTTTGAAGAAAATGGGCCTCAAAATTTCAAAATTTGGGCCCACTTTTTGGTTTTAGGGGCCCAAATTTTTTTTATCAGACCGGAAATTTGGCCCCCCCCCCCCTTGTTGGTTCCCAGATCCGCCCCTGCTTAAATCCCCTCTTTATCTTCTTCAACACTTGTGGGGAGTTGTGTAGTGATGGGGGTGGGTGATTCACACGGACTTTACCAAGACTAATACGTTTCACTATTATATTGTATTGTGTATTCTCTATTTTTCTCGAAACGGTTGGTTATTACAATGTTGCTGCATGATGTATAAGACCTTTCTTTAACGCGTCTATAAAAGGATTTTTGCTACTGACCTGGTACCTTCCTTATATAAAGTAAAGTTTGCCCAAGATTCATGTGGTAGGTTGTAATCAGCATGAACAGTCGGTGTGTAGTCAATGAATCGTATACAAGAGTGTTCGTGTACATATTTCATTGCTAGTGCTACATCGTTTCGTGCCGCATCAGCTACAATACAATTTTTGTTAACATTTAAAATTACAAGGTATCGTTGATGGAAAATTAAGAAGGCATTTGGATAATTTCACCATTTCGTTCAATTTAACTTTTCAAAGGACACAAGTGAACATATATCTGAAAATATGATTGCATGTAAATATGTACATGTAGCTGGACACTAACTGGGCGGTGTTGAGTCTCCCCACATCCATGGAACATAAGCATACCCATTAACCTTTGGCCATAAACTACCATTATCCATGTGGATGTTTCTTTTGCTCCTAGTTTTACTGCCATTTGCCTTTCTTTTGTTTGTCGAAAAGCCAAGTGGTGGATGTTTGTTCTTGAGCTATAAGAAAAGAAAATAATGTAAAAGTGTTTTGCCACATTCAAACTGGAGGTACATCTGACTCTAGTATGTAGTTGTTGATCACGACTGCCGTATGGTAGCAAATATCTTACAAAGGACCTATTGGTTACGCTATATTATAAATTGAAACAATGATTTCCCTCAAATTATTCGGCCAAAATCAGAATTCTGTATAATATAAAATACAGAACCATACTAACAAGCCATACGAGCTTTAAAACGGTATATTATGAACCGTGTACCATTTTGCACATTAATCTACCCCTTTTTAGCAGAAAATTTGGGACATTTGCGGGCCTAGGATATATTACTGAATGATATGATTAAGGCACCTACAACTTCTGGCCAATCATCCCTTTGGCCCTTTTTTTGGTTTTTAGCAATATCAAGTAGGGCATCAAGTTCTTCGTGCGTTTCTATATTGTACATCAACCCATCAGTGGCTCTTTTCTGAAGATCTTGAAGGATGTTCTCAAATTCAAAATCCGGTTCACGGACTGTCCTATCCTCTTCCCTAGGTGCTGACTCAAGGACCTTTTCCAAATATGAATAATTTAGTTTTAAGCATAAGCACAAAAGTAGCAGTCTAGAAATATTGGGCAATGTGTTAATTTATGATCCCAATGACCTGAAGCAATGAAACAATGGAATCATTATAGAGATAAGTTCTTTATTATTGTTGCGTTAGACGTTGGATTTTGCTGTTTCAATAACATGGTGGCTTTTCGGAATAGTAATGTTACTTTTATATTTCCATCACTGTCGTTTATCATCTGTATCAAACAGTATGTATCAACTTGAAGTCTAATACACATTCTCACCTTTAGGAGTTCATCCTCTTGGTTTCCTATCGCCGCATCTTTGGATGTCACCAAGCATGCAAGAAGCATCGTGAACACAAGGGCCTTTGTTACATACATGCTCCAATTATGTTGTTACTGCTATTGTTTTGAATTGCCAAACTAGTACCATTAATAGAAAACAAAGTTTTTGATCGATCTATTGCAGCAGCGGTTGATTGGCCTGCCCTCTTTATTAAAAAATATTTTGATCGCCCTTCAGCCTATGATTGGCATTGCAGAAAACCGTATGTAGCTATGACAGGCCTCTTAGACCAACGCGAACATCAGTAGTTCGCGAACACGAATCTCTGTGCGCGAGTAGAGAAATATGTTGGGGAGCGAGGAAATGGTGGCGCGTGACTAAAGATTTCCCGTTCACGATATGATAATTGTGGTTCGAGTGAAAGGCACGTAGTTAACGAGGTCAAAACTGATGTTCGTGTTGGTTAAAGTCAAGGAGGCTTATATGGCCATTCTTCATCGTCTACTCAAATTGGTGACAACAGCCGGGGTCAAGGCCCTATAGGCTATTATTTCTCTTAAAACCCACTACTCATAGTTTATCCATCACGTAATTTTGAATATACATTGCGATGTTGCTTTGCTCTAAGATACTATCCACTTAGTGGTAGTACTGGTATATCTATTTCATTCATAAATTATAAAAAATAAAGATTTACAAACGTATAGTATAAACTGGATCTTTTACAAGACGACGTTAATTTACCCATGTATGGATCATTTGAAATGTGTATACATTATTCATATTTAAAGTTAATCCGTTCTTCATTACTCTGTATCATAATTCAGTGATGCTTGCAAAATTTTTTAATAACATCAAACTTGTTTTCTTTTTTTGCTATTCAACTGTTGAATGAGTGAATAGGGTGGCAGACAATCGTCTTTTGTGCAACACTGATTTTGGATAGCTTGCCAAGTGTCAATTCTTTAAAGACAATAGAAAAAATTCGCTCCTCTTTGTTACAACAGTATATTCTTTAAAATAAATACAGCTCATTATATTGTGTTGCTTTACCCAAGTGGGGTTTAATTTCACCTCATAACTGAATCACAGTGGAACAAAGCATACAATTACAAAACATTTTATATAAGTGTCATAAAGCATATAACTTACTTTACTGATCCCATATATGTATCCCAATAATTCTCTGTAATCACTCTGACTTTGTAACGTCATCCGTATCTAGGTAAGATCAGTACATACCTTGGTTTGTCCAAAGTGAATAATTTTAGTCTGATGTAAAAACACAATAGTTGTTTCTAAAGATATATTGTTATGTTCATGTTTATTCAACCATCAATGTGCAAATTACAAGATTTAACTACATTTTTTATATAAACTTTATCATTTCAAGCCAATGTACAAGGTATGTACAACAACATTAAATAATCGATATTATGTATACATCATGAGATGGTACATAACATAATCATTACAAATAAAATAATGAGTTATATAAATCAAATAATTGTTTAACATCCTTTGACAGAATGACAAAGAGAATCATATTTTTGTTTAATATATCTCTTTAACATGGTTGCGCCTAAATCCAGAGACATCACATGTTTGTTTAACATCCTCTTACATAAGCACTCAGATCACGACCTCTGCATTGATTTCTCCATGCAGACCTGAAACATGGAATAAACCCTGAAATTAAACTTGAAAAGGAATCAGCAGGCCTGAATTAGACCTGAAACATGAAATTAACCCTGAAATTAAGCTTGAAACAAATCAGCAGGTCTGAATTATACCTGAAACATGGAATTAACCCTGGAATTAAGCTTGAAAACAAATCAACAGGCCTGAATTAGACCTGAAACATGGAATTAACCCTGGAATTAAGCTTGAAAACAAACCAGCAGGCCTAAGATAGACCTGAAACATGGAATTGACCCTGGAATTAAGCTTGAAAACAAATCAGCAGGCCTAAATTAGACCTGAAACATGGAATTAACCCTGAAATTAAGCTTGAAAACAAATCAGCAGGCCTAAATTAGACCTGAAACATGGAATTAACCCTGAAATTAAGCTTGGAAACAAATCAGCAGGCCTAAGATAGACCTGAAACATGGAATTGACCCTGGAATTAAGCTTGAAAACGAATCAGCAGGCCTGAATTAGACCTGAAACATGGAATTAACCCTGAAATTAAGCTTGGAAACAAATCAGCAGGCCTAAGATAGACCTGAAACATGGAATTTATCCAGCTATTCTTTAGTTTTCTTTAAATTCAAGGCTTAAAAACAAATCAGCAGGCCTAAGATAGACCTGAAACATGGAATTGACCCTGGAATTAAGCTTGAAAACAAATCAGCAGGCCTAAGATAAACCTTTATGTTCAGACCACACACAGGGTGTAATTTTGTTGATATCTTAACTATATATTTGTTTTAGATCATGTTTAGTCTGACCAAAGAATCTTACAAACTTAACATAACTTTTTATCAGTATGAATTTTATTTTTCTGAAGATCTCTGTGTCTGTTGCATTCTCTTACACAGTCATTCTGATCATTAGCTTTGAGTCTCAGACTCTGGTATCACATCTAATGAAGCCAGAAAGCATCCCCTATGACATCACACAATTAGTCGCACTTAACAACATATATTAGGTAACATTTTAATGTGTTTGGTAATTTATCATAGTTTATTATGTATGTTAACATGATTAATTAAAGCCATTCTCTCAATTTCTTTTATTTGCCCGGGTGCGTTGATTTCCCGTTACTTTGGCAACCATTTCTTATTTAATATTTCTGTTAAACTAGATATTTTTTGCTGAATTAAAAAGACATTCTATGCTGCACATTCTGTGAAAATTTCATTAGAATCGAAAAATAAAGAAATAAGAGAGATATTATGAGAACGTTATGATCAACCCTCGTATTACATCGATTTATACCACCACATAGATGTGTGGTATTCAAAAACTAGATGGTAATAGAAATTCGGACAAATGGAGGATTTGGGCAAGAGAGGTAATTATAGGGCCATCTTTGAGCTCTAGGATTTCCCTCCTCTTGGTCAACTGAGTTAATATGACTATTGAATATGCTGCAATAAATACATGGTCATCATCTTGTCATCCCAGTATGATTGGCAGTCATTAATTTAGCCAGATTGGCATGGGCTAGTCATGCACAAAATAATACGTTATCATTCACCTAAATGATGAATAATGGAAAAGCACGTGACTTTGTAATGCAACCAGGATACCAGTAGATACTGTATTAGAAAACTCTTAGGTTGTATTTGTAATTTTCTCAAATATATGGTCAGATATGAACTCCTGAGGTCTTGTAGATGATTTTTAAAGAAATTATGTCCACTTAAAGCAAGTTGAAAAAAACTTTTTGACCTTTTTTCTTTTAATATAAAAAAAATGCAAATTTTTTCCAGACGGCAAACTTATTGAAGTGTATTGTTAAGCTTTGAGAAAGGAGTGGTATCGATATGGAGAACTTTTTGAACACACGTTTCTCTTAAACCAGTCATAAAAAAATCTAAAAATTTAACACATCGTCAATTTAATGGTCATCTTTTGAATGGTAACAATATAATTTGAAAAATATATATATATACTTTCAACTATATTTTGTTTTAGAAAACACATCAAACACTTGTTTTGTTCTTGGTATCATGTTTCCAGAGTGAAATGATCTTTCCGAACCTCATTGGAACAAAACGACAAAAACACAACATGTTTAGGTCTCTCAGTATTGTAATTGTACAAAGGAAAATTTGGTTGATTCAAAAAAGTATCTTATTAATGAAATAAAAGGTTTATCTTGATTTTTATCTATTTTGGGGGGATTTTGTTAAATTTTCTGAATACTTTTTTAAAATCAACCAAAAATTCCTTTGTATAACTATAATATTGAGAGGTCTAAAAGCATGTTGTATAAGCTATTTTGTTCCAACAAGGTTCGGAAAAACATTTTATTTCATTCTCAAGATTTTGTAGAAAGGAGCAAAAACAATTGCACTAAAAGAACAAAAAAAGTTAACAAAAACAGTTTTATAAAATATTTCTAAATAATTGTCAATCAGTCAACATAACATAAAATACCATGTTTTTTTACAGAATGTTTTCAATGATTGGTTTAAGAGAAAAACATTGTTGAATTCAGTTCTCCATATCGATACCAATCCTTCATAAAGAACTTCGATTTGACCTAAAATTTGACATTTGACATTTCCCTCGACAACAAATATTTCCCCACCAAGTCCTTGCTAGGAGCAAATAGTCGATAGCTGTAAATTAGTTGAGTAGGAGAAAAATACTTTGAAAGAATATAATAAATATATAGAAAAGCTAAGAAAACTTTAGGAGGCCACCTTTAGAGGGCCTCCTGATAAATAATATCTATAAAATTGATAGGAGGCCCCTGATGAGTGCAAATATCGAATCAAAATATATAATGTGACATGTGAATGTCAACACTCTCAAAAGGGAACATCTCGAGAATTTATGTTTTCATATGTACATCTTACCATGCTCTGAATCCCTGGGCTCTGTAGACAATCTTAGCACAGTTGGTTGAATCTGTGATGTCAGCTTTCAGAACATCTTGAATTAACATGAGAACAAGATTAGTGTAAGGGGTCACATGTTGTAAAACAGCGGGTTCTTCAATAGCTCACGTTATATACGAACCTTCTCATATAAGATGGCTCGACATTTTTGAATATCCATTGTCTACTTAGTTATAAGATATGTTGTCAACGTCAAATTAATTGAAAGGGGTAATTTGGACAATGGAATTATTGACTGCACAGTTGTGACATAGGTTCATTCTCCTACCTATATCTCCTACCTAGTAGAATCTCAAAAAGTGAGGGATCAAAAGGGCATATATTCCCTGACTCCTTTTTGTGATCGTCTACTCATTTAGAAGGAGAATAACAAGAAAATAGCAGGTGGTCCATTTTATATAATTTGTTTTCTCACCCCAACAGTACAATCCACAATTATTTGAGCGTCCATTTCTGTTACTCTTGCACCAGTAGTTATCGTTCACTTGATAAAGACCCCAGTCCTGGGACCCATTAGAATTGGGCCGCCCCACGGCATATGTTCTAAATCTACTCTCATGATAGGCCAGACACATCCCTATAAAAAGTAATAACTAGTGCTATATTCTGTTTAATGACAGTAGTGTTGTACTCGATCTTAAGCCGTTGCCCATTGAGTTTTCTGATTCAAAACCCATCACGTTTTAAGGGGTTCATCGTGGGATTTTAATAATGATTTTATATTTGTTGTACAGCGCTTTGTTTTGTAGTTCACAGGTATGTGCACTTGTGCTTTCTAATATGATCGGATTATCCATTGCTTTTCTGATAATTCTTGCCTTTCTTACTAGGCTCTTTGAAGGCAACTTGTTTAGATTTTATCATGGGCTTCTGTTGTGAGCCCATGATCTTATCCATACACAAACATTTTATAATACTTACAGTCAGCAAGGTTGCCAGGCATATTGCGAGCTCTCAGAGCTCTCACTAACTCACATCTCTGAAACTGCCTCCCTGAAAAAGGATCAGAAAATAAACAAGGAATTAACATATAAAATGCCACCACCTGCCATTTGTTAAAGACGCCGAACACAGACTGCCGTCCACAAAAAAGTTGGTGACAATAACAATATGTCACTTCTGGTGGTGACATAAAAATCATCCTCTTTACACATACACAGATGGGTTTCCAAAATTAAGGAAGGGAGTGTATGTGGCTAGCTCTACATACCCATGCAACACACATTGGATCCAGTACAAAGACCACTGACATATCCTCCAGGAGAACAACGGTTGCTGCGGGGTTGACATCGACCTTGACGGCTGGTACATCTAGCATCACCTACATTACAAATGAATGGGATTATTAGATACAAAGCATACAGGGACGGCCTGAAAGAAGGTATACATAGTGCATCTAACTTTTAATTACGGTTTCCGTAAAAATTTATATCAAAATTATATTTTAGATTTAAACCCAAGGTGAAAACAACAAAATAAACTCACTTCTGAATATAATAAAACAATGTATTAAACATCTTATATCAGTGCATATTTATCAAAAAACGTGTCTTTTCATTTTCTCAGCAAGAAACAAAATAGTCACCTCTGGGTGGAGGTCTTAGTCCCACACAACACCTTCTATCTGCTGGGCCAGGACAGAGGTTAGGTATGAAGTTTCCCCCTGTGCAAGTCCCATATTTACATGTGCCACCACGAGCAGCGCAGTTCCTATCAGCTATAAGAAATACTAGTATAGTAGCATCATTGGCGGATCCAGAAGCTAACAAGGGAGAGGGGGCAAATTTTGGCCCTGGAAAATATTTTGGGCCCCTAAAAATCAAAAATTGGGCCGAAATTTTGAATTCAAAGCCCAATTTTTGTAGTTTTGCCTAAAAAGGCTAAATTATGCCCAAAAAGCCCCATTTTTGGGCCCACAAAAGAGGTGAGGGCACCTGTTTTATATAATTTGACAAAATGATATATAATACCATGTACATTGGTTCATGCATCTATACTATTTGAAACTGCTTGATCCATTCACTATATTTGATTTTTACTATTTCATTAATTTAATGTATTTTCACTATTTGATTAATCCATGCATACCTACCATTGGCACTTGGTCTGCAGCATTGTCTGTTAGCTGGTCCATTGCACATTCCAGGAGAGTAAGTACCATCACATCTAGTGCTGGTGAACTGGCAGTAACCATTCACAGCTCGGCATCTTGTATCTCCTAAAAGGTGTCATGTTATACTAGTGTCCTTTAACTTATGACTTTACTGCACAAACACCACACGGTCGGATGTTTAATTTCACCTTGAGGGAGCCTTGAATTAAGTTAGGTGGAAAGAAATCCAGTTTCTAACTGGTTCTCTCTATATATTTACATTTGTTATGTTACAAACACTGACAGCAAAACACTGTTACAGACGCTGAACACCAAATGCTGAACACCAACTGCTGAACACCAGCCACAAAAATGTTTGAGACTATGACAATATTTCACTTCTGCCAGTGACATAAAAACAAAATTTTGTCAGTTTCACTGTCTCCGATTCTTCCTTTAATATCATGATATTTTAAAATCTTATACCATGTCAGTTTGTAACAATAAAAAAATCTTACCTTTTATAAACCCCACTAAACCATACAGAATTACAACAGAGAGAAACAACACCTTCATTTTACCTCCAATGTAATGATAACAATGCAAGTCGAGATACTGATTTAAATACAACATAATACTCAATGTCAATGACATTTTTCTTATCTCTGAAGATGCCATGACCCATTGCCTTGAGGTTAATTGAACGTCCATATGTGGAACACCTTATATTGGAACACATTTAAAAGTAAGATAAAATATAAAAATACAGTAAAACCTGACAAGTGGAACACCTCTAATGAAGACTTCATAATCCAGTAACCCATTTTTAATTGAGTTTCAATAAGTGGAACACCTTCCAATTGATACTCATTTATAAAAACCAAATATGTTTCGCAAACACAGGTTTTACTGCACGTTTATCATGATATGTACCCTTTGCATTCGTTCGACTTCACTTCTTAAAAGAGAGCTTCATCTTCTTTAGTTTATAACTAGACTGCAAGCAGGGTTCATGATATGGGTCTGAATGTCTTTCACTTCTATCAATTTGAGTGTTTCCTCTATTACATGTGTTTCTATAAAATTCAGTGTTTTCAATATTTTAGAGACTAAAACATCATAACCAAAACATATACTTAAATGAGGATTTCAGCAAGGATGCATTGACTTCACATGGGGATACCACCATGTATGTTGTTAACATGAGGATAGATAGAAAATCCTCATTATCTCAAAAGAACTCAAGTTGATCAAGTCGCAACAAGTAGATTCATGTGGAATAGTATTGCTAGAATCCATTTTCAATAGTAGAAATAGGGGTTCTCAAACACTATCGAAGCTTAACCAAGGCCTTTTTGAAATTTTTTGTTTGCTCTCTTGAAATTTTTTGTGATATTTGTTGTAGTGATAGTATACGATCTACAATTACAATTAAGATAAAATTACTGATTTTACCTACAGTTTGACCTTGACCTATGGCTTCCTGAGGTTTGAGTATTTAAATTGGGACTAAAGAATGGGCAGAGAATGTCGCAAGCAATTTTTAAATACATTTAAGCTGCAAAATTTTGTAAAATCATTAGAATTAAAAAAAGGAAACTTTTTAAGCTCATTACCAGATAACTGCCACAATTGATCAATTGAAATAAAAGTCAAAACTTTAACTTTGACATAAAATGCTATGAGAAAAAAATATTGAAAAATATACCCTCAATTTGATGTTAACTGTTGGAATTGGTCTACCTCTATCATTAAAACACAATAGTTTTTTTATTGTCCATCATCCTTTTATTTACAATCACCTTAATAAAATATCACATTGACAGCATAGATGATATTATGAAATAATGAAACCCTGTAGTATGAAGATAAATTAACTTTTTAATTAATGCTACTATTAAGGTGAGCATGGTGCAAAGAATTTGAAACTCATTTGTGTGTACATTATACTGTTACTTTTGTGTATATATTCTACCCAGTGTGATACAACAAAAGATATGGCACTTACATGTTGTTTCTTTTTTACCAAATATCACATTAACTGAGCAACAAAATTCATGTGTTATATTTAATGAATGATTAATGTAAATACAGTAGTTCAGGCCATTTGTAATATCATGTTAAATCCCTAATACCATTGAAATGTTATAGTTTATACTCGTACATGTACCCATATAACCAAATTCAAAATTTTATCAATATTTCTTTAAAAACTAAGAGAAAAAGTGTTAAAACACACTTATTCTCTTCATATAACTAACTAGCTTATGCATGTCTATAAGTATTAGGAATTGTAGCATTGCTCGGCCCTAGATATAACCAATGCAATTAGATTGCCCTAGATATAACCAATGCAATAAGATTGCCCTAGATATAACCAATGCAATTAGATTGCCCTAGATATAACCAATGCAATAAGATTGCCCTAGATATAACCAATGGAATGAGATTTCTGAATGAACACTCCATTCTTGGGTAAATACTTGATACTCATATCAATCTGAATCATCAATTAAAGAGTTTTCAATAAAATTCTAAATTTTGCTACAAGAGTAATAATGACTACGTAAGTCCGATCCTTCAGCTTTTTCCGTGTTTTTTATACATGTCTATGACATCTTGTACGTCTTCCTTTGATCCCATGAATATAGGCGACCTCTGGTGGATTGATTCAGGAACGATATCGAGAATTCGTTGAGTACCAGTCGTGGCCATTCCTCCCGCCTTTTCTATGACGTAAGCCATTGGATTGCATTCATACAGGAGCCTCAATTTTCCTTTAGGATTGGCTGAGGTTGCTGGGTATGCAAATATTCCTCCATACACCAGAGTTCTATGTACATCAGCCACCATTGAACCAATGTACCTTGCACCATAGGGTTTGCCACACTGGAGAAAATACAATTTTGATGTTTATGTTAAAAAAACAATGTACTGTGCATTGCAACATACAACTTCCCACGCTGTAGCAATACTTTATAGACTTCCATGTATAGAACTTAAAAACTAATTTTACTATACAGATCAGAAGATATTTCTTTTAGGGAAATTGACCAACATGTTGAATTGATTCAAAAGAGTGTCACAGTGAATGATTTTAATACATGGACTCTATTGCTTATCTTATACTTGCATGTATTTTAGTTGGAGTTGATAAGTTTTTCACAACATTTAATTCAATGTCATGAGATGTAACAAACACACATTTTAGTGAATGTTCACATATACTTTTCAATGTACTGTACTAGGCAAACAGATTTAATCTATTTGAAGCTTGAACATGGTACAGTTCTAGATATGGCAAGGGTATGCTCAAATAGGTTGCCTATGGAAAGCCCTGTACTGTACCTTGGGGTCCTTTTTGCTATTGATATACTCCCTAGTTGCCTCATCCCATATTGCAGCATATCCCTCATTGAGGGAATAGATCTTGCCTCTTGGCTTTATACGGATATTTGGCTCAGAGAGGACAAACTCACCAATTGCCTGGAATATAACAGAAAATAATTTGAACTTCATTTTTATATGACTGGGGTATTATACACATATATTTGTAATTTACATTTATTATTTAGGTTGAGACTGAAGTAAGTAATAAGTTAAAACAACTATTTACAACTATTAGATTTTTATCTTACAAAGATATTTTAAAAATGCTAAATTAATGAATAATACAGGGTGTCCAAAAAAACAGGACCGTAAGAAAGTTGAATAACTCGGTCAATTTTGCCTTGAAATTTAAGAATCATTTAGTTCATTCAATGTGAATTTTGTTCTGAAAGTTTGATGATAATGAATCCTGCGAACAAAGTTGTTAATGACCCTTACCTATACACATTAATGTGGATGGTAAATATTGGGGTAGTTATTGCCCTCTTAAGATTGTTAGGGGCCTGTCAGTATACACATTGGCTTTGAGAAATTCTCAAAGATAAAAATTTGGGGGATTTAGATCAGGCGAATGAGCTGCCCATATGGTTTGTGTTCTGCAACTGATGAGCTGACCACCAAAGCATTGCCTAAACCATTTCAGCATATCATTTGCAGTGTTGGGGTGGTATTGGCTTGTTGAAACCACTGCTTAATTATCTCCTTAGATGTCCCTTCTGGTGCTTAGTGACCTCCAAAACTTGGTGAGAACTTACTGGTCCTTGTTCATGGTGATAGCAAGTCCCCAGTCACCTTCGAACCAAAAGGGACTGATGATTCCATGTTTCCTCATTGCCACCCAGGCAGTGCATTGTTCAGAATGCAATGGATGCTGTAACACTTCATCAGGAGGATGTAAGCCCCAGTAGCAATTGTTCTTGGAACAAACCTGTCCATTCAGAAAGACATGTGTGTAGGAGGATCATCAACAGCTTTGTTCACCGGATTGAATTGTGCATAGAGATGAGATTTGCACATTTGGGGCATGTTTTGTAAGGAGCTATAGTTTTTGACTCAATTAGTAGATTATTATCAAACTTTCACAACAAAATTCACATTGAATGAACTAAATAATTCTGAAATAGCAAGGCAAAATATGCAAAATTGACCGAGTTTCAACTTTCTTACGGTCCTGGTTTTTTTTGGACACCCTGTACTACAGCTGTATTTATGTTAACATTACATAACAAAACCATAGTAGCTATCTGAATTTTTATTGGTCTTTAATACGTTCTTTAAGCCGCAAAGATTATTTTGGTTATTTTCTTCTATTTCTTCTAATGTTGTCCTTTGTGCTCTCATTTCTAACACAATTACAGCACTGCTTCTTACAAGGGGTGTTGTCCAAATGTTGACAGTCGTGGGAAATGAACTTCAATTTTTTTGTTATGTTTAATCCCCTCTTACTCTCACTTATGAAATATTCATTAACCCCCTCCCCTCTTACATAATGACATAATGAACTTCATTCTTCCACAAGTGTTGATTATTGAACAACACCCCTCAAACAAAATTAAAATCTATGGTGACAACTGGTAGATCTTGATTGCAAAATGATTTCTAAAAAAAATACTCGATTAAAATATTGAAGAATAAAAACTTAGTTCAAAAAGAACACCTTTTTGGTATTTTTTTGTATATTCTGAAAATGATTGGCTAGAAGTTCCTCTTTTATTTGGAGAGAAAAATATTCTAGATAAAGTCATTTCAAAAAAGTAAATCAGATTGGGTCCCCTTCCAAGCAACAGCCCTACCCTCAAGATCTAACAGTATGTCCCTGTGGGTATATAAAACAATGATTGGAACAAACAAAACACAGATATACACAAGCCTAACTTGTAAAACAATTTGTAAGTAAATATAGTAAACCAGTAAAGTGCAACACCTCTGACTCTGTAAGTGGAACACTTCAGAGACCCATAAGCAATTGAACCTCTAGAAGTGCTACACTTTGTGGAGGTACCAAAGGTGTTCCACTTACACAGATTTTACTGTAATAGATGGCGTTTAGCAATATGCATCAATATAATTTTGTGTTGTATCATACATCAAAAATAAAACAAATAATCTTATTTTATACAAGTAGTTGTAGCTGCTGTAGTTCATATAAGCTTGAAGCTTTAATACAGAGATAGTCCAGAGGAAAATATGTCTACTTAGTAGAATATCAGAGCAAAGAGCTGGAATTCTTTGTGTAGTATTTAGTCATAAAGCCAGCATTGGAAGCCAGAAGTCAGTAATTAAACATCATCATTTTCAAAGAAGAGCTTAATGTGGTATTCTCAGTGTTCAAAACTATTTCAAGAAAAGGGAACTATTCAAATATAAAATACTTAATATCTATTAGTATATATTTGCATTAAGGGGACAGTACTGTCATCAAGTTCATCAAAATAAATGGTGTAAAGTTTTGTTTATGTAAACACATAAGATATGAAAGCTGCAGCCATACCAGCCAAATTATGACTTTTGAAGATTGTGAGTGTGGTATTGCAGATTGGCCTTTTTTAATCTAATATAGTGAATACATGTTCTCTTGCAAATTGAGCTTGATTTCTTCATCGTTGTACAACATCTGACAAAAGCGCATTTTCAAATCATGCCATAAAATCAGATTCTCTAGTCACATGCAAAAACAACATTGAACCACAGCATTTAACCTTACAGGATCCAAAATAAACCCATTGACGTTTCCATTCAGCGCTAGGACGACCATTGTGGCGCTACCATATAAGGCATATCCAGCGGTTACCATTTCATGTCCTGGAACCAACGCATCCTTAACAGTCGGACGTCCAGTGTGGGTCTGATGAATGTCAAAATGATATGTTTAATTGCTATTAACAGAACTGAGAAAGTCAATGTTAACGTGGATCAACCTCTATCCCTATATGAAATCCTCCCAAGAAAGAAAGGTGTGGCAACCTGTAACTACCTATCGATTGCCTTTAAAGCTGTGTTTTTAAAGAAAAAAAACATTTGTATCATAGTCCATTAGTGATTCGAATGGGTAGGTTGCTATGATTTGAATTTCATGGGAATTTCTTAAGGTCAATAGACATGATAGAGGATGAGTTCATTTCAAACAAAATATCACAATGATCTCCTTTTTACCAAAATAGACTAATAGACTATAAAATAACACTCTAATCTTTGACTGAGTCGGCCAACTGGCATACCTATACTGCACAAGGTAAAATCCTGGATAGACTCATTGTGATATTTACTTAAACAAATGTTACCTTTACTATCTAATGACAACACAAAGTTAATAACTAGGCTCCAAACCTTGCCTTTGAAGTCATTAGACAGAATGAGGTACAGAAAAACCAATTGTCATGCATGATGTCATAGATTGCGCCTCTTTTGCTCATCCAGATCCTAAAAAAAGCAAAATATAATTTAGTTTAGGAAAAAAAAGGGAGGCAATTGTGTATGGGTCAATCATTTCAAAAACACTTACTGGATCTAACATAAAGCCGTTAACAGTGCTACCTCCTGCAGCAAGGACAATCATGGTAGCACTACCATAAAGTGCATATCCTGCAGCTACTGTTTCAATTCCTGGCTGTAGGGCATCTTTCAGTGAGGGAGGCCCATCTGATGTCTAATAAAAGCCATGCAATAGTCAGTGTTAATCTTGTTCAAATTCATTATAGTACAGAATCCAAAGAAAATATGGGAAATAATGAGGTATTGACTCAAAGAAGTTACATGTATTATGACCTCTATATTGTCAAAGGTTCATAATGATGCTTTTCTTTGGGTCTTGTGAAAAAAAAATTAATTCTCTGTTAGAGTGATACACATGCACTTTACTTAAGATAAATCAGAGATAGAGACCAATCTTTCAGATATTGTCTAAACTTTAAAGTCGGGCCTCTCTCCGAAACGCAATCTTAGGTTGTTCCCGGGGTCCCTAGTAATACTTTGTGCTTTAATGAGAAAATATACAATAATGAACAAATGGAGCAAATACTGTGAAGAAATACTCACGATAAAGATATTATTTTGACGATTGTTCATTCAACTGCTCGGAGGTTCGCCGGTAAACAAATTTCTTCGAAGATTTCTAAATTTAGAATGTCACGCGACTAACTAAAACAAAGTTTAGATAAATCCCCTTAAATTACTCGCATGTGTAGCCAATGCCTGGTTAGTACAGTGGTAGAGTGCTCGCCTGTCACTTTGATGGTCCGGGTTTGAATCCTGGCATAGTCTTTTTTTATTTTTTAAGTTATTGGTTATGCTTTGATTTTACACTTAAAAAACGTTTATATCTATGTCAAAGGATCTTGTACACCTGCCATTATGATCTCCCCATGAACAAAAATAAATTCATCTGATTTTTCAAAATAAATATACTGCTTTTATTATTACATTTATATGTACACTAGTATCTTGTTGACCTATATTCAGCACTGTATTGATGAATGGGCCACTTTTTAGGGCAATATTCAATCATAAAGTGTACAGGGGTAGAGATGCCAAACCAGGAAGTCTTTTTGTGTCTGTCAAAATCCATTTGCATCCTACACATCCCTACATCTTATCAAAATATGTTATTAATTAATGAATCATAACAGTATAATATTTGGATTTACAAAGTTGTATGGGATTTCATAAGTGTAAAAGTTGCTTTTGAAGCATTTTTCTATAGCCATTTTGTAGGAAAAAAATGATGAAAAAATGAATAATCTTTTAATTTGAAGTATGACCTGAATCGATTGCAAACTTTATATTTGCACATCTGATCTGAAATACCATTTGTGTCATATTGTGAAATTATTTAATTTGCAATCGATTCAGGTCATAGTGTATTTTAGGTATTTTTGTGAAAATCAATAGAAACCAATGGCCTCCATTGGAATCTGATGGTATCCACATGTTAAGTCAATAGAACACATCCAATGTCAAGTCAATACACCCTTGCTGAACTTAATGACCCCAACCTCAGCCCATGTGGGGCCAAACGCTTAAATATTTTCCAAAGTATTATGTAACATTGTATTCTTTATATTACACCTAAAAATGATTCATTTTGTTCATGGGGAGATCATAATGGCAGGTGTACAAGATCCTTTATATTTAAGCATTTATTAGCTCTTCAGTCGTAGGAAAATGGAAAAATAATTTATGTTTGCGTTTTGGAGAGAGGTATAGGTTTAATATCAATCTTAATTTACTGAATTAATTCAATGTTGTTTCTTATTTCTATTTCTCACATCTTTAAACAAGGTTTTAACAAAATGTCACCACCTAGTTGCAATTACAAAAACGTTAACAATTGATGAAAATGCTGATGTAGAACAACAACAACAATGATGAATGCTTGTCACAAAAATAATATTATTATGCACCTCATTAAAATACTCAAATCTTATTGGTTAAGAGCTGCAGGGTCTATTGCCATACATGGCAGTAAGATCTCGTTCTATCCAGTATTGAAGCAACGAGATCTCCAACCATCCCGTATGCTAGAATACCTATCCTCGAAAAAAAAATACTAGGCTCGGCTTCTGTTTTAGTAGACCCATTCTTTAAAATAAAGTATTTCTCAAGGCAGGTGCATAATAAAATAAATACTGGATGACCATGAGGTGGATATGCCAGAATACCTATCCTCGAAAAAAATACACTTTCCTCGGATAGGTTTTCTGGCATATCCACCTCATGGTCATCCAGTATTTGTTTAATATGTGACCACTTCTAGGTGCTGAATTTTAAACCACAATGAGGATTTTATACAAAAAGGTACAGTGAATCTCAAAAATTCAAAATTAAAACACGTTGGTTAATATAAAATTATTTCACAACTATTATTGGCAGGAATTTCAATATATGTACCATTGCTTATTATTTTACATGTCACATTTAACAAACTAAATGATAGATGGAAACTTACTTTTCTATAAATTCCAAATATTGTTCCTATGGAAACAAGGCAGTCAATATTTGAAGATCCATCTAATGGGTCAAACATCACAATGTATTTCCCCTAAAACAGACACATTTTAGTTTAACATCATATTGTATTTTCAAAAAGACTTATTGTACAAATCAAAATATACTGTGCATTTGCTTGGAAACATTTATTAACACATTTGGTCATGGAGTGTTTATTATCTGTATGAAACCATTCTCTAAGATGAGAAGGTAGATTGGTTGTCATTAGCAAGTGCTATAAAGAAAGAGATCAGTTACATATTATATAAGTATTGTCAAGTTAAAAACATCATGCCTAAATGGCCAGTATCAATGCCCAGCTTTGAAATTGGTTATTTCATACATATATTTATTTGTAACACTTGGTAATAATACCCTTATGGCCACTGTCTTTTTCATTTTCAATAAATCTGAGTGATTTGTATTACTAAGAAAAAACTTGTCAAAAAGCAGCTCACTTCTTTGGGACACCTAATATTTTCCACCTTCTTCCTTAAAATCAGAAATATCTCTACCTGTTTCTCTGTTTCAACCTCAATGCAATTTTCATTTTCCTCCGAGACAAGCAAGCATGTCGTGAAAGAAGACTTCAACATATTGATGAACAAGTCATTTGCCAAAACGTCCAACTTTTTCTGCTCATCTCCTGTGGTGTTAGTCGTTCCAGCGATGCCATATCTGTAAGAGGAAATCAAATTGAAGTAAAAGTACATTATGAAACTATCTAGATATCAATATACCATTTCAGAACTAAGCAGAATGCACTGGAGCAAACTGACAAAATGCTATGTACCTTTGTGTTTACATCAATGTATAAAACTTGCACTGAGATGACAAACTGTATTGTTTTTTTTCCAAATGATACATTGAGTGAATCAGGGCACAATACTATAGTTAAGAATTTTGACTTCATGAGAATTCAGTTGATTTGGCCACCCTGAGGATATTAAGTCCAGTCAGTAGGCAGATAAAGCATAAAGATATCGGTATTTTCACTGGTGATCCACTCGATTACCCTGGTAAACAGCGTAATCGAGTGGATCACCAGTGATTTTAGGGTATAAACATTTTGCATCTTTTAAGGTCAGGTCTAAGAGAACAACTTATACAAAGCAGCTTTTCTTGCAGTTCCTACAAATGTATTTCAACACTGATATTTTTCTACACTTTTCTTAGCTTTGTTGATTTCAATATTTTTACCTTTAACAAAGTTGGGATTTACTCCCCTTCCCTTAACAATAATTTCAAGAAAAACAATGACTCCTTCTATCTAATCTTGCATAAAAACTCTCTTGCCTCCCTTATACACAATATATGCAAGGGGAACAGGATGGGAGGGGTGTATACAGGGTTTTGGTTTGACGCAAGACTAACCTGACTCATAATACAGGGTAAATTTCAGTTATTGCTTTTCAATCAAGTTTTTGTTACAGATTTATCCACTATTTTTCAATAAACTTCTATTCAGACTTAACATTTTCATATAAACTTAAATATTTTAAAGTGTATCAATGGATACAAAAACCTATAGCTAATTGTATGTATTAAATTGCACTGAAAACATGTTGACCTCACATCAGCTGTTACAACTACCTGGTGTGTACAGAAACAAGACATCTAATTGGCCAATATGTTCACACCCACTAGGCACACCCTTCAATGACACAATATGCATCTGAATACATATAATGAAAATCAATTATAGACACAATATAACTCAGAAAAACAAAATTGATTTAATATAACATTTTAATATGTTTGTAATATAATAGTATTAAACCCTATTAGGTCTTCTCTATCTGAGACCCAAACTAACTCCAAGGAGAGTTGAGGGCTTGGAAACCAGGTTTCTCTTTTAAGAGACAATGAAAAACACAATGTTGCTGGTAATACCTCAGCTCAACAATAGCAACAACAGTTACTTGTTAATATGGAATGATTTTTTTATTTGAAATTTTAACCAAGGAAGGGTCCTCAATCTGTAAAAATATATATGCATGAGACCAAAGGAAAGTAGATTATCATAAAAGCAAGAAAAGGAAACATCGAAGAGCATGAAGCTTATGAAAGCAAACCCACAATATCCCAAACTATGATTTGATACACAGAGAAACAATGTTTAAGACCTCTTATGAATCAAGAATCATTTTCACCATCCAAAACCATGAGACCATGGGACAATAATGATAATGTCAAAAATTATGAGTTGAAAATTCAATCTCATGAAACTGACTCATCTTAAAGATGTAATGTAATGTATGAATCTAATGGCTGATGTTTTGTCATTGCTGGGTCCTTACTTGACTTTGAGCTCACTGATAAATTCAATCAATAGAATGCACTGTACTGTACATTTGAATGTAAACATCTGGAATTTACAATGAGTATAAAGATGTGAATTCTGCAATTATAGATGTATGTGCATTACATGCCCAGTTGTGCATTAGTGGATGCCCACTGACAATAGCATATGGCTGTTACATATTTCAAGCCTATTTCAATGATTATTTCTCCAATTATATTAATATTATGTTGAATCAAATAATTTCTCAACCAATTTTCAGACGAGTAAACATTGGGTGCAAAGTCCAAACTAATGTCAAGGGGTAAACAAGTCTAAGTTCAGATAACAAGCTTATAGGATCATGCAGTCACGTTGTGAGATGTAAAAACTAAATTAGCCTCCCGGGGAGGGGGGGGGTGATATACATGTAGTTGCCTATAACAAATCATAGCGTAATACCATACATGTAGGTTAAAATAAGAAATGGTGTCACTTTACACCAGTGTACATATGCAACATACATGAATGTAAATGTACAAATGTACATTGTATGTAAAACCATGGGCTTCCAGAGATCTAAAATCCAAGCCAAAAAATAATTGTACATATGTATATTTTTTGGCTTGGATTTTAGATCTCTGGAAGCCCATGGTATAGTTGTTTGTTGTCATTTTATAAGAGGGTAGATCTTCATAGTTGCATCTCCATTCCCTTTTATGACTCCAATTCCATATGACAGAATTAAGTGCACTGCAAAGAAAACTGATATTTTTGTTTGTATATCTGAGATTTGTAGGCCTTACCAATGGGCTCAATAATATTGATTTACAAAATTCAAATAGTCTGACTCCTCAGAGCCAGGACAGTGTTGTCCGGTAGACAAACTAATTCTTTGTGAAGTACTTCATTTACATGATTGTTGGGGCCTAATAAGCCTAATGGCCTGCAGTGCTCTGAGTTTAAATTGCAGACCAAATCATGGGAGCAATAGCAGCCCTCCGGGGAGCAGCACCCACAAGCCTTACATTTCAGATTATTTAAACCCTCAGTGTACAATTCAAAACAAAGTCAAAACAACTGATAGACATCAGAGCTGAGACTATGTACATGTACAACCGTATCCTGTACCATGACGAATCTAGTCCTTGATTGAATGACTACCCGGGACTAATGTCTACAGCCAGGGAGTCTAATACCTTATCCTGTATCATGACGAGTATACATGACTAGAAGTCCTGAATAATTATTCAGACTGTAAATAGGATATAGTTTCGGATAAAGACTGTCGTCTACAGCCATGGAGGCCGAGGACTTGTCAAATGAGTAATCCACACATTCACCGTACCCCCACTGCGATTTACATTTGTATAGTTATTAGAGGCCATTAGATAACAATAAATTTAGCATATATACATTGGCAGTCTAAAAACACAAGATAAACTCACAACTTTGCTATTCCTGCTTTTCTAACAGCTGATGAGGTCGCCTTGACTGCTGTACAAATTGCGGTGATCAATTGAGTCAAATCCCCGGTTGCTTCTGGATGTTTTCGTTGTTCAGCTAACACAAAACGGGTCAGAGTCATACAATCTACATCGATACCGCTCCCCTGACTCGACATGGTGTTTAATTAGTGTTTAAACTGGAGAAAACAAATCCCGACTTCTCTTCCAAATTTTAAACGTGCAAGGTCATCAGATAGACAGAATGACCTTGAAGACACGCCCACTTTTTTTATCGCTGTAGCGAAAATAATTAGTTCTTATAACAGTTCTTGATCAGAAAATAAAATGTAAGTTTTTACTTTTCTCGCTTATTCGCTTATTTATTGGATTGTGTCTTATATTTCATTTGATTATTACAGATATGAAAATCATAGATATATCAGTTACCAAATGACACAGCACTTTCTTTATTATCCGCGATAGATTTTGAGATATTACAGCTCAAAAGTTTTCTTGCTTTTTATTCATTTTTTATGATTTTTACTTTTATATTATTATTCTGGGAAGCAGTTCAAATGGTTAAAATAACGAAATGATGTGATGTTACCATGTATCTACTTACCAGTATGTTCTATGCTATCTATCCAACTATGTAAATTGTGAAACTCAACACGACACTGAAGGCAGTATTCTGAGGTTATAAAATATAGATCGAAATAATTTTTTTCCATTTGTAGCACCTTGGAGATTTCCGGAATTGAACAAAGTAGCGAATGTTGTGATCTTTCAACTTTAGTTTGTTGTTTTTCACCACTTTATGTATAGCGTTTAATGTACATCATTTCAGGTCTTTATGATTCATGAAATCAATAAGTTTCCTAGCGTAGTAACTAGAGTTGTTGCGATGTGCCATAATCGTACATCAATGCATCAGCAATTTTAAGTAGTAAACATCGATGCACATCGAGAAAAAGTCCGAGAAAAGTGCATTGAAATACCGAACTCTAATGCACTAAAATACCGAACAGAATAAATTAATAAGAGTACGCTGGTACATCCGGGAACTTCTAGTAGTAAATTTTTTAGATTAATGGTTCATTTCGACTTGTTAAAACAGTTTTAAAGCGAAAGAATATCAGAAAACATTGGAAAATGAAATAAGACATGAGAAAGGTAAGCGATTTGCGTCAAAATAAGATAAGATAAAGGGTGATTTTTAGCAAATTAAATTTTTTAAAACTGGCATTGATGTTTTGTATCAAACATCGATGCATCGCCAGAATCAGCTTTGGCGATGTATATCGCGATATATCGATTAATCGCGACAACACTAGTAATATCTTGAATAAAGTTGATTTTAATAGTCAGTAGCTTCAGAGGCCCTTTTTACAATATTTGACATCACTATCTTGGAATATTTTCTTCTATATTCAGCAGCAGATGTCTGAAAACCATTTTCTAATAAATTAATATCTTTCTTTTAAGATTTATTAGAAACTAGAAGTATGTTCTCTATAACATCCACGCGCAAGCAAAATTCTGCCGCCGTTTAATTCAATTTGGACTGGAGTGTTTCATAATGATCTAAATTGATTTATATGATTTCTATCAGGAACGTTTTGACTCTCGCTTATTAAAAAGAACATTATCGCTGTTTTCTTGACTCGAAAAATCTCAAATGAAAAAGTTCTTAGAACCTTTTCAATCCTCAGTCTAAATATGGCTTTTAAAGGTTCAAACAGCAACTTTTGAAGGACCTTAATGCATATTTCGAAAAGATTCACCAGGGATAGTTTTAGACCAGACAATCATATCTATAGCCAGAAAATGTTATTTTCAACCATTTCACACTCTATAAATCGCAACCTGCCTTTAATCAGTCACAAATGAACCCATATCAGCTTAGTTTTGTCTACCATGAAGCACTAGACTAAGCACAATATCAAAATGTCAGTTTGGTAAAGACTATATTCAATATGACAAATATAGCTTTCCAATGGTGTGCTTAAATGGTTAGTCACTTTTGATCATGACCAAGATATTATTATTAAGTTCAGTAATCAGTGTGACAAGTAAAAAGCATTAATAAATTAAATACACACATGCAAATTTTGGCCAGCCTTTTACCCTTACAGTCAGTCTTTTACATATTTTCCTCAAACCCTTTTAAGGTTACCTGTGGAAAGCGCTGACCCAGGGGTGGATCTAGAACCAACAATGGGGGTTCATATTTGAAGTCTGAAAAAAATTCCGCGCTTGTGAGGAAAAAATTTGGGCCCCTAAAACCAAATGTGGGTCCAAATTTTGAAAATTTAAGGCCCATTTTCCTGATTCCCCCCAAGATCCACCAGCAGCCACCAGTGCTGACCAGTCGGTGGAAGGTGTGATTGGTCTTTTACACCCGGATATTTGGTTGACATTATTCAGATTTCTAGTGTGTAAGAGTACCCTGATGTGTGTCATAGTTTTAAAGATGCCATGAAAAGTTTATAGCTTTTAACATTCTCATATTTCTTTAGATGATGAAAATGTTGGCAAGTCTCACATCTAGAGCAACTTACACATGTATATGCCGGGGGCTTTGGAAGCAGTCGGCTGGCATTACTCCATCTATAGGTAAGTTGGAACATATCAGCGACAGTGTTTACGGTTTAAGGGTCTAATAATTTGTATCATGAATCAATGAATCCTTCAATTAATTCAGCCAAAGTATTTATTTTAAGTCATACATGTTATTACAATTAAATGTTAAAGAAATATTTGAAGTGATGTCTTACCCAATTTGAATACCGCACTCTGCTGATACATCTTCCTGTAAACTCATTTCTTCAGGTTTTCAATACACTGTACAGTTTCACTCTATCTAATGTTAGAAATATTAATGTTTTAGGTGTCTTGGGGAATCATAAATCCATCCACACAAAGCCTGCCTGTTGCATCATGGATAAAGATGTCAGAGGGAAGGACAAAGTTTTGGAAGAGGCTGGAAGGAGGAAGAGCTACCAACCTATGGATGATCCATTAAATACAGAAAATGACGCTGTGATAGAGGGCTTAAATAGGTGAATATTTGCTGGGTCCCTGACTCCCTACTTAATGTTACCCGAAATGAGGCTCTATAATGATAAACTACCCTTATAAGATTTTGGTTTGTTATATTCACTTCTCTCAAAGCCTGACTTATTATCCAGGCCATAAAAATTGAACTTTAACTTTTTTTTAGCTTTTTCATGTACATGTACCTCACATAATTATCAATGCTATGAAATAAAATTCCTGCTGTTGGAGGTTGACTCTTAAAAAATTCATTCATTCAAATAAAAAAGATGTCTTGTGGGAATACTGCGTAATCACCTTTACTTCAACACTCAGCAGCCAAGACATGACTTAGATACCTAAAGCAAATTTTTATAACACAGATTATACTTAATTATTTAATGCCCACAATTTACTTTTCTCAATATTATAGTAGGATTTTTATGTCACCACCATCCACCAATTATGGTGAAATATTGTTATGGTCTCCAATAATTTTGTGAAGGCAGTCTGCAGTTGGTGGTCAGCATCTGTAACAAATGGCAGGTGGTGATGTGTTAATGCCTTCTTGATTCAATGGTTTTCCCTTCCTCACAACTAATTTAATGTAAAATATTGGTGCCATATTTGCTTAAATAATACATGTATTTCTTAATTTCCGATTTTCAAGGTGCTCAAATTGTATTCCATGGGTTTCTATTTTTCAGTGGTGGAATATTGACCCCTTCCAAGCACACTCCAAATATGGTAATCAGTGGCACAAAATATTCAGAATTACATTTCGTGAGCATTAAGTCGACACCAAACAATACTATCCTCTCGCTACAGGAACATAAAGGTAAATATACAATTAAAAATGAAAGTTGTTGACCATTAAGAAACTCTGAAAAGGTAATTAGCCTAATTCAAATAATAATACGTAAGCTGAAGTTGGAAAGAAGTTGAATTAGAAGGAAAAATAGGGAAGTCAATGCTTGAATTGAGCTAAATGGTAATGCAAGACCATCAGAGAATTCTATATCCAACTATTTTTTTAATGACCTTGACCTCCAGGCATGATGTTTTGTCTTTTCCTTATCCTGGCATCAATGACTTCTGATCCTGACCTTGTATTCTATATAGATTTACAAGTATATTTGATAATATTATTTATAGGAACTGGTATTGCCTACAATTCATGTGGTATAGAGGGTTTCAAGAACAGTAGAAAAGGAACCAACATTGCTGCCCAAGCTGCTGCTATTACCCTAGGCAAGGTAGGTTGTGTCTCCATAGTAACCTAAATTGCTGCCCAAGCTGCTGCTGCTACTCTTTGCAAGGTAGGTTGTGTCCCCATAGTACCACACATTGCTGCCCAAGGTGCTGTCATTTCCCTAGGCACGGTAGGTTGTGTCTCCATAGTAACCAACATTGCTGCCCAAGCTGTTGCAGCTCCTCTTTGCAAGGTAGGTTGTGTCCCCATAGTACCCAACATTGCTGCCCTAGGTGCTGTCATTTCCCCAGGCACGGTAGGTTGTGTCCCCATAGTACCCAACATTGCTGCCCAAGGTGCTGTCATTTCCCTAGGCACGGTAGGTTGTGTCTCCATAGTAACCAACATTGCTGCCCAAGCTGTTGCAGCTCCTCTTTGCAAGGTAGGTTGTGTCCCCATAGCACCCAACATTGCTGCCCAAGCTGCTGCTATAACCCTAGGCAAGGTAGGTTGTGTCTCCATAGTAACCAAAACTGCTGCCCAAGCTGCTGCCGCTACTCTTTGCAAGGTAGGTTGTGTCCCCATAGTACCCAACATTGCTGCCCAAGGTGCTGTCATTTCCTTAGGCACGGTAGGTTGTGTCTCCATAGTAACCAACATTGCTGCCCAAGCTGTTGCAGCTCCTCTTTGCAAGGTAGGTTGTGTCCCCATAGTACCCAGCATTGCTGCCCTAGGTGCTGTCATTTCCCTAGGCACGGTAGGTTGTGTCCCCATAGTACTAAACATTGCTGCCCAAGGTGCTGTCATTTCCCTAGGCACGGTAGGTTGTGTCCCCATAGTACCCAACATTGCTGCCCAAGGTGCTGTCATTTCCCTAGGCACGGTAGGTTGTGTCCCCATAGTACCCAGCATTGCTGCCCAAGGTGCTGTCATTTCCCTATGCACCGTAGGTTGTGTCCCCATAGTACCCAACATTGCTGCCCAAGGTGCTGTCATTTCCCTAGGCACGGTAGGTTGTGTCCCCATAGTACCCAGCATTGCTGCCCAAGGTGCTGTCATTTCCCTATGCACCGTAGGTTGTGTCCCCATAGTACCCACATTGCTGCCCAAGGTGCTGTCATTTCCCTAGGCACGGTAGGTTGTGTCCCCATAGTACCCAGCATTGCTGCCCAAGGTGCTGTCATTTCCCTATGCACCGTAGGTTGTGTCCCCATAGTACCCAACATTGCTGCCCTAGGTGCTGTCATTTCCCTAGGCACGGTAGGTTGTGTCCCCATAGTACCCAACATTGCTGCCCAAGGTGCTGTCATTTCCCTAGGCACGGTAGGTTGTGTCTCCATAGTAACCAACATTGCTGCCCAAGCTGTTGCAGCTCCTCTTTGCAAGGTAGGTTGTGTCCCCATAGTACCCAACATTGCTGCCCTAGGTGCTGTCATTTCCCTAGGCATGGTAGGTTGTGTCCCCATAGTACCCAACATTGCTGCCCAAGGTGCTGTCATTTCCCTAGGCACGGTAGGTTGTGTCTCCATAGTAACCAACATTGCTGCCCAAGCTGTTGCAGCTCCTCTTTGCAAGGTAGGTTGTGTCCCCATAGCACCCAACATTGCTGCCCAAGCTGCTGCTATTACCCTAGGCAAGGTAGGTTGTGTCTCCATAGTAACCAAAACTGCTGCCCAAGCTGCTGCCGCTACTCTTTGCAAGGTAGGTTGTGTCCCCATAGTACCCAACATTGCTGCCCAAGGTGCTGTCATTTCCCTAGGCACGGTAGGTTGTGTCTCCATAGTAACCAACATTGCTGCCCAAGCTGTTGCAGCTCCTCTTTGCAAGGTAGGTTGTGTCCCCATAGTACCCAACATTGCTGCCCTAGGTGCTGTCATTTCCCTAGGCACGGTAGGTTGTGTCCCCATAGTAACCTAAATTGCTGCCCAAGCTGCTGCTGCTACTCTTTGCAAGGTAGGTTGTGTCCCCATAGTACCCAACATTGCTGCCCTAGGTGCTGTCATTTCCCTAGGCAAGGTAGGTTGTGTCTCCATTGTAACCTAAATTGCTGCCCAAGCTGCTGCTGCTACTCTTTGCAAGGTAGGTTGTGTCCCCATAGTACCCAACATTGCTGCCCAAGGTGCTGTCATTTCCCTAGGCACGGTAGGTTGTGTCTCCATAGTAACCAACATTGCTGCCCAAGCTGTTGCAGCTCCTCTTTGCAAGGTAGGTTGTGTCCCCATAGTACCCAACATTGCTGCCCTAGGTGCTGTCATTTCCCTAGGCACGGTAGGTTGTGTTCCCATAGTACCCAACATTGCTGCCCAAGGTGCTGTCATTTCCCTAGGCACGGTAGGTTGTGTCTCCATAGTAACCAACATTGCTGCCCAAGGTGCTGTCATTTCCCTAGGCACGGTAGGTTGTGTCCCCATAGCACCCAACATTGCTGCCCAAGCTGCTGCTATTACCCTAGGCAAGGTAGGTTGTGTCTCCATAGTAACCAAAACTGCTGCCCAAGCTGCTGCCGCTACTCTTTGCAAGGTAGGTTGTGTCCCCATAGTACCCAACATTGCTGCCCAAGGTGCTGTCATTTCCCTAGGCACGGTAGGTTGTGTCTCCATAGTAACCAACATTGCTGCCCAAGCTGTTGCAGCTCCTCTTTGCAAGGTAGGTTGTGTCCCCATAGTACCCAACATTGCTGCCCTAGGTGCTGTCATTTCCCTAGGGACGGTAGGTTGTGTCCCCATAGTACCCAACATTGCTGCCCAAGGTGCTGTCATTTCCCTAGGCACGGTAGGTTGTGTCTCCATAGTAACCAACATTGCTGCCCAAGCTGTTGCAGCTCCTCTTTGCAAGCTAGGTTGTGTCCCCATAGTACCCAACATTGCTGCCCTAGGTGCTGTCATTTCCCTAGGCATGGTAGGTTGTGTCCCCATAGTACCCAACATTGCTGCCCAAGGTGCTGTCATTTCCCTAGGCACGGTAGGTTGTGTCCCCATAGTACCTAACATTGCTTCCCAAGGTGCTGTCATTTCCTTAGGCATGGTAGGTTGTGTCCCCATAGTACCAAACATTGCTGCCCAAGGTGCTGTCATTTCCCTAGGCACGGTAGGTTGTGTCTCCATAGTAACCAACATTGCTGCCCAAGCTGTTGCAGCTCCTCTTTGCAAGGTAGGTTGTGTCCCCATAGTACCCAGCATTGCTGCCCTAGGTGCTGTCATTTCCCTAGGCACGGTAGGTTGTGTCCCCATAGTACTAAACATTGCTGCCCAAGGTGCTGTCATTTCCCTAGGCACGGTAGGTTGTGTCCCCATAGTACCCAACATTGCTGCCCAAGGTGCTGTCATTTCCCTAGGCACGGTAGGTTGTGTCCCCATAGTACCCAGCATTGCTGCCCAAGGTGCTGTCATTTCCCTATGCACCGTAGGTTGTGTCCCCATAGTACCCAACATTGCTGCCCAAGGTGCTGTCATTTCCCTAGGCACGGTAGGTTGTGTCCCCATAGTACCCAGCATTGCTGCCCAAAGTGCTGTCATTTCCCTGTGCACCGTAGGTTGTGTCCCCATAGTACCCAACATTGCTGCCCAAGGTGCTGTCATTTCCCTAGGCACGGTAGGTTGTGTCCCCATAGTACCCAGCATTGCTGCCCAAGGTGCTGTCATTTCCCTATGCACCGTAGGTTGTGTCCCCATAGTACCCAACATTGCTGCCCAAGGTGCTGTCATTTCCCTAGGCACGGTAGGTTGTGTCCCCATAGTACCCAACATTGCTGCCCAAGGTGCTGTCATTTCCCTAGGCAATGTAGGTTGTGTCCCCATGATAACTTTTAATGCTGCCAAGGCTGCTGCTATTACCCTACCTAAAAAGGTAGGTTATGTTCCCATGGCAACAAACATTGCATGATAACCAATATTGTTGCCTTGGCTGCTGCCATTTCTCTTAGCAAGGTGGGTCATTTACAAGTCATCTGAAATTTTTTAAGGTAGGTAGAGTAGAATGATACCCAAGTTTGCTTGTACAGTATTACTGATATCATGTGTCTAAATGTCATTCTTCATTGCCCACCTTAAAGTACCCCTTAATATTTGTAATTTATTATTGCAGAAGGCCCTTGAAAAGGGAGTAAGAGATGTGAAGATCATAGTGAAAGGACTTGGACCAGGAAGATTGGTAGGTTAACTCTTTGCCAAACTTATTAGTTTTCTGAATTTATTAACTTCATTGTCTATAATATTGGCCCTTGATTATAAAACCCAAATCAAGAACAAAAAATACATTATCAATGAGGTGTTGAATTATCCAAGTATAGAAAATAGATTACTCTCACCAGAAAATATGCTTACACTATTCACGTCAGTATAAGCACGGTGTATAACCCAAACGCTCCTACATGCACGACGGAGCGTTTCATTACTAAAATTAAACAAAGAAACGCTCCGGAGTAGGAAAACTGGCTGGCGGGAATGATGAGCCGTCTGACGATTTCCCCAATAATGGGATTAAGAGGTATGAGTTACATATTTCGAGTATACCATTCGATGGGTGTGATATTCATGTTGTTCTTGGCTGGCTGTTGATGTTTGAAGCAATTAGGAAGAGCTGTACGAAGCAGTATAGTTATCAAAATCCAAAAACGTATTTGTCATTCTACCGGTCAAAACCCATTCTGTCGATACATGTGATTAGTTGAGTCAAGATTAGAGCACCAACGTATATTTTAGTCAAATTCCAATGCTTCAACGCACCATACATTATCGTAATAGTGACTTGATCACCGAAAATCCAGTCTTAAAAATGATGACATTCTCATATTCAAGAAATGCTCCGATCTGGTTAACAAAATGAACTGGAAACGCTCCGGTAGTCTAGATCTGTTTAGGAAATATATAGCTTGCCTTTCCTTTTCAGGAAGAGAAAGAAATTAAGATCTATTATACTCCTTGGCATCAAAAGAAAAAAGATTAATTCATATATTAATTTTCGTTTTTTTTTTATAGTTTTATGATCTAACATACATGTAGGCATGACATCATCTAATGTAGGCTTAAATCAGCTAGTTGCACCACCAGGTTCAGATGTTTCAATTTGCCTAACAAGTACAACACGTTTTTGAGAGATAGATTCGATTCGGAACTCTTCTCTAATAATTTGAAAATGATATCAAAACAAAATGGTAAGAGCGTTTCTAAAATTGTGTTCTAAATCGACGGAGCGATTCGAGGAAAACAAGCGATTTCTTGAGAACAAGTAATGGATTTGGACTGGGATTTTAAGAAATGAGAATATACGAGTTTGTGATCTACTACTTTAACAGAAATATTAACGTTTTCATAGAAATACTAGTTTAATTCGTAATTTGTGGGCAAATCGTCATCTTCAGATTCGTTCGATCTACACTACGGAGCTTTGATCAAGCAAATAACAGTTTACCACCAGAAGTTGAATAAATAAGATCTTTGCTCGGGGTATTGTTCATCGAATGGTACATAATATTTCACCATAACATATGATATGTAAGAGAAGCGAGAGAAACAATACTTACGGTCATAGTGGAATCTTCATTAGCCGCCATTTTATTTCGCTCCGGAGCGTTTCCGCGTAAATGAAACGCTCCGTCGTGCATGTAGGAGCGTTTTGGTTATACACCGTGATAAGGATACATTAAAGACTGCTATCACATTTTCTTTTAAAATGGTGACTGGATATCTGCAATTGAACTAGGGAAGATAGGAAACATATCTTGGGTGATAGTTTTTACACCAGTTTTATAGAGTCAGAATTCCAAAAGCAAAACTTCATTGGAAAATGCCAAAAAATAAGAAATCAGAAAATCAGGGCAGTTACGAGCTATTGATCATTGTTGTACTAACTCTGTAAAATTGACTCATCATGGGTCTGTAGCTTACTTTTGCAGAAAACTATTTGAATATATTTTTTTAGAACTGTTTTTTTTGTAAAATTTTTTTGAATTTTAGTGCAATTGTTTTTTTTGCTTTGAGTATTAATTCTTGAGAATAAAATATCTTTCCCAATCTTGTAGGAACAAAATAGCATATACAACATTTTCCAAGACCTCTCAATATAATTATAGTTATACCTATAAGGAAGATTTGGTTGATTTAACAAAAAGAATTCAAAAAATTAAAACAAAAAACCCAAAATAGATAAAAATTGAAGTAAACCTTTTGATTCATTAAGAAGATACTTTTTTAGAATCAACCAAAATATCCTTTGTACAATTACAATATTGAGAGACCTAAACACGTTGTGTATATGTCGTTTTGTTCCAATGAGTTTCGGATAGAGGTTTCGTTTAATTCTAAACATATGATACCAAGAACAAAAGAAGTGTCTGATATATTTTCTAAAACAATATAGAGAAAAGTATATATATATTTTTCAAATTAAACTGTTACCATTCAAAAGATGATCATTCGATTGTCGATGTATAAAATTTTCAGAATTTTTTGATGACTGGTTTAAGAGAAACATGTGTTGAATTCAGTTCACCATATCAATACCAATCCTTTTTGAAAAAAAATATTTGAAAAAATTATGTACGGTCGGTTTGGATATGGGCCATGGGGTTTCATCCCTCGTGAGATATGCACATATACCTTCGGTCCCTCTGGTAGATATGCATATATGCCTCTCGATAAACCCCATATCCAAAACCTCCCAGTACATAACCCTTATGGATAGATAATGTGTTTCTTTCACCACCACAAGAGATGACATTGTTATAGCCTAGTCTCCAACTTTTTTGTCGATGGGCGGCTTGTGTTCAGAGTTTGGTGGTCGGCTTCTGTAACAAATAACATAATGCCTGTAACAAATGGCAGGCTGTGACATTTTCCATGTTCATGGCTTGTTTGTAGTTGTAATTGTACTTTCATTTTCAGCCTGCTATAAAGGGCCTGCAGATGGCAGGACTGAATGTAGTGTCCATAACAGACAATACACCAATAAGAATGGGAGGGGGAAAATCCAGGAAAGTACAGAGAAAGTAGACAATGAATTTCAAAATATGGCTACTATACACAGAAGCATGTATTTGACATTTAAGGGGGTATCTGATCACCCAAATAGTGAAGTCTATACAAACAAGGCTAAAGATTAAATTTAATAACACTAGCCTTAGTTTTACGCGTCATACTTTAAACTATTGATATTTGGCACTGGAGCATAAAAAATAAATCAACAACTCGCTGTATTACTAAATTGATGTTTGTTTATTTGACTATATTAATGAACTAATATATAATACAATTTGGTCATCCAAATATTATGTTCTGAAAAATAAACTGTTGGCCTTTTTTATAATGGAATGAGAGGAAAAAATAGTTTAAAATTGTGACATTTTTTGAAACTAAAATCTCAAGTTGTCTTTATCCCTTCTTAACCCTATATAATTCCATATATATAACAGTTAAATGAATTTGAATGCAATACAATTTTACAATACATTTTGCTACAGTAAAACCTGTCTTTGTGAACACCTCTCTCTAGTGAACACCCTTCCTCCGCACATATTCTACTGACTACAGAATATATTTTCTGTAGTGAACACCTACCAACACTGAACATTTTTTGGCAAAAATGTTTAATAGACACAGGTTTTACTGTAGGAAGACTGTCATCTCACATACACATGAACGCAATATAACTCACTCAAAGTGCAGCATTAATTTAAAGCATTATTAATTTGGTGGATTTTTTCAAACCGCCAATCTGTCAATGGAAGCCATCTTAAGTACTGTAATTGCCATATTTAGCGCCCACCACCTAATATGCTCATTCAATACTGCACGACTGCACATTATGATAAACTTGGTAAAATATAACCGGTATATATGTATATATATATATATGTTGACCTTATTTACAAAAGGTGGAGTGGAGTGTAGTACCAAGTCTGGTCAATAGAGGGAACATTAATCTGTCCCCGGGAGGATTTTCCCCGGGAATGTTACTATAGGTGAGTAGTGTAATCAACAAACGGCGCCCTTTTCAATCCCATCATGCATGTCTTACTTCAAATATATACGTTTTCTGATTGGTGGATTTCTGCTTGGGAATGCACCTAATTAGTTTTGGCATGTAGCTCAATTCGATATCAAGGAAATTGTAATCGAGCTAATTTGTGCGTCCCTCGGTTAGCTAACAGCAATCAAGACCATCTGTACACCCCAGCAATATTTTGGTTGATGGATAAATGAGAAATACGTTTTTATATGTGAAGTGACTATAGGATTGATAAACCTGGTAACATGAAACTGCATCATATTCCATTGTCTTTGTAACCAGACATATAAAACAGTTTTATTTATCTTTGTTGTAACATGAGGAATGTATGTAATATTTGTAAAGTGAAAATTAAAATACAATCATTCAATTTGTCACTCGCGGTAATTTAGAAGATGTACAATGTACTATGATTGGTCTCTAACCCAGGGGCTCCAAGGGGGAAAAATGAAACATTTATTCAAAGTTGATGAGGTCCCCGATGAGGTCTCGCAAAAACAATGTAATATATTTGACATTTATCCTTTAGAAATAACGTAGTGTCACTACTTGGTGTTACTATAGCTGTACCATCGATTCTGTGAATAAGGTACGAATGAAATTGTGGTCCAATGCATTATTTTAAGGGATTGAGTACCTCTGAGCAATGTTACACTTCCAGGGTTGCAATCGCATTCAATTTTCAACATTTGCAAAAGCAAAAAGGGAACGCCGCATATGATATATCTCATGCGTCGGACAAGAATATCGTCTGGTTCCAGTGAAGATGACCCACTGACGTATAATCTACGGGGCGGTCCAGATAAAATCAAGAGGGGCAAACCGATGAAAAAAATTATTGGCCTCTGTACTAGATCCGATCATTGGGTTATTAACCGAACGGACAATTACAAATGAACGGGTATTTTGAAAAAAGTACAGGCGAATGGACACCTTTTCTATAATTTATTTTAACATTTGTTTTTAAAAGGATACATTTTTTTTGAATATCATACATCCCTCTATAGGTTTGACAGCCTTAACTCCCCAACGTTTTTTTTATTTTCTGCACCTCCGAACTGTCCCAATATTCTCGAAGAAGATATCAATTTTGTGTTCCATAAAGTTAAATTCAATTTTCTCTTTATTAACTTATATTTTTGTTAGAACTTCGGATGGATGCATATTCTGTAGGTCACATGATTTGTGGCAATTTCCCACTTATTGTAAATGGCGAAAACTTAGAAAAGTGAGGAATTGGACATCTGTAGCCCTACATATATTTTTTTCTCTTCACAATTCAAGCATGAAAGGCTTTAACACGTAGTCCAATAGAAGGGGCTAAAGGTTGCTAATTTTACTGAAATTAAACGCTCGTATTTATTGTTTCATAACTATTTGTAGTTACTTTGACAAAATGTTACGAAATAGAGGAGGTTGGCTATTCTCATTCTGTAAGATGTTTTCTATTTTTAAACACATGTCATGAATGTCATACGTTAAGTTGCATATTATAATTTTGTACCAAGGAACACAATCTAGTCGGAATTTAAAAATGCCTCTGGTTTGTAATTTTTGGTTTAAATGAAGCTGTAATTTATTCATTTAGTCCCTCGCTTTTTAACCTTGGCGGATAGCACAGGCAGCCAGGATTAAATCAAATGACAAAACGAAATGATCGTGCGTAATCAGATTTCGACGCATGTCTTTCATGGGAGTAGTTAATAGTGTTCGGCAGTGTACGTCATGTGTGGTAAAAACTCCCTTTTAATGGAGGATAACGTTTTCTGCATCGGGTCCGTCACAAAGCTCGAACATTTTCAACGGTGTGTTATTCGAGAATACAATGTACCATCAGAGTTTGTGAATTGTTGATAGAAATTTGTGTTTACAGAGAAACACCTCTCCAGCAGAAATTCCAAGACGCAATTTCGCAAGAAAATATTTTTAAAATGCAAGAAAAAGTTAAAAAACATTAAAAATAGTTTTCATAGCATACCGTTAATCGAGTGATTGAGTGATCATAATTAATATATTTAAGAAAATCAACATATTAACGAACAAAGAGTTCAGACGACCTTACTTGTTAAGTAGACAGAACTTCAAAAAACCGTTATAATCTGTACTTCTAAAACGTTCCGTGGGAGGAGTATGTATTGGTTGGTCCACGATTGTGTTTGTGGTTGCCCGGTTGTGGTTGTCTCTATTTAGAGAAGCTTATAGTTGGATATACTGACACGTCGCAAAAAGCTGGCACACTTGTGTTTTTAGGGTATCGCATGAATGTAACTTTAATTCTTCTGAATATAAGATAATATTCTAATCAAAATTATATATCATTTTAAAGCTGCTTTAATGAAGTTTTCAAATGAAGTACACTTCTTTCACAATTCTTGCGCGTTCTTTTTTAAAAAAGAGTTTTTTACCCGAAAATCTTCCAAATATCCGCTGTCGACACGTTACATTTTGAATACTTTTTCGTTTTAAAAAGCGCATAACTCAAACAATATTTGACTATTATACTTTATTTTCATCTTGATAAAGGTAGATGGAAGTGTTATTTCAAAGGATGAATTCTACTTAGCGTCCCATATTGTGACGTCATATAGTTTGAAAAATAGAATCTGTTGACAGCGCCCTTCTTTGCTCATTTTTTGTTACCTTCAACTTTTCAAGTGTACATTAAACAAAAAATACGAGACCACTTTGTTATATATCATACATGATTATTTTGCTCAAAAACTCTAGTTTATTTATAAATAGCTGATTTTGTTCACAAACGTATGTGTTTTCTGTTGTATGTGGAAAAGTGGAGGACGAAAGGTTTTCAAAATTCATTAAAATAGGGCGAATTTACGCCATTCACCTATTTTCAAACACAGCAACACATATATTTATTTCACCTAAAATAACAAATTGATTCGTGTTTAATGATGCTCCTAACCCATTGTTAATACATATACGATATCAAAGTTATTCGCCTTAAATATTTTGAGATATAGAGGCAAATGTGGAGGACGAAAGGATTTCCATATGTGTACATTTTTCTCAAAAAGCGTCACATTCTGTGGTGTTGAAAAGCAAAAATGTGTAACAATACGCGCCCGAACTTTTTGCGACGTGTCTGTACATTTTTCTCAAAAAACGTCACATTCTGTGGTGTTGAGAAGCGAAAATGTGTAACAATACGTGCACGAACTTTTTGCGACGTGTCACTGATATCACCGTTTCATAGGGTGTGCCTGATTGTGTTTTGATTTAATTGATTAATTGATTTAATCGAGTATAATTAATTGAGTATTTGGTTAAGCCTGGTTGTGTTATGGTAGGGTTTTTGTCAGGTAGTGCCAAAATGAATTAGTTAAATGATAGGTAGAGTTGAGTTTAATCTTGTTGACTGTGTTGGGTTGGTTTATTATTGGGTTGTGCTCGATTGTGTTGTAGTAGTTTGACTAATTTTATTATAAAGAGACAGGATACATGTCACAATATATATGATTGCCGATGACTTTAGTAATATAGGGGTAGGGTAGGGATGGAGGACGAAAGGTTTTCAAAATTCATTAAAATAGGGCGAATTTACGCCATTCACCTATTTTCAAACACAGCAACACATATATTTATTTCACCTAAAATAACAAATTGATTCGTGTTTAATGATGCTCCTAACCCATTGTTAATACATATACGATATCAAAGTTATTCGCCTTAAATATTTTGAGATATAGAGGCAAATGTGGAGGACGAAAGGATTTCCATATGTGTACATTTTTCTCAAAAAGCGTCACATTCTGTGGTGTTGAAAAGCAAAAATGTGTAACAATACGCGCGCGAACTTTTTGCGACGTGTCTGTACATTTTTCTCAAAAAACGTCACATTCTGTGGTGTTGAGAAGCGAAAAAGTGTAACAATACGTGCACGAACTTTTTGCGACGTGTCACTGATATCACCGTTTCATAGGGTGTGCCTGATTGTGTTTTGATTTAATTGATTAATTGATTTAATCGAGTATAATTAATTGAGTATTTGGTTAAGCCTGGTTGTGTTATGGTAGGGTTTTTGTCAGGTAGTGCCAAAATGAATTAGTTAAATGATAAGTAGAGTTGACTTTAATCTTGTTGACTGTGTTGGGTTGGTTTATTATTGGGTTGTGCTCGATTGTGTTGTAGTAGTTTGACTAATTTTATTATAAAGAGACAGGATACATGTCACAATATATATGATTGCCGATGACTTTAGTAATATAGGGGTAGGGTACCCGGAGCAAGTGACATTTACCTGCTGATCGTCATTATATTTTATTTCTACGTTGTTTATTTTCTTTCTTGGCACAGCTGTTAATTGATTGATCTAAATTAGAGCAATTTTCTGAGATTTTATGTATTCTATGAAAAATTAATTCTATGAATGTCTAATATATTGTTATGATGACAACATATGTTTATTGTTGACAAGATTACGAGTCATTATACACGAGTGGCAAAACACCTTTTTGCCAGGGTAGCCATATTCCAAAGGTATCAAAATGGATAAAACATCTTCAATAGCAAAAAAACTGAATCAAACAGAGAACATTGATACAAGTCTGTGTTAAGAATAACCTATGAGTACATTATACAATTAGGTTCTTGAGAAATGCCTATGGGGACTCTATTATGTCTGAGCAAAGAGTGTATACTTGCTGGCACGAGAAGTTCAAGGGTGGTCGAGTCAAACCAGAGAATTATCCAAGTGGCCGACCAGTGGCAGACAGATCAGATCATGTTCCATCATGAGTGGGATGGGATGCATAGAGAATGTGTCCGTAAAGATGGTGCTTATTTTGAACATGAGCAGTGACTTGGCGTTCAATAGCATTTTTGAATGAAGTTTGGCAGGACAAGGAGTCGCTTAGATTGACCGAATAATATTCGATGGAACCCTGATATTGTCTGTTTGTTTTAAGACAATGGCCGTGGTCCGCCTACCCAATACAAGCTAGGGTTACCATGACAACTGCAAATGCATTATAATGAATTTGCAGCGATTGTCAGTGTACAATGAATGAATGGGAGAATCATTGTCACTACTTATTGATCACCCTGTATTGCATAGATGATATATTTGTTTGTGTCACTTCCTATGATCCAATGTGTTACTTTGCTTCTCTCCTCAGTTTTCATGAGGTGGGGGGGTGGTTGTTTGTGAAAGTGTATGGCTTACGAATGCCTATATGGATTTTTATGTCTACTAGTTTTATACGAAACTATTTACTGGCATTATTTCGTATTAGCCATTATGTATGCTCGAGATTAGATTCTACATTAGAGTGAAATAAAATAGGTATGATGGATTCTACTTAATCTTGATATAAAGTGAATCACTGTTTAGATTGTACGTGCTCCTTTGGAACTAATACATTGATTAAAAAAATACATTAATAAATATACTTATAAGGGCATATTTTAAAATATAATGAGATCAAAAGGGATATGGATGATACCCAATGTTAAGTCTATGGTGTATATTATATGTTAAGTCAATACACACGTGGTGCAATCTTAATATTCTCAGAAGAAAATTCTACCTGTAACAAATTGTTTGCGTATTTTGTAGCATAATGGAGTCACTGCATTTATGGTCTGAGATAAGACTCATAAAATTAAATATTCTACAAAGAATTCTTTTACACTGAATTAGTTATTGTAAACCTAGAAATCGTTCATTTTGAAAGTGATTTAATAAAATTGATAAATGACCCTCTTTGGAATGAAAAGGTTAATGTCTATTTTTGTAGTACAAAAAATTCGAATGGAGGTGGGATTTTAAAAGCTTAGACTACCGACGTATTGGAACCTGAGAGCAGACGAGGCGATTTATTTGACACTAGTAATAGCCACAGATTGAGATGCGTTTAAAATTACGTACTTCAAAAAACGTACTGCGAAACAAAATTATCGAAATACCGTATTCGTAAATACCCTTTGCATTCGTTTGACTTCACTTCTTAAAAGAGAGCTTCGTCTGTAGTTTAACTAGACTCTGCACGCAGGGTAATTCGTAAACGTAATGAAATACGAATACGGGTACGTTTTAGCACCCAAGAGGAGAACCCCAAGAGCTTAGACGATACCAGACATAATTGCGTCTTTCGCTTGCCACCTTCGTATGACATTGTTTAAATTCTCCAGAAATGAACATAATATTATTCGAATCATATAAACATTCTGAGGCCGCCATTTTTTGTGGATTTTGACCATCAGAAACAAATTTACATGATAAGCGTATGTCATCTCTGAACTCTGGGATTATCCCCGGGGGTTTCACTCCAATATCCCCCTCTTTAGCTAACCAGTTGTGCGAAACCTCTCCATTATATCTATGATTCTCGTTCATATGCCGGTGTGAAAGAAATGATGGTCCCCCAGGGATTATGGTCCCCTTTCTTAACGGCCCTTACTGGCCCTAATTGCGTATAAGATAATGAGGGAAAGAGTTCTATTGAGGTCACCATATAAATCAATGGAGAGTAGGACCATAATTTGATAGGACCTCCTACCCTTTGACACCGGGACTCCTTAAGAGTCGGTGGCGATTTAAATATCGCGGCTATTACCGGGTTACTCAGAAGAACTAAGAAAGACTATTTTTATGAACGCATGTCCTTTAAATGACATAGATTTCGAAGCTATTTAGAAACTCCTCTAACCCCTAGGCTGTGTCAATGGATTCGTTCTGATTCGGCGGCGTTTTAAATAACGCGGTTATTACCAGGTTACTTAGATGTGGAACTAAGAACGATCAGTTTTGATGAACGCAGATATTTGCTATATTGGAACTTTTAATAAATCTTGGCAGGTTATTATTTAATGTCACTTTTTGTAATGAACAAAATGCTTGCTGAATGCGTAGCTATTTAAAATCATGAAAGCGTCCTTAGTATTCATATATCGCATATATCACTTCCCAAACGACTGATTCAAATCTGGTATGAACAATTCAAGATTAAAGAGGACGGTACGTTTTCCAATATGATGCGCTGTAAGTTGCTGTATATATTTCATATCGTCCAAACTGTATGTTGTTAGTCTGGGGAAAACATTTCGTCATTGTCTTTTAGAGTTCCATATACGTTACACTTAGTTTTTTAGTTTCTAAATGTATCAATCAACTATGCCATAAAGGAGATTGAAGATCCGTGTAAATGTATATTTCCTAAATGTATTTTCATTGCATGTTTTACTGATCTTTCACCTTGGATCTTTTAACTGTTTTTGAATATTTTTAACTTAATGAAAATATATACGGTAACAAAATTAATTAAATACGCGCTGTGTTTTGAACTTTTTTTGTAAAATTGTCCTTCCCTGCCGTGGGAAGCCACGCCTTCTCCATCTCCACCTCCGGGACGCTAAACAAACTGTATACGTCATTCTCATAAAGTTTAATTGATTTATCTTTCTAGAGTATTGGATTCCGTATTATTTGATTTCGGTGTAATAATGGGTTTTCGAGTATTGGGGTTCGAACAAGGGCAGCAATACTTCATATTATATTATGTTGAGGACGGGGGTTCTTCCAGATGAAACACACAATGGAAGAGCATACTGCCGTATTCTGCATTAACCTATATATGTGCTTGAACTCCGCTCCAAGTCAAATAAACGAATGCGTTCATAGCGTACTAATTGTACTTACACTCCCCTCCATAAGTTTGGCAACCTTTTTTCTCCATTGAACTACGTGTTTACGTAGCCTCTTTACGTTTGAATTTTTATTTACTTAACCGGCGATAAAATAACTTATAATATTAATGGAAACGTAACTTGACTTTTTTCCAATACCTCCAAATTTTCTCAATTTTTTTGCTCAATTACAATAGGTCGAAAATTGATGATAAATTTGATGAATTTTTGAAAATCGTCATTCCCATGTAATCCAATGGGAAATGGAGGGTTCAGGGCAAATCAGAAATCAGGATATCTTTTCAGTAAAAGATTCAGCAAAAAATATGTTTATATAGAAAATTGAATTGTATAACTTTTTTGAACACTAAGTGTTTAGTTTATTTGATGAATATTAAAGTTACAGCGCTTCAAAGTCATTTTTGAAAAGAATTTTTCGCCTCCTGTGTTATTTCAATGGGAGAGGTTTTTTGAAAAACAATTTTGACTTTAAAGCCCTATAACTTTGTTGAACCTGAAGAAACATATCAATTTTTGTTAAATAAAGTTAGCAAATTCAATTACCTGCCTAACTCATATTTTTTGCAAGGACTCGGATGGATGGATATTCTGTCATATGACTTGCGGCAAACCTACCATTTCCCATTGGTTAACATGGGAATGTCGATTTTCAAAAATTCATCAAATTCATCATCAATTTCCGACCTAGTGTAATTGAGGAAAAAAATTGAGAAAATTTGGAGGTATTGGAATTAAAGCAAAATTACGTTTCCATCAATAGTATAAGTATTTTCAACGCAGGTTAAGTAAATAAAAATTCAAAGGTAAAGAGGCTTTAACACGTAGTTCAATGGGGGAAAAAGAGTTGCCAAACTTATGGAGGGGAGTGTATATACTGTATACGTAAATCATGAAATTAACGGGCATATCAGGAGTTCTACGATTGTTCACCGTATTTAGCTATACGCCTATTTTTGTTATCATCCCACTGGCGGATCCAGATCCATCTTGCGCCCCCACCCGCCCCCTTTTTTGTAGGAGCCCAAAAGTCGTTTTGCTCGAAAGTTAAGTATGGCCTCAAAAATGATTCTATTTGGGCATGACTTGGCATTTTAGGCCAAATTTTCCAAAATGGGGTTTAAATTTTCATCTGGATCCGCCAGTGTTGTCAAAGTTGTTAAATTCAAAAAGGCCAAATAATTGCGATATTGAATGTGCAACTTATCACAGTACACCTCTCCCGACGAGTGACACGTGTTGTTAAAAACTATACAATCCTACACATAGAACGCATGCATAATGCAAAAAAAATGCTGGGATCGAAATTGTATCGTAGTGTAAGCCAATTTACTGACTGAATTACTCAGTTGGAGTAACAATTCCCGGGGAAACTTTCCCGGGAACAGATAACTATTCCCTCTATTGACTAAACTAGGTACTATAGTTCACTCCACCTTTTGAAAATAACTAACTCATATAATATATATATATATATGTAAGTAGCCCTGATTAATGTATCAAAATGAATAGACAAGATCCTTGAAAAAATACATTTACTGGAATGTTACTTTATCAAGATCTCTTGGCAAATTGTGTCATAATGATTGTATCATGGACCATGGCTATGGTCATCATTTAATATCCCCAAAGGGAGAACAGCAGTGGATAATATAGACTTTCATTACTGATTCTGTGCTATCAGATTGTCATTTAATAAACATTTCATATCTGGATCTATTTTTAATGGAAATTGCCACATCTATCTCTATTTGGCACTTTGAAAATTGAAAAGGTGGACATTACCTTGTAAGATTTTAAGATTCACCGGGACATACAGAAGGGGTCAGATAGAACTGTTTTGACTGGAGACAAAGAAAATAGATGATAACCAAGATGAACTTTTTAAAAATGACTCTTTGAACAAGTCCATGAACTCTTTGGTTCTTCTCTCCTTAATGTACTTGTGGTTTTAATATCATCCAAGACAAATTCAACCAATATTACCTGAGAAATACAACTACAGATTTTAAGTACTGAACAAATTTTTGCGCACCTTGAAAATTTTCAAAAGTGACACAAATTCTTTGTATATATGATGTCTTCCTCCATATGGTTCATCTAAATGTGAAACAAATCGTAAAACAAAGAATGATTCATTCTCCTCTGTATACTACCACATTCTTTTCAGTCTCGTAGAGTTTTACTTCGTAAAGTAGTCCTTCTGGTAGCAGTTTCTTCAATTGGCTCCATATAAAAACTGCAATATTTTCAGCTGTACTGGAAAATACAAATGAAAGATGCATTATAAGGAAGCGATTAGATTTTAATTTAAAGGCGATCATTCCACTTGAATACCAATTCAGAAAATGTTCAAAACAAGAATTCATACAAGGCATTAACATGACAAAATGTCACCACCTTAAACAATTTGGTCAATTTGAAGCAAGTTGAAAAAATACCTCTTTGACTTTTTTTGACATTGAGAAGGTCATTGAAGGTCAAATGTAAAGTCAGATTTGAACTTCTGAGAACATGTAGATGATTTTGAAAAAAAATTAAGTAAATTTGAAGCAAGTTGAAATAAGACCTTTTTGACCTTGAAAAGGTCATTGAAGGTCAAATGTCAAATCTAAAGTCAGATTTGAACTTCTGAGAACATGTAGATGATTTTGAAAAAAAATTAGTCAATTTGAAGCAAGTTGAAAAAAGACCTTTTTGACCTTGAGAAGGTCATTGAAGGTCAAAGGTCAAATCTAAAGTCAGATTTGAACTTCTGAGAACTTGTTAAGTCAAATTTGAACTTCTGAAAAGATGTAGATGATTTTGAAAAAAAAAATTGGTCAATTTGAAGCAAGTTGAAAACAGACCTTTTTGACCTTTTTTGACCTTGAGAAGGTCATTAAAGGTCAAATCTAAAGTCATATTTGAATTTCTGAGAACATGTAGATGATTTTGAAAAAAAAATTTAGTCAATTTGAAGCAAGATAAAAAAATACCTTTTTGACCTTTTTTGACATTGAGAAGGTCATTGAAGGTCAAATGTCAAATCTAAAGTCAGATTTGAATTTCTAAGAACATGTAGATGATTTTGAAAAAAAATTTAGTCAATTTGAAGCAAGTTGAAAAAAGACCTTTTTGACCTTTTTGACCTTTATTGACTTTGAGAAGGTCATTGAAGGTCAAATGTCAAATCTTAAGTCAAATCTAAAGTCAGATTTGAATTCCTGAGAACACGTAGATCATTTTGAAAAAAATTTTTAGTCAATTTGAAGCAAGTTGAAAACAGACCTTTTTGACCTTTTTTGACCTTGAGAAGGTCATTGAAGGTCAAATGTCAAATCTTAAGTCAAATCTTAAGTCAGATTTGAATTTCTGAGAACACGTAGATGATTTTGAAAAGAAAATTTAGTCAATTTGAAGCAAGTTGAAAACAGACCTTTTTGACCTTTTTTGACCTTGAGAAGGTCATTGAAGGTCAAATGTCAAATCTAAAGTCAGATTTGAAGGTCAAATGTCAAATCTAAAGTCAAATCTAAAGTCAGATTTGGATTTCTGAGAACATGTAGATGATTTTGAAAAAAAATTTAGTCAATGTGAAGCAAGTTGAAAAAAGACCTTTTTGACCTTGAGAAGGTCATTGAAGGTCAAATGTCAAATCTAAAGTCAGATTTGAACTTTTGAGAACATGTAGATGATTTAGAAAAAATTGAAGTCAGTCTAAACAGTATTTGTTAAGTTATAGGAAGTTGTAAGAAATTGTTACAGACGCCGGATGCCAACCTCCAACCACCAACCGCCGGACGCCAACCTCCAACCGCCGTCGCAAAAAAGCGGAGACCATAACAATATGTCACCACATTGGTGGTGGTGACATAATAATCTACAGTGTGAATTAATTCTTAACGTGAGATGTTCTCTCCTCCAGTTGATGTATGACTCATTTATATTCACAATTTACATGTACCATTTAATACATGTAAACCATTTGGTACATGTAAACAATTTAATTTTACATGGAGATAATTGAGAAGGATTCAGACCAGCAAAGTCATAATGCTTTATTCATTTATTCAGATTAGCAAAATAGCAACCTTGCTTTTATGCTAATCTGAATAAATAAGTATTAGAACAGTCCTCAATATATTTTTATCCCATCAAACAAAGTTTGGGGGAGATATAGAGAATGGCTCTGTTTGTACATCTGTCCATATATCCATCCGTTACTTAAAATTAAGTTAAAATATTATTAAATTCTGCATACAAGTGAAAAAAGCAAATTCTGAGTATTAATCAAAATAGTGCATTCTACTTGCACATGAAAATATTAAATTCTATGTGCAAACATGGGCTTCCAACAGAAGGGTATGCAACTTCCCATATTTCATCTCTAGATAGCCCATGATGCAAATGATAATATTAATGGTGAAATAAATGAATAATTAATTAATGAATATAGTGAATTCTGCATTCAAATGAAAATGGTGAGTTTTGTAACCCATGTACCAATGAAAATAGTGAATGAATTCTTCATACAAGCAGAAATAGTGAATTACAAACCCAGTTTGCAAATGAAAATAGTGAATGAATTCTGGATGTAAATTAAAATAGTGAATTCATGTTTCCAGTATGCAAATGAAAATAATGTATAAATTCCACACACAAGTGAAAACAGTGAATTTTGTTATGCAAATGAAAATAGTGAATGAATTTTGCATGCAAATGAAAAAAGTGAATTCTGTTCCCTGTATGCAAATGAAAATAGTGAATTCTGTTCCCTGTATGCAAAAGAAAATAGTGAATGAATTTTGCATGCAAATGAAAATAATTCATTTTTTACCTGTACACAAATAAAAATAATGAATAAATTTTGCATGCAATGAAAAAAGTGAACCCTGTTCCCTGTATACACAAATGAAAATAGTGAATTAATTCTGTATGCAAATGAAAATAGCTAACCATGTTCCCTGTGTATGCAAATGAAAATAGTGATTGAATTCTATCTTATTGTATAAAGAATGAGAAAATCAGAACAAGGTCACCTGGTTATCTGAATGTTCGCTACTGTGATCTACAGGCAAAAATACAAAATAAAATTAACAAATTATGTGCAGAAAATATCAGAATTTTACATCATTCTTTAATGGAGCTATTTTGATAAAGGAGGAGGGAAATTAGCGCAACAGATTTTGGACAGTCATATGTTGGATTTTGGCCATTTTCTGAGGATTTAAACAGGTGCATATGCTAGGCCAATGCATTACCTCCAGGAAAAGCACTTCTAGAGATGATAAAATAATTTTGACTTTGAGACAGGGCAGATTCAAACAATCCACCCACATGTTTTTTCTGAAATGTTTTCCCGATTTTCAACCCCTTCCATCCCTGCTTTTTTAATTTTTCTTGCATCAGTATGTTGATTTTTGACACACATTTAACCCCTTTAAAGGAATAAATGATTCCTTTTAGATAAAGTGGAAAACAATATTTCCCATGTTATTTTCCCATAGGGAAAACTCATGCGATCCATTGCTTTCAGCTAATACTGGTCACCCATAATGGATATCTTTAAAACCCCTGAAGGAATCACTTATTCTTTTAAAGGGGTTAACTCTGTGTCAAAATGCAATATATTGATGCTATAAAAATTGAAAAAGCAGGGGTGAAAGGGGTCGAAAACCAGAACAACATTTCAGAAAAAACATGTGGGTGGGTTGTTTGCACCTCCCCTGTCTCAAAGTCAAAATTATTTTATCATCTCTACGAGTGCTTTTCCTGGAAGTAATGCATTGATCTAACATATGCACCTGTTTAAATCCTCAGAGAATAGCCACAATCCAACATATGACTGTCCGAAATCTGTTGCGATACTTTCCCTCCTCCTTTTACTCAGCCTTACCTAACTCTAGACTTGAAGTAAGGGACGTCTTTATCAATGTTTTTGTGATCTAGCACATCCATCACCCCCTTCTGAAACATACAATAGAAACATGAATAACAAGGCATTAACATGCAAAATATCACCACCTGAACAATTAACCCTACAGATACAGATTGTTTTTTGCATCTTAATAGTCATATAATTTAAATGGTGAAAAATTTTCCAGATTTAAACAACCCCAAACACACAGTGCAACAAAGCTATTAAAGGAGCACGTAAGTTATCGCAAACAATTTCAAACGATTCTAATTTGAATTATGAATATTTTCTTATCATGAACATGAGTGTATCTTTTAGATCCATTCATTATCTTCAAGAAAAGTATATATAATCATAATTTAGTCAATCAGACCTAAGTGATATTGAAGGGGCAATGGACCAATCAACATACTTTTTCAAAAATGTTAACCTAATTTTCACCAAAAATGCAACCTTTTATTATATTGTTGAATGCATAATTAGAATGTGCTTTGAGCCATGTTCGATTTCCTAAAATGAAAATGTGATTGCTCCAGGGACTTTAAAGATATTGAATTTGGATGACCAAAATGAACTGAAACCAATGGATAGCATGATATTTTTCAATGGAGAAATAACATGGGGAACACTTATCTTAAAGCAATTAAGTTTTTCTTTCAAGAACTATTTGATACATCAAAATAAAGAATAGTAATGCATTAAACATTGTAAAAAATGATTGCATTTTTGGTGAAAATGGGGTCAACATCTTTGAAAACGTGTATTGATGGGTTGATTGCTAGTTAAATATCTCCGGGTTTGTTTGACTTTATTATTACTATATATAATTTTCTTTCAATTAATGAATTGACCTAAAAGATAAACCTGTCTTTATTGTCAGAAAATACTCATAATCCAAGATATAACCTTCTGAAATTGTTTGCGATAACCTACGTGCTCCTTTGGGATTCTACCTGACAATGTATATGTAAGGTGTCCTAATGGTTACAAAAACAAGGATATAGGTCCAAAACAATTAGAAATAGGGATCAAAAACATGTACCTACATTGATATATTGCTTCAGATTCTACCTGACATTGTACAAGTGAGGTGTCCTAAAGATTAAAAAACAAGGAAAATGAGTCCAAAGCAATTAGATATAAGAATCAAAAACATGTACCTACATTAATATATTGCTTCAGATCTACTAGATTTAACACCATGCCTGTTACAGGGTCAACCTGAAATGTAGAAATAAAAATTTATATTATACAACATCAGAATAAACATGAGATTTTGTCAAAACACATTTTGTCATAATATATCTTGCCATAACATATTTCTCTTAAAATAACATATTTTGTCATATAGTGTTTTGTCATTTTTTGGTGCATTTTCTTATTTTTTTAAAACATTGTTTTTAAAACATTTAAAGCATGTTGAATTAAAGGAGATACATTTTGGTGTTATGTGGGGGGAGAGCCCTGCAATACATTCCAAGGAAAATATGCCCAAAAAGAAGAATAACTTATATGGACAAAAGAAAATGACAAACACAACACTGACTCTAAAAGCATTTTCTGACCCATAATCCTAAGAAGGTAAAAATATTTGAACTCACCTTACCCTTTAATATCACTTCAACTGGAAAGAAAAAACAAAACATATTTGAGTACAAGTAAGTAGCTGATGGACAATTATGTTTTTTTTTCAAGTATTCAGGCAATAACTTAGATGGGCATCATGACCCCCTTTTGGGATGTTTTGAAATTTAATTTTAGGGGACCACAGTGCAGACGAATTTGGGGATAAAGAATGCTTTAACCTTAAATTTCTGCATGGTGGAATTATCTTTTATTGTATAATACATTTTCCTGCTTCAAAATAGCATTAACAGTGAAGTTAACTGGTTCAACAACTTTTTAAACATTTTTTATGAAATCAAACATGGTTAAATGACATAACAAATAAAAGAATTGTTTAGTAGGATGTCTCGAAAACACAATTCATCTGTCACCAGATTTCCAATATAACTGACAAAAGCATCATTTGTTGATGTAGCATTACTCCAGATGATTGTGAATGGTAGTTTTCATTTGTCCAAAAATTGTTGATGTATGAAAGGACAGACAGACGGATCAAAGGGTGATTCCTTACTTTCACCATCTGAGCCAGAAATCCAACAAAATATAGTATAAAACACAATAAGCTCATCTTGTCTGCATATTATTTCTGGTAATTTTAGAAAACATTTTCAATACAAAATTCAGAACATCATTTATCAATCACACTGATAACAGTAGTTACTTTAAATAACGATTGAAATGTTAGAGGGGAATCAATAAATATATACCTTTATAATTGTGCCCATGACCATTAACATTGTTACACTTCCCAAATATGTTGCGATTTTCTTCATCTGACAGCAAGGGGCTGAAAATAGAAAATGCTAAAATTTGAATTCAAGTACAAATATCTACATGGTTTAATGTTATTACTATAATCTACTATCCTAGGGTAGATTTTTTCATTCATCCCAGAGAAGGTGGATACCATTTTTTGACCTTCAACTTTAAAGGTAACCAAACACCAATCAGACATGATTAGACTTCATGTTTTCAGTGGACATGAACAGAGAAGTCCAAACATTTCTGTAATGACCATCGATACCAACGTCATTATTGACGTCACGCTTTGAGGTTATTTCAAATCGAAAAAACGTTTCGACAACATTAAATTTTAAAGTTGACAATACGTCAGAAATGAACCGACTTCGTGAGAACACAAAGTTTTTGTCATGTTTTTTTCCACCAAAAAATATTTTGATATTAAAAGCCTGTTTTGACAACGTTGAATTTTAACGTTTGAGTTACGTCACATATGGACCAATGTAGTAAAAAATCAAACGTCCCTGTTTGTTTTGTTTTCCACACTAACGAACTTTACTGCCACATGACAACAACATTCTTTTTATACCATCAATAGATGTCTCATGTTTACGTTGCCTCGATGTGTAAAGAACGAAAATGTGCAACGTCTTCTAGGAACTTATATGCTACTTATAAGCAACGTGACATGGATGTCACTGTTTATTTTAAAAAGTGCTCTATCTCGTATAGGGTAAAAATATCGAACAGCAGTGCACTCGATAGGCTAAGTGTGTCAAGTCAATTCCCTACTATATATCGGGGGAAATGTGGAACTTTGAAAGTTGGTAACCCTGCTAGGAACGTTAGGTACCCGGTCGACAGGGTACCTGGTTTTTTACACAAACCCTACAAATTTAGCTATTTCCCTAGGACAATAGCTACATGTAAATGGAACACTCTACCTGGTGACATCTTAGATTGTGACAGTCTAAGTAGTTTTAAATCATCATACTATGCCTATGTCAATAACTGCAATTAAATAGGTGTGTTTTTAATATAGATCTATGTTTTAATGTGAAAGGTGCCCAGGTGTGTGTATTTGTTATATACATCAACGCGACATAGACATGTCCTATGGAAATGTCCGAGGTTGATCCTAATGTCCCATGAAAATATTTTACTCTATAGCTCCCTTTGGATGTCCCATCATGGCCGATTGTAGACATGGAAGCCCCGCCTCTATTGACTTTTTGACTGTAGGAGTTTTAATAGCGTCTGGGGTCGTGACAAATCTCAGATTAATGCCCATTGGCCCATTGGTGTACGGCTAGCTAATATTAACCATACTTACCTATGAAGTCTATGGCATGCACTGAACGTCTCTGATCTGCTAATATACACTACAGGGGCGCATAAATCAACGTTTTCTACACCGTTTTTTAATCTCTCACTCTCCATAATTTTTCATCGATCTTTGTTGACGTTTTGTTAAACGTGATCTAATTGGTCAAAACTACATCCGGTTTTACAGCATCCAATCAAATTATCAGTTACATTTTCCTTCGGCTGTTAAATGTGAAACTTCAAAAAAACTTATTTTTCAATATATTAAGCGAGCTAACATGGTTTAGGTTTGAGTACGTGCGACATAATGGCAGGGATAACAAAAGAAATAGTAACTCTTCAAGTTGGACATTTTTCTAATTTCGTTGGAACTCACTGGTGGAATTTACAAGTAGGAATATAATTTTTTTAAATTTTACAGTGGGTGATAATTGATAAAATCTGAATTTCACTTTCAAACATGGAAGATTTTCTCTGTATATAAAGGTAGTGTTGTCGCGATTAATCGATACATCGCGATATACATCGCCAAAGCTGATTCTGGCGATGCATCGATGACTAAAACAAAACATCGATGTTTTTGAAAAAAATTAATTTGCTAAAAATCACCCTTTCTTATCTTATTTTGACGCAAATCGCTTACCTTTCTCATGTCTTATTTCATTTTCCAATGTTTTCTGATATTCTTTCGCTTTAAAACTGTTTTAGCTATTCGAAATGAACCATTTATCTAAAAAAATTACTTTACTTTCATTTCACCTTTCTAGAAGTTCCCGGATGTACCGGATGTTCGGTATTTTAGTGCATTAGCGTTCGGTATTTCAGTGCACTTTTCTCGGACTTTTTCTCGATGTGCATCGCGATGTGCATCGATGTTTTCTACTGAAAATTGCCGATGCATCGATGTACGATTATGGCACATCGCGACAACACTAATATAAGGTTGTCTCAAATAGCATAATGTTGTCCTCGTCAAAAATAAGGCTAAAGCAATTAGTCATGCAAATGTGTTTATGTCAAATTTGTGTCATGTAGAGTCCATTTCACTGCTTCATTTCGTCAGTAGAACGGCAAAAATAAGAAATTGGGAGACCATTGTGCAATAATATATGGAAAAGTGTATTCATTTACTTCGGTCCAAAGCCTTCTCTATATTCCGGCTTTGAGGAGGAAGATTGAGCTGCCTTAGTATTATAAATATTGTAAATCATTGTGTCACACGCACAGTAAATATGGCATAATAATATGAAATATACCTTTATGTATAGATTTGAAGAACATCAGCCCACATCCCCGTCTGAATCTATTGTTATATATGATATCTTTAAGCGAGAATAATTTCAAATGTTATTCACGCGGAAGCCATTTTTAGCTACAGCGAGAAAATTTCACCATGTGTCAAACTCCGAAATGAAATTTTGAAATATCTAAATCCAGACAAGCAACGCTTCATCCTAAATATGATTAATATTCTTAAAAATATTTATAAAATTTATTAAAAATGAGTTCTAGGTGCGTGTAGGTGCGTGTAGCACAGTACATACGAAATCAATGAAGTTTCGTCTAGCTGTAAGCTAGAGACTCGAGTAAGTATTCATAATGTACATGAATGACATTTGTATATTTCAGATTTTTTAGTTTTTTGTGCAATAAGCCTGTGCCGTCTTGTAATTTGAAGAATTTCAGCCATGTTAATTTTATTGAAAATAACATGGCAGAGAAACATCCAAATATAACTGTATAAGAGGCCACACACTTTATAAGCCAAACTAGAAGCAATCCAAGATATACAAATGTCATTCATGTACATTATGAATATACTTTTCCATATATTATTGCACAATGGTCTCCCAATTTCTTACTTTTGCCGTTCTACTGACGAAATGAAGCAGTGAAATGGACTCTAGAATCTGGATCTTGTTATTCCGAATTGCGATGTAAATGTACAGTTTCTATATCATACCTGTACGTGTAGGCCTTGGAGCATTTAGAGTACATAGGGGCATTCTCTGACATGGGGCATTGTTGGACAATCTTAAATAATTTTTTGTTTGCATGATTTCTTTATTGAAACTTCAAATTAGACACATCGTGATATAGTAAAAAGTCTAATATGATAATGTCTCCGATTTTCACCTGATGCTGAGGGTTTGACGAGAATGCCCTATGGCCAAGAATGCACCTATGTACTCTGAAGTTTATGGTGCATTATTAATTGGACTAAACTTTCAAATTGCACCAGTTTTACATGTTCTAATTTCTTTAGCCTACATGTAAGTCAGGATTTCATTAGATCTACCTTCCTTTCATGACAGGACTGGTGATCAAGTCTGTTAGAGAGGCACACAATAACCTGACAATTGGCCAAGTTGCTATTTTGGTAAATTGTTAGGTAAAGGCCTGATAGTCCTTGATATTTTCCTGCTGAATTTAAGATTAAACTACAATTTCATCACTTTCGTTCATCACATTTCTTTTATGATTTCTGTTACCTTTTCCACTCCTATTTTTCTTCAGGTGAATCATATTTTTCAGAATACTTATTTTAGGTCCTCGCTACACATTGTGCTTACATCATTTAATTTTGGCCTTTCTTTGCCACAAAATCTAAAATGGGTATCATACTGATGAATGCTGAGATCTTTAGGATGTTTGGCATATTTATTGAAATGATTGCTTCTAACATTTTACTTTGTCTTCTTTTTAGATATTATATGTAGACAGTCTCATTTTGAGTGACTACTTTGTTGAATGATATATAATTGTCCCCTTTTTATAGCACCCTTCGGGGGCTATACAGAATGTTCCAAAAGTAACAGGACTGGTGCTCTATGGAGAATGAAATGCTAATGTAAAAGTTTGAAGATAATTGGTGGATATTTAGCAAAATACCAGCACCAGTCCTGTTACTTTTGGAACACCCTGTATTGTAATCATTATTTTCCATTTTGAGTGATCACTTTGAAGAATGATACTCATATATAATTGTCCCCTTTTTATAGCACCCTTTGGGGGTTATATTGTAATCATTCTTTTTCTAGTGCTAATGAAATGAAATGTAAGCAATGTTAGTAAAAAAGGTCAGGGTAATAGTCTCTATAAAGGAATTTCTCCAAATCATATTATGCTTTTCTTAGTCCTCTTAAAATTGAATGGAGAAATCTTTAATTGTTTTGTTAATGTTAAGAAAATCTGAAATAAAGTTAACTTGCTCCAACATTTTATCATTCATATTCATTGTACTTTGTCAACAATTTTCTCTGATGTCCAAGAGTGTTTATGATTGACATATTATAATTGTCTCAAACCTTTTTTGTGGATGGTGTTTGGTTGTTGGTGTTCAGCAGTTTGGTGTCTGTAACAAATGGTAGGTGATGACATTTTGCATTTAATACCTTGTAATTAATGTTACTAATGTTCACCTTAATAATACATGTAGATTAAATCAATATCAAATATTTATTTTATTTTATTTAATCTATACAGGTGTATAAATTACATGTTCATGATTTTATTTATATTCGATTGTAACATTTGTATTACTAGAGTTTGCTCCCAGCTAGAAATTGAAATGATGAGAATTTAAATTTAATTATATTGAAATGATGTTTAATTTACTTTCTTTATTTCATTGTATAATATGTAACTGTCCAATTTTTAGACGCAAATAAATAATACATACATACATACATCAGAGAAAACTGTTGAATAACATATTAAATATTAATTAAAGTTATAGAAAGTCATTTGGTGTGAAAGACGATAGAGGAAAAATGCCAGGATTGCAAACTGAATTGAGTACTTAAATACAGGATTATGTACCACTCTGTACCATAAGGAGTTGATATAAATGTCAGATGGATTTTTGCTACCCATCACCTTAATGTCCATGTTCTGACTAATTTTATGGGCAAAGTCACGGAATTCCTCATCTAATTCAACACCTCTTAAGTCCAGAACTTTCACATTTCGTTCACCTTCATCAGCTTTAATGTTCTTATTTTTGTTTGTGTAAACAGCATCAAGAATTGATTTTGCACCATCACTGTTGAATTTTATGGGTGCATTGTCTCTGGTGAGCATATTTATTATTATTTCAAAGATGTTCCGTGGTCTGTTGAACATGATATGGATGCTTTCCAGGGAGGGATGCATCTCCATAAGACCAGCTAGCATTTTGGCTGTTTCATTTGTAAAGCCATGATTATTCAAGATCCACAACTCCCGAAGGTTCCCTTTCTCAATAGATGGCAGTACAACATCTTTAACAATTGCTGTTGTCATGTCGACATCTTCAATTTTCAAAATATGAACATTTTCCACTTTTATTTTCTCATCTGATTTGATTCCAACAATAAGTCGAGTAAGTAGATTGATTCGCCCATTGGTTAAGTATGTCTTCACATGTGAGTCAACACAGCCCATGCCAGAAAGAACGAGTACCTCGGAGTCAGATTTCTTGTTACACCAGTAGAGTGGTTGTAGCTTTAAGGCCCACGCACAGAGGAAAAACAGCACTGTTGGTACCAATGATATAGGAATAAGGTTCCCGGTGTTAGCAACATATATGGTGATCATCGTGATCCACATCTCGAGAACGATACCAGTGATCAGAGCTCCAAGTGGATCAACAAAACTACGGAATAATATTACAAGCGTGAGATTGATTCTCCCCATCTGTGGCATGAAATAGAAAAGAGCTATGCTCAAACCTATATGAGTGTTAGCTGGTATTTTCGTTGGGACAGCCCACTTAATTGCTAGATTGTTCAAACATACAAGGATCATAGTGAATACTATCTGTATCGGGTGATCATTTAGATATTCACCAAGTTTCCAAAGGTAGCTCTTTCCAGCTTTCTGTTTTATCACTTTTGTATACTGTTCCTTTTTGTACACCACCTCCATATGGTTGTCCTTGAATGCTTCTACAGCGTATTTGAAGTCACCAACCATCTCCCTCAAAGTCGATTGATGTGCTAAGTCCACATACTCACTGATGACGTCATTGATTTCCCTTGAAGACATATCAGCGAATTCATACACAGATTTTTTTATTATTCGAGCTATCTGTTGAAATGGTGTTAAACGTTTCTCTAGGAGCCACATATTAAATGCAATCTCATTTCTCGCTTTTAATCTGACTTTGAGAATTTGATAACGAGTCTCCTTGTTAACATCTTTTAGGGTCTCATAGTTCAGATCCATCATCTCCAAAGCAGCCAGTTCCTCCAATGTCTGAATGCTATGTTCTTGTAGTATGGGCAATAGATGCTCCACATTATTTTCAACGAGCCACACAAATACGTTCTTTTGCCTCATTTGTTGCATGCCAAGTTTTAGCGACATGTAGGTAAATACCAGGATGTTGATTGCGACTATTAATTTACCCATATTTGGAAGTACTCTGAAATTAATTGAATGTACATCAAATATTAGAGGGATGGTACAGTATAAAATTAAAAACAAAATCACCAAAATAATTTTCAAACTTTTGCTATGTCTGAATTATCATTTGTAGCCATATTGGTGTATTGTATGGATTTTGTTTCTTCAATATGTAGATAATATTATATTTTCTTTGAGATTAAACTATTTTTAAACGAGTCTTGGTGATAGACTTCTTTTAAAATATGAAATTTGAATTGCTCTTTAAATTACATTGTTTGATTTCTTTAAAATGTTTTTTAATTCTATTGATTTTCAATTTTTACAAGTTATTTGCATTTTTGATAAAAGTGTTGATGCTCATACATAATATAATATTTATGGTTGTGCCTTACCTTGAACTAAGTATGAAAAATTTGATATGTCCTTTACTGGGTAAATAATACTTCTTGAATGAAAGTTTTTATTTTTGTCCCCCTATATTTATGTAAATTTTGACTCCATGATCATTGACATGTTTCTCATATGTGAATATCCCCAGCAGCTAAATATGTGTGCTAGATTGGCATAAATGTTCCATTTTGTGTTGTGATCAAAAGATTATGGATTTCAAATTACTTTTTTGATTAATAACAAATTGCTACCAACCCTTGAGCAATTCAAAATCATGGGAATTTAAACAGTAATTATTTCAAATAGAAATGGTTATTAATTAGTCTGGTTTTAATTAGGTGTTTTTGTTCAATTTGCCATTTGTTATCTATTATTCTGTAACAGATAAATTGCATAATGTAAATGATTACATAATATCACTAAATGGTTAACATTGATTGTCACAAATTCCACACTATCAAAATGAAACTTTTAATCCAACTATATCGTGAAATAATAATTTATTCTTATCAATTGATTATTCTTAGGTGATGCAGCTTGATGTAGACATTGCATGACATCGATGGTGACAGAATATGACATGACATCTAATGTGACAAATTAATATCATGGTATCTCATGTGACACATGAATATTCATGTACCATGACATCAAATGTGGCACATGAATATACTTGTAACATAACATCAAATGTGGCACATGAATATACTTGTAACATGACATCAAATGTGGCACATGAATATACATGTAATATGCCATCAAATGTGGCACATGAATATACATGTAACATGACATCAAATGTGGCACATGAAAATTATGACATCAAATGTGGCACATGAATATACATGTAATATGACTTCAAACATGTTGATTACCATGCCTGATCAATTACTTTTTAGGGCCTTTATGGTAGTTGTTAAACTGGCAGCAAATAATAGAATGTAAAATGTTGGAATCAAATTTTTTCGAAAAGCATGTCAGCATTTCCCTTACATAATTTTATTATCTGAAAAAAGAATCGAGATATCTAATCAAATATGGTAGTTATTGAAGATCTTAGATGGAATCATGTTCAAATTTATTAAAGATTGAAAAGGGGATGTTTACATTTTCCAAATTTTCCCAAATTACTTTAAAATCAAAGGATTGTATGGTTCTTATCATGAAATAACAGTTGAACAAATAAGTTACTCAACTCACATGTACTTTCTGTTGCAACTTCACTTTAACAAGCCATTGATACGTTTCTGTACATAAAGCCTATGGTACAATGTATCTATAATATGAGCTTTTTGTTTGATTTCAGGATGCATCTTTTGTGTATGACCCTAAGGAAGCAGCTAACAAGGAGGTCAACACAGATGTCATGTTCAGAGAGGGACAGAATCTCATGGTAAAAACAACTGTATATTTTTACCATTTTTTCTGATCTTTGAAAATAGGCTAACTAAAGGGTCCTTTCCAGGTTTAGAAATCTCTTACCTCAGTCTATTTTTTCCCCTGGTCCAAATAAATGTGATGAACAAACCCCATTCAATAACAATTTTGTAACCTATTGTTTCATAATCATAATCTTTGGCTCACATGATGAGCCCTTGAATATCATACTATCTATCCAGCAGTCTGTCTATCCACCCATCAGTCCATCCATCATCAATTTTTGGACAAATGAAAACCGCCATTCATCTGAACCAACGCACATATCCATTTTATAGGTGTCCATGGAGGCAATTTACACCATTGGTCCCAAGTTTTTTTCTTTGTGTCGTTTTGGAGAAATTTGCTTTTTCATCGTGTGACCTTACCAAACGGTGCCATTATTCACAAAAACAAAACCATGCCAATAGTGGGACCTCATTCTAGCTGGCTTAGAACAGTCTCCCTATTTGCATTCTGATCTGAGTGAATTTATATGAAAGTAGATTAGTTAATGAAAACACAGAATGAAATTCTACTCTCTAAGGGCTAATGTGAAAAAGCAGTCCACCCCCGTGGCGATCGAACCAAGGACCCCTTGTTTTCCGAATGAATGCTCTTAGGATTGGGGAAAAACACCTAGCATGACTTAAAGTAGCATTCCCTGTCAAAACTGGCTATTGGCTGGTCATATGTAATATGTACAGGTACAGTGTAATGTGTTATTTTCTACAGGGTGAGGTGACATATACGCCACGTCTGATAGGGTTTGACCTGAAAGGGAGTCTGAACACATTGAAACAAGATGGGAACCTCTATGACCTCAATCTAGAGGAAGATCTAAAATGGTAATTGTATAAAATAATTTTTATGTTTGATAGATGAAATATAAAATGCACAACATGCAATTACCTTATATTCTAAAATAATGTTATTTGCATAGAGAAATGTGCTGTAGCTCCGAAGCTTGCCTCATGGGGTATTCTGTGGGTTGAGTTTAGTTTGGCTACATCTTAAATGTTGGTATGGTGGGGCAGGGTTGATCATTCCAGAATTTCTCTAATCAAACCATTTTGGGCTTTCTAAGATTTTTAGGAGGTAAAGGGTCTAAGTCACCCAAAGGAAGGATCAAATACCTTATAATGAAATGCTGTATTTTCTCATGCAGTATTGATCTATACAGATATAAACACATTGTTTCTCAATTTACTGCAGGGCAGCTGATGTGACACAACACAAAGTTGAAGTTGGCGAGAAGAATGATTTTCTACTAGATCTTGAAAGGCAACAGGTAACACTTAAACACTTAATTATTTTGCCTCATGGGGTATTCTGTGGGTGAAGTTTAGTTTGACTACATCTTAAATATTGGTATAGTGGGGCAGGGTTGATCATTCCAAAATCTCTCTAATCCTTTTTTGGCTTTCTAAGATTTTTCTTTCACATTTTGCACTTTAAGAAATGCCTGTTCACCTTAGAAGTTCACAGTAGTTTGACAAGTAAGACCAATTGTTTCGTTGAACAATATATGCATATATCCATTGATGTCTTAACATTCAAAAAAGTTAAAAAGGTTGATTGACACAAGGTTGTAGAATAATATATAATATACATGTATATCATATAGGTCACCTCATATATGCCTCTGGTTCTAACATTATTTATGTCAGGGGTATTAATGACAATTTAAGCATGGGCAAAGGTATTAATGACAATTTAAGCATGGGCGGGGGTATTAATGACAATTTAAGCATAAGCAGCGATATTAATGACAATTTAAGCATGGGCAGGGGTATCAAGTATCAATGACAATTTAAGCATGGGCAGGGATATTAATGACAATTTAAGCATGAGCAGGGGTATTAATGACAATTTAAGCATGGGCATGGGTATTAATAACAATTTAAGCATGGGCAGGGGTATTAATGACAATTTAAGCATGGGCAGAGGTATTATTGACAATTCAAGCATGGGCAGGGGCATTAATGACAATTTAAGCATCGGCAGGGGTATTAATGACAATTTAAGCATGTGCTATGGATTGAGCCCTTGTTTTGATAGGAGAACAAGAAGGCATAAACAGTTGATGATGGTGTTTTTGTGCTTGTTTTAGGAGGCACATATAGATGGCTCTGAGAGAAAGAGGAGAAAAGTGGAAGAGGATGAGAAGATGGAAATAGGTGGTAAGTTCTTATATTCTTGTGTTGCCATGGAGACCAAAGGGAAAATATATGGTTACCTCATGCAGAGTATAATACAGATTCTGTATCAGAATGTGTAAAAATACAGCATACATTTGTGTCACATTGTCCAATCAGATTGCTAGAAAAGTCACCATCATTGAATTTAGAAAGAAACTGCACCATTTTTGATAAGTAATAAGGTTATTGAGCTGAGGTCTGCATGAGGAGGTTGATACAATGTAAATCATTCATAGTGTGTTGATTTCATGAAAAATACCAATTACAATGTCAAATACTGGTCACAAAAATGGCTTCTATAACAATTTTGGGAAGTGACTTAAAATCTGAAGCAGTGGGGAACACAGATATAGGTCATGCTGCATGTTTTATTATATTCATGTCACCATCATAAGTGGTGACATATTGTTATATTTTTGTGTTTGGTGGTTGGTGTTTGGCATTTGGAGTTTGGCAGTTAGTCTTCAGTGCCTGTTACAAATGGCAGGTAGATTTTACATGTCAATGCCTTGATTAATATTTGGCACTGTAGTTGGCAGTTGGCATCTGTAACAAACTGTCACACTTTTGTAACCATTTACAATAACTTATCAGGTAGTGATGTTAATGCCTTTTCATTCATTTCCAGATGTATCTAAAGAGTCTAGTCCCACAGATATTGAGGAAGACCTCACTAAAAAACTGTACCATCTTGAGAAAAACATCAAAGTCTGGTCAGATTTTCTCAAAATCTACCTACATCCAAAGTCGCTATATGTTTTGCAAGATTACTCACATAACAGGTACAGCTATAAGAGGAAACATGAATTTACTATGAGAAAATTATAGATTTACAATCTAAAGAGAAAATCTTAGATTTACAACAAGTGAGTCCGATGAGAAATCTAAAATATCTTGGAAAGATGAGAATGCTCTGCTTTTATTTTCATACATGTACAGGGTGTCAAATATGTTCTCTCCCTCTTACTTTAACATCCACATAATGTTGCATAACTTTCTTGTCTGCATGATATCTGAATTATTCTTTGGCACATCAAAACTAGGCTTCATGGAGCAACTCCACAAGAAGTTTCAGATGACTAGCTCAATTAGATGCACTTTTATGCACAAAAGTTCATACTTTTGAAATTAAGGGGGGGAATTATTCATTTTGACACCCTGTACATGTACTTTGGGTTTTATTGTGTGTGCAGTTGATTCAACTATTATCTATGATCTTAAGTAAGAGTAAAGAGTCAGTCAGTCACCCGACTTATTATTTGAGCATATGAATATGTTGTAATATCCGGAAAATATTTCATGCTTGTGAAAAAAAATAACTTATTATCACTACAGTATATATTTGTCAGTTTGAAAATGCAATACATAAAGCTGTAAAAATTAAATAAATACTGTTGGGTACTACAATACCTCAATTGACCCTAATATTTTTCATTGTATGATTTCAGCGAAAATGAACCATTTGATATTTTTTCCTATGGTAGTGCCATCTACAACACAAGAACTCACCAAGATGAGATAGATGATAAACTCCATTTCTTCTTGGAAGAATGTGATCATTTACAGGTATGTAGACTTTATGCAAGTTATTTTTGCATGTCGATGATTAAACCTGCACATCGCTCCAAAACGCAATATATTGACATATATTGTTTTTACATTTTCAAGCTCTAATATAAAGTTTATGTAAATAAAAATTGTTTTTTCTACATAATATCAAAGAACAATCATTTAGTTAAAAAAAAGAAAAAAAAGTGAGCGCAGGATTCGAACCCGGGCCTCCTGCATGCTGAGCGAGCATTCTACCGCAAGGCCACCAAGTTATTATGAATGACAGTAATAATTAAACGCCACTAATCTTGAATGCTATGATTCGGTAGTGACGTCACGTTCTTAATTTAGAAACCTTTTCCAAATCATATCTACGTCACCAATCGAAGCAATTCAATGAACAATATTTGAAATGACTCATTTATCGTAAGTATTTATACACAAGATTTGCCCCATTTGTTCATCATTCTATAATCTTTTATTAAGCTCAAAATGATAAAGTTCACCCCCGAAACAACCCCCGAAACAACCCAAGATTGCGTTTTGGAGCGATGTGCAGGTTTAACTAAAGTAATGTAATGTATATTGAAGAAATTATATGAGAAGGGATTAGAGAGTGTAAAGTATTAGGTACATCCTTTTTTAAAGGATAAAAATGTTAAATGTTTTCTTTATATTTCTAAAGGCAAGTTTAGATATCAGATTGTGAAGTTATTGAAGATTTAAAATGGAGAAATGTCCAAAAACTCATTAGAATTGAAAAAAGGGGATAGATAGCCACTTTTTAAGAAAATAGGCATGAAATTGAATGATGGGAGCAAAACATTTTGACATTTTTTTTAAACTTATTCTCTTGTTGTTGCTATCCTTTCCACTCTCTTTGCATTACTCTAATATGACTGATTGGTGCTTTCTTTGCTAAATCCTGTTAAACAACAGAACATACATGAAAGATATTATGATTTCAGGGTTTCCATGTCCTGACAGACACATTTGATGGATTTGGGGGTTTGTCAACAAGTCTTTTGGAACATCTAGAAGATGAGTACTCCTCTAAAGGGATATTTACATTTGGACTCTCACCAGCTCATCATGGAGACACTGTAAGTAGTTTAAGGAAGGTTGCTCCTTTAGTTTTGGAACAGAGCCCAAATTATGAATCATTATAAGGCTCAGATCTGGCCCATTTTGACACTTAAGGCCATATATTTGGGCCTCTAGAGCCCATTTATCACAAAGGATTGTCAAATCTCTAATGAAACTCTGGCTTTTACAGTTTTTCCCCCCATCCCAATGAAATAGTTGACTTAATATAAGTATGTTTTCCAGACAACTTACCAGGACTCACTTCGTGTGATCAACAGTGTACTGACCTATAATAAAGCTGCAACCCACAGTAGTGCATTCCTTCCATTGTCAACCTGTCAGGAGCAATGGCGGAAACCACAGGGCCCACTTCAGTTTCCTCATACTAATTTTGATGTGAGTATGATATGTTGCCTGAGCATTTAACTAGATCCTGACGTTCCAATGGTCTTGATGAGGTGTTACATACAGTACAGTAAAACCTGTCTAATCCAAATGCCTCTATATCACCCAAAAGTGTTCAGATTAGAAGGTGTTCACATTTCAAGGTTTTATAAACATGTAAGTCAATGGGAGATAACAAAATTTGGACTGAGAAAAAGTCTCCACATTGAGAGATCATCAGATTACAGAGGTGTTTGTATATACTATTGCAGGTTTCACTGTACTCCTTTCAAACCAAATCCTAGACCCAATACACTTGTGCACCATCTGTGAAACATGGATCATTAGATGTGGGAGAAATATAACTTTTGGAATTGCTGTATAATGTGATTATGCACACATATTATGCAACTCATTCTTCTTGAATTTGAAGTGAAGTTTATGATTATTTCTAGGCTAGGTTGGCTTACCATAGTAGTGCAGTCCTAGCAGCCTGTCTCGACACAATGTCACTCCCATATAGGCTAGATGGCAGTGCAATGACAATGACACACATAACAGATGCACTGACACAGTGTAATAGAAAGGTACAATATCTAAGTTAATCAGATAAGGGAATCTCAAGAATTTTGAAATTTCCTAATGTGTGGTATATACCAATTTAAAGCAGATCTCAGCCACAAGCCATTGACAAAATGGGAATTTCATCAATGTTTTTGTTGTTTTTCTTTCTGAGATTCAGTAAACTTTTGTAAACCTCATATAAAAATACATGTGGAGAAGTCCATAATTGATGCAATCAAATGACAGTAAATAAGAACTTATTGATAATCTGATATGGCATCAAGCCTACTCATCTATCTGTTTTTTCATGAGGTCTATGTTTAGAAATAACATATTTTTCAGGTATTAACACTAAATGCTTCATTCCCATTCACCCTGAATCAATCACAGTCTCTGATTGGTCGGTTAATGGAGCTGGAAGATGAGTTACCATGGCAACCACTAGGACCATACCCAACATCAAAGTCTAAGTTGTTTTCACAGTCGATGGTATTGAGAGGAATACCACCAAATAGAATGAAAAGGTAAATCGAAATGGAAAATAATTCAATATTGAGAGATAATGAAAATGAAATGCTCGTATTTATTCAATGAATATTGAGACATCAGGGAGTCTGTCTTAAGTGTCAAGGTTTTTTCCAATAACTTTTATATTATGCCAGTTTCCACTAAAAAGGGGCGAAGGTCTATCTTTTGCAATAAAAAATCGCAAGATGCCTACTCACATTTTGACAAAATTGCGAAAAAGCAGCAAGTTACACTATTATTTTTTTTATTTCTCATTAAATTTTTCGTTTGAGAAACCATAAAAAGTCGTTTGGTTTGCAGTGTTTCAGATAAAGATGTCCACAGTGTACTAGGAAAGTGTAATGACTACCAAGATCTGCTTCAACTCTATTCAACTGAAATGTTCCCATATACACTCAAGTAAGAAAATCACTACACTGTTTACCACTATTACGAAACATTTTACTTCTGTATATGGATATTGGTGAACTTTATTGTATCGATTAATTAATATTTACATAATAAATCTATTTACTTTATCAATTTCAGTCAGTTTCATTCTTATTCATTTAAGTGTTTTTTGGAATTAGTCCAGTGCTGGAAACAGGATTTATACATTATACATATTAACTAGGGATGTCACGGGACAAAAATATTTCGGGACGGGACAGGAATTATCCATTTCGGGATAAATTAATTTAAAGCATATTTTAAAGGAAAACACTTTTATCGATAAAACTGCATGTTCTGTCCTGAATTTTTGTTTATTATAATTACTTATTGTAATATTACCACTACATGGCATTTACGCATGAACGCAATCCGGCAGATAATAAAACGAAAGAAAATTCTAGTTTAGATCATATTTATCGTGCATTTGGGAAGTTTTAGGGTCATATACAGGAGAAATAGTATATCCTGAACATGGACCAAAATCTTCGGTATACAAGGGTTGTCATGTCCCGTCCTGAGACCAAAGTCCTGAGGGACGGGACAATATCGGGAAACCGTGACATCCCTAGTCTTAACCATTATGGAGCATTTTATACTAATGTAGAGCTTGGGATCTGATAAACAGTGAATTTAAATAAACTTAAAGGTTTTCTATTGCAGCTCATGTTTTGTTGTGAAGCAACCATGTAAAGTCATAGCTCCCTTCCCCAATATATTCAGAGACAATCTCACACCTGATGGTCAGTTATCACAAACACCTAGGCTTCCCACTGTAGGCAAGTATAACTCACCTTTACTTTATATAAAGTATCTAACTATTAGAAATATATTATAAAGCTCAGGTTCAGTAAATTCCAGTAACTCCTGCCACCTTTTGATTTATCAAAGAATCTATGATACATTGGCTTGATTGATGATGTCATAGGTTGTTCTTTTACAAAATTAACAATAAGTTGATCCTATTTTTGCTTGGATAGATTGCTACCTACAACCAATGACATCATCAATCTTGCCATATATCCAAGCCTCTTTCATTTACAAAAAAGTGGCAGGATTTATTGGTAAGGGCTATTATACAGAACAGATCCTTTTGAATTTGAAATAAAAAAGATACGGACAGGTCCAAAATCTTCAACACATGTGATGAGAAATGGGAATTATTTTTTCTGGTTTTAAATGTGTCAATTGCTTCTTTCAGGTGTAGAAACTGTTCCAATATGGACTTCATTGCAGAGTAATCCCACCGCTGCCACCATGTTAAACAAACTTATCCATGAAGCCAAGAGACTTGACATTAATAAATACCATAAGTTTAAAGATTCTGGATTAGAACAAGATGATTATAATGAGATGCTTAATAGTCTAGAAGATATGGCTAGCAATTATTCAACTCAATTGATGGAGTGATCTAGACTGATTGTTTCAATGTAAAGTTCTGATCAAAATATTTTTTACTGCAAAATATTTTTATATCTCCCCATACTGGCATTGTATTGCTACCATATACTACCCTATGTTTTATAACATGCTAGAGAGAAATTAAACAAAAGCCCAATATAATATCACATTTGTCTTCTTTATTTCATTACAAAATAGCAAGCAATTAATAGGATATTTTGAACACACAGACATTAGGCATAAATACAGCCATACTAGATAGTATTCAATATTTCTCATATTATAAATATTATTTCCTATTGTAAGAAATAAATCCAAAAATCATCAATATACATATCTTCAGTTGCTACTGTACATGACACCTATATATCTACATTTTGCTGACTGCTTTGGATAAAACACATAATTCTTTAAGTGTTCTAAAGGGTATATATCCAAAAAAAAGTTACAGCTAAATCATAAAAGAACTTTTTATTTCATATTCTCACTGGTGGAAGTTTCAAAATCCAGTCGCATGAATAATTTCCTGTGTAACAGAAGGAAACTGAGTAATAATATTGTTATTTCATGCAGCCCATCATAATATTGCACTAAAAACTAAAATTGAATTACAAAATGAGATATTCCTCTTAGTAGATTGACAGATTGCATTTTTATAAACATATTGGCAATTTTAGTTTCTTTGGCACCTTGTCTCAACTAAACAAACTGCCTTTTTATTAATATATTATTTGTTGAAATCAAAACTTGACAAAAGACATTTATTTATACAGTGAAACACATTCGAAAAGGTTTGCATAAATTTCAATACTGAACATTTGTTCAATAAAGGGTACAATGAAACCTGTAAAGTGGAACACATCTGCTAGTGGAACACTTTAAGAGTCCCAAGACCATCTGACTTAAATAATGTTAAATGAACCTCTATAAGTGGAACACCTCCTAAGTGGAACACTTTTTAGAGGTACAATAAAAGTTGGTCTGCTGTAGAAAGTGGCAAACAAGGCTGTAATGCTGTAAGTTTTGACTCCAAACCTTTACATGTTTAACATGCTAATATAACTAGACATGTAAATTGAACAAGTTCAATTTAAGACTCCAGATTTAATTCTTTTTTTAAGCTGAGTCATCCAGAATACTTGTAAGCTGAGTCATCCAGAATAAGCTGATCGAGTCAGCTAGAATTTAGACAACTCTCCATTTTTTATCTTCGACTCCATTGGCTTAACATGGGGATATCATCATAGCGACTTTTCAAGACTTCAAACCGCTATAACTATCTAACCAGAAGTTAGATTGTATTTTGGTTTAAAGATTCGGACTCCTGAGAAAATTCTACCCTTAATTCATAACTCATACATTAAATTTGGAGATTTTTTTATTTTGACCTACTTTTTGGAAAACCATATCTCAAAAGTGGGTCAAAATACTTTCTGACGGCAAAAGGCTATCACTATAAGCACACTCTTTGCTACCTGTATACAAAATTTCGAAGCAAATCATTAAAGTGTAATGTCAGAATCGCAAAAATAAGGAAAATTATGAATTTGCCCTAGATTTTGACCTTGGCATTTTGGTGTCCAAATTTTAAAGCTAGATAGCCTTCGAGGTCCCCTTCTTTTAAAGGCTTTCAGAATGTTAAGCTGTACTCAGTCTATATCTGGTATTTTAGACTTCAAAAAAATCTTTTTCCCTATTGACATAACATGGGGCACCAAATTTAGCAATTTTTGAGCTTTCAAAACGCTATTACTTTCAAACAGAAAGTCGGATCGAAATTTGGTTTGCAGATTCAGATTCCTCAGAAAATTCTATCCTTATTTCATAACTCATATGCTAAATTCGGAGAACTTTTATTTTGACCTACTTTTCGGACACCATATCTCAAAAGTGGGTCAAAATACTCTCTGACGGCAAAAGGCTAACACTATTAGCACACTCTTTGCTACCTGTATACAAAATTTTGAAGCAAATCCTAAAAGTGTAGTGCCAGAATCGCAAAAATAAGGAAAAACTATGAATTTGACCTAGATTTTGACCTAGGCATTTTGGTGTCCAAATATTGAAACTAGGTAGCTTTTGAGGTCCCCTTCTTTTATAGGAATTCATTATCTAAAGGTGTACTCAATCTATATCTCGTATTTTACACTTCAAAAAAATCTTTTTTCCTTGACTTTTAGGATAACATCAGATCGATTTTTCTCGAAATTTCAAAACGCCATAACTTTCAAACCGGAAGTCGGATCGAAATTTGATTTAAAGATTCGAATTCCTGACAAAATTCTACCCCTTATTCATAACTCATACGTTAAATTTGGCGAATTTTTATTTTGACCTACTTTTCGGACACGCCATAACTTTGGAACCGGAAGTCGGATCGAAATTCGGTTTGCAGATTCGGATTCCTGAGAAAATTCTACTCTTAATTCATAACTCATATGTAAAATTTGGAGAATTTTTTATTTTGACCTACTTTTCGGACACCATATCTCAAAAGTGGGTCAAAATACTCTCTGACGGCAAAAGGCTAACACTATAAGCCCACTCTTTGCTACCTGTATACAAAATTTTGAAGCAAATCCTAAAAGTGTAGTGCCAGAATCGCAAAAATAAGGAAAAACTATGTATTTGACCTAGATTTTGACCTAGGGATTTTGGTGTCCAAATTTTAAAGCTAGATAGCCTTCGAGGTCCCCTTCTTTTATAGACTTTCAGAATCTTAAGCTGTACTCAGTCTTTATCTGGTATTTTACACTTCAAAAAAAATCTTTTTTCTCATTGACATAACATGGGGCACCAAAATTAGCGATTTTTGAGCTTTCAAAACGCCATAACTTCCCAACGAAAAGTCGGATTGAAATTTGGTTTGCAGATTCGGATTCCTGAGAAAATTCTACCCTTAATTCATAACTCATACGTTAAATTATGAGAAATTTTTATTTTGACCTACTTTACGGACACCATATCTCAAAAGTGGGTCAAAATACTTTCTGACGGCAAAAGGCTCTCACTATTAGCACACTCTTTGCTACCTGTATACAAAATTTTGAAGCAAATCCTAAAAGTGTAGTGCCAGAATCGCAAAAATAAGGAAAAACTATGAATTTGACCTAGATTTTGACCTAGGCATTCTGGTGTCCAAATTTCGAAGCTATGTAGCTTTTGAGGTCCCCTTCTTTTATAGGCATTCAATATGTTAAGCTGAACTCAGTCTATATCTTGTATTTTACACTTCGAAAAGGCCTTTTTTCCCATTGACTTAACATGGGCACCAAATTTAGCGATTTTTGAGATTTCAAAACGCTATAACTTCCGAACCGGAAGTCGGATCAAAATTTTGTTTGCAGATTCGGATTCCTGAGATAATTCTACACTTATTTGATAATTCACACGTTGAATTTGGAGAACTTTTTATGTTCTGACCTACTTTTCGGACGCCATATCTCAAAATCGGTAAGAGTAATCAAAAAACGGTTTGCCTTACGGAATTAGCTTTTTTTCTAAGGAACATGATGAAAAAAACCCGGAGCGAAAATACCAAAGGACGACTGAGAAAACTTGTGAAATAGCAAAAAGAGACGATTTGACCTAGTTCTTGACCTTTGACCTAGATAAACATTTGACCTAATTTCCCAGAAACTAGAACTCATTACCTAGTTGACTATGTTAGCAGATTTTAGGAAGTCCCTCTAGTTGCTGAGAAAACGCGGAAAGAAAGAAAAATAATAATAATAATAATAATAAGAAAACTGGCAAAAGCAATAGACTCCAGATTTTCAATCTGGAGTCTAATAACTCAGGTTCAACGCACCTCATACTTATTCTTGCAAAACTGACGCACATAATAATCACATACAGGGTGTCAAGAAACAACGGCACCCCCCTCTACAGCAAAAAGTTCTTAATGTTACATGGTGTGTCATATCTCATTTTAAAGACATTTTAGTTCTGCTGTTATTCTCCTATGTATAGTACAATTCATTTTCAATTTTTCGATAATTTGAATACTCCTAGATTGTACCTATGTTAGCTTGGTGTACAATGATCGGGATCAGATGAGCTTGTGCTCCTTGATCTTTTATGTCTTTGTTTGAATTCTCTTTTGCTATTGTTGGAGTTCTCAGTACCTTCACTAATTGAACTGCTGCTTGAGTTTGCACTTATGGTGATGTTCTGTTGGGACCTGGAAATAGAATGAAATGACCAATTGAACATTAAGGCTGGTGGGTGAGAATGTTTTATCCTTGTAAATAAGAGATATTTTAAGGATTTCTCACATTTTTGTGCGACATTTATTTAAATTTTAGTATTTTGCTATAGTTGGACCGTAAGTACTAGAAATCAACTTAGTAAATGTTGTTCTGAACACAACGTGAGAAAATTTCTCCAAAAAATTAGTACCATGGGTACTGGGCTCACATGGTAACAGAAAAAAACGGATATCATTTTTTGCTGATTTTTTGTTACAAAATTATTTCAAGCCATCTGTCTCTCAGTCAATTAAAATGGCTGAAAAAAAAAACCGGATATAATTTTTTGCCAATAATTTTTAACAAAATTATTTCATACAACTACTCTTTACAGTGACATGGCTTTTTGCAATGCAAGACACCTGAAATTATTTGTAAAGCTAGGAAATGGGCCAAAACTGAATTTTGCGAGACAAAAATGGCGACCATTTTGAAACAGGCAAGCTTTTGAACCAGGAGTCATAGGGGAGTTTTTTGTATTGATGTTGAACAAAAATAACTTGAAACTGGAATCCTATCGACAGAGGTTTTAAAGTGTGCGCCTGACCCGGCTACGTATAGCACAGAGTTTATACTGGCGGATTAGACTAGTTCATTTTTTATATGTGTGTGAAAGCTTTCTCTTATTTGCGTTTTTTCGTTTAGTACGGTTTTGTTATAACTGCCGAGGTCATATAACCGGGATAAAACAATGATTATCGTTGACTGCCCACACACAAAACATACGTTGAGTGAACAGTGTTATTACAAACAACAGGCTTTAGAATACAAAGCGTAGTGTGATAATAAGCTGCACACTACCACTGCTGCATGTACATATTACTAATTTACTAGGGCTCCCAAAGAGTGGATAGGGAGGTTGTGTTTGTCACTTTTAAATTTTACATTTCAAAATTGTCATTTTACATGTCATAATTTGTTGGTTTCATTCGTTTAGCCAATTAAAACATTGTAAAACAATAAATTGTCTGTTACGTACAATCAATTTTGTTCAGTTTTGATTAGTTGTCAGAATAAAGTTACGTTCATCTGAATCCATGTATGAAAACAAAAATCCTATTTTCACTTCAAAATACTTCAGTGAGATGAAGGCTCGGAATTGTCACATGCAATAACTTATTGTCGTATTCGTTATTTTATCTTCTCGATAGTAGCATTTAGTCGCACATTTGATGCCAGGTCACCTTGTCGCGTACCTCTTGGGGAACCCAACATTTATGTGTGTACTCATGGAAGTAAATTCCCCGGTGTAGCCGAGAGCCACAAACTTTTCAACAGGTTCGAAATGACCAATTTCTCTCATATATACTCTAAATATTTTATTATTTAGCACCTACAAAGTATTGCTAATAACCATATGTAATTTCAATAAGGAAACTTATCTGGCTACATACAAATTCAATATCAACACTAGCTGTTCTCTCAACACGTCCTGGCTTACCTTGTGGTGACAAACCCTGGGTTTTCGCTATTTATAGTTTATCAACACCTGGACGCATGCGCATTTTATACTTTATCGGGCACTTTAAGCAAATGGTCCAAAAGAGGATTTCGCGAGACAGATGGACAAATCAATGTTAACTAAAATGGCTGAAAATAAAAAAAACGGATATAATATTTTGTCGATTTTTTGTAACAAAATTATTTCATACAACTACCTTTTACAGTGACATGGCTTTTTACAATGCAGGACAGCTGAAATTATTTGTAAAGCTAGGAACTTGGCAAAAAGTGAATTTCGCGAAACAAGAATGGCAACCATTTTGAAAATAGGCGAGCTTTTGAACCAAGAGTCATAGGAGAGTTTTTTGTATTGATGTTGAACAAAAATTAACTTAAAATGGGAATCCTATCGACAGAGGGTTTAAGGTAAATGGTCCAAAAGTGGATTTTGCGAGACAGATGGACAAATCAATGTTAACTAAAATGGCTGAAAATAAATAAATGGATATAATTTTTCGCTGATTTTTCGTAACAAAATTATTTCATACATCTACTCTTTACTTTGCAATGGATTTCTACAATGTAGGACACTTGAAATTATTTGTAAAGCTAGGAAATGGGTCAAAAGTGAATTTCACGAGACAAAAATGGCGGCCATTTTGAAAATAGGCGAGCTTTTGAACCAGGAGTCATAGGGGAGTTTTCTGAATTCATGTTGAACAGAAATAACTTAAAACAGGAATCCTATCGACAGAGGTTTTAAAACGTGCCACTGTTATTGACAGAAAGTGGATTTCGCGAGTCAGATAGACAAATCAATGTTAACTAAAATGGCTGAAAATAAAAAAATGGATACAATTTTTCGCTGATTTTTTGTAACAAAATTATTTCGTATATCTACCCTTTACATTGACATGGATTTTTACAATGTAGGACAGCTGATATTATTTGTAAAGCTAGGAAATGGGTCAAAAGTGAATTTCGCAAGACAAAAGTGACGGCCATTTTGAAAATAGCCGAGCTTTTGAACCAAGAGTCATAGGAGAGTTTTTTGTATTGATGTTGAACAAAAATAATTTAAAATGGGAATCCTATCGACAGAGGGTTTAAGGTAAATGGTCCAAAGTGAATTTTGCGAGACAGATGGACAAATCAATGTTAACTAAAATGGCTAAAAATAAATAAATGGATATAATTTTTCGCTGATTTTTCGTAACAAAATTATTTCATACATCTACTCTTTACTTTGCAATGGATTTCTACAATGTAGGACACTTGAAATTATTTGTAAAGCTAGGAAATGGGTCAAAAGTGAATTTCGCGAGACAAAAATGGCGGCCATTTTGAAAATAGGCAAGCTTTTGAACCAGGAGTCATAGGGGAGTTTTCTGAATTCATGTTGAACAGAAATAACTTAAAACAGGAATCCTATCGACAGAGGTTTTAAAACGTGCCACTGTTATTGACAGAAAGTGGATTTTGCGAGTCAGATAGACAAATCAATGTTAACTAAAATGGCTGAAAATAAAAAAATGGATACAATTTTTCGCTGATTTTTTGTAACAAAATTATTTCGTATATCTACCCTTTACATTGACATGGATTTTTACAATGTAGGACAGCTGATATTATTTGTAAAGCTAGGAAATGGGTCAAAAGTGAATTTCGCAAGACAAAAGTGACGGCCATTTTGAAAATAGCCGAGCTTTTGAACCAAGAGTCATAGGAGAGTTTTTTGTATTGATGTTGAACAAAAATAATTTAAAATGGGAATCCTATCGACAGAGGGTTTAAGGTAAATGGTCCAAAGTGAATTTTGCGAGACAGATGGACAAATCAATGTTAACTAAAATGGCTAAAAATAAATAAATGGATATAATTTTTCGCTGATTTTTCGTAACAAAATTATTTCATACATCTACTCTTTACTTTGCAATGGATTTCTACAATGTAGGACACTTGAAATTATTTGTAAAGCTAGGAAATGGGTCAAAAGTGAATTTCGCGAGACAAAAATGGCGGCCATTTTGAAAATAGGCAAGCTTTTGAACCAGGAGTCATAGGGGAGTTTTCTGAATTCATGTTGAACAGAAATAACTTAAAACAGGAATCCTATCGACAGAGGTTTTAAAACGTGCCACTGTTATTGACAGAAAGTGGATTTTGCGAGTCAGATAGACAAATCAATGTTAACTAAAATGGCTGAAAATAAAAAAATGGATACAATTTTTCGCTGATTTTTTGTAACAAAATTATTTCATATATCTAATCTTTACCTTGACATGGATTTTTACAATGTAGGACACCTGAAATTATTTGTAAAGCTAGGAAATGGGCCAAAAGTGAATTTCGCGAGACAAAAGTGACGGCCATTTTGAAAATAGGCGAGCTTTTGAACCAGGAGTCATAGGGGGGTTTTCTGTATTGATGTTGAACAGAAATAACTTAAAACAGGAATCCTATCGACAGAGGTTTTAAAACGTGCCACTATTGTTGACGGACGGACAGACGGACAGACGGACGGACAGACAGACGGACAAGTGAGCGATTGCAAAAGCTCACCATGTGAGCTAAAAATCTTACATTTGTGAGGCAGATTTATGATAAAACATTTCATTTTTTGGTTATTTTGACATGTAACAAATTTCCAGGTCCTATATAAGGGTGGTCAAAAATGACCCTTTTTGGTAAAGCTATGTTCTCTTGCTGAGTCAGTGTTCCCTAAAGGCTAAATGTCTGTGAATTTTTAACCTCATTTTAAACCTCCCCACAATCCTCAATCTTTGACATTGTGGCAAAAATGACAATTTTCTAGGTTTAGATAAAAATACATTGAAACACATTACATGTACTAATAAGTATTCAAAACACATCTTCTGTCCTGACTTAGCCAAGAGATTATCTTTAATAAAGTAAGATGTGACTTAGTCTTTAAACCTCATCTACATTCACATAATTTCACAAATCTGGAGTCTCCCATATGGCAATGTGATTTCAAAAATGAGACAACCCTACATGTGATTTTGGCTGTATACTAAGACATTCTTTATTGAGTTTGAAGATGAATTAATAGGAAACATGAGGAATTTCAACTATCAAGTGAACAGTTCCAACAAGACAAGCTATCTCTCTTTGTGAATAGTGATTAAGTTTACCAGTTAGAGTCAATATATTATTTCAAAGCTAAGTGCACAATATTTTGAAAGATGTGTAAATGTCTAGTGATCCTATCCACCACCTATCTATTCTTTTAAAATTTGCGACCAAATCATATGCGTGTACCTCAAAGGACGATTCTCAGTTTGGAGAACAGTCTCCAGGGCTAATAATTTTTTTCATGAAAAATATAGAAATATTACCCAAATTAAACTATGAATATTCAAAAGAGGACATTAAAATCTACAAGATGTAAAAATAACAAATTGGTCTGAAGCAGGGATAATGCTCAATAAGACCGATTCAATAAATTACAAGTCTCCATTTGGGGAAAGAAGTTCATCAGTGTAATGCGCTTAAATATCTTTTTGCGAAAAATCTAGAGATATTACCCAAATTAAATTATGACTATTCAAAAGAAGACATTCAAATCTATATTATGTAAAAAAAATCAAATTTGTCCGAAGCAGGGATAATGCTCATTTAGATTGATGAACTTCGTTCTCCAAACCGAGAATCGTCCTTTGTATTAAACATGGCTATTAATACTCGTATTTGTATTTTGATCTAATAATTTGCAATATAACAAACTGAATATGAAAAAATTGCCTGATATTAAAATATAAACATTTAAATTATTTGAAAGCATTTTTTAAAAATAACTAACATACCCATTCCTTAAAAATGCTAAGAGACTGACATGATCAATTTTATCATTTTCTAGCATCAAGTTAGAAACATATAGCCTATCTATAGAAAAAAACAAATACATTTAAAGCACCTTCATAGGTAATAGACATTGTGATATGTTTATACGACACTGCATATTTTATATGCAAGCTTTATATTTACTGGTAGTGTTAGTATTATAAACTACTTGTAATCTAATGTAATCAGTGTTTCACCTGAGGGGGGGCTGAAGTCTCAAAAAGAGATTTTTTAACCACCCTAAAAATGCAATGTAACTTTGTGTACAGTTAATAACATTTAATAGTAGAAAAATAAGTGTTCAATCTTTTACATTTTTCTATTTTAGACCCATCAAGTGGAGAAAACAATGTTAAACAAGGATCTGCAATATTGTTCTCAAGTTGTTTTTGATTTATCTGTGCGTACATGTTCTAGGTATTAATACACTCATTTGAGAAATGAGCCTAATGAGAAACTGAATGGGACCCTAGGTGATAAGGGACATGAAAGTCTGGGGAAATCAGATTTATTGGGCAGAAGGGATACGAGGGAAATAATATTGTCATAATCACTTTGCCAGGGATATGGGACATAGCCCTTTGGTGATACTTTGAGAAGTATTCTTGAGTTACTTTCCCTGTGGAATTTCTGGGATATTTGTCATTACCACAAAATTTGATCTAAGACAGCTTTAAGAGATACTGTATAAGTGGTAATTAATCCGAGTGGTTAATTTTCCGAATGGTCAAATTTCATCATTTTCCTAATTTTAATTTTCCTAATGACAAGAAACCTCCCATTGGATAACATTATAAAGACAATATTTCCGACATTTAATTTTCCGAACCTGGCAAAAAATAGGAAATAGGCAAATTAAATGATTAGGCAAAATTACCACTTATACAGTATTAGGTGATAAATGCCTTAATCATTGGTACTCCACTCCATTAAGATGGTCACCAAAATGGATCGTTTCGCTAACAAAATGTCGGAACCTCAAAGGAACAATTTTTCTTTTTTCCTTATTTCACATATTATAGGCAGAATTCCTTCGACATTTTTATCATAAATGTGTGTCAGTATCACATGTTTAAGAAAATGTACATGTTTGCGAACAAATAGTTAAAAAAAAACGGGAAAATTCTCCTGCTAGTACTGTGGCTGACATTATAACCTACCTATTGTGTCTCAAATGGCTTTTTACAAGATGGCCTGCAGCAAGGGCTGCCATTAGGCAAAGTTCTCCTGCTAGTACTGTGGCACACATTATAACCTACCTATTGTGTCTCAAATGGCTTTTTACAAGATGGCCTGCAGCAAGGGCTGCCATTAGGGAAAATTCTCCTGCTAGTACTGTGGCTGACATTATAACCTACCTATTGTGTCTCAAATGGCTTTTTACAAGATGGCCTGCAGCAAGGGCTGCCATTAGGGAAAGTTCTGCTATAAACTACCTATTGTGTCTCAAATGGCCTTTTACAAGATGGCCTGCAGCAAAGGCTGCCATTAGAGAAAGCTCTCCTGCTAGTACTGTGGCTCACATTATAACCTACCTATTGTGTCTCAAATGGCTTTTTACAAGATGGCCTGCAGCAAGGGCTGCCATTAGGGAAAGTTCTCCTGCTAGTACTGTGGCACACACTATTCTTGCAAGTTGTGTTGCATTCTCACCCGGAGAAGTCTTGTTGGGACCTTGTACTCCAAGTAACTAGAACAGATGAAAATTATCAAGTTGTCAAAATTGGGATAAAATTCTTTTTTGAATTAAGATCATCATGCTATATGTAAGCAAAATTAAGATAACAAGATAATAAATCAAATGTTGTATTAACAAGGTACATTAGGATGATCTAATTAAAACTTCTATTTGGTCATTCCAGGATGAAATGGAAAATTAATTTTCGTCAAGAAGTGTTTTCACATTGTACTCAATGCAGTCACTTTATTTAGACTAAGTGACTTGAAAAATTTACCAATCTTAACCAAAATTTAAGATACATCTGAGCAAATCCTCTGGACTTTTCAACCATACACTCATGTATATGGAGTAATCTTCCATGAGAGAATAAAAGGAAATTGTACTATAAATTGTCTACATTATGTGACAAAATGTAATCATATACATGTAGCAGTATTGACCCTCAGAAGTGAAGAAATCCTTTTACCCGTAATTTACATTATACAGTACAGTGTAAATGGATTTAACTGCAGGCAATGCAAAGGTTAAAATATTGTAATGTCCAAAAGGCAGTTTTCAAAACATATAGACCATAACTCCGGCTAATGGTCTTGACAATTGATTACTATTCAATTGGATGTCTTACCTCAAGACATGAAGCCTGTGGAGGGAGAACAGTGCCGCCCCCTATAGTTCCCACCTCAATAGATGGCATTGTACAACTAATATACAAATCCTCGTTGTTCTCACCAGTACGTTCCAACAGAGTGATACAATTAGAACTGGCGATATTCTGAGCTGGATCCTGAGAAATATCAAATAAATAAATAAATTATGATTTGAAAGTGAAGAAGACATGCAAGAGATATCACTGAATGTACAGAATGTTTTCTTAACATCCACTAGTTTACTTTGAAAAATCATTTTTTTAAACAAAATTCTTGTTTCAATATGGCTAAACAGACTAAAAAATCGTACATTGTGACAGCGAAAAGTGAATGACAGTTGCATCAAACTGAAAAGGAGATACACAAATAGCGATGCATAAAATAAAACAAAATGTAGATGGTACAAAAGGCCCTTCAACAGTTTACAAAGGTCAGGTCTTAAGCTGCTCAAACATGATAAACATCATCCATGATAAACACACCTGTCCTGTTGCTATGAACATAGCAGTGACAACATTAGCTGCATGAGCATTGAATCCACCCATACTTCCAGCCATGGCAGAACCAATCAGATTTTTGCTAATATTCAACTCTACAAGTTTATCAGTGGACGTTTTAAGGACATTTGTTACAACTTCAGCTGGTATTGTGGCCTCACAGACAATGGATTTCCCTCGCCCCTCAATCCTACAATAACAAATAATACAATGTTTCATTGACCAAATTTATATTGACCTCGAACACATATCTGATTGGTGTACAATAATATTGATATCTTCATTATCATATTATCTTGGGGTAATAAGGCCTGCATACAAACCTAAGATAATCCTTAGAATGCTTGCTGGTTTTCCTGGCTTGTATGCAGGACTATATGTCACCTATGCCTTCAACAAACTTTTAGGTAACTATTTACTACTCAGTAATGTAAAAGAAATAATTAATTAAAAAACAACAAGGCTATGCAAGATTTCATCACTTGCCATTTGTTACAGATGCCGACCACCGAATGCCAACTGCTGAACACCGTCAAAAGAAGTTGGAGACTATAACAATATGTCCACCTACCAATTAATTGCAGCAGGCTTCTTATCTGTACAGTAGTTACCACTAAGGCCCAGGACTTCCATATCAGGGAAATAATCATGTAGCACATTCAAAGCTTTCTCTGCCCCCTAAAATATAAAACATTATACACTGCAGATTATCTTAATTCCTGAACTTCATTGCAGCACCTCAATCGCATCATAGGTAATTCTAAAGATATCTGACATTTTTTAAAATGGGGACTTTCAAAGGAATATTTTTACATGGGGGACCTATTTATAGTCTAATACAATCAGTTTATATGTAATGATAAGAGACATGAATACATTTGTCACAATTATGTTTTGCTTTAGAATTCTAGTGAACATTAGTTTAACCACATACCAGATTCAATACTATTCAGGTATTGAGAAGTCAGGAATTTGTGTCCAAATGCTAGCAATTGTGGAAAAAACTGAGTACGGAAATTTGAAAATGTTAATTTACTGTTCACTTGAACCTCGATTGAAAACCATCTTTATCCCTAGTGAAATCTATAACACACTTCGTTCCCCCAATGAAATTTATTTCATAATCCCACAACCGTTGGCAATGAGACACCCCTCTTCCTAATAATAAAAAAGAGACAAATGACAAATGTATGAATGTAAAATGACAAACCTTAGAGATCATATTCATTCCCATAGCATCTCCTGTCAAAGCTATGATTCTCACAAATAGTAATCGTCCCGCTTGAGTTACTTGTAACCGCTGCAATGTCGCAAAGTTACTTGTTGAGTTGAAACTTTCTTGAAGTCTTTGGAAGTTTTCTGTTTTTTCTAACCATGATTTAGCCTCACTGAAATGTAAATAAATAAATATTCAGGATCTTCAAAAATGATTTAATAACGTAAAACCTAAGAATCTTTAGCTTTTTTACATTAAGACACTCTTGCAAAAGTGATTTAGTTTAAGATGATCAAGGGGTCACATTTATTGTGCTTAAAATGATTGAAATCAAGAAAATGAAATTTAGCATGTCATTTTCAGTTTACATTTGGATTTTCGGATTCTGTGGTATATGTTGTCCTTCATAGATCCAGAACAACACACTGTACATTATACTGTACAGATGGGAGTTTCGGAGAATTCTATCACGGTTGCAGGATTTTGCAATGTGGTTAAGTGGTTGTCTCACCTGGCCATCTTGGCAGATAGGAAGCGTATAACAGGTGCTCTTGTCATGCCATTTCCCAGCAAACTGCTAGTAACACCCCCACTCAGCTGTAAAAATGATTTTTACATTTTTAATATTCATAACACGCAATACACTCCACTTGGCCCTAAAGGTAAATTTTGCTGTATAGTGCTTCTATATCTAGGAAATATTACCTCAAGGGCGCAATATCAATTTGCATATTTCATACTTTATGATTCATATGAACTTCATTACACTGCACAATAAAATGAAGCATTCATAAACACACTTACAGCAAGAGCCCTGCATCCTCTATTTGTACTAGCTACAAGTGCACCCTCTGTGGTTGCTAGGGGAACTTGGTACTGCTTGTCGTCCAGCAACAATGGCCCGGCCACACCTACGGGGACTGGCATGTAACCTACTACATTCTCGCAGCAGGCACCACTCACCTAGGATTGACATCATTCAAAGGCATCAACATAGGATGACATTCAGGATTGATCTTTTACATATAAACAATTGAATCCACAAGATGAGAAGGGTACAAGAGGGGCATGATTCATAGGCATCAGAATCTCTAAATCGTAACAGCAGGACTGAAACTATCTTCGAGAAGCGATGAATTTCTTTTTCTAATCCACCCAAACCACTGTCCACAAAAAAACTAGTGGTGACATATCCATATTCAAAGTAAGATGAAAAGTAGAACTTACGAGATCATAGTGTTGATATCCACTATAAGGAAGACTTTTGAAGGGGTTGGCACTGATTAACTTTGCCTGGATCAACTTGCGTCTGGAAATAAACAATCAGTTAACAATAGATTCATTAGAGACAGCATTTAACTATAGCGTTAACAAGAGAATGACATCATTTGACTAGGAAGCCATAAATTAAATTATGTCAAGATCTGCAGTTATACAATCATATTGTGAAAAATACCGAAAAACTATGACATTAAAACAGAATCCAAACTTCCAAGATATAATCATATTGAATGATATAACCCTAACATATGCCTTATACAGTAGCTGTCAAACAATCACTTGGCTTACCTTATGGCCACTCCTCTTTTTGGGTCCCCAAGGCTGGACTCAAGTTTATATGCTGGGATGTGTTTGATATTAACTAAAGATAAGACCTCCTCATCTGTTAACTTTGATGGACCATCCTGTAAAACATTATCATATATAATATTTTCTTATATATCGTCCCTCCATTTTAGAATCCATTTTTATAGAAATTTGGAATATGCAAAATCAGTTTTTAACAACCCAAAAATCTGTCATTGAAACATGAGACGTATGATAATGTCATAAATATCAACCAATAGAATCCACTGACATTATCACTTGAAACACCAAATATCTATCTTTTAAAATTAATATTTTCCAGATAATTAAGGAAATAACAATTTTGAAGTCTTACAGGTTCGCTCAGAATTAGCTTGCATTCTTCAACAGTCCTCATTGTATGAGACACCGCGGGACCGCCAACTTTACAGTTGGAGGGAGGATGTTCATCAGTTGGAACAGCAATTTGATTTCCAGAAGTAGCAATAGAGCTGGTTGTGCTCAGTGAATGTGTCACACAATTTGCACTTAAAGTATCACTCCCATTGTCACACAATGTATCCATATTATTTGAAGATTTTGTATCCTGACAGTCTGAGTTATGCGTATCAATTTCTTCGCTGCTGTCTTCATCAGAATCTCCGACAATAATGCTGAATCCATTAGAATTATTTGAACAACGTAACTCTGAAAGATAAAACAATTCAGTGTAAAACAAAAGATTTTTTAACATAAAGATACATTTTTGCTTTTTGTATTTGCTTTTAAATTCACATAATGTTAATGTACAGAATCACACTGTACTACACACTATACCAAATTTTTGATTCAATTTAAAAGGTGAAGGTTGAGTTTTTGGGGTTTATCTACATCTTTACATTGATATTTATTTTTAAGAATCAGCCTATAGCTTTATTCAGTGGTACATGGTGCCTACCTTGATTTACTTTTGTGGGTTTAAATGTTGGTTCATCTTTAATTATTACATCTTTTGCTACAAGCTCTGTGGTGTTATCTATCTCATGAAAATCTCGATCCCAGAGTAAATATTTCAGAAGGAGCACAATACCTAATATAGCAGTAATCATATAGTAGCGGTCCAGTTTGGCGAACCTAAACAAATTAAACATTTCATAAATTAACAATCACTGTAACAGAATCACCCCAAAAATAATTTTTTTAAATCCAACGGCATATTAAAACATTTGAGCAAATTACTGTATCTAATAATGCTATTGTTGCCTGTTAAATTTTAAATTAAGAAATATGACTAAAATGTATTTTTAACAGACATCACAACAAAGTGGCATACAATATTCATTTTGTTTTGAAAGTTCACACCTAATTGTACATACAAACGTGAAGGAGTGTTCAGATTTGAACTTATTCAAAAGGCACTTCAGTTACAAGCTTGACAAAATTTGATGTTTTTTTTACTTAGATACATATTCATGTTTTGATTTGATTCATCAATTCTCCAAGCAGAACTTACCCAAGGAGGTAAAAGTGCCACTCTGTCTCCTGTTCAAAGATTGGTTTTGCCGTGTCATTTTTCATGGTGTAGTTCTTGGTAGACGTCACCTCAGACCAACTCCTGGCATACACTAGCACCAGACCAGCAGACTGAATAAAACAAATGAAATGGGGCTTAAAAGAATAAATCAAATGAAATATAGCTTAAAAGAATAAAACAAATGAAATGTGGCTTAAAAGAATAAATCAAAAGAAATGTGGCTTAATAGAATAAATCAAATGAAATGGGGCTTAAGATGGTATTCCAGTAAATAAAAAAGACGAGTGCGCATCATTCCCACGCATCTCACTTTTGGTTTCGGTTTCGATGCCGTAATTTGGTTATTTAGATGTATATTACTCAAATAAATAAAATCTTTACCCAGCATGAGTGGATATATCTTTGTTAATGTTTATTTGTGGTGATAGAATAAATTATACGGAAAAATAGGACACTTGATTGTCGTAATTTTGAAACGTCTGTGAAACTTTTCACCAATTATCGCCCACCTAGAAACAAAATGCTTCACTTTGTGGCGGGACGATTTCGGTCTCAATCGGGCAAACAGAGGAGAGTCGTAGCATTAAACATCATAGCAACTATTCATAAAGGTAAGAACTACCAAATTAATATCATTTTCTGCTTGCAATCTATCAAAATTGCTATCTTTGAAGCTAGAAAAATTACTTCCTGGTTCTCTATTAGAATCTATCGACTTGTCATTTTCGCATATCATTTTGAAACGTGTAAATTCTAATAAATTACGTTGAACTTTTGTATTTTGTGCGATCATTCGGTATCTTAATAATAAATGGTAGTGTTACTGTTATGTATTAATGCAATATATTATGTGATCGTAAGCATATGAGCACTAAAATCCATCTCAAAATTACAAGTGAATTTATTTGGGTGATCATTCGTCATGACGTTCCAATTTGCAATTAAAAGTTGCCAGTATTTTGCTGACAGTGATAGAATTTGAATAGAATACAATATAAACAGTGGCGGATCCAGGGGGGACATGCCCTCCACCCTAAGTTGGACCCAGAAAAAAAATTGGGCCAAAAAAATTTGGGTTTGTGTAAAAAACCGGAGGACAGGGTAACTGGGTGACCGGTAGCAGGGTTACGAATTTTATTTATGTACGTTATTTTAGACTTCACATTTTGAGGTTATTTCACGTCGTAAAAAACGTTTTGACGATGTTAACTTTTAACGTTAAAATAAAGTCCGTAATGAACCGATTTAGTGAGAATATAACATATTTGTAACGTTTTCTTAACTTACAAATATCTTAAAGCCATTTCCACAAAATGTTGAAATTAAACGTTTATGTTACCTCGACAATTAACCAATGTGGTAAAATTGAAACATCCCTGTTATGTTTTGTACACTAACAAACTTTACGAACATGTTAGTACAACATACTTTTTATTCCATCCATCGATGTCTTGCTGAATATTTAAATAACGTCAGATCAATGCGGTACATGAACGCCATTATGGATGTCACTCACGTTTTGAGGTTATTTCACATCGAAAAAAACATTTTGACAACGCAACTAATGAGCAACGTGACATGGACGTCACTGTCTGCTGTGTCGATTATTTCAAAAAGTACTCTGTCGCCTATAGGGTAAAAAATATCGAACAGTAGTGCACTCGGTAGGCTAAGTCTGTCAAGTCAATTTGCTACTATATATATCGGGGAAAATGTGAAACTTTGAAAGTTGGTAACCCTGCTAGGAACGTTAGGTATCGGGTCACCAAGCTACCCGGTTACCCGTTTTTTTTACACAAACCCAAAATTTCCAGGCCAAAAAAGCCTTAAGGCCCCAAAAAGTTGGCATTTTTGGTCATTATTGGGCCTTCTAAGGCCTTATTTTTTCAACTTGAGGCAAAATTTAGAAGAAAATGGGCCTCAAAATTTAAAAAGTTAGGCCCACTTTTCAGTTTTAAGGGCCCAAATTTTTTTTCGCGCAAGAGAGGAAGTTTTTCTCTCTGACCTGAAATTAGCCCTCCCCGTTGTTTGTTCCTGGATCCGCCCCTGATAAACCTAACATTTAAAAAATAGATCTAGGCCTATGGTTTGCAACTGATTTAAAAATTGAAAGGAAACTCCCTGGTTTGCCCATGTAACCCCCTAGGAAGTCCCTTTGTTGAAGTATGTCTATACCCTGGAACGACTGTCAGGCTATTTCAAACTCAAGAGGTCTCCTACGCGGGCAGAGTCAAAAAATCTGATATGAAATGGTGACTTTTATTTGGAAAAAAAAGTTTGGTTTATATTGAACTTATCAACCACAATATCCAGGCATTATATTTTGATCTATAATTTCAGGATCAGTGGGCCATCGACAGGAGAATGAGTTGACCATGAACATACTGTACCTATGCAATGACAGAATCACTACAGTACAGCCTAGCCTACTACACTCAACTTCATGATGTTTAGAGGGAAGAAACAGTTTCTGATTCTGATGAAAATCATAAATACTTCATGTAGTAATATATGACAGTTTGCTCGAACCATTACACGAGCGCCAATATCAGAATAGCAATGGAACTAGGAATAAACAACAATGGTAAGGCATTGTAGGGAAATAACACATAAATCAGTCGACACAGTCAATCCCATAGGCAAGTTCATTTGATGTACATAGCATCATTATCAATGAGAGCATTATACTACAACATTTTGTCACAATGGATGTCTAACCTGCTAACCATTAATAAATCATGAACTTGAAACTTGAATTTACAGTTTGTGTAGTCTCAAAAATCAAATTATGATATTTAGAAAATTCCTACTTTCAAAATTTCGAAAATTAAAAAGGGTCATCTTATGTGGGATTTCACAATAATTTTATGATTTTTTCAAAGCATGGCTACATTATACTCCACTCAAAGTGAAGGAATTTTTCAGTAGATCCCTATTAAGTATTGTTTTTTCTGATTCGTGTCCCTGAAAATTGAAAATGGCTGCCTAGAGCAGGAATTCAAAATTGATATAATTTAGAGATCTCTCCACATTATACAACATATATTATCTCAAATATAATTGTATTGCCTTGCATTTGTGCCTTTGAAACCTAAGATCACCACCCAAATGCAATGGTGGAAATTCTGATACATCTCTAATGTATGTCTTTTACATCTGCCAATTTAATCAAAGATATATGGTAAATGGTTAATATAACATTGTGATAATATACATGTATAGATTCATGAATATAGTGTGTTGGGATCTGATCTCACTGGATTTGCCAATTTCTAGTTTGAGAATAAACTTTGTAAAATGGCTAAAGCTACATACATGTACAGTATATCATTGTTATCATCTGCTTCTGTTTGATTTCTTTGTTCTACTTTACATTTTAAAATACCATAAAAGCACTTACAATATAAATAAAATCTTTGTTTTTACTATTTTCAGGTTACAATTGGTAATGTCACAGTGAATACAACAACTTTTGTATTTGAACCTTTCAAGGAGAGCTAAAAAGGCACAGAGTGAATGTAATGGCAACTTCCACATGACTTCAACAACCTTGGTATTTGTACCTTGTTAGGAGAGCTAACAAGGCACACAGTGAACAAATTGGTATCTTATACATGTTATACAATCTTTGTATTTGGACCTTATGAGGAGAGCTAACAAGGCACACAGTGAACAAACATAGTCATACAGTAGCATCTTATACTAATAGTATCACATTGGTATTTGCCCTGTACAAGGAGAGCTAACAGGGCAAACAGTGAACATAATGTCATATTGTACAACCTTGATATTTGCACCTTACAAGGACTATCACCTGTGTATAGTATCACAAAACTCATACCTACTGTGCTCATGGTAATTTTTGTGCGCTACTATATTTTGATAAAGTTCAAAAGTAGATAAATAAAAAATACTAGTACATTATCTTCTAACATGTTTAAAGAACTTGTTTATTATTTCAAAGTTAAAAAAAAACTATAGAGACATAATAGATATTCTCCATTTTTATGCCATTCCTTTTTAATGTCTTAGTTGGAGTTCAATGGCTCAGCTTGATTCATTCTTCTTATTGTGAAATTTTTAGAGAATTCTAGTACCTATGTTTGTTTGTGACCATCATTGATCACTGACCAGGATCTGTGTGTCCCTTTGAATGTGTGTGGCTATTTACAAGTTATAAAGTGTATCCCAATATGAATTCTGGTTTTAAATATGTTTTGATGTCATACTGAGTCTATAGAATCTCCAACTTTTAATCAGAGGTTTCTCAAATTTAGTGTGATTTTATAATCTTCAACAAAAAGAAGGTTCTTCCAAACGTGTATCCCAATGAGGGATCCCAAAACCCCAATGAGGATCTAAAGAGACCATATACGTCTATACTAACGAGGACCTATTGAGACCTTGGTGATCCTTTTTAGAAATCAGTGAGCTATTAATGCACTAATATTTATTATTAGTAGTAGGGTATCACTAGGGCCCCATCAGGACCTCACACCTAGGGTCTTATCTGGGTTTTGGTATATTTTAAACTAATTTTTTTCATTTTCAAGATATCCTGATTAGCAGCCAAAATAGTGACATGATGTACAATGGCTTCTAGTAATTTTGACTATATTGACCTGTTGCTATGCGGTTGCTATGCAGAAAATAGAGCCTTACCCCTAGGACCTTACTCCTAGGGTTTTATCTGGGTTTCAGCATATTTTAATCTTACTTGGGTCTTTAAGATTTTTTCACTTTCAAAATATCCTGATATGCAGCCAAAATAGTGACATGATGTATAAGGGCTTCTAGTTTGACAATTTTGACCCGTTGCTATGCAGTTGCTATGCAAAATATGGCTATATGAAAGAGAAGATAACACATTATACTTTGGGTTTTAATAAGTATAATGTTGCTAAAGCAATGTATATCTTGCCAATTGTCGATGCTGAGAGCCATTTTGAAGTATTTTGCCCGTTGCTAGGTGGTTGCTATGCAAAATATTTAACGCCTTAATTTTAATCTAACTCAATTATAACACGATGCGTGATTTAAAAATAGAGGTAATATATATGTATATGTTCAGATGTTTAATATGGTGTATCAATTCTAAATAAGTATTTTGTTATGAATAGGAATACTCAAGATGGATGAACTGCTGCTATAACATCATAAATACACAAAAATGCAGAAATAATGAAAAATTGACCAACATATTATGATGTCATAATATGAAAAAAAACTCACGGTGACCTATATTTTTTATTAGCTTATATGAAAGAAGGCATTCATATTGACAAAATGTCAAAATATAAATATAGGTTTATCAGTAAAATTTTCAGCACTAGTAGTTCAAAGTTGAGTCAGCAAATATTAAAAAATCCCATTGAAATAACATGTAAATGGTGAAAACCCAATCCATCAAATCAGGAAAAATCATGTAAAACCACATTTTTTCTCGGATGTGTATCTCGAAAATTTCCACGGTGACCCTATATTTTTTTGGTACCAAAATGTTAGGAATTGAATATACTTCAAAATAAGCACATAAAAAATATATGTTTATCAGCAAAGTTATTTACTGGAATACCACCTTAAAAGAATAAATCAAATGAAATATAGCTTAAAAGAATAAATCAAATGAAATGTGGCTTAAAAGAATAAATCAAAAGAAATGTGGCTTAAAAGAATAAAACAAATGAAATGTGGCTTAAAAGAATAAATCAAATGAAATGTGGCTTAAAAGAATAAATCAAAAGAAATGTGGCTTATAAGAATATAACAAATAAGATACTGGTACAAACAATAAAGCAAATAATGAAATATTATACAAGACAGAAGTATAACTGTGAATTTTTAGTTTAAATAACTTTATTCTCTCTAACACCAAAGTCACTTCAGACACGTTTCACAGCAGGTTAAATTCTTTGAGCTTAATTACCTCATATCATCTTACCATGATCATTTTTATCCTTTGTGTTACAGGGTCTGGTTTTTCTCCATCATCTTTCAGTGCAGAGACCTGTCCTATCTGCCAGATTGGTTGACCATCATTTACCTCTCTCAGAATCTAAACGTCAAAGAAAATTGTATAGATATACATTATAGTAAAGATGTATCGTCTTTAAGTCAATTAGGTGCAAAAGTTCTCCTTATTACTCTCTTCTGACAAGAAAAATCCAAAATTGGTCAAACAAAATATCCCGACTGTTCTTAAAATTGCAAATTCATAAATAAGTACAAATAGCCACAAGAGTTTATATATTTCAGAATTGACCTCAAATTCCTTTTTAATTAGGCCCCTGGAAAATTAGCCTTAATCAAAATTAAATTTTGAAAACTATGAATACATACGGAGTGTAGCTTACCTCTAAAACCAATGCCAAGCAGGCTGGATAGAAGGTCATGAATGCTATATAGTTGACAATAACCGAGAGACAACCAAAGCAGGACATTGTCTGTAGGATGGGTACTCCTGCAAAAACATCAATTCAATGCACGTATGTCCTAAACTGGGTGAAAATAAGTGCAGTTGGTCTTTTAAACAATTATAGTTAATACTTTGTAGACATGGGTTCTAATCTTTAGCTCTAACAATACAGACCTTTTCACTTTTAATAACTGAGAAATAAGTATCCAATGGTTAGTGTAAAATGAGAGATTTCCATACAATACTGAATAAAGTGAAACTGAATAAAGTGAAAAAAGAGTAGTTTGTCACATCTATTGCATGAAATTTGCTAAAGCTAAGTTAATGCCAACGGCACTTTGATGGCGCTTTATAGCGGCGTGCAAAGCAGTTTTGCACGCTGCTTAAAAGCTTCATCAAAGCACCGTTGGTGTGAACTTAGTTAACTGGATCTCAAATAACACAAACGTTCAAACCTGATATTGTTCCAACACCAATCACTAGAAACTCAACACATGAGTCAAGGGTTATGATTGGTCCAATGTCGGCCATCCCATAGCCAATATTTTTGCGAACTTCCTCCTGGGTGCGAGACCTTAGTGCGTATCTTGCGAGAGAGCAGGCACGTGAAACATCTACCAGTAAAAGGAAGAATGGCAGGGCTTCGCTGAAATATTACATATATTATTAGTTTCAAAACTGTAATTTGGTGCAGATAAAAAATATGCAATCAGGCTGCAAAAATCATGTTTTTTTAAAAGGAAAACACATATGTGTAAAATCAAATTTGTTTAATCATGTTAGTAATTGTCCAGAGTTGAGAAAATATACAACTAAACAGATTTCAAGACTTATTAATATTTGGAATCAATATTTTTGAGTAATGCAAGGATATCTGCAATGTACAAAATTTATGATTGCATAAAATTAAAGTGAAAACTATTTTTCTTACTTGAGGCCATTGACATCTTTGCCCATGATTTTTACAACAGCAAAACTAAACACAAAGCTTGATAAAATTGTGAAAACTCCTATGATTCCTGAAAAAACAATAAAAAACAGTTTAATAATACACTGTACTGGTATGGGTGTCATCAACACTAAAAGTGTATGGGTAGTTCTGGGATATGAAATATTTGAACAATATTTTTTCTGCCTTATGCATTAGAAAAAAAAATTCTTCAAGAGAAGGCCTATTAAATTTGACCCAAATGTGATAACTGGTATTGTTATAAAAATTACATTTTTTGTGAAAATGGCAGTTATCAAAGATTCCATGAACACAAAAGAAAGCACAGACAAATGAATGAACAGACTAATGACCTGGGGGGCATTTACAGAAACTTCTTAAAGTTAAGAATTCATAAAATCCATTGTTCTCTAACTGTGACGTCATCTCATTATATCCATGGTTACAACAATTGATTTGCTGATTTGTAACTTTACTAAGTTTCTGTTAATGACCCCCAGATGAACAGCTTCTTTATATAATATGCATCCTGAACTTTATTTGGTGGGATAATACATCAACATTGAATATTGTCACAGCGATAACATTTCTGTAAAGAAACTTGTTTTGTAAATATTTGCTTCAGGTAGTTTGCAATGTTATGCAAATACAAGTCGCGTTTATTGAACTCTAACTAGTGATGTGATCATTAGTACTATCATGAAATAAAATATTTGATTTGCTACCTTGCACAATTTTCTGAGGGACAGAATATTTTCCAAAATATCTGACTTTAAATTTGTAAATGATGTTGTAATATACCCTTATTAAATTAACAATAATTAACAAGATATTTAGTATTTAAAGATATTCATGTAAGGTGCACTCTAACACTTACCAAGAAGATATTTTGAGCCTGTTTTCTTGAGGTTCCTGAACTGTAGATAGAAATAGATGACCGCAACGCATCGTGTTATTGTAGGGAGGATTATTAAGTCAGTCTCAGGGGTGTACTGCAAATATTCAACAAACATATCTTCAATACATATAATAAAGTATTAAAGGGTTATCATTTTAACTTTTCTGACTGAAATGTATTATTTATGAATTCAATGTTTATTATCAACATATTATACTTCATTTATTGAATTTGTTAAGATTTATTGTTTCAATTAGTCCTCATTTAAGTTATTTAATTAATTAATTAGTAGGTAAGTTAGTTGATTAATCAATTAACATAATCAAATGCATAAATGAATGATTGCAAAAACACATCATACCTTGCCTTGTGAGCACACAAAATTCAGGCCACAAAGTCGATCATCATGATCATTATCTCCTGGGATGAGACCGAATGACATCCCAACAGTTGCCAAGGTAACCATGCCCATGATGACCTCCCATGGATGACTGGCACATACTTCCCCATGAGTCATAAATGCCCACTTTAACATACTTCTGTTTGGCTTTTTCAGTGCTGAAACATCAACAATTAGTATAAGATATGTAAGAGTCATAAATGCCCATTTTAACATACTTCTGTTTGGCTTTTTCAGTGCTGAAACATCAACAATTAGTATAAGATATGTAAGAGTCATAAATGCCCATTTTAACATACTTCTGTTTGGCTTTTTCAGTGCTGAAACATCAACAATTAGTATAAGATATGTAAGAGTCATAAATGCCCACTTTAACATACTTCTGTTTGACTTATTTCAGTGCTGAAATATGAAGTATAAGATATGTAAGAGTCATAAATGCTCACTTTAACATAATTCTGTTGGCTTTTTCAGTGCTGAAATATGAAGTATAAAATATTTAAGAGACATAAATGCCCACCAAAGTAGAAGATTTGTAACCAACTATTCGTATACACTGTATCTACAAATTTCAAAGCAAACAATAAAAACTAAATGTTGATGAAAACAGTGTAATACAGAAAAATAATTCTTAATAAATACTGTGAAAGTACCTGGTTTTAATTTCCCATCCATCTTACAGGTATCTAAGTGAACTATATGTTTGCATATTTTCATTTTGGATATTGGCACCATGCAATGTATAGAAGATATGTTGAAATTGCCTGCCAGAATATCCTAAAGAGAATTTACGCAATTGTTTACAAATAACACAATTGCAAAGATTAAATATTATGAAATCTAAGGTCAATGAAACATGATCATGAAAAACTAATGCATTAAAGGAAATGCAAACTGACAATGAAAGTAAAATTTGGCTCTTCATTTCCCTTTCCGGTTATTTTTGAAGGCCATGTTGGTGAATATGCAGGAACTTGATCTGTGTGACGTCAAACTAGCACGCACCAGCCACAGTCCCTGCGAAAATTATTATTTGTACAAAGTTGGCCAAAATATGCTAATTTTTCATCTTTTAGTGGGTATGGGTGTAAATCAGATTCTAACATGGGGTAGGTTCACCAGAACTGTCCACTGGGAGATTACACTATTTTGATAAAAACACAAAGAAAATCTCAGAGGTTTAGTAGAAATAACTTAATCCGTGCAATGAGTAACGTTTGTAATAATGTTTGTTTTCCTTTTTAACTTTTTAATAACATAATCTACCATGGGGATCTAAAATTCATGTTTAAGCCTGAGACCCCATGGCAGTCAGGCAGACGATCCCTCCACAGCAACTACTGCAAGTTATTTGAAAGTTCTACTTCAACAAAGTGTCTAGTATTTACAGAAAATGTGAATTTTTGACGTCCAAATCAGCAATTTCTCGGAAACCGGGCAAACTTGGGAAATGGCGATGATAGGCATTATGGATATCCATAAAATGAATGTGGATATGACTCAATCCGAATAGCAGTTTTAATTTGTGCAGCCAATGTTGACGGATGGACCAACGGATGGACGGACGCCTGGTCGATCCCATAGGCTCACTGTGTGAGCCAAAAACAACATTTAATGTTGCTTTAGGGGTAGTAAAATCGCCACAATTGTATGGATTCAAATCTCACAATGAGAATCTCGTTGCATCCCTTTAATGTGAAAATGTTGGAATATTTGTCAACTAATGGTGCTAACTGGTTAACCGCCAATAGTGCATTGACTGGTCTGCATTTTTACTAATAATTTGTTGATCCTGTATTATTCTGTTTCAACCATGCTTACATTGCAGGGTAATTGTTTTTTTCAAGTGTCAGAGCTACTCATAGGTATTATAATTGGAGCACTGTTTCATGAATAAATTATATGTATTTTACTTTAAAAGTTGTCAATTTTGTTGTTGTTGTTGTTTTTATTGAAATTAAAATTAACAGAAGTCAGATGCAGCTCTCTCTGTTATATGTTTATTCAAAGGTAGTAAAGCTATGGGGCCAAGATGGTAAAGCTTGGTGAATGTAAAAAACACAGATATATAGAGATTATCCTATATGAGGTTCAGGATATTGGGATTATCCCGAGGCCAATATAATATATCTGCCCGAGGGCCGTAGGTCTGAACCGGCTATTTCTTTCAACCATGGAAATATTTTAAAATATTCATGTCCAGTTTTGTTTTCGTGACCAGATTTTCCTGTTCTTTCAGATATTCATCCACATTTATTTTCTCGAATCTTTGATTATTAACGCTGATGAAAATATAAGTTTTTACAAACCTGCTTTATGTACCTGTAACACGTCCAAGTATGGGATAAATAATATTTTCAAATTTTTTTCAACTTTCAAGGTCTCCTTTGAAATCATCAAGTTAAACTTCCCACAGGTTAACGAACTTCAACTGATGAAAAACCTCAGTTAACAGGTAAATGCTGTAGCTGTAAATTGACACCACTTGGGTCAACAGATTTCTTTGCTTTTCTTTTCAATAGAATTTGGCACTTACTGCTTATAACATTTACCTAGTATTTCATTAGTATTGAAAATGTTACAAAACCATTTATTTGTCTAAAAATATCACAAAAAACATTGTATCCAAAAATGATTTTCATTCTATTAAATGTGACATTGAAAGATTCAAGAGATGCAAAAAGTTTGTGATAGAGAAATACAAGCAAGGTCAAACTTTCTACCAAATACTTTACAAAGAAAATCAAACCACTAGTTCTTCAGTTATTCTCTGGATAGATGTAAAAACAAACTTCTTGGAGATACAATCTCTCATTCCCAGCTTAAAGTAATAAGACTACACCATTTTTCTACAGTAATATTAATCCTGACAATAGTAAGATTATTTGAGAGCTTTATCTTGTTTTTACCATCATCAAATTAAATATTATACAAATATTTAATTCTATTTAGGTGAATACCTGTGCATCTTTCACAAGTGATATTCCAAGAAGCCCCAAGGGCTAGTGGAATATCATCTTGTGAAAGTGTCACAGATATTCACTATAAATAGAATTAAATGTTTGTTTTATAATTTACTGTTATATTCCTCATTCACATTAATAGAATAAAAAATTATGGATGTCTCGTTAATCATAACATACTATATACTTCCGGGGATATATAAAATTTAAATTATTTGGACTAAGTCGTGACTGGTGAATATCTTATGATATTCAATGGAAGTCAGGTGACTTCTGTTGAATATTGCTTGTTATTTTTTACATAGACATGGGCCAATCAGAGAGTGAAGAATATGACAGTGATATAATAATAGCTTATATTAAACATGGCTCCTTGGCAAATCTTAATTTTTAAGTCATTATTAATTGCCAGGACTATATTATCCTGTCTCTTATGTCGACATTACCCTACACGTCAATGTTACACCCCTTTACCCTATAGACTAGACCAATATTCTATTGGTCTATATACAGTAGGGGGTGACTGACTCCCCGTGGACCGAACCTGGTACTGAGTGATAGTCCCTACTCAATAGACTAGATGCGAGTAGAAATAATCTTGATTTACGTCATTAAATATTCAAAATTCAGTCAAAGTGATGTCATATTTGAAATATGCATGTAAAGGTACATCTAAAAATATGGTTTCGAAAATTGTCTATAAACTTCAAAAATCTAATTTTTTTTAAAAATGTGACTTCTTGTTCGAGTTGATCCCCCATAGACCCCATGTTACAAAATCACAAAAAGTGAATTATCTTATCTTGTATTGGACAGATAACATTTTCTTTTACTGGACACATTTTTATTTGCATAACTATTTGATACATAAGGGTTATATGAAAATTGAACTACGCAAATAGATGTAATTTAAGTTAAAGGGAACTTTCTACTATAGATCGCCATGCTATCTGACCCGAAAGAGGCATCTCGTGGTGAATCTGGTAACTACCTACTCGCATCTGCGTTATTATGTAAAAGCACATATATAAATTGATCATTCAATTTGTTTGGGATGCGCTGAATTATATTATTGTATTCGAGTGATTCACATTCTTTGACATTGGACATGTCCGACGTGACGAAATAATTTTAAAAATTTCCGAAATCGTGAACTTTGAGTGACATATAAAATGTATTCTTAGCCAAAATTTGGGCATTTTCGAATACCAAAATAGAGAAAATATTTACACGAATCATATATTCTGCAAGAAAAATACTCACTTTCATTGTTATGTAGATATCAACCTTTTACGTCAGAGAGCCAGCCTTCGCTTCATTTTATTTTTTCATAACTTGTTAACGGAGTGACTAGCAACGTGAATTTGATTGGTTCTGATAAATAGGCCACGACACGCCAGGTTGTAAACAAATACACGTGGGTTTGTTTTCGTCTCGAATGCTCACTGCACCGTAGTGCATCCATGCCTTTCCCGGGGCCTTTCCAATAATTTGATTTTGTATTTTACAATCCATTGATCTTTTCTAACCAATCAGGATACCCAATCAAAATACCATTAAATGTAAATGTTTTCATAAGAAGTCTAAAGGTTGAAGTGTCAGTAGTGTAGAGACGTATCCCATGGACCTAGTATGAAAATATTTCGAAGTTTGGATATTTCACCGAGGCTAACATCGATTTTCATTATCTTTAAAAAAAACTGAATGAACGTTATTTCAGCTGAAATTCCTGCAGTTAAAATCTTAAAATGGAGGATATCTAAGTTTCCACTTACGGGAAACTTTAAACTTAATTTACTCTGTAAATGCTAAAATAAATACGTGTAGGCATGTACATTTTAAAAAATGGGTCTGACAAAGAAGATGTTAAGCTAAACGTTCCCCTGATAGCTCAGAAAAAGTGAAAATCTTTCAATTTTGGCTCTACAAGCCTTGTTGCCATCAAGTACCTGTCATTCATTTCAAATGATGGACTCTTGTCAAAGCCTATTTTGGTCATTTAGATCTTATCAGTATCAAAACTATGTTTCTCCTATTCAGAACCCAATGTGCTAGGCTTTGACGCTTTCAGTAACCCGTAAAACATTGCATGTCCTTATTCTATAAAATGCCAACGCAGACATTTTTTCAAATGAAACCGAAAATAAGGTGTAATCATTTTTGGCTCACGTATTTATATTTGCCTTACCTATAGATTACATTTAGGCTACCCCTCCCCGTACTCCATTATCATTGATTCTTTAGTTTATTTATATTGGACCTATATATGCCATGATCTAGGGACAAAAAAACAATAATATGTATTTTGGAGGTTTCATGTAAAAATTGATAACAAACGATAACAAAAAGTATGCCATTTTAAAAGGAATACTCCCCATTATTCTCTGAGTTTAAAAATTCCAACCACCATTAATTTTTACACTTCTTTCTTGGAGTCTTGTTTTCCTTCTTATTTAGAGCTGCAACATTTTCAAGAATAAATTTACATTGGCCAATTCACGTTTCTCTCGAGCTTAACGACTTTTTTCATAGAGTGTTGATTTTTTTTCGAATTTCGAAACACATTAGCGAGGTTAAGCTACACGTTTTTAAGGGAACATCTACGTGAACGTGTATAAGCATACTGCCATTGTCAATTATTATTCTACGTTGAAAAACTAGCTTGGATTTTGATCTAGATTCCCTCTAGGTTTTATAATCACCGATTTCAAAGCTCCACTCGGGGGAAGGCAGGGGCATTATTTTTACACTGGATGAATTCCAAAAACGTACCCGGTTACATCTTTGTAAGTGACATGAACAGATTCCACTCGATGCTGTATGATACGCAGTCTTTTTCTGCCTACAAAGTTGTTCTTAAAAGCTCACGATCATTCTTAGTCCAAGGCTTTAGGGTAAGTTTTCCTAGCGAAGCCCGATCTTCAAGAATGATCATGATGTAGATTGAAGCATTAACGTTCTCTCGGCTCCATCAGTATGACGATATAGTGTAAAGATTTTTTAGTTTATTTCTATTTGTGATCGTTGTGGACTTAAAAATGTATACGGTTAAACAACAGTATTCCATCAAAAATGTACCTTTAAATTTTCGTAGACCGTCACATAAACAGGGTGGTCCAGAAGTAACGTCAAAAGTATTGCCATTTCAATACTACTTGACTAATCATCTTGAAACTTGCAATTGGTACAATTATTCCCCAAGCATTACTGAGTTAATATCTCAAAAACAATACTCCTAATCTTTTCATTGGTTCATTTTATGGTAACCCGATGTGACGCCATCCGGGGCAAATTACTTATTTTGGTAGAAAATGGAATGAAAAATTTAAGACAATATTATGTTAGTTTGAAACACTTTGTAATATTAAAATCATCAGCATTTAATTGCTCAATTGTTTACATATTATTACTCTGCATAATTGCCACCACCACGCAATATATTTTCACCATAGTACCCAATCTGCGAACAGATCTCGAATTCCATGATAGTTCATTTTTTGGAATGCTCCCACATCTTTTCTTAAATCGTCATAAGTTTGAAAACCTAGATTCTTCATCCTAGTTGAAAACTGATTCACATTAGCTTCCATTTAGTTCACCATGTAAGCAAAGGTCACGTGTTGTTAAGTAGGGGAATATGGGACATGCTCAAGTTATGGCAGGCTCAGCTCGCCCAATGCACTGGATGCCAGGATGGGCGTGTGTGCTGAGGCATTATCCCAGTACACTGTGCAGTAAAACATTCATCTTTCCCGAACACATATTTGGCATTGTGATGGTTGGCTGAACTCTCTCTCAGAAAATTTAATAATCAACTAATGGCGTGTTTGGCATCATATGTGATGTTGGGGAAATATTTTTACCAAGTTTAAAAATGATTATAGTGAAGTTATTGATATGGCAACACCTTTGACGTTACTTCTGTATCGCCTGTATACTCGGTTCCCGTCGATCAGAACGCGGTGAAGTTGGATTCATGGCCATTGAAGACGACATTGAACTAAAATTGATTACTCTTGAAAGAAACAGCTAATCGCGGTCTCTTTTGCATAGGTCACAGTACTTCGTCAAATCCATCAAATTAGTCGAATACGCAGTTTAGTTAAAGGCCCTGTGTAAAGTTTGTAAATAGAGTTTATCATTCAAATATTACTTTTCGTCACTTGAAAAAAACAGACATTTTTTGAAAAATATGACTTTGAAAGTTGTACATATCATAATTTACCATGGGGTCCACCCCCCCCCCCTTAGAGGAGACCAGAAAATATTTTGGGCCTAAAAATTTGGTATAGCCTCAATTAGTGGGCCTTTTTGGACATTACTTGGCCTTTTTTTGGGCTTTTCTAGGCTGTTATCAAAAATGGGAATTTTAAAATTTGGGCCCAATATTTGGATTTAGGTGCTCAGAATTTTTTTCACATTTAAAATGTGGGCCCCTTGTTAGCTCCTGGATCCACCAGTGAGTAACAACTAATATTTTAGGGCTTTTTCAGCAAAATAAATTCACATTTTTTAATAAGTCCTTCCATGATGATAATCATTTGTCACTTCGTTAGACATGTAATGATATTTGTGTTTTTTTCTCTATACAACAAATTGATTATCATTTAGACATAGACACATAGAGAATACACACTGTCACAATCAGCCTCTACTGGGGGATCCAGAATCTAACAAGGGGGACCCAAAGTCATGAAAAATTTTGGGTCCCTTAAACCAAAAATTGGGCGCAACTTTTGAAAATTTAAGGCCCATTTTTTATAATTTGGTCTAAAAAGCCATATGGTGGCCAACATTATGCCCCCCTTTTGAGGCCCTTCAAAATTTTGGGACCCTAACATTTTTTCTGGGCTCACAAAGGGGGGGGGGGTCCTCCAGTGTACATATGTCCATGTCAATAATCTGCAAAAAGGCTAATGGGCCCATATGAAGCAGATATATACATGTAATTTAACAGTAATAGAATTTGAATATAATATAATTTAAAACTGTTTAAAAATAGATCTATGGTTTACAACTCATTTTAGAATTGAAAGGAACCTTCCTGGTTGGCCCGTGTTGGAATTCCCGGGTTGGAATTAGGCTATAGCCCAGTCAAACTAATGAGAAAAATAGCTTAACCCAAAACAAATTGCAATAGAAATCAAAATAGGTTAGTTATTTACATTTATTAACCTTGAAATACATACTAAAAATCTACCAAAATCGAAATAGTGGAACAATGTTAAAATTTGAATCGAAGATACCCCCTACCCCACCCCCTTCAATTCATAAGTGCAGGACTAAAAAACATATTTCTTAAAGTTGAGGTCTTATTTTTACATAATTTAGCTTGACCACAATTGGATATTGTTTTTCCTAGATAATAATATTAATTTAACCAAGAAAAAGTTCATTTGTCTTCTTTTTAACCCTTACAAACCCAGAAAATATTGAAAAAATCTCTCAAATTTCGCATATAATAATTTGAATATGTGTTTTTATCATAATAGGACCTTCTAGAAAATGTCCTATAATTTTATAACGATGGACCAACATTACATTTATTATTCCTTTGTAATATTGAAATGATAGGTTTATTGAATTTTGAGAAATAAACTTTTTGATACCGTATGGTTAGGCTACTAGAATGTAGGTCGGAAAATGAAATTTGTACAAATGAGAGGAAAGGGCACAAATAAGGTACCGTTGTAAAACTAATGACCCAATCTTTTCAAATCCACTTGTTTCCCAGTCTCAAATTTGTTACCAAACATGTCAAATGCCAGTTTCCATAGCAACCATTTGAATATTGTTAATAGATGTAATACGATATTAGGCAAATTCCACTCATTATTCCTCGACTCAAATTCATATTTGTATCATAATGAAGCAATAAATATGCAATTAGCCCATATGCAAATTAGCTCGTTTGCTAATTTTTTATGACATCATATGATGTGTATTTTGTCGCACCTAAAAAGGTACAATACTGTTGTCTGCTTGGCGGGTGGGTGGTGTTGCATTTTTCACGAAATCACGATTCCTGGAAAACCACTTAATGGATTCACTTCAAATTTTCACAAATGTTACATGGAAAGAAGTTCTAGAGCTGATTCACTTTTCGGTGGCCATCTTGCATTCTGGCGGCCATCTTGGAAGTTTTTAGATAAATCTTGCCATCACAATTCCCAAAAATCTCTCAACATATTTATTTCAAATTTTTCACATGTTACATGGTAAGAAGATCTAGATCTAAAAATCTTTTCAGAAGCCATCTTGCATTCTTGTCCCCTTTCAGTGGCCATCTTGCATTGTGGCGGCCATTTTGGAAGTTTTGGATTAATTTTGTCATTGGCATTCCATGAAAACCACTTAATGGATTAACTTCAAAACTTTACACATGTTACATGGTAAGATGTTCTACAGCTGATAGACATTTTGGTGGTCATCTTGCTTTTTGGGTAAACAAGCCCACGCTGCTATGGTGGTTAACCCTGTGCCTTGTTCTACATTGTACTAATATATTTAGACACAATGTTGATTGGTATTGTAAAAGTTAATATTGTCACGCGGTAAACACGATACAAATATATGTTATATTCCGCAACGAATATGGCATATCCACTTGCGGTGTATGCCAGATTCACCCGCGGTATATGGCATACACACTAACCAATGAGAACTTTAAATGGAAACAATCAAATCGATGCATTTTGTATAACGTTTTCATCTGCTGTATATGGCATATTCCGCAGTTGAGTGTATCGCATATTCACAGCGGAATATGCCATACTCACCATTGGAATATGCCATATACTGCAAATATCGCACAACCATGAATATATGCCATATTCCGCATAACAACTATAAGAGTATGACTGGAATATGTAAGCACTAGTGCTAAAGGGTAAGGACCAAAACTTGTTCAGAACAAAGTAAAAAATTATACATCAGTCACAAGAAAAAGCAAACCCAAATTGAATGCATCACCAGTGAAATTCAGACTAAATACAATTAAATTTACTGAAAGCTACTTGAATTCACAATTTTGACACTGAAAAGCCAAGGTCATATTTTTGCGATTCTGACACTACACTTTCATAATATTCTTCGAGGTTCGATGTACTGGTAGCCAAGAATATGCTAATAGCCTTAGCCTCATGCAGTTAGAGGGTATCTTAACCTACTTTTGAGATTTGTATGGAAAATAGGTCAGAACAACAAGTTCTAAATGAATGCAATGTTTTAGGTGTCAAAATACTGCAAAATTTCTGAAATCTGACTTTGAGTTTAGATTCTTTGATGTTTTGAAATCTCGAAAAATCGACTTGATGATATCCTCATGTTAAGTCAATGGTGCGAACTTGATCAGCAACCCACTAAGCTTCTTAATCAGCTACTTACACAGCTACCTATATCATATTTATAGTGTATATATTATTAATAAGATTTCATTTTCAAGTCCATAAGGGTTATTGGTCTCAATTCTCCCAGTAATTTAAAAATAAGTGAAACAAATGAAGGCCTATCCCTATTTTTCAATTTGTTTTAAAAAATTATGACTTTATATATATTTATATTATATTTAAGGCATACATTATATATATATGATTTCATTATAAAGTCCTTATGGGTTAATAATCTAAATTCTCCCAGTGATTTAAGAATAAGTGAAGCGAATGAAGGCCTACCCCTAATTTAAAATATTTTTTTTCGAAAGTTATGATTTTTTTTCTCAATAACTAATGAATGCAAAATTCTCTTGCTTTGTATATGTATGGATTACATAACAAGGTAAAACTGGGATTTTTTTTATACATGATTGAGTTTCTTTTTTGGAATATAATGGCGTTCACATAAAATTACCGTGCGCATTTAATGCAAAATTTCAGATGAATAAGGGTTAAAAATATTCTTATTCACTCTGAATACCAAAGTTAAAGAGATACACAGATTGGAATACCTTATTACAAGCAAGAAATTGTAAAATTACTTAAAAAAAATTGCAGTCATTTGAAAAATAATTTTTTCCTTAGGGGGGTCTGTTTTTCAAGGGGAGGGGGTACCAACAATGATTTTTTTACATGTTCCACTGAATAGATTTTGGTAGATTTTTAGTATGTCATTTCATATGTTGATATAAATTGAAAAAACAACATTTTATTACTATTGCAATTAGTTTTGGGTCAAATGTTACTTTGACTGGACTACTATGGATTCAAATGAGTTTGTACCTTTAATTTGATTTTTTGATTTCGTTCCATGTTTACGAATTTGGCATGCGCAACCCTGTCTAATGGCGGAAAAACAGAAATAAATTTGTGAATGTAAGTACATTTTTAGTCTGTTTAGATGGATCTGACTTATAGGTCTGTTGAATAGATAAGATAAAATATGAGCTATATATGTATCTTTTATATACATTTCAATTCATAACAAAATTATCGATATATTTGCTGAAAATGTTATTTAGATCTAAATAAAATGTTTTTATTTTACCGCCGAGATTTTTCTACGGACGATCTTTGCAAGTGTGGTAAGACTAGGCTACAGGTCTGCCATCTGAAAATCATTCAAAGAACAAAAGGTGCATAGAGTCATTTCAGTCAAACATCATCATCAGTGGTTCCATTACTAAATTTTCTTCCTTCAGTTCAGTTTTCTCCCTTCGGCAGCTAGGTAGAGTAAGTGTAACTTACTTCGGTCCAAAGCCTTCTCTATATTCCGGCTTTGAGGAGGAAGATTGAGCTGCCTTAGTATTATAAATATTGTAAATCATTGTGTCACACGCACAGTAAATATGGCATAATAATATGAAATATACCTTTATGTATAGATTTGAAGAACACCAGCTCACATCCCCGTCTGAATCTATTGTTATATTTGATTTCTTTAAGCGAGAATAATTTCAAATGTTATTCACGTACAGAACCGGAAGCCATTTTTAGCTACAGCGAGAAAATTTCACCATGTGTTGAAACTCCGAAATGAAATTTTGAAATATCTAAATCCAGACAAGCAACGCTTCATCCTAAATATGATTAATATTCTTAAAAATATTTATAAAATTTATTAAAAATGAGTTCTAGGTGCGTGTAGGTGCGTGTAGCACAGTACATACGAAATCAATAAAGTTTCGTCTAGCTGTAAGCTAGAGACTCGAGTAAAGTGTAACATAACCATAGTGAACAGAAGCTCCCCCTCCCCTATGTCATCTATATGTTACACTTCAAGTGCTGAAAGACGTTTGAAACAAGAAATTGCAGCAAACTCCTCGTAGTTGAGCTCTTAAAGACTCTGATACCTCAGTTGATTATTCCAATTGTTTTATGTTAAGGTTCAGCTGGAAAGTAACATTTTGGTAAAAAATTGCTATACCTGCACATGTTATTTTCTGGTACAAAATTTAGTATGAAGGCATGTATGTATTTCCTTGCTTTTTTCAGGAAAGTATCATTTCACTGTCTACTTTTAGTAAACCTGGAAACAGGTCAATGGTGGCACCTGTGTTGTCCGGAAACTTTGAAAGAAAATTTGGAAAAAAAGAAAGTGTGAAATATCAGAATTTCCTGGAGTTCCCATTGAACTCCTACTAGATATTCTTAAAGAAAACAATGTAATGATACTTTCCTGAAAAAAGCAAGGAAATTGACACATGCCTTCATACTTTATTTTGTACCAGAAAATAACATGTGCTGGTATAGCAATTTTTTACCAAAATGTTACTTTCCAGCTGTACCTTAATCGATTCACTCAATGTTTGAAAAGAGCAAGGCACTGAACAACATATGCTTGTTTGTTTTTGTAATAAAACCCGGGCCCTCTCTTTTAACAACAAAACGTGGTAGCGTTGCTAGGGCCGGGAATAATATTATATTATGAAACTAAATTTTGACTTGGTCTTGAATTGGAAGGTGCTGACACCTTTAAATGACAAACTGGACTGAAATAGCGCAAACATTGGGAGGGGTTGATTGCAATAATGATATAAATGGAATCTTTAGCACAACTTGCAATATCCCATATGTTTGTATCCTTTATAGTATTATAAGTGGATGCATCGAACTGCCATATATGGGGTTATTTTGACATTGGGTTATATTTTTGATTTACGCAGTCCGCCATGTTTGTTTTTGAAGAAATAGATCGAAAAATATCAAATGGGTGAGATCTAATTCAAAATGGCCAACCATAGAAATATGAGTTATCAGCATTGGTTGAAATAACCCCATGGTTGAAGTAGCCCCAAATGAAATAACCCCCATACATAGAAGTTTGACGGATCTCCCCTGGTTACATGATTGATGCTAGTTAACCACTTGGTTTATACTAATATGTATAAAGATTAACATGTTTTTGAATATAACTTGTGGATACCACAGACAAAATCATTCGACATCTCTCTAGTGTTATATTCCATTTAATTTCAATGATTGAAGGTGTATTCATTGAACTAGTCAAATGTTTCATCATACTTGGTATTGATTAGAAAATACACTCGTTATGAATTTTTCCAAAATAAACCCCTGCTCTGGAAAATTACAGTCTAATACATATATACACAGTCTTACAGTAACATTCTTAAATTTATTTATGCACCTAAATATTACTTTTGTGTTATTCAGGTACTGAAAGGTAATATGGAGAAAGCAACAGGCAGTAAGAAAACTACAAGCTTGAAAGGGAATATCCGGATTAAACTTAAAAAGAAAGATACCAAAAGGTCAACAATGGGGAAGACTAAAACCGCAAAGCCTGTAAAAACATTGAAATTAGTCAGCAAGTCACCGAAAGCAGCGACATCTACAGACGCAACAGTTGATGAGGAGGGGTTGAATAAAAACTCAGCATTGTCAAAGGATGAAAAAACTGACGCTTCAAAACCCTCCAAATCAAAAATGGATAAAACAAAAAGTACAAAAAGTGACAAAGATGGAAAAACATTATCATCGAAGATTAATCTGAAACATAAATCAATAAAAGAAAGACAGAAAAGTAAAAAGATTGATAAGAAATTAATCGTTCCGAAAACTGCCAAATCTGCAGAGCATTCTCCAACTGTTAATGTCTCTATGATAAATAAAAGTAAAATACAATCTAATGAACCTCAAATTCAGCTATGCACTACACCTGTTAAATCATCTTTAGAATTGTCACACTCTACTCCAACTTCAACTATTGATCCATCAAAAGAACTGGATATTAGCGCAATGAAGTCAATATTTGCATCACCTAATAAATACCCATCTAATAAAGGAACACCTATGGGATCATCAAGGCAGTTAGATTTTGATGGCGGTATTGAAGTAACACCAATCAAATCTGTCAATAATGCAGTTGATGAGGAGAGTAATCCTGAAAGCAAAGTCAAATCAAAATCAAACAGGGAGAAATCTGAAACCAAATCAATGCGTGATCTTGAAAAAGAAATATTCGGGGATAGTGATAGTGATGACAGTGATGATATGTTCAAGATTTCTCCAAAAGTTCAACTTTCAAAAATTAAAGCTACACCTTCTAAATCTGTAATTACACCTGTTAAAAGTGAATGTACGCCTGCTAAATCTGAAGATACACCGGCAACTTCACCATGTAAACAGGATGATCACCCAGGACATGATGAAATACAAGCATTGCAGGTATGGTACTTATTTGGTTTTTCAAAAGAATAATGGATTGATTTATCTCAAGAAAACAAAGCCATGGGTATTATACTTAGATGATCTTAAGTCATAGTCTCACATTGTCTTGTCTGCTATGTACAGTACACCCTATTATGTTGTTTGTAAGTGGTCCACAACTCGTATATCAAATTTTTATCAAGATTTGGACTGCTCAGGAAAATCATGATCAGTTAGTGAGTAAATAGGCAGTCAACAGAATGAAAAACAGAATACTTCAATATTGCCATTAAGGCAAGCCTATTAGCCTAATGACATTGTGGACCAGTGTGGACAAGCTTACATAAAAAATGTTCAAATTATAATGGACCTTCCTTAAAACATCATCTAATATGAGATATTCTATTTCAGGCAGAATTGTCTTCCTTGAATGCAGACAGTGCTGGTTTGAATACCTCAATACATAGGACTCCTGTCAAGCATAATAAAACATCCAAGAGAAGGAAAACACCAAGGTAGATACTAGGGTGGCTCAAAGTAATTTGAAATGTTATGCTCCCTACGTGAATCGAGTTGTATTTTGGGGTAAATATTACCTGTGATTTTTTTCAAATTTTTTAGTCAAGTTTTAGGGGTCCCCCACAGCCTTTGAAGTTTGCCCATAGGAATAACAGATTCAACTGCATTTACAATTTGAAAAAATATTTCAGAAAGCACAAATCGAAATGACTATATCATAATATCCCAATTGCAATGCCTAAAAACATAAAAATGAATGGAATGTTGCAAAATTAGCCACATTTATAATGTCTCTGTCAAGTTCTGCCCAAGTAACATTTTTTATGAGAATATGAAGATAGAAAACTTGTGACCTCCCTAGTATTGTAGCAAATGGGTGCACCACCCTGTTGAAAATCTGAAAGTTACATGTCCCCAGTTGAAAATCTGCACACTGCCAAAAGTGTAAAATATTGAGATATTTTGACCAAAAATAGATGGAATGAAAATAAGGGAAGATCAATAAAACTACTTTAAAGTTCAAAACCAGTATGACAAGAAGTTATTGTTTTTTTACAGGAAGAAGACTCCTTTAAAAAGTAACAGCAAGAAACCAAGAAATATTACCCCTATCCCCTTACATGAAGACTCTGATGATAGTGCTGACTGGGAAGATGTTGAAGGCGATGATGATGACGATGATGACACTGGGTTGAAGATATTTGAGGGTGATGATGTCATTGACAGAAAAATTGAGAAACATGCACAGCAATCCAATCTTACAGCTCTGAATGTTAAGACAATTATAAGGGTAAGTTTTATATTTTAAGGTGCTTAATTGCAGTGTCAAACATAATTCCTGGACAAATGACTAATAATTGTGTGATATGGAAAAAATTTGAAGAGTGCCGCGCCGTGCACACATTTTTTAAGATAGATTTTGCCTTGCTATTATGATGCATATTATGAGTATATAAAATTAAGTCACCCACAGTCACTATATATTCCTTTGGGGAAGGCTTGGTACAGGTAGAATACTATCCACTAAGCCAGAACGCACATAAAACATCACTCCCCATAAGTCCACCAAAACTTATTGAGCTGACATTGTTGTTATAGGAAGTTATCTCCAACAAGAGTGTTGTTCAGATGTTAAAGAACACATTGAAGGATGCCCAGAATGAGGAAGAGTCAAGCCATGACGATGAGGAGCCTATTCAATCAAACTATGAACTCAAAATGACAAGGTCAAAGGTGAAACAAGTCATGGGAGATGAGGTAACTATACTAACTTGATGCATAAATGATAAAGAACTATTATACTTTTCTACTCTTGTGTTTCCTTGTGCTGTTTTCTTTTGAATATATAAACAGTTGTTTAAGATTTACACTATGTAAGTATTTCTTAAAATCGGCAGTTCCATTTAAAATTTGTGAAGTATGCTTTTGACAACATATTATGTCATTCCTGCATTATCATTGGATATAACCCTGAAAGTCTATCATAACTATGTGAGACACTTCTTTTCATGTTAATTTAGATCCCCCATCCGTGGCTTAACTCACCCAAGAAGAAAGTGACAGGTGTTAAGAAGACTGCCCCATTCTTAGACATGACATTCAGTGATGAAGAGGAGGAGGATTATAACCCAGAAGCTGATGATGTTGAGGTATCATTTATCAATTTATTATACATTTCATATCAAACTTCATATCAAAAACAATTAAGGGGTAGGATGTGTGTAATTTTTTTGTACAGCAAAGTAAACAAAGGCTCAGAGTGCCCATTTAATTTGCAATAAAATATATGAAAAAAGAAATCTATTTTTAAAATAAGAGCAAATGAGTTCAATAAACAGTTTGACATTTGTCAATGTAAAGTCTGAAGATATGGTCTGTTTCCATACTGTTGTTGAATGACAAAGGTGTTGACAGATTTTCTGTGGGCACTGAAGGAATATTAGATAAATATATGATACAATTTAAAAAAAATACTTTGAATTGTCTTTCACACTATGTCTGGTTGTAAGCAATGTAAGCAATGTTATTCACTGCAATATTTTCTAGATGGATGACAGTGATGTAGACAGTGAAAGTGTAATGTCCTCACAACCTGGAAGTGACTTTGGTTCCCCTTGTCCACTAACACCTACCACACCTAGTAGCACACTGAGGACCATAGCTGAGGAATCAAACACTCCTAAATCTACAGTAAGTACCTAGTCAGATCAATAGTCCGCCCAACCCAACTTTGACAACACAAAAAATATATCAGATATATTGAATTTGAAAGCAATTGTTCTATGAAGTATCAGTTTTTTCTGTCCACACCAGAAGTTGTGAGATATTAATAGTCTCTAAATTTTTTGTTTGATGGTATTCGGCAGTTGGTGTTTGGCATTGGGCAGTCAACGTTTTGGGTTCAGCGTCTAACAACTTACAACTTCCAATAACTGTTGGTGACAATTTGTCATGTTTATTATCCCTTGTTATAACATTTAAATATGGTTGTTGGTCATTTGGTGCTATTATTGCGCCTCCCCAATCAGTATCATTAGTGACGGGCCTATGTTTATTTTCAGATTATGGGACCACCTCAGACTCCAGCTTTTAGGTCTGCTAGTAAAGCACATGTTGAGCGCAACCTCCTCTCTGAACTTTCCCAAACTGGGTCTGAATCACAGGTAAAATAACACTTTTATTGATTGATTATGAAGCATGAACATTAATAAACAATGAATAGTGTTGTAAATTTAACATTTCTTCTCTCTCATCTACATCGATCTTCAATATATTCAATTCAATTCAATTCAATTTATTTATTTCATAATTCTTATATAATATACACTATAAAAACAGGCCGCTAGACACCCTAGTGGGTATATGTTGCGGTTTAACAGAAATCATTAAAATGACATCTAGACTACTAGACAAAAACAGCAAATAGACTAAAATGACCATTCTTGGAGACTAACATATTTAGAGATCCATGCACATGCCAAATTTTCAGGAATGTTTTGTCGTGTGAAAATGTAGACCTGATTAGTTTCTGAATGTGCTGGGTGTCCTGCTATCCAAGTCAGGTTTAATATTTTTGACATAGCAATGGAAGTTGATTTTTCAGAGGCGTAATAATAGTTGAGCTTTAGATTGTATACTTATGTATTTTAGGAACCATTAGCTAGACGAACAAGGTCCAAACTGCCTTTGACTGACACACCAATTGATGTCATAGAACAAGAGTTTGTAGCACCTGACATCACAGAAGATATGTATGACACTTATTGTGATGATGTCAGCTGGAAGACATTCTTAGAAAGCTTACATTCTAGTCAACCAAGTGAGTATGAACAATTGTTTTAGGGCTAGTAAAATGGTCCAAATTAGTATATATTTATAGATCATTTTTGTGTCACCACCAAGAAGAGTAATATGTTATATGTAACCACCATTTTTGCGATCAGTGTTTGGCATTGGTATTAGTATCTGTAACAATTGTTATTGCAACTAAGTAGTTACAATTTGTCACGTTGATTGTTTGTGTTTACTAATATTACATTCTTCTAAATTAGAGCATTGATTCTGTAAACATTTACATCATTGGATAGCAGTATATATTGAAAACCTAACAGCTGTTTTAAACCTCCAATTATGATGTCTTCAATTAAAAGCCATGTTCTATTTTAAAATAAGAACTCCATAATACTAAATTTGTTCCAGTAAATGAGCTCTATATATTGAAACTGTTTTTCAGCTGAGAATATGAATGACCTTGACCTCTATATATTGTAACTGTCTTTCAGCTTAGAACATGAATAACCTTGACCTCTATATATTGAAACTGTTTTTCAGCTGAGAACATGAATGACCTTGACCTCTATATTGTAACTGTTTTCAGCTGAGAACATGAATGACCTTGACCTCTATATATTGAAACTGCCTCAGCTGAAAACATGAATGACCTTGACCTCTATATTGTAACTGTCTTTCAGCTGAGAATATAAATGACCTTGACCTCTATATATTGAAACTGTCTTTCAGCTGAGAACTTGAATGACTCTACTCTTGATGACGATGATGAGGAATACAACTTCTTGGCTGAAGTGGAGGAGGAAGCAGAAGACCCAGAGGATCTCAGAGATGATAAGGCAACAAAAGTCTCAAGTAAGAACTGCAGTTTCATTGGGCCAGTCCATAAATTATGAGTCATTGGGGGTTCACAATGTGTGAAAAATAAAACATTGAAAACAATGAATGTGCTTTTATCAAAATCGCAATTATGTTGCAACACGTTAACACTGCCTTGTCATATATCATATCTTTGTTTTCCATTTCGAAAATTATTTTCATGAGTGTTATAGTTATCGAGTTATTTTCTGCATATTCCGAAATCAGTTATTAAGTATCAGTGGTCTTATCCTTAATTTGTTTATTGACCCAATGATTGATTTTTTATCGTACAAAAAATGGCAACATCTCTTCTTTTCTGCATATTTCCACATAAACTGTGGACATGTTGTTTGAAATTCTTCAGGGATGTCTCTAAATATGAAAATTGATAAATGGTAAGACTTTGGGCATTCTGGCTAGAATTTAAAGTGTCCAGTGTTGATTTTTAAATACAATAGTATCCATTGTATAATTCACTTACATTACAGAGAAGGAGCTACAGGAACTTATGGAGGAGTTATTTGAGGCTTATGGTTCTCCTGATGGTTTAGAGGAGGACTCTCAGCCATATGAGGACAACCAGACAGCATCTACAACTTCAGAGCCATCCTCCCCTGAGATGAATGTCTTTAATAATCCAGAACCTGTCAAGTAAGTGAGGCTAGATAGGGGGATATCTGTCTAGACTGAAAGGTGTTTTATTTGAAAAGAGGCTCTGAGTACAAGGGAGCTTGTCAGACTTGTATGCCTGATTAATAGTGTTCATATTGTGGGTGTTAAGATTTTGAGGTTCAGATTTAGTAGTGTTCACTTTCATAGATGCCAGGGAATTCTGTAAACAACAGTAAATCATTTATTATATGTACAGTTAGTGTGTGTATTTGTAATTTGTAGTATATTTAAGATTGCATTCTTGTATATAAACCCCTTCTATTCAGGTTGGATGTGAAGCTAGCCACTACATTATTGAGGAAAGACTTTATGATGAAGAGAAAGGAGCAAGTTGCCCCAGCCCCTGTGCAATCAGCCAGAGAGACCATCATTATGACTGTCAAGGAACGTGAACAGTTGGATGATCAAATGAGAAAGGTACGCTAGAACTTTGATGAGGCTTGTGATAAATCATTGAATTCAAGTGTTAGATGACTTGTGTATAGATGGCAGATCATTAACTTTTTATGTCACTTGTCACCGGCCACCAGAAGTGGTGTAATATTGTTATGGTCTCCCACTTATTTTGTGGATGGTGTTCAGTGTTTGGTGTTCAGAGTTCAGTGTCAGTGTCATAATATTTGCAAAATTTACAAGGAGTTGACAGTTTGTCATGTTAATGCCTTATTTAAACTTCCTGTTGTATTGGATAACATATAAATCAAAATTCATTGAAATTATTAAACTAAAAATAATTTTCTATTTACAATGTTGTATTTCTGTAAATGAAGATACAATACTAATTTGCTTTGATTGTCAGTGCAGTATATTTATGAAGAGAAATTATGACATCTTCTTTTATTATTGAATGCTTAACCTAGATTAGAGTTTTCATCTATTGACACTCATTTCTCTTGAAAGTATGGATCATTGAGAAAATACGTGAATATTGTTCAATATGAATAGCACTAAAAAGGTAATAAAAAGACAGGCCTGTAGCCAGGGGGGGGGGGAGTTCGATTGGTTCGAGCGAACCCCCTGACCAAAAATTCTTTCAAAATCATGCAGTTTTCATCATTCTGAGCATATTTTAAGTGATTTTGGCCATTTTTGGACCAAAATTGTCAAAAGTGAACCTCCCACTGCAAATCCTGGCTACGGGCCTGAAAGATGATAATAAAAACTGGCAATTTGACCAATATACGGCAATTGATAGTGTAAAAACCCAATTCACGTCTGTTTATTAATTTTAAGATTTTCACTGTGTTTGTAGCATGTCCAACTGCTAGGCCAGACTTATGTATTGGGAATAGGAACAGAAGACTACAAGAAACACTCACTTGTGTGTAAAGGATATGTTGTAAGTTTTTTATTATTTATTCTTTCATCACAAATACTGAAAAACATTGTGGCATTGAAGAGCAAAAAATGAGTTACTGTTTACATGATTGGCCAAAAGTTATAGTTGGCATTGTAACTCATGTTTTAGTCTGACTTTTTGAACAATCTGGAAATTGTCTCACTAGGTTACTCCAGGGTAGCCCAAAATCCCCATCCCCTTTTCCCTTTGAGGGGATCTCACAATCCTTTGAATGGTGCATTAGCAACTGGTGGGATCACCTACAGCTATGTCACTTCAAAACTGAATCTTTGTGACTACGCATTTCAATGTTCAAGTATGTGGTCAGATATCAGTGGTCAGTGATTTCATTGAAAAATTGAATTTGTTTTAGAATGAACTTGCTAAGTTTAGTGAGGGTAGCAAGGTTGAGAAATCAGCATACAAGGCGGCCAACTTGCACCACGCTGTTAAACTTGTTAATAATGAATGCGTACCACCAGGATTCACACTGAGAAAGTCTAGTCGAAGATTAGGTAAGTTTTATTCAATCAATCATTGTAGGATTATTAAACAACAAATCCGTATGCTTCCCAATTGTGAAGTCTAGCCATTCATCGTCATGAAAAGCAACCTGTCTGTAGAACTTTATATGGATTTAACATTGATGTCAAAAACAAATCTGTAAAAATATTCAGATTGAATATATTCATAATACAGATATATATTTATGAGAGGCAATTCAGCATGCAACAATATGCTATTGTACAAGTACCCATAAGTACAATATGCTATTGTATAAGTACCCATTCATTGTTGCAATGTTTGCATTGTTGTAATCACTGATTAATTGTGTCTTAAATGTCGATGACACAAAAATGGATTCAGATGAGAACATAATAACGCAGATGCGAGTAGGTAGTTACCAGTTTCACCACCAGGTGGCTCATCCTGGTCAGATAGCGTGGCGGGTATAGAAGAAAGTTCCCTTTAACTTTAATTACATTTGTTTTGGTGGTTCAATTTTCATATAACCCTACGTAATCTATCTAATAGTTATGCAAATTAAAATATGTCCAGTCAAGGTAAATGTCATCTTTCCAATACAAAAAAGATATTTCACTTTTCGGGATTTTATAACATGGGGTCTATGGGGAATCAATTATATTGTGTTATCTGTACAATAAGAGAAATCTTTCTGATATTATGGAGATCCGTGTGATATTTTTCAGAAAATTATTTATCAGATAGCCCCATTATGAGGCTGATATCGTTAATCACCCACATATGTAACTCATACCATAAATCAGCCGCATATCCATATGATAAATGAATTTGATCTGTAAACCCAATATCACATCATTTTTCATGATATCATTTTATCACCTCAAATATCAACACAGATGAGTGATAAAAATGATATCACTCAAAATGGTCTGATATTCTGTATATTCCGGTATATTACACGTCTGTTCTTTGAAAACCAGCTTTGTAGGATGTTACAGTGAAATTTTATGCCATATTAAAATGTTGTTGTTGCTAATATACACTCTAAGTAATGATCAATTGTGGTTTCACATTATGGACTTGTCCAGTAAAATTGACTGGTGTCAAGTTGAAATAGATGTATTTATAAAAAAACTGGCTATAGAAGAAATCTTAATATTCAATAATAATATCAGAATTATCTCAGATTACTTTACAATACAATCACCATGAACACAACTTATTATCCCATCGAACGAAGTTCGGAGGGATATAGGGAACGCCTCCGTCCGTCCGTCCGTCCGTACGTACGTCCGTCCGTCCGTCCGTCCAGGCAATAACTCAAATACCGTTGGCCCGATTTTGTTCATATTTCGTACACATATACCCTATGGGGGTAGAAGTTCTGCTCGAAAGCCGATTTTCAAAATGGCCGCTCATTTCAAAATGGCGGCCATTTTAGTGACGATTTTACAGTAATTTAGGTGCAATATGTAAAACTGTAATAGCAATATGTTTTAAATGTAAAAAAAGTATAAAGGACATTAATAATGCTACAAATGTAGATATTAAAAAGCACATGGCAGCCATCTTGAAAAATGGCGGCCTTTACTCGTCATTTTACGATTTTTGCTGTAACTCAAAAAATAGTGGAGCGATTTTGTTCATATTTGGTGTGTGAATACTATAAGCATTGCACACTGTCTAAAGACACTTTTGGTAGAAGGCGGCCATTTTGAAAAATGGCCGCCATTTTAACGTATTTTACTATAACTCGAAAAGTAGTGGAGCGATTTTGTTCATATTTGGTATGTGAATACTATAAGCATGGCACACTGTCCTATGACACTTTTGGTAGAAGGCGGCCATTTTGAAAACAATTTTGAAAAATGGCCACCATTTTAATGTATTTTACTATAACTCGAAAAGTAGTGGAGTGATTTTGTTCATATTTGGTATGTGAATACTATAAGCATGGCACACTGTCCTATGACACTTTTGGTAGAAGGCGGCCATTTTGAAAACAATTTTGAAAAATGGCCGCCATTTTAACGTATTTTACTATAACTCGAAAAGTAGTGGAGCGATTTTGTTCTTTTTTTGATATGTGAATACTTTAAGCATGGCACATTGTCTAATAAAACTTTGGGGAGTAGTCGGCCATTTTGAAAAATAGCCACCATTTTTACGTGTGCGATTTTTCAAAAAATTTTAGAGGTGGCTACTTAAAAGCATATTATTTCTTCTGATGACAACTTGGCTAGTGAGCAACCATTTTGAAACTGGTGGCCTTTCTGGTGTGTTGTTTTCTGATATTTGCGCTTCGTTTGTAAAAATGCCAGCCATTTCTGTTCGATGGGATTTGCTACGCTTTGGCGTTGCCGTTGTTCTGGTTTTGAATGTATTCAGCTGTCCTGTGAATTGAAAGATCATATGACGGCCATTTTGGAAATTAGGGAAGCCATTTTGAAACTACGAAATTCAGTCTGAGACTCATATTTATCATTAAAAGTGTCAAATTGAGAGGTTATCACTTAAAGCCCCACTGTGGTTAATTAAGAAGAAAAAATGATAAAATAATCATTGAAATATGTTATCCACACACTCAATTGAATATGATACAAAGTTTGATTTGCATAAATATGAAACCAAGAAAAAAATAACTCACATACTGTAGAAAATAGCATTAGAAGTTCAGAGATCCCTAGTAGTGCATTTATATTTTTGACAAAGTGCATGTTTTAAATAACTTATGATTGAAAAGATGGGACACATCAATGATTATCAAGGGATTATGTGATACAAACAACTTCGCCATCTTTCAATGATATTGGTAAAAACAATACAATACTTGACAAATCAAAAATGTTTTTTGATAATTTTTTGAGCTGTTTTTGGTGTCCAATGAAAGATAACATACTCCATTGGAAATACTATGAAGTTCAAAATTAGGTCCTTATTTTAACAAAGAATGTTGAAAATACCCATAGTGAGCCTTTAAGTCCAATTTGTTTTGCAATCTGATTCGGTTGAAATACATTTCCTTGTAAGGCTATTTGCACATGATTCCTATAAACCTATAATATTGTCCACTTTTAACCTACAAACATAAAGTAATGATGATTCTGTCTTGCAATATCTCAAATCATGAGGTCAAGACAAACTTTAAAGGGTTTTAGATGGTGGAACTATTGCAAGTTCCCGCAATAAATTAAGATTCCCCAGCAATGTCTAATAAAATTGTCAGTTTATTTGTTCCTGCCAAGTTTGAGCATTTCAGGGTGATATAATCTCTCTAAATATTGTTTGTTGTGTTTTCTTGATGCAATTTATGACTGCAGTCACAAAAATACAGATACAAAATCAAAATACTTATGAAAATTATGAGACACTTATCTACTTGTTTAATGTACAGTAAAACCTGTCTATTCCAAATGCCTGGACCAGCCAAAAGTGTTAAGATTAGCAGCTGTTCACATATCAAGGTTTTTTAAACATGTAGATCTATGGAATATTGGGACTCTTGGGAAGTTTGGGACTGAGAAAAAGTGTTCACGATTGGAAGTGTTCAGATTAGAGAGGTGTTCAGATATACAAGTTTCACTGTTCATGTGTATTTGAGATTAAGCAGAAAGAAAAGCATGAAAAGCAGAAGCACTGTTAATCTTTGATCTAAGAGAAACAGTTAAGAAAACGAAGATTTATTACTAAAGGTCATACTGCATTCACCCTGAGCATATTATATCTCACTAGTAATCAAATTAAGTGCAGTTTTTGCAACAGCACACATTTCTTGTATCAAAGAGCCCATTGTAATCCACCAATGCTTGGAGATGTACAGTTCAATGTCATCATTATTTATTTCAAATATAAAAAGCAATATATTACATGTATTGCAGTTCAGCCCATGGGGACTGCCCCCCCCCCTTGGGTGGGCCTAGAAAAAAATGTTATGTCCCAAAAAGTTTTGGGCCCAAAAATTTTGTAAGGCCCTCAAAAATGGGCCTTTTTAGGAATAATTTGTCAATTTTAGGTCCTTTCAGGTAAAATGGGCCTTAAATTTAAAAAATTTGGGGCCAATTTTTCTGCGGAATTTTAGTTGTACATTGAATGAAAATATGGTAGAAAATGTCTATAGTGCTATTCTCATCCAATGCTTTACTTATATTATGATGTGAAGGGAGTAATTGAGAGGTTAAATACATTAGAATTGATAAATCATTTTGAAAAGTTATAGCTTCAACTTTGCCTCTTTGCCTGTTGACATTGGGTCCAAATGTCATACTGTTCAGAAAACGGTTTTATAAAGTGGTACTCTAGATATCAGGGGATTCAAGATGTTTAGATTTGAATAGTTGAAAAGGTTAGGAATTATATATTCTAAAGTATGTTTCAATTAGAAGAACATATTGCAGTCCAATTAAATATTATTTTATTATTGATACCCATACTTTATAAGCAATGCAGGTGTGGTCTTTTTCCAATATTAATAATATATAACAAGAATACACATGTATCAGAAAGGGATAGAATATCATATGTCAAAATAACAAAAAAGCCCATTTTAAAATTAATGATACACAGTACATCATACATGCTTTTACGACCTGTCATTTGATCATAAGGGTTTTACTGTAGAGAATAAATAAAGTACTATATGTATACTTTGGCCTTGCTCTACTTCAACAACACATTCTAACTATAACACAGCAGTAGCAACTACAGTATTTTTTGCATATTTTGTAACTTCAATAATTTTGCTGCACATTGAAGATAGACATCAAAATGAGATTTTTGGGCAAAGGAGTTATCATTACTGGTTCAAACAGTGGTATTGGGAAGGCCACTGCCCTGTTGATGGCTAAAGAGGGAGCTAGTGTTGTCATACATGGAAGGGACATTAAAACGCTGGAACAGACTGTTCAAGAATGTAGGGAAGTTGGTGCACAGACTGCCAAGTTTCCTATGGTACAGGGAGACTTCAACAGTGACAAGACTTTGATAAAACGACTATATGACACAGCTATGGAAACATTCGGGCGCATTGATATACTCGTGAACAATGCCTGTATTACTGAACTCTGTAGATTTGAGGATGTCACAGAAGAAAAATTTGACAGGCAGATCAACGTAGCTCTGAAAACCCCTATATTTCTATCTCAGAAATGTTTCCCAGAGCTAAAGAAAAACAATGGAAACATTGTGAATGTATCAAGTATCGCTGGAACAAGACCTCACTCTCTTGGATATGCAATCTATCCAGTTTCAAAGGCAGCGCTGAATCAGTTTACTCAATGTGCGGGGATAGAATATGGTTCTGAGGGGGTACGAGTGAATGCAGTTTGCCCTGGGTTAGTGGGCACTGGCATCTTTCTAAAAGGTGGAATTGTTAAAACAAAGGAAGAGGAAGAGGAACTTTACGAGAAGCGTTCACATGTTATCCCATTGAAAAAACCTGGTACTCCTGAGGAGACTGCTAAGCTGATTGCATATCTCGCATCAGATGATGCATCTATGATGAATGGTGCTAACATCATACACGATGGTGGGCAAACTCTTGTGGGACTTGATACACAAACTATTGAGAATGCTGCAAAGTGTGCAAGTGAATGAATTGTAATAGTTCTAATATAGAATAATTTATATATACATGAATTACTGTACTCCCGGTTAATTTCACGAGTTTTAATTTTGCGAATTTTGATAAAACACGATTTTGCGGCTATTTAATTTTGCGAATTTCACTAAGTATACCTACTACTTTGTCATCTTTGGTCAATGACACGCTGCACCTTAACCTCTATTACATTGTAATTTTTGGGTTTATTTGATCTAATAAGCCACTGTAACAGACATTGTTACTTAGTATCCCATTTAACCCCTCAGATTTTATTAACAATTTCGCAAAGATTAATGTTCGCAATCTTACCACACTCCCAAAAAGCGCGAAACTAAATCTCAAGCGAAAAATACCGGAAGTACAGTATACAATTGTCGACCTCTTCAGAGGTCAACCTGCAAAATTGTATACCCAGGCTTTAAACCAAGAAACTACTGTTGACAGAGACCGAAAGTCAAGGTAAACAGTAGTTTCAAGGTTTACGGTCGAGGTATATGATTTTGATTGTTAACCGAATGGAGAGGTCTACGGTTGTTTTGTTAGTCAGAAGAAACTAATAATACACATATAGACGACAATTATCAATCTTGGCTTCATTTCACAACCTTTTCTCCTAACCACGCCAGCAATAATTTTTTAAGAAAATCTGAAGACAGTGGTAGCTAAACTCTCTGTTTTCGGCACATCACTGTGTACTCACTAGTAAATTAATGTTAATTTTACGTTTCTATTTGTATTTTTGCTTTACTTGTCATCTAGAAAAGTCAAAATATCACTTTCATCAACGTTTACAACATGTCCATCCGCCATGTTTTTTTCTGTAAACATTATGACGTCATATATAGTATCATATATAGTTTCATAAAAGTCTAACACAGAAAGTCACATAAATATAGCTCCTGGAAAAATTGGATATTTCAACAAAAATAAGCAATATTGGATAGGAATTTATACATAGGAGGAATTATGAACATTCAGTGATCACAGTGAGCTAGTTTCTGAGCTTCAAAAATAAGTACTTAAAAAGAATTTTGAACAAACTTTCTGGAAATATTTTGATGAAGTATTTCATTTTTATAAACTGAAGCAGTGTGGAAGTTGGCTGATAGTTAATTATTGATCTTGAACTTACACTGAACCTGGAATTAGGCTATTAACAGCCAGTTATTGGCTTAGTATGGCCACTAACATTGTAACTAACAGGAATGGAAGTACTACAGACCCTGTTTTGAGCCAATTGTTTGGAAATGACTCATTCAACATTAGTGACTCTACCCAGAACACAAATGCCATTCAGGGACCATCTCAAAATACTGTTATTGACACTGATGTTACGTTTTCCCCTGGGTCTGTACAAGAAGGTGACACTCTTTGTACTACTCCAAGCACACCACTTGGACTGTTCACGCAAGAAACACCATCCTCGGCAGTGACCAGGCGTAAAACAAGGTTAGGGACACGCAACTCTAAAAATGCCCCAAAGACCCCCAAAAGTCTTCAATCTAATGCCAAAATCAAAACAACTAAAGCCAAAACAACAAGAGGTCGTCCCTCCAAGTCTTTGCTACCTCCATCTCCCTCCATTGACCGCTTAGTCGAAGTGATATCTACACTGACAATAAAGATTGAGGACTTATCAACCACAACAGCACGCCTTCAAGACAAAATTGATATTATGGAAACCAACCTCAATGCAATTCAGGTTACCAATACTGACCTCGTATCACAACTAGCTGCGAAAACCTCCAAATGCAAGGATCTTGATGAGGAATGCATCTACTTGCATAAACAGTTAACCAATAGGAAATCTGCCATTGACAATCCATCTAAGACCCTAGTAATTGGAAGTTCGATAATTCGTGACTTTGACCATACCAAAATACGTAACACTGATGTCACCTGTATCAGAGGGGGTAAAATCAAAGATGTCCATAAAGAGATAACAGAACTCGGGAAAACCACAGGACCAAAGCCCTACAATCGTCTTATTCTTCAGATTGCCAGCAACGATTCCTCCCAAAATGACGCCAGTGCTGAATCAATTGTCAAAGACTATAAGCTAATGGCAACTGGGGCAAAAAACATTTCTGATGAAATTCATGTGTCAAGCATCACCCCTCGTACAGATAACAAACAGGCCCAAGAAGTCATCGAAGCTGTTAATGCTGAAATGCAAGTAATGTTCGACAATGATAACCAATTTACATATATAAACAATGACACAATATTTCGTCTCCAGGATGGCTCTATAAATGACGGTTACCTTGATTCATGGGGACTGCATCTAACAAAGGCTGGCTCAAATAAACTTGCTCATAATATGAAACTAGATACAATCTCTGATGACATCACTAAGCCACGCCAATTTAACCGCCCCCGTCCATCCCCTAACAACCACAATAATAGACCCCAAGCCCCTCAAAATGTGATGGGTATCTCCTCATCGAATGACACTGATGGATGGCAAACAGTATGTCATAAAAAACACAACAATAACAGTTCATGTGACAATAGTAGAAGTACCTATCAGTCATCTCATTCCAATGCACCGAACAAAAAGGGGAATAAGCCAGCATGTTTTAAATGTGGTGAAAGTTCCCACTTGGCAAGCTCTTGCTGGCATCCCCATTCTGTAAGGTGCTACCTGTGTAATTCTTTAGGACATAAACAAACCAAATGCCCTGAGTTCAATGTTGCTAATTCTAACTAGATTCTTGGCTATGATATAGCCTTACCCCCATTCCATACTAAATGTCAGCCAAAATGCAATGTGGTAAACAAATGTCATAAAAAACATAGGCGAGGTGGTCATACGGTTAAAAAATCTAATATAGCAGCTGTTAAATTTGGCTATAACAATGTCCAAAGGCTTGGAATAGCCAAACAAGCAGAACTTAATAAACTTCTCACAGATAACCATTATGACCTCTTTGCCCTAGCAGAAACGTTTTTTAATGATTCCAATTCACTAATACACTTGGATAATGAGTATGTCTGGCGAGAAAAGAATAGAAAAGGCAAACTCGGTGGTGGGTTAGGGTTTTTTATTCACAAAGATGTTGTTTTGCTTGATGATAATCCCTTTGATTCGAAATCTGATTATGAACGGCTTTGGTTAAAACTGAAGATTAACAATGAGATTATATATGTATGTGTAGTCTATTTCCCTTGTGATGGTCGGGACATGGTCAAAACCCAGGAATTATATGATGAACTAGAGCAAAATGTAGCATCTATTAATGATGGTTATAACATCCTTATAATGGGTTACTTTAATGGTAAGATTCCTGGTTTTAGAAATGACGGACATCATAGCCCAAATGGTGACCTGTTAAAACTATTTAGTGAAGTGTCAGACTTATCTATTCTTAACTGCTCAGATAACTGTGAAGGTACAATTACTTGGACACGCAATGAACAACTATCTACGATCGATTATGTTTTAGCCAATGACCATTTTCAGCAATCCCACTTTGTAAATATGATTATTAATGAACATAAAGAACTCTCAGTTGGTAGTGATCACAATGTCATTACTATAAATAGTAAGTTTGTCCCTGTTTACAAACCTGACTCAGAGGCCCCTTCTTCAAATGATAATATTGCCTATACCAAATGGAATTTTAATGACCAAACTGACTGGGGGATGTTTAAGTCAGAATTGAGTTCTGAATATAAAAATTGGTCAATTGATGGGTTAAATGTTGAAGAGATTTGGAACTGTTTTAAGGTTAAATTAATAAATGTTGGTAACAAAGCAATTGGTATGAAGAAAGTTTCTAAAAATAGCAGAGATTTTTGGGATTCTGAATTGAAGCAATTGATTAAAAATAGGAAAGAGGCCAGCCGTTTTCATAGAATTTGGCAAAAGTCAAAATCAGCGGACCCAACTGTTATTAAGGAACTTTGGGAGATTTATCAAGATCTTAAACATCAAGTTGCAACAAAAATTAAAGAAAACCATATAAAGAATCACATTAGAATAATTACCAACAATGCCCGTAATAAGTCGAAATCTTCAAAAAGTTATTGGAAAGCGCTGAAAAAATTCAATACAAAGAGCAATTTCCCCATTAGAATGAAAGACCCAAATGACCCCAACCATATTATATGTGACCCAAAAGAAGTTAACGAAACACTTAAAGAATATTGGAAAAATGTTGGTTCTAAAAGTAAAAACCCCGAAACCCTCCCAAATCAAGCTTCAGACACCCTCAATAATATTGAGCTTGATAACATTGTAAGTGATAGAGCACTCAGTCATATTACTTTTGATCTAGCAAGTTTATCAAAACATATATCTGGTCTTTCAAATGGAAAGGCAGTTGGTATAGATCAAATTCCCAATGAATTCTTGAAAAATGGTAAAGAAGTTCTCTCGCAGCCTATTTTAGATCTTTTTAATGCTATCAGAATGTTTGAAAAAATTCAATTTGATTGGCAACAAGGTATTGTCAAACCCCTCCATAAGGAAGGTGATCCAGAAGTTTTCAATAATTATCGTGGAATAACGATTACATCCAATATGTATAAATTATTCTCGAGTCTGTTGGAAAACCAGATAATGGACTTTCTTCGTGAAAACAATCTTTTAGGCGACCTTCAAGGCGCATTTCAAAAAGGCAAAAGATTAGAAAATCATATATTTTCCCTTAAAGGACTATGTAGCCTTCGTAAAGATAAGAAACTCAAATTCTATTTAGCTTTTATTGACATTTCTAAGGCATTTGACGTTTTAGATCGTGATTTGCTATTTCTAAAACTTTGGGAAAAGGGAATCCAAGGTAAAACTTGGAGGATTTTGTAATCACTATACTCTAACACTTCAAACAAGGTCATCTTTGGACAATATGAAACTGACTGGTTTGACTCCTCATCTGGAGTGAAGCAAGGTTGTATTCTATCCCCGACCCTTTTTTCCATATTAATGACAGACCTTGAAGACAGTTTAAGAATGTCCAGTTTTGGTCTGCCCTTTGAAGATAAAAAAATCCCCTGTCTTCTTTATGCCGATGACATTGTGTTAATGGGTCAATCTGAGAAAGAACTCCAGTCAATGTTAACAATCACTAATAATTTTGGACTTAAATGGGGATTTCAGTTCAGTGACAAAAAATCTAAGATAATGATAATAGGGAAAAGATTTGATTCGGAAAAGGTATGGTCATTTGGGAATTTGAGACTGCCAGAGGTAAATGAGTACAAATATCTTGGAGTAATGTTCAATAGAAGTCTCAAAGAAACTGCACATCTGAAATATTTATATGAAAAGGCCAGGAAAATGAAAAATTATTTAAGTTCTACTTTAACCAAACACTGTAATTTCAAGCGCATTGAATTTGGAAGTACGATTTACAACTCTATGATGGCACCTGCTATCCTGCATGGATGCCCGACCTGGGTACTCCCAAAGTCAAGCCTTGCCAAAATTACCTCATTTCAATATGGTGCCGCCCAAGCCATTTTTCAAATTAAAAGTAAACCCGCCAGTGAATCTATATTGGGGGATTTAGGCTGGAAACCGATAGCAGAGGTGATTGAAAAAAGACAAATTGACTATTTGAACTACCTAAATTGTAATGTACCAACTACATCCCTCCCTCATAAAATCCTACAGAATTTGCTAAAATTATTAAAAGTCGGCAAAGAATCATATTGGAAATTTGCATCAAATGCACGGAATATTTTAAGAGATAAAGGTTTAGATGATGTTATTTTTCGGAATGACAGCGAATGGTACCCCTCATTTTTAACTATATCTCAATCCCAAAGCATTTATAATTTCCACACTAGGGTAGCTGAACACCCCTCCCTTGAAATATATAAGGAGGTTAAAACCCATAACCGTAAGGTACCTTAAGAATGACCTTGATCTTTATGGATCTAAAATGAAATTTCTAGCAAGATCGAATAATTTCTGCCTTGAGACAAATTATGAAAAGTGGGGCAAAAGTGATGGTATATGTATAATGTGTAATCTTAATTTGAGAGATACTCTATCACACAGATTAATGGTGTGTCCCCATTTTGCCAAAGCCAGGTCCGACTTTTACAACGATGTAGAGAAATATGTTTCTCCCATTTTAAGTAGCAGTTTATTGTCTTCGAACATTCATGATAGGTTAATTACACTACTTGGTGATAAGGTTTTTATGGAATTGGGGCATGACATTTTTTATATGTTTGATAAATATGTGAAGATGTTTTTAGCAACACTTTTTAACCCTAGAAAACTGTAGTATTTTATGTAAACATTTTTAGTGCTTATAAAATATATATGTAGATTACAAATACTGACGCACCTAATAATAGTGTGCCGCTGTTAAAAAAGCGTATGTCAAAATAAATAAATAAAATATTCCCCATAATTCACAAGTGTAGTACAGTAACATACGCGATCAATAATATGATATCCCATGATACACAGGTGGGGTACAGGCAAAAATGTTGACTGCTAATTGACCAATCAACATTATGTGGATGTTAAAGTTACAAGGGGAGATCATTTTTATTTGACACCCTGTATAATAGCATTGTATAACTGCAATATAAAACCAACACTCATCTCATGAGAACGATATACAACTCCTGGATAGCGCATACAACTCTCTTCGACTTGATATACAACTGTTCAATTTAGATTAACTTTTTATTAAGCTTAAAACATGAATACCTGAAATTTTAATTAATTTGTTTTTAAGAAATGATCATTATACCATTTAGACCCCTATAATACTGGGTATAAATTATGTTTACAACAAGCATATGCGGATGTGAGATTTTGATCTGTACCTTTTTCAAACATGAATAACACAGAATCAAGAAAACATATTATCTGTCAAAACAACAAAACTATTTTAAAATGAATGTTATACAGTACATTTCACAGCTTTATGACCTTGCTTCCCATAAAAGTTTACTGTAAATAAGAATCAATAAAGTATACTGTATACACAGCCACTCCAGCATTTTATTGCACCTTTCATACTTCATCATACTTTTGCTGTACATGTACATTGTAAACAGGCAGCAAAATGAGATTTTCTGGTAAAGGAGCTATCATTACTGGTTCAAACAGTGGTATTGGGAAGGCCACTGCCCTGCTGATGGCTAAAGAGGGAGCTGGAACAGACTGTTCAAGAATGCAGGAAAGGTGGTGCACAGACTGCCAAGTTTCCTATGGTACAGGGAGACTTCAACAGTGACAAGACTTTGATACAGCGACTATATGACGCAGCTATGGAAACATTTGGGCGCATTGATATTCTCGTGAACAATGCCTGTATTACTGAACTCTGTAGATTTGAGGATGTCACAGAAGAACAATTTGACAGGCAGATCAACGTAGCTCTGAAAACCACTATATTTCTATCTCAGATATGTTTTGGGCCCAAAAATTTTGTAAGGCCCTCAAAAATAGGCCTTTTTAGGAATAATTTGTCAATTTTAGGTCCTTTCAGGCAAAATGGGCCTTAAATTTAAAAAATTTGGGGCCAATTTTTCTGTGGAATTTTAGTTGTACATTGAATGAAAATATGGTAGAAAATGTCTATAGTGCTATTCTCATCCAATGCTTTACTTATATTATGATGTGAAGGGAGTAATTGAGAGGTTAAATACATTAGAATTGATAAATCATTTTGAAAAGTTATAGCTTCAACTTTGCCTCTTTGCCTGTTGACATTGGGTCCAAATGGGTCCAAGTGGTACTCTAGATATCAGGGGATTCAAGATGTTTAGATTTGAATAGTTCAAACGGTTAATTATATATTCTAAAGTATGTTTCAATTAGAAGAACATATCTGTTAGTTTTTGATTTTAAGACCAGCTAGACAAGATAACATTATATTGGAGTCACATGCTATTATATTTGTATATTTGAAATTGAATTCCAATTGAATATCTGTGTCAACTGATTCGTTTAAAGCATTGCTTATTTTATTATTTATACCCATACTTTATAAGCAATGCAGGTGTGGTCTTTTTCCAATATTAATAATATATAACAAGAATACAGTGTATCAGAAAGGGATAGAATATCATATGTCAAAATA